AACTAATAACTATTATTTCGATTATCCTAATACTAGGCGTAATACCTACGCAACTCCTAAACCTCTACAATAAAAACTTATATAAAACAGCTTCCTAAAGCGCCCCTTATTAAGCAGTGCCTAATACTTCTAACCTAATACTTTTACTTATAGTAATTAAGCCTATTTATATAACACCGATATAATTACTAGCTTCCTAAAATAGTACACTAGAGAAATATACCTAACCCTAAACCTAAGCTAGAAACCGAACCCAAAACTAAATCTAATTCTAAATTTAAACCTAATACCCGGACAGATATCCGTATACTAAACGCAGCGTCTATAACCCAATTAGCCCAACAACCTAATTATAAAATCTTTGCTATTACTATTACTAATATTAATAAGGCCTTAGCTCTAAAAACCTAAACTAACCTAGCTATAAAAGTCCTAGTATAATATTACTATTTACTAAAAACCTTTTCCTAATAGGAAGCTAATAAGTTACCTAAATACTAAATATATAATTATAAGATTATACTTAAAAACGGCAAACTGCACGGATTTAGCCTGTTATACAGAATATTATAAAATAAATTAAAGGTGCTAAGGAAGTACCTTAATAACAACCTTGCAAAAGGATTTATCCATACTAGTTTATTACCTATTACCTCTCCAGTTATCTTTATTAAAAAGCCCGGAGAAGGCCTATAATTCTATATTAACTACCGCGCGCTAAATACTATAACTATTAAGAACTAATACCTAATCCCCTTAATTTAGAAAACCCTAGTATAATTAAGTAAGGCAAAATACTATATAAAGCTTAATATTATCTCCGCATTTAATCGCTTATAAATCGCGAAAGGAAATAAATAGCTAACTGCTTTCCAAACGCAATACGGCCTGTTTAAATACCTAGTAATACTATTTAGATTAGCTAACACTTTTAGTATATTCTAACACTATATAAACAACATGCTCCGCCTGTACCTAGATATATTCTATACTATATATATTAATAATATTCTAATATACAGCAAAAACTTTAAAGACTACTAGTATTATATAAAGCTAGTCCTAGAAGTAATAAAAGCCGCCGGCCTATAACTAGATATTAATAAGTATAAATTCTATTAGAATAAGGTTACCTACCTAAGGTATATAATATTAATCGGCGGAATTAGTATAGACCTAAATAAGATTAAGAATATCTATAACTAGGAAGTCCCCTATAATATTAAGAATATATAAGCCTTTATTAGATTTGCAAACTTCTACTAATAATTTATTAATAATTTCTCTAGCCTGGCCGCTTCCCTAATTATACTTATAAAGAAAAATGTTCCGTTCCGGTTTAATAAGTCCTGCCGTGCGGTATTTAAACAACTTAAGACAGTATTTACCACCGCCTTAATCCTCTGTTATTTTAACCCTAAACTGCTAATTATTATTAAGGCCGATTTATCTAACTATATAAACGCTGGAGTGCTTTTATAAATAGATAAATAAGGAATACTTTAACCTATAGCCTACTTTTTAAAATAATTAAGTCCTGCTAAATATAACTATAAAATCTATAATAAGAAACTTTTAGTAATTATTTAATACTTTAAATAATAGCGGCCTAAACTAAAAGGCGCAGTATTCCTAATTTAGGTTTTTAGCAACTATAAGAACCTGCAGTACTTTATAACTATAAAGTAGTTAAGCTACTAATAGGCTTATTAGTCTAAATACCTGTCCTAATTTAACTTTTTAATTACCTACTAACCTAGTAAGTATAGTAAGAAGCCTAACGCCTTAACGCGTTATATATAAAATACGCCTGCGTAAAAAAAAGCTTAAGCAGCCCGAAATTAAATACTGCTCTATTCTAACCTGTTTATATAGTTAAATCTAACAGAAACTAACTAAATAATTTAGGAGATTATTAAGAATAAATACCTAAATAATAAGTTTATCTAGGAAGTTCTAGAAATATTACGCTCCGGAGTATACCGCTTTAAAAAGATTACCCTAAGCAAATATAAAGAGCAAGATAGTAAGCTCTATTTCCGCAACTAAATAGTAATTCCTAATAATAATAAACTAAAGATTAAACTGCTTTATTATATATATAATTCCCCTGTTAGCAGCTACTCTAGATATAGAAAAACTTTAGAAATCCTCTAAAAAAAATACTACTAGCCGTATATATTTAAAATAATCCGCCGATTTATAGTATACTATTACACCTATTACTGTATAAAGGCTTTAAAAAAGAAGTATAATAGCTTTCTAAAACCCCTGCCTATCCTGCAGTATTACTAGTAAAATATTTCTATTAACTTTATTATTAAACTACCTAAATCTAAAGACTGCACTAATATTATAGTTATAGTAGACCGCCTAAGCAAGTACTAATATATAATTCCCTGTAGAATAATTATAGCTAAGGCTATAGCTAACCTATTCTACTAATATATTTAGGTATATTACGGATTACCTAATATATATATATCTAATCGAGGATTATAGTTTATCTCCGTGTTTTAGAATAAACTCTATAAGCAACTATATATTAAAGCCTAATTATTATTAGCCTTCCACCCGGAAACTAATAGCTAAATAGAAAAAGCTAATTTAATACTAGAATAAGTCCTCCGCGCCTATATAAACTATAAGCAAGATAACTAGGTTACCTAGCTGCTATCTACTTAGTTTAAGGTAAATAATATCTAATCTAAATTAATAATAGTAATACTGTTTATTGCTATTTTAGGATAATACCTAAGAATAGGCTTTAAACTGCTATTAGGAACTCTGCGCCCTGCCTATTAAGTACTATAAGCACTTAAGGCTAATTAGATAGTTAATAAAATATTAGATATTAAGTAGTTTATCTATAAAGAGATAACTTAGGCCTAAGCAATATAAAAAAAATATGCTAACTAAAAATATATAGGCGCACCAGCCTATAAAGTAGGTAATAAAGTTTAGTTAGATATATAGAATATCTATATAAATTAACCCGCTAAAAAGCTTAATTAGAAAAACCTAGGAAAGTTCCTAATTATATAGATTATTTTTCTATACACCTATTAACTAGGCCTACCTAAATCTATAAAAATATATCCTATCTTCTATATTTTATTACTCTGTCCTGCTGCTCTATAAGCTAACTACCTGCCTAGCTAGAAGTTGCCCCCACCTAAACCTATTTAAGTTAAAGAAGAAACTAAATAGTATATTAACTGTATTAAAGGTATGCGCCTAAACCGGCGCTAAAAGTAATATAAGTACTTAGTCTAATAGACTGGATATAATAACCTGTCCTGGCAACCTGTTAACAACCTAAAGAACACTACTACTGCGGCTAATTATTATTGCCGCCACCCCGAAGCTTACAATCCTGCGTCCGATAAGCCCTATCCTGCTGGACCCTGAAACCTTAATCAAGATTTAATTCACAGCCCTACTCCCGATAAATAGCCGTACACATCACGAACAGCGCCTCCTACTCGCTAAGAGACTTAGGTTTAGGAGGGGGGTACTGTCACGGTATTGACCGCGACACCCTACCTACCGAAATTCTGCCGCAGATTGCTACAACTCCAGCAATCTGCACCGGCCTACTACCGTTGGCCGGCCTCCTGCTCTGCCTGCCCTGCTCCGCTCCCGTCTCGCTTCCGCTTCCTATCCTGTCCCGCTCCAGCCACCTACCGGCTGCCCCCTTTTCCTATCACCTGATCTGGTAAGGACCTCGCGTACACGCGTGCCACGCGCCGAAACGGCATAGAGGCCGTACGCCACGCGCTCGGCCACGCCCTTATATCCGGTGGCCCGTCTCCCGTCTTCCTGTCCCTTACACAACGTCTTGATTCTCCACGTAGCATTGTACATAGCACCTAATCAACGCTCCTCTTTAAGCCCTCGACCTCTCGCGTGTAGCGCTATCGTGACAACTGTATCGCCTGTTTCCTTACTTATTATATAGATAAACCTATGTTATACTAGTTAGTATAGCTACAACCTGTTATATATATAGGCCTGCACTTATACTTTATACTTTACGTCCGTATTATTCTTTAACAGCGCGTTCTCTATTAAGCCTTACCTTGCAATAATCTTTTTAATTGCGCGCTCTAGCTTAGTTAAGTTAAATTATCCCTAGACGTTGCCTTTAATTATTACTTAGTGTCTCCGCTTCTAAAATATATAGTTAGATAGCAAGATATATATATCTATATACTCGTTAACTATTATCTAAAGTTAGCTAAGTATAATTATAAGAAGACTATAGTAGTTAGCTAGATATCTAGTATATTTAACTATACTGCTAATAAACCCGCTAGTGCTAGTGCCGCTAATTATATTAAAGTAGTCGCACGGCTTTAGCGGCAATTCTAGATTAATAACTGCTATAAGCTGCTTTAAGATCTAAAGCGTTAAAAGGCCTTAAACGCCTCCTTTATTAAGGGCTAGAAGGCAGAGCTTATAGTCCGGTATAGCGGCAGAATAGGTTAGATAGTAGGTTTAGTAAACTTATAAAGGTTAGTAATAGAAAGGATAGCAGTAAGGTAATAGCTTTATAGAGCTGGCTTTATCTTATAAAAGCGCCGGTCTATCTTTAGCTAAATAAGGCTAAAAAGCCAGGCGGAGCTAGCCTCTAGTTATTAGCCTTTAGAAGGGAGAAAGCTGCAGGCGCTGGCGAGCATAAGCAGCTGCGTTACACGCTTAAAGTGCAGAGCTATATTCTACTAATATCCGCATTAGAGCTACCCGGAAGCTGTTTAGCTAGGATAATTAGCGGCACTTTCAGGCAGTAAATTAGGGCTTAAAAGTTTTAGTGCTTTGCGTGGGCTAGCAGGGAGAGCAGCCGGCCTGTTCCGGCTACACCCTTATTAACTTAAGCTGTAGTAACTTAGAAAAGTACTTATCTATAGCAAATCACGTGCGTAGGCTAATAGTGCCGGATATATAAGGTTAGGTGTTAAGGCTTCCGCTTATAGGTGGGTAGAATCTGTATTACCGCTATGTTTAGGGTGAAGCGGTATTCGCTAGCAACTGTATGCGGCGGCGCAGAATATAGAGAAGGTGGCGGTCGTGTATAGGAGATAAAGTGTGCGTAGCAGTTACTAGTTTTAGAAATATAGAGTCGGACTTTTATATATTCTAAGGGTTAGCAAAATAAAGCAAGACTTTGCACAGCTACAGGTTAGAGGGTTACAGGCCTTACTTAATTATTATGCCTTTATAAGTATTTTCGGGTACGGAACTATCTTACACTAACCGCTATTAATTGTTGCTTCGGTTAGAGGTACCGATTAACGTAGCGACCTAGCATAAATTTGCGTGCGATAGCAGTTATAAGGCTAATAATAACTTCCTAATATAGTAGTGAGGTTCTAAGACTCGGATAACGCCTTTTTATAAGTATTAGGAGTGATAAGAGCTTAATAGTAGTGCTGTGGTGAAGGAGTTCTGTTTTGCCACGATAGAAGGCTCTCCGCAAATTAGGCGCGAAGGCGACAATGCGAACGTAATTTTTAGGTAGGAGGTGTTATAAATATTCAGCAGTAGGCATAGTACACGATTTATACAGAGCTGTAGGAAATATTAATGTGTGCATAGAGTCTGAGTTTTTTGAAGTCAATGTACCTATTGATTTTCTCGCCACGCAGGGTTTCTCGCTACGCAGGGACGCACGTTACAAGGTTTTCCAGAGCCAAGTCGCCTTTTCTGAGCCAACAGGAGGCCGTCGTCACTAGCGCGCCAGCTTTTAAACTCACAAAGGGATGTCAGACAAGGCGTTGCGGCAGAGAGCCTGTCTTGTTATCGTCGTTTGCGAGTGGCCACGCGCCCTGCGCCTTGTGCGTTGGCAACCAATGGCAACCAAGGAATGTCCAGATAGCTTTGTCGAGAGCGCACGGCATGAAGGCAGCGGGATACTGGCCCTGGGGCACTTCTCATCCTCCTTCCATAAAACAGCTGCGCCCAAACGTAGTGGCTAGAACGATATTTCTGCGACAGGGACTAGTTCAAACCTCGTTCACCACCGCTCCATACATTCAATATCCACGCAGAGAAGGACGATCTACATTTCGAAGCGCGATCGTGGCGCATTCTTTGTGTATCTCGTAAATGCAGCGTAACAAAGGCTTTTTAGACCTGTAAAGGCTATTGCGGCCAATGAAATCTCTTTCATCAACTTCCCGTACCGTAATTTACCCTACCCGCCACCTGCACTCTGACCACATGATGCAAGGGGCTGTACCACTCATTTTATGCCTCTGTACGCAGAGTCCGAGAGAGCCCCCATGACCCTCCCCCTTCTCCGCGCTTTCAGCTAACACTACCGGTAACCTTTACAACCACATTTTGAGCAATGGCTCCAGTCTGCTGTCGGTCTGAAGAGTATGAACTTCTCCCAAGGACGTCCTCGGATTCTACAGAGACGTCAAACACAGAACTAGGGCATTATTCGTCTCCTTCGAATGTATCCCGATTTTGGCGCCTCCCAGCGTGGTCTTGGATTCGATCACCGGCGTGGCCTTCTATACGATCACGACTGGGGACGATTCTCGCAATAAACCCCGGAACATCTTGCTCACCAAGAAAACGACGACTGCATTACCGCCTTATATGCTGGGCATTTGTCACTCTATTGTCTTTCATCATCACATCATTCGTATTCACCATCATTTTCTGGCCTTCGTATACCCACTTACCGGGTCACTACAAGGCGCTCCAGAGAAGGTGTTCAGAATCGTCAAAGCCGGGACGAGGGAATGTTCACAATGAGAAAGTGTTTATCGCTGCTGCCTTGTACGACCCTGGAGGAGACCTAGTCGGAGGAGATTGGGGTAACGCAGTCTTGAAGCTGGTGGAGCTTCTAGGGCCAGAAAACGTTCATTTGAGCGTGTATGAGAACGATGCCGATCCTTCCGCAAATACAGCTCTTGATACCTTCCGAGACAAACTTAGTTGTAAGTGTCCTTAGAAAAAGTCTTATGACCGAATGAGACTTACAGCGTCTCCTGTAGGCAATATCTCTCTCACTTCAGAGCATCTTCCCCTTGGAGATATTCCCCGCGTCACGATACCAACTGGTGAGAGGCGAATGAAACGTATCGCGTTTCTTGCAGAGGTCAGAAATCGAGCACTACGCCCGCTCATAGCTACAGCCAGTCCTTCAGTACATTATGACAGGCTTCTGTTTGTCAACGACGTAGTATTCAATCCAATCGACGCTGTCCATCTACTATTCTCTACAAACATTGACACGTCTGGCCGCGCGCAATACGGTGCGGTGTGCGCAGTGGACTTTATCAATGCCTTCAAATTCTATGATCGGTTTGCGACTAGAGATTTTGAAGGATATGCGATGGGGATACCTTTTTTCCCATGGTTTACTGACGCTGGCGATGGAATAAGTAGGCAGGATGTTTTGGACCAAAAGGATGCAGTTCGAGTGCGTGCCTGTTGGGGAGGTATGACAGCCTTTGAAGCGAAATGGTTCCTAGAGACCCAACCCCGGAGAAACTCTCCTGGTGAACCAGACCAGAACCCTTCAGCCGACCTCAATGTATCACCACTCCGCTTCCGCTACGAAAAAGACCCTTTCTGGGACGCGTCTGAATGCTGCCTTATTCAGGCAGATCTCACTTATCTTCGGCATGGCCGCAATATTACGACAGAATCTGGTATCTTCACCAATCCCTTCATCCGCGTTGCTTATGATTCGCGAACTCTTAGCTGGCTTCCTTTCACGCGTCGAGCGGAACGTCTATACTCCTTTGTGCACAACGCACTCAACCATCTGATCGGCATGCCTTATCGAAATCCACGGAGACTAGAACACCCTGGGGACGAGGTGGTTGAGAAAGTCTGGAGATGGGATACTACAGGGAAGGGACCTGCGCAGGATGAATCCGATAGCAGTCTCACCGGATCATACCATGATGTTAAGCGGGTGGCTGGTCCTGGACGCTTCTGTGGAAGTAGGGCGCTACTGGTATTGAACGAAGATCCCAAACCAGGGGAGAAGAAGTGGAAGAGCGTTCCACTTCCTGCACCACCTAAATGAGAGCCTTCCTATGGACATGCAGTGTCTGATGTGGACCGAACGATCTGTTTGCTCTTCTATGTATTACAATCCACTGATACCCTATTCCGATTAGAACTGCGAGCAGTTAGCGACCTTACTGTCATCTCAATCTTGATATCCGCACCAGCTAACCCAATAAACAGGCTTATCGGCTCAAGTTCACGTCTTCCTCTAGCTAAACTACAGCTTATCGTTCCATCTAAAGTTTCTTGGGGTATCTAAGCTAAGTCGCTCACAGAATGTGTTAGGGAGTAGCGGTGAGGGTACGGCAGGCACGTGTCATCTCTTGTATATAGCCTCACCTTCCGCAGACCTGTCTCTGTTCTCTATCATCATCATCCAATACATCACGTACACGGCATACAGCTCCTTGTTCCGTGACAGAATGTGTCGATTTCCACCATAAGCTCCGGCCCTCATATATCGTCTCCATACTTGCAGTGGTTCCCCGTAATACGACCTAGTCAGAATGGCGCCCAAGTTCGTCTCGCCTGTGACCTTTCAAGCCACTGGCTGTAGATTATCGTTACGGTAATTTTGTCTGCTTTCGCTTCATAGCTAGTGGCCGCCAGAAATGGCACAGCCCAATGCTAAATGCATCTGGCAATTGTAATACCTGCGATTCGCTTCTCCTCTTATCTACAAGATGGGGCGCCTTCCTTCATCGTACATACTTCGTGATAGTAAAAATGTGCCTATGTCTACTAGCGACGGCATGTTACCATGCTTGAGTCTGAATATTGAAGCAAGTATATACTTCTACGTAGTCATCTTTCCATAATAGCCTCAGCAATCGCCGCTTCAATCTTACCTCGAATTTCTCTAACCATACCTTTTACACCATGAGCTCTCCTCATTCTACCTTTCGCGTTCAGTCATCTCTCTCCTGGTCGCTAGTCCGTTTACATCATCTATAAAGCTGCACATCGGACTTCAGCACGACCACGGCACATATTATGCTGTACACGGATTAGCAGCTCCATCTTCCTCGTCTCCCGCCCCATATAGATTCGGAACCATAACCGCCTCTACCTCCGCTCCTCGCACGCGCACTCACACTCACAATCACGAGACGGCATTCCCCGAACACGTTGGAGCTTGAGCCGAAGATGAAGCTTCCCCAGACAATAGTGAGCCTGTCTTCGACACTCACACTTGCACGCCTACGTCCTTCGACACAACCGGAATCATCAGCTATTGGGTCTGTTCGGCGCTGAACGATATGTTATGCGGTAACAGATCCTGGTGATACGGGTTGTTCTCGGCACGCCCTGATCGAGATGTTGAGGAAACCCTTTTGGGTGTCAAGACATCTGCAATTGCTTTCGGCGTCAGCCATTCGACGGGGCAGGCATTCTCGTTCATGAAACAATTAAGAACCGCGTAGTAAGGGAGTAAACTGCTAATTTCGAAAAAAAATAAAAATTGCGCAATGTCTCGCAGACGTTGGGCTTCTTAACATATATCTATTTCCAGGCTATCTTATATAAGGACAAAGGGAAAAGCCTCTGTAACTCTACCGATGTGAATCCCAGCGCAAACGCAAAATCCAACGATTCGAAACGCTCCCGTTGGCTGATACATGGAGGGTTCTAGCTCACACCGGCGAAGGACTACTCGGAATTTCCATTTCTGCATATCCCCACTCGTAATTGTAGTCTTGCAGACCCAACTTGAGACCGGCATACCGCTACTAGGGAAGGTTCGATTTCTAACGAGTCCCCAGAACCAAAGCATTAACCGCTTTGAAATCCATATGGAAAAACCGTGCCACTAGATCTCCTTTGTGTATGTGGCCCCCCCCCCTTCCCCAACAGCTAATGAGTTTTCTAGTGGGTTGTGAAATATTGTCTTGTCTTGCATCAATCCATATAACGCCTCCAGTAGCTTCTCGTCGATGGCTCTAAGATATTTCGAGTGATGCCGGCTTGCTTGCAACGGATGTAGTGAGTCGCCTGGAACGTCCGGTTCAGGTGAGTCGTCAGTCGAGGGAGCGGAAAATGCCAAAGGAGCTCCATTCAGATTTCTATGACTGTTAATATGAGCAGAAGGTTGTTGATCGCACCTCCCCACTGCCGACGACCTCGAAGAGAAACGCTTGCAGCTCTTACTTTATCCCGAACCCAGTTCAAAGCCGATGGATTTGCAATTTTCGAAACCCATGATCGGGCCTCTTCAATCGATGGTGCCATTGGCCACGGCTCTACTATCCGTGATACAATTGAGGTACAGTAGCCATAGATATAAAATAACCTCGGTGCCTCGTTGAGGACACTGCTCAAGGCATCTGCTACGGAGCTCGGGATATAGAGCTTCGTCTAAAAGCTTCCGCGGCCACCATGGGCCACATACCGCTATTTGTGTCGTCCTTTACTTGCTGCAGGAAAGGCTCAAGGAATAGGTGTACCGCCCTGACATCATTCACCATGGTTGAGAGGTTTATTAGCGGTGCCCGTTTCGCCGACGAATTGGGAGCCCAAGATGGGTGCAGGAGGTCGACTTCTGCAAGGTTTTCGAACCGTCATCCCTTCCCACGTGTTATATTGCGGGTATAGTGGTCGGCGTCGTCAACACTGCTGTTGGAATGATGGGTGTTATTGTTGCAATGGTCGGACTCCTGATCAACGGTAATGGTGGCGGAAAAGGTCTCAGGAGAACGGAGCGGCATGATACATCTGGAGCGTCGAATCGCTCGGTAACGACTTCGAGAGCCAATCTTTTTCTTCATCTAGGGAACCTGTGAGACTTCTCGAGCTTAGTGAGCATGCTTTGGACTTGGACTTAGACTTCAGCAGCTGCGGCACGATGTGGTCACACGTCACCATACCTTAGGGCAACTAATATTATTTACCAAATGCAGCGTAGCCCTGGTATAGGTCTTACTAAGATTTATAAGCCTTGGTCGAAAGAGCCTAAAATGTCAATTTATTGCACCAACTCCATTCATATCATCCATAGCTCAAAACGAATCAGCATGGGCCCTTCTTAGAACCTTATAGCACCTTAGCCCCAAGAATGATGTAGATGGCCTCTTCATTTTCAAGTTAACAATCACTTCAACTTGAATTCTTTTGGATTCGTCCCCCGAATGTCCCTCGCTTCCCCGCTCATAAGACCCAGTACAAAGCACGCCCCAACAAAGACATACTGGTCGCCCGTCGGTCGTAAGATGACTGGGTACTGGAAGCCATCCAGAACACACACTACGTCTTTTTCTGTCACTTCCAGCGGCCCCATACCAAGATATCCTTCCTCGGTCTCGAAAAGGCGGCAGATGCCTATCTCGAGTGCTCCAAATTTGGCCAAAGTTCTCGCCCACTCGACAGAAACCGCATATGAGAGGGATGCTTGATCAAAGCTCAGTGGGACCCTGAGCGGAGCACTGTTTAGGTAGGCTTTCCAAATGCCATGTCGTACCGGTCTCATTTCTTCGTCTATGGCCGTGGAGTCCGAATCATTTGGAATCAGAGTCCCCAACAGTACAAAACCCTTCCAGAAATCATACTTCCCGTCTGCCTGCATGTGTAGCGTTGCGAAGAGGGCCGTCGCGGTCGGGATCCCAGTGCGGTATTCCGGACCGTGTCGCCACGAAAAGTCAAGAAGATAAGAACCCATGGCACCGGTATGCAGGAACTCGTTGTTAGGTTGATAGCTCACGAAGCTAACGGTAGTTATCTGCAAGCCAAATACGTGCATGGTCTTGTTTTCCAGTTTTGGTAAGGCGATGGGCTTCGAACGGCTGTCGAAGACACCTTCATCCGCGCGGGCTTCGGAATCAGGACCGCGAACATGGTTCACCATTGGCAGATGATATCGTGGGGCCCACGAAGGCAGATCGTGATCGCTTGAACCTTTGGGGCCGACCGCATCGTGGAGGAAGAGTAAGGGCCAAGAAGATCTGCAGGTTACCTCGAGATAGGCCTTGATGAAATCAAGGCAAACTTCCTGAACAGACTTGTCGTAATCTGGTTTAATGGAAAGCCGCGCAGGCCCCAGGAGGCTGTAATAGTAGTCCCGGGGGTTCGTAGCCTGTGTCTTGTGGTTGAAGGACGACAGAATACATAGCGCGGCACGGTTGCTCCCAGTGGCTTTGGAGAGGTGCTTTTTTGCTACCAAGAGGGCCTGAACTTGTTTTACAATGTCGCCAAGTTGGTGCAATCTCTGGAGGTATTTCCACATATTTTCGGAAACGAAACCAGGACGTGTCTGGCCGCCGAAGCATTGTGCTACACGACGTACGGAGCTTAGAGCTCTATCTAGCTCGTAGTCAGACATTGAAGCCCCAGTGGGGCTAATAAAGATGAGCCTCTTCGGCCTGGAAAGGATGATTTCCTGGAATATCCACATTCGTGACCAGTATGGTAAGTCCACAAAGTCGCGAAGAGCCATCCAGTGGCAATTTGGAATGATCGTTTGCTCATCAAGTAGCAAGTTGTGAGCGTAGAGGTCCGGGTGGTGCTGTAGCCAATCCAGTTTGCGAAGGGTATCGACGTTGCTCCTCGCCTTTTGGACTTCTTTGGAGATGATTTTAAGTGTTTCGATGGCTGTATTGATCCATGCCTCCGATTCAAGCCACGAGTAGACAAAGTGTGCAGAGGAATAGAGGTCGGCCATTAGTGAAACCTGTTGGCTTCTTTCCGGATCATTTTTTTGATTAATGCACACTGCATCCGCCCACAGCCACAAGGTCTTTCCACCCCACTGGTGGTACTTTTGTGCCTTGGGAGTGAGGCATTTCAAGGCTTCCGCCAGATTCTTGGTGACCTGCCACCTGATCCCGTTCAATAGAATTGTATTAGTTACTGAGGGATCACCCCAGACGTAGGACAACGCCGCGAAGCGAGGCTTGTCATCGAGCAGTGAGACTGTACTCAGTCGACAGGAGGCGTAGATTTGCTTATCAGGAGGAGCCGGCAGGAGCTCCAGAAGACGGATCTCCTTCTTGGCGGGATCGAGCGACCTGTAGATGCATGGCGGTGTCATTTCGTCCATAGTCACCTTGACTATTAGAAAGTAGAAGGAACTAATGAACTATGTAGGAGTTCAATAATTGAATCACTAGAATAGGGCCAGTTTCTAGGAATTCTGATGAAGGGCGGTTAGTTTTAGGCAGCAGGTTTAGAGCAGGCTGAAATAGCCGGATTCGTGGGGGGCGGGGCTATCCTGGCGGAGCATGAGGTACGTACTGATCCGCCAAGCAAGGCAGGAAGAGAGGGATCAGAGTGATCAGAGGGAGCAGGACTGAATTGTATGAAGGGACGAAAGGATAAATAGTCTGGAGGATTTCTTATCTGCAGTAAATTATGACGGCAGATTTTACGTGTTAAATTGAAGAGTTGTTTCTTACGCACCTATTTCGTCAGCTATTGAAGCTTCAACTTCGATCCGTCTACGCATTACCTTCGATCCTCGCGCCTCTTGAATTAGCCTCAAGCAAAATAGCCTAAAAGGTACGTAGAACTGCCTGGTTATATTCCTATTAATTAGGACAAGATATAACTCAAGATCTTGTTTGATTCCTAATTTAAGCAAGTGTAAACACACTTTGAAACATCCACAGTCATTCTCCTCCTCCTCCTCCTTCTTCTTCATTAATTAAGGGATCTTACAGAAGTGTCGTAAACCACCCCCCAGCCTCAGCGACCCTAACTACCACTTAGGTATCGAAAGCGCGAAATCAAAAAGCCAATGCCGACGCCAGTAGACCTCCGATCCGATCCCAGATGCCCCACCCATTCTTTCCTTTTCTGATGCAGTTCTCCAAAAGTTGCTAGCGATGTAGCGGTATAATACACCACTTCCATGGCCCCAAAGCGGGCCCGAGGAGCCGAGTCATCACCTCTTCACCTCTTCCTTGCTCTTGACCTCGATCTTGGTGACCTCAACTATCCGTCTGCCACCCATGCTCCTGATTGTGCTGTCCAATTTGCCTTTCTGGTGTAGTGCCTCCACGTCATCACCGCCGCCGATACTCCGGCCGTTGATTAGGACATTGGGGACGGTATGTCTGCCAGTGCTCTTGGCGAGGGCAGCTTGTAGCGCGGGACCGAGTGGGTGTTTATCGAGTTCGACGACGTAGGGCGGTGGCACGATTTTGTATTGCTGGAGGAGGATTGTCTTCGCCTTTCGGGAGAAGGGGCAGAACGATTTGGAGAAAATGATGACTGCCAACAATTTAGCCCAGGCCCACAGGTCCAAACTCAACTCAACTCAAAAAGACACTAAACGGGAGTATAACTCACTCGGGCTCTTCTTCAGAATCGCATTCAACTCCACCTCCACCTCGTGATCCTCCTTCGTCTCGGGCTCCTGCTTCGCCTTAACTACCTTCTTCGCCGTCTCCTCCGCTGTATGCGGAATGTCGACTACCCGCTCGCTCTCCTCCTTCTCCTCCTCCTGCTCCTTCATCAGCACGCGCCCCGCCACGCTCTTCTCCCCCCGCCCCTCGTCCTCCTCGCTCAGCAGCTTCTGCCCCTTCACATCCGCCGCCTTCTTCGCCGCGTCCTCGGCCGCCTTTAGCCGCGCGCCCACGTCGTCAGCGTCGATTTTCTCCGCCGCCGCCTTCTCGGCCAGGTCTTTCGCGACGAGCGCGTCGGAGGTCTTGGTGTAGAAGTCTGAGTTCTGGGTGCTGCGCGCCGAGGAGGTCATGTAGAGGGTGATGAGGACGGTGAGGAGGACCATCAGGCCGAAGACTTTGATGCGGCGCTGGGAGGGCATGGTGGGTGGTGGTTGTGTGTATTAGCTTATTTGGGGGGGAGGAGTGCGGTCGGTGGTGGTTGACGGTGAAAGGAGAATCTGGAGGTGGCGTTGCGACGATCGGCGACGGGCGTCAGGGGCTTGGGAGCACGAGAAACGGGCCGAGGGGGTCTGAGCGCCTGGGCTAGGGCTGCGGAGAAGGGTTATGCAGGAACACAGGGCTAATGGGCTGAGTGCTGGCTAGGCTGGTTTATTGATAGTGAGGAGGACAGGAATAGGGATTTTTGGTGTGGGTTTCCGCGGTTTGGAATGCTGCGTGCTCTTAGCAATGCACAATATTTGACTCTAATAGGAAAGGGAGGCTGTCGCTGTCAGACTTTGTCGAGTTTGCAATGTCTGCAATATTGCCTGTTTCATTGTCGTTAAGGTCTCGTAGCATATTCAAACTTCTATGAAGAAGGAAATGGAATTGTCGTCGGAAGTAGGGTTTTCACTACCAGGATGTTGATAAAAACGTAGCGCAGCCATGTCTCACGGTTTCACGAATATGAGTAGGATTTGAAAAGAAGTAGCCTGGATGTAGCAACTAAGGGTCTAGATGCTGGGTTTCTGCTGGTACAAAGTACACTTCAACTACCGTGTCACGTGATGGTCACGTGTGGCTTAGGTAATATCCACTGTCTCTCCAAGCATCTCGTTCATCTCGTTCATCTCGTTCATCTCGACACCCTGACCCAGCTGGTTTCGAAGGCCAAGGTGGTTACACCAACTTGTCCAGATGTCGGGTCTTGTCAAAGCTTATCTGCACGTGCTAATCCTCAAGGATCATCACGTTTGAAACTACGAGGAGGTGGTGTGAGGGTGGCTTCTGCGTCTCATTGGCTAGACACAGGGTAAGCTTTAAGTTGAGGATGTGTAGGACGACACCGAGCGGAATCGAGCAGCACTGTGGAGACTGCTAGATCATACCTGGAGCGTCAACACCAAAGGGTCTCGCCTGTCACATCGCAAAGCGCGGGCCACATAAAGCCCTAAGACGGATCGGCACGGGCGTTTCTGGACTGGGGAGCGGGGGGCTACTGCAGCGTCCCTTGATGCAGAAGCTTAACGATCTTCACGTGCTTCAGTCTTCAGCATTCGGTCTCAACGGCCAAGGGGCCTAAATTCACTTCAGATTTGGAATCTTTTCTTCACATAGTGGTGCGGAGGTGACCGATGACTCTGTCGGCATTTCGAAAACAGCATCTCGCCCAGGGGCCGAGGATATGAGTGAGCTGCTCCCGACAGCAGGCATTCCACCCTGCTGCAGCAGCTCTCCCACAACTCTGGCGCTCATGCGGGATATATCCAAGTTGGAATCCCGGACGTGGCCCGGCCGGGGCTGTGCTTGTCTCCACACCCTAACCCGCGATGGTAGCCGTCGCCTTCGATGGCATGGCGTTGAGGCATTTTCGCCCTCCAATTCCATTGCTACGATAACGCAACACTTTCGATAGTGACCGACGCTGCTCACCCTCTACAACTGCTCTCCATGCTGGAGAGGCCTGCGCTGGGTAGTTGGTTGCCGTGAGAATGCGCCTCCACCGGCATCGACCCTCTTTGTCCGTCATGGCTGCAGCTCTTCCGCAGCCAACCATTCGCTGCCGTCACCACACGCCCCTCGTTATGCCTAGCTATGGTGATGGTGACGAAATTACTATAAAGACCCCTGCCGTGTCGTGGGCTGCTGAGCTCTTTCAACCTCTCCCCTTCTTGCTACTTCACTGATCTATTTTCTGCCTCCACCTCTGTTCCGCCTGGCATGCAGGAACAAAACGATGTTCAATTCTCAATAACCCAGGAATCCGGTCGGCGTGCGCCTGAGAATGGGCGCGTCGGCTCTATCTACTCCGATCCCAGCGACTTGAAAATGTCCAAAGTTAGGACTAAAGACATCGAGTTCGCTGAGGATGGCCAGGACGTTCGCGAAGATGATTACAAGAAGAAACAAGTATATCCATCCTGCTCACCGGCCGTACTTGCGTCGTGTTAATCGGCCTTAGGTCTTCAAAGGAGCTACCTTGTTCTGGCTGGCCTACCAGTCCACTGGAGTCATTTACGGTGACATCGGAACCTCTCCGCTCTACGTGTACTCGTCGACCTTCACATCCGAACCAAACAAAACAGACCTGCTTGGAGTCTTGTCTCTGATCATCTGGTCCATCACATTGATCGTCACTGTAAAATATGTCCTCATTGTGCTCTGCGCCGATGACCAGGGCGAAGGTGGTACCTTTGCCATGTATAGTCTCCTCGCACGCTTTGTAAGATTTCATTGTCGTTCACATCTTGAATTATACTAACATAAGATTAGAGCAATATCTCTGAACAGGACCCCAAAATGAAACACACCATCAAGCTTGAACGCTATATGAGCACTGATATAAAGCCCAGCAACAGATATGTAAGGAACTTTTTGGAGCGCAGTTCGGTTGCTCGCGTTCTCTTGAAGGTTTTATCGGTCCTTGGAGTTAGTCTTATTCTGGCAGACGGAGTTCTCACTCCTGCGCAATCCGTTCTTGGGGCCATTCAAGGTGAGCACAGCCTAGAACCTCCGCGTAGCAACTTACTCATCTGTCCTCAGGTCTCAAGGTTGTGAAAGAGGATATCTCAAATGGCACTATCATCGGTGTCTCCTGCGCTATTCTCGTCTGCCTCTTTCTCGTCCAACCCTTCGGCATTCATAGGGTTGGCAGTGTTTGGGCACCGATCGTCGTGCTCTGGCTAATTTTCAACATGACCTTTGGTATCTACAATCTGGTCAAACATGACTACACCGTTTTTAAGGCCTTTTCTCCCTGGTTTGCGGGACATTACTTGGTCAGGAATAAAAAGGACGGTTGGATTTCTCTGGGAGGAATCCTGCTAGCTTTTACCGGAGTTGAAGCCCTCTTTGCTGACCTCGGCGCCTTTTCCAAAAAGTTAGTCGAATTGACCTGGACATACACATATCCTAACGAAATCTAGAGCCATTCAAATCTCCTGGTTGTGCTTGGCCTACCCCTGCTTACTCTTGGCATATATCGGTCAAGCAGCATATCTTGCCGACGATCCTTCGGCATATTCGAATCCCTTCTTCCAAACGGTGCCACCGGGGATGTTCTATCCCTCTCTGGTTCTGTCTATCTTAGCGGCCATTGTCGCATCGCAAGCTATGATCACCTCCTCATTTCAGCTTTTGAGTCAGGTTATGAACATGAGCTACTTCCCGCAGATCAAGATGATCTATACCAGCGACAAGTTCCACGGCCAGGTATATATTCCCATGGCGAACTGGCTCTTGATGGTTGGCACAGTCATAGTCACTGCAGTCTATAACAACGTAAGTCTGCATCCAGCTAGCCACGCTTCGAAATTCTCACACACTTCAGACTACCCGCCTTGGGCACGCGTACGGCGTATGCGTCATTCTCGTTACCTTCATCACAACTAACATCGTTGCCATCGTCGCCATCGTAGTATGGCGGCTAAACTGGGTCCTTGTTGTCGCGATCTGGCTTCCATTCATCGCCCTCGATGGTGTGTTCCTGAGTGCCGCTCTCACGAAAGTCCCCGACGGAGCTTGGTTCACGCTTCTGCTCGCGATCCTTCTCGCTACCTTCTTCATCCTCTGGCGGTACGGGAAGGAGAACCAATGGCGTTCCGAAGCAAAGGACCGGCCACGTCTGCACCGTTTCGTCACAAAAGGCACCGACGGCAAACACAAGCTCTCCGACGCGTTCGGCGGCGGCGAGCTGACAACTATCAAAGGCCTCGGTATATTCTTCGACAAAGCCGGTGAAATGGTCCCAACCGTGTATCAAGAATTCCTCCGCAAGTTCGAGGCGCAGCAAGAAGTCCACGTCTTCCTGCACCTACGCGCTCTTTCGAAACCACACGTCTCCGAAGAAGACCGCTACGCCGTCTCGAGGACTACGCTGGTGAACTGCTACCGCCTGACCATCCGCCACGGATACAACGACCGGGTCATCAGCGCCGACCTCGGCGAAATCGTGTATACCGAGCTCCGCCGCGCGATCATGACCTTCCGCTCCCTCCCCGCCCTCTCAGCTTCCGAGTCTGACGGCGTGGCATCGTCCTCCGCTGTTTCAGCTTCCTCCGATGCTGTCCAATCCGACACCAACAGCGTCTCTAAGCTCTCGTTCGCGATCCCGAACGACGCGTCAGTAGAGCGGCGGATTCATAAGCTCGACTCAGCGTACAAAAAGCAAGTTGTCTACATTGTCGGCAAAGAGCAGTTGCGTCTTCTCGCGGAGAAGAACAATGTCTTCAAACGTTTTGTCTTGTATATCTTCATTTGGTTGAGGGAGAACACGAGGGCCAAGATCAGCCAGATGGAGGTGCCGATTGAGAAGCTTGTCGAGGTTGGCTTCGTCAAGGATATGTGAGCGTGAGGGATGCGAAGGGTCCTTAACCTAAATTGTTTTCTTCGGCGGTATGTCGAGAAGGGTGCTCTCTGTTCATGTGACGACGACTAAGAACTTATCGAGGTAAAGGTAGAGGTAGCTATTAGAACACATCCAACTATCTCTATTTTGGTCATTAATCCACTCATCCCAATACCTTTTTGAGACTTTTCTTTATCAATATCATCGTGACCATCACCTTTGTATCGAAAAGTGCGCCACAGTGAAAACACTCAATGTGTCTCAGCCTCTTGAATGTCCCTTTATCCATCTCATCTGAAACATCTACGTGGACACAACAAACATGTCTCGAATACCAGCTACCGGGCTGTGACATCGCTTCCTATTCTTATAACACCGCATGTGTGCGTTAGTTCTGCTTGAAAAGGACGCGGTGAGACGAGATGGAAGGGTTTGTTTACCTTGCCTAGCCGACCCAGAGCTCCCGATCTGCTCTGCGAAATAGCCCTTGACAACAACCTCCAAGGACGCATCGCACCACTTGCGAGCAGCGTCCGCCGCCAGCTCTTCCTCACTTCCCCCTCCCCTAGTACTGCTGCTTCACCTCCTCATCCTCGCACCAGCACACCCGCCACCTCCGCCGCCACCGGCGGTGAATCCACCATCACCTGAGCAACACACCCTCACCTCCTCACGTCACTCACTTACCCACCCAAACCACAACCCCAAACCCCACCCACCGTCGATCGATCAATCGCAGAAACTCAACCCACCGCACCATCTCCAACCATCCACCAAACCCAAACAAAAAGCCCCCACGCCATGTGCATCACGCGCAACAAGCTCTTCACGTGCGGCTGCCGCCAGGGCCCGAAGCGCGAGATCTGCCGCGCCGCCATCGCGGCCCGCGCCGTGTGCGAGCCCATCCCCGAGCGTGCCGAGCGCGTGAGCTACTTCCCGTGCTACGACTGCATCCGCGCCGACGTGTTCCGCGAGAAGGAGGCTGCGTACAAGGAGGAGGTGCGCGTGCGGGCGGAGGCGGAGCGGGAGCGCGAGAAGGGGTGGGTGAAGGCGGGGGAGAGGGGCGCGAAGGGAACTAAGGGGGGGAGCTGGGGGTATGGTGGTGGTGGGGGCAGGGGGAAGGGGGAAGGAAGCGGAGGCGGAGGCGGAGGAGGGGGGATGGGGTTGGGGATTGATTTGGGGGGTGGGCCGGAGGTGTGGAAGAGGGGTTAGGGAGGGGAGAAGAGAGTAGGTAGAGGTGGAGGTTGGAGAATGGAGGGGGGAGGTTGATGTGGGTGCTGGTGCATTACCGGTGCAGTGGTATACGTGGGCGGCGGTACTTGGGGTGGTTTGATGTGGTACCAGAAATGGCGCGACGGGTTTGAGAATGAGATTGAGGTTGAGATTGAAATTGAAATTGGGTAAGATTGAAAAAGCCTTGGAAGGCTGCTTGGCTGAGCTACCTTAAGGGTGGTTGGAGGCATCAAACGCAGTATCCAGATAGAAGGTTTCAAATACACCATGCCCATAAGAAATCTCTCCCCAGGGGAAAATACTTCATCCTACGATTCTCCCAAAATGCTAGTAGTGAAACACCCTTATGCCTTGAATTGTATAGTTAAAATACCATTGAACTTTCATCAAATTATCTCAATTCTTCTTCCACAAGTCCCATTTCCAACCCCTCTCCATTCATCAATCCGTGGACATAGCACTCCCCAACTAACTTAACCTGTTTTGTAGAGTCTTTGCTTGCATTCAGTTTCTCGCCGTGTGTGTCGATTCTCCCTTCAGAACAATCGGGACGTGAATCCCAGGGATGATATAAATGACATCTCCTCGCAACGCATAGGAGGACATAATCCAATATAGCCCTTCTTAGTAAGTAATGAAAAAGCGTCGGTCACCACAAGAAGACTTCACCTTTTCCGTGAGCTCATCAAACACTCCAGTATACGTTTGATAAACAATATCTCTCCGATCTGGAGAAGGCTTACTGGATTCGGTAAGGGAAAATGTAAGCTTCTCTTCCCAATCAGAATATAGCTGGCTGATATCGTCGGAGGAGAGTTTCTTGAACCATCCGCTATCGGTACCTATGGTCCTTCGCAAAGCTTCGCGTAGTGACTGAGTTGGTGCGGCATGGGGATAAGGGTCTCGGGTATGCGGGGAGTACGTGAGCTGCGTCTAAAATTCGTTGTATCTTGTGGAGAGCTCGACGACCTCGTACATTGCCCATTCGCCAGCTTGGTGTGCCGCGTTGAAGAGGAGGGACCGAGTTCGTCAATGGTATCAATACAGATGCCTGAAAAGCAAGGATTCGACCTCTTTCATGTAATGTCTAGTATGTTCAAAGTCGTGAGGTGAAAGTGCTAGGAAGCCCTCTACGCCCACTGGCGCGTGAGACTCACGAATAGTGCGGTGTTCGACAGCAACGTCGATAGATCTCCAGGCGATGCTAGAATTGTCATTCGACTGCTTTAGAATATCTTCTTGTAGTTGGATAAATGCTTTTTAACCTTCACCGTACATAAGCAGCATATTCACGTCGAATATACCAATCAGGCAACAGGCGATGTCTTCCTGCCAAGTCTTCGTGACGCCCAAGATATCCTTTCTGCAATGCTGTGCCCGGACAGGTGGGTGCGTATTGGACTATATATAGGCCAATACGTATGTACACCTCTAGCAAGGATATTTTCGTCGATTCCGGTTATCTTCGCGATGTACGAAGCCAGAGAATTTCTGGCTCCATACTCGCTCCAATCTTTGGTAAAGAAACGAAGATTGCTAAGTGTTAGAAACGCTGGAAGGGTCCATCCCCTCGTGAACCACCGGCTTTTCTCGAAACCCTGGCTCTCTGGATCAAATACTCAAACCTTTACATCGGCTTGCTAGGCGTAGCACACCGACGATGTCTCGTACCATTGAAACGTCGAGTTTATTGCTTCGGATTACTTCTGTCGATACAGCAGGTGTCGACCCATACCCACTTATAGCCGTCCCTACGTGCCCGACGACAGCATAATTCGATAGTAGCAAAGCCGTTCTGTTAGCGAGCAGTCTCAAGATCCTGGATGTCTCGAAATGCGACTTGATCTTCTTCCCAGGTATGGGAAAGGATGGCGTGGCGTGGTGCTTCTTCATTAAAGAACTCTCTCAGTCGAAGAGTTTTGAAGTCGAGAAGTCGTATTCGGACCCAGGATTTGAGTATCACCTAAGTAGCGCGAAAGTGCAGATTGTTGACAAGGTCGGATGAGTTCATACGAGTGCGAAGCGTGTGCCTCTCCCGTCGTTTCAGCCCCGTTTCCTGCCAGACTGCGCCTCCGCCGTTTCTGTCCACCTGCAGGTGCAGCCAAGAGGTCGATGCAGGAAGTAGGGTCAGCACCGGTGAGGCAGCCACGCCTGCCAACTCACCCTCAGCTCGCGCATCTTTTCTTTCTATCCCTACTTCAAGGGATATTCTCTCGAACTTTGGGCGCTTTGTCAGCGACACCAAGTCTCCCGCGCAAGATCAACTCTCGGTCGAAGTTATAACATGCCGAAGCGAAAGCGACATAAAGAAGAGGATAGCCATTCCCAAGCTGATGGAGGAACGGAGTCACAGCCCAACTCAGAACTATGCAGCGTCTGTGAAGAAGGCTTGAAGTTGGATGATAGCAAGCTGCGGCCGTATCTTCGAGAGGGCCCGGAACGTGGTACCGTCATACGAATACTCGACAATGACCCCAAAACTTTTCAGCAAGAATTCATTCACAAGGACGTTCTACCCGATCTACCTGCCCTCAGACAATCAGCAGATGATGGCTGTAGTTTTTGCGGGTTTCTACTAGACTCCATTCTTGTTCAAAATCTCAAGTCAAGCTGCTTTGTAGAAATACGACTATTCTATGAGTGGCATGACCCGAAATACATCTTAATGGGCGGACACTTACCTTCGGGGCTTTGCACGCTCACAGTTGAGACTAAGGAGGTTCTTGGCGAAGGACGGCGAAAGCGCTTTTTCTTTATGGTTAAAGCGGAGCAACGTCAGTTATACCCCAAGCCCAATAGTTTGTCTCAAGTGGACGTCACTAATTCCATAATAATAGAAAGTTATGCCACATGGCTTGGCATGAATATCGCGCCAAACAGTCAAATACTCTGCAAGGAAAATATCATGGCTATCCGCAATTGCCTCAAACACCTGCTGTCGCGAGCTTAGGTCCAGTGGTACCCCTACAAGACTGCTTGACTTAGGGACATCACGTTCCATGAATCCTCGACTTATTCTCACGTCAGCTACGCAGCTACGAGTTCGGCTGAGAAAATAGGCGGATTGGAGTATGCCGCTTTGAGTTACTGCTGGGGACCTTTAGATGAAGCTGCATTGAACTTGAAAACCGAGAAGAGCACTTTGGATGCCACATGAAGAGTATTAGTATGGGAAAACTTCCACGGGCCTTACAAGATGCCGTAAAAGTTTGCAGAGAGCTTTCTATTCGCTATCTCTGGGCCGACACGCTCTGCATCATCCAAGATGACGAAGACGACTGGCAAAAGGAAGCAAGCAACATGGGAGAGATCTATAGTAACGCCACTGTCACACTATGCGCCCTAGCATCCACATCTTGCAATCAATCGTTTCTTGAACGGCGCGTGTTTCAATCATGGTTCACTTTCGGTCAATGATCAAGCCTCATATCCAAGGCCACTACAGACTAGTGTTTACCACAATTGATCCGCGCGATTCACCTTCGCACCTTACTCATATCGGGATCGACATGCAGTTGTCGAAGTGGAACGAAAGAGCATGGACGTATCAGGAATATATGTTGTCACGAAGAATGATCTGTTTTGGATTCTTTTCGTTGCATTTGCGCTGCGCTCATGGAACACTCTCTGAAAACAACGACATCCCTTTTGATGATTACGGTAAGACAATTTCAAGTATCGTGCAGATTTGGAAGACTCATTCGGATTATTACGCCCATTGATACTCGATAGCTTCGACTTACCACGGACGAGAATTAACAAAACTCGAAGACAAGTTTTCTGCAGCGACTAGTCTGGCCTCATGCTTTTCTGGGCTCCTCCACAATCAGTACATAGCCGGTCTTTGGCACAACGACCTCATCATAGGATTCATGTGGAATTTTGTCCCGGAAATATCTTGGTCAAATCTCCTGAACCTCATAGAAGCCAAGAATCCGGCTAATGCACCTTCCTGGAGTTGGGCAAGGCAGACTATGTTTTTTTGATTTAGGAACGGCGTCTTTCCACTTTCCGAGTATGATGACGATGCATGATAATGATGATAATCGCAAGTCAGTGCTACCAAAAGTCACCTTGCATGTGGAAATCGAGCCCACAGGGGGTGGACCATTTGGCCGCATTAACAAAGCTTTGATAAACATCTTGGGCGTAGTAAGGGAAGCCCCGGCGACGATGCATGAAACCAAAGGACCCAGATGTTCTAGTTCATCCAGTAGTTGTGAGCTGAGATTCAGCCATGGTAACACTGTGCTCTTCTGCCACCCCGATTGGTTGTATAGAGGCCAAAGTGCTCTGACACCGCCAGGCCTGCAATTACTTAAACTTGGAAATTTTCATTCTGACGGCTGGGCGAGACCGGACGAGGTCCGCGTCGATACTGTTGTTTTTGGCCTTCTTGTATATCCAACTGGGGTTCCCGATGAATATCGACGCGTGGGAGTCTTTAGTTCCCATGCATTCGTGGAAAGCAAAGGCGATGCATTCGAAGGACTACAGCCGCGAAGGATTTGTCTTGTTTGACGGTAATCGCACCGAACGCTTTCTTGTGGACTTTGGCTTTCTTCGTAGAGAGTGGTACTTGTAAATGACGGTCGCTACGCGTTTTGCATGAACAGTATAGTAAAGCCACTGAATCTAGCCAGCTTCCAATTCATTTAAAATGCTATACAATCAGCGATTCGGTCAACGCTTCACTTCCTAATAAGATCACTAAGTCGATGGCTGGTTGCAGGGGGGCCTCATGATGGCTAGCTTTGTCAACACCACGTTTTTTATACAATCGGTAAGCCCCTTTCTAGCCTCCTAAGTACAGCTACGTACATATCACAGCTTCGTTCTGTGCATCGTCGTCAACTCCGGCATTAGAATCTTACTTGTTTTCAAACGTCTTCTATACAAGCTACATACAGTTCATCAATACAAGATAAACTGTTCCTTCCGATTGCAGCTGCTACAAATGGCGCCGAATTTGTCTCGGCATAACTCCACGTTTGAGGCCGTTTCCCCTAATGATGTATTCAGCTCTTACCATTGTTCTATTGATTGCCTATTAGAACCGAACTGGATATATTGAGAGACATGCTTATGAGTTTCTACCTCATCACGTGATAGATTGACCATGGTTTGTTCATATTAGAGTGCTGTCACGATTGGAACTGACGTTGGGGATCTCGAATTAAACTTCCTTCGTGGAAACAAAATATCCCCAGAAGGGACTCTAGTTCCTCTACATGTAAACGGTTGGAGGCTGATATCAAATGAAGTGTCGTACATTGAGTCTTTACGGGAGCCTGATTGCATGAGTCTGCACTGCATTGGCGCTGCTACAGCGGATGTTCCCCAGGGACCGTACAAGCCATTCCTCACATCACTCGCTTGCCCGACCCACCGGGGAGGAGCTATTGACCCAGTGCATTTCATCGACGTTGATGATAAGATCTACGTATTGTACAAGATCGATGGCAATAGCCACAGCCACTGCGGCATATGTGGTAATACAGTACCGCCCCAGGTCAGTACGCCAATACTGTTGCAGCTTTTAGAAGACGATGCAACGACCCTGTGGGTTTCTCTGTCGAGATCCTAAACACATCAAATCTGACGGTCCACTCGTCGAAGCACCATCGCTGATACATAGCAATGACGGTGTATATTCTCTCTTCTTCAGCTCTGGTTGTACTCGCGTGCCTAGCCACGATCTGAAGTACGTGACCAGCAAGGATGCAGGCCCGTCTAAAAGGACCTCAAAGCCACTGCTCGTAACCGGAGATTGGAATTTGCTTGCTCCTGGGAGTGTCTTGGTGCGAAGAGAGAGTCAGCGCTGGCGAATGGTGTTTCATTCGAGGATTACGACACCCTTTAGAGGAGTGAGGACGATGCATACGGCAGCATTAGTTCTCAGCGGAACAAATGTGTCATTTGATACATGATAACAGAGTGAGTGAAGTAATTTAATTTGCAATGTCAAACAAATTTTGTCTTTCAACGCAATTCGTCGTGTCCTTCAACCTCAACCAGCCTCCTAGCCAGACATTACTCCACACCCGCCTTCATCGTCACTTCTTCCAGCTCTTTACTGCATCATGACAATAATCGCTTGACTACGCGACGTCCAAAGCTGAAAACGAAACGGCGACAACGGCATTGCCGTTGATGCAGGGGCTAGACATCCCAGCGCCGATCACCTCGGAACGCTAACCCATTTTCGTCGTCCACACAGCGTCGACTTCATCTCGCAACACTACACCCAAGACAGACCTTCAGCCCCACGAATAGCGGACCAATTGATGACACACTAAGAAAAGAAATACTCTAGACCAAAAGGAAGCGTTGCATGCGAAATAAAGACCGTGGATGCGCCTCTCAGCTGGCTTGGCGCTCGGGGAAGGCGTCAATGGACGAGAGCTTTGGACCTGATGCCCCTCAAACGGCGTCGAATAAGAGATGGCTTATATGTAATGAGCACATAAAAGCCTTGGGGTCGCCAAAAGAAGAGGCCGTCGGACTCAGCAGCTCCAGTTCTTCGTTCATCGAATTCCATTACCTTCGTATTACATTAGTCAATAGATCAATTCATCCCCATCCTTATATCAGTTTCAATCTCAGCTATCATGTTCCTCAAACACCTCTTTCTAGCCCTCACCGGCGCTCTGTCGCTTGCCACCACCCCAGTCTCCGCCCAACGCCCTAGCTCCACCCCCATCTGCGACTACTACGCCGAAACCATCCTCGGCGCCAACACAGAGGCAAACCAGCGCCTCCTCATGGTCCTCCTGCTTCACACCACCGTGCTCGGGAACTACACGACTCCGAACACCGGCATCGCCGTGCACGGCATCGCCACACCAGGCAACTTCCACGGGCAGGACGTGAACCTCATCAAATACTTCACGGGCGAGCTCGATTCAACAAATGATGGAACGACGCCGCATGGTGTTCCGGTTCTGCTTCTGGACGGCGGAGGAGCAGCCCCGCTGTTGAAGAACGTGAGCTCGTATAACACGAGCTCGATCCAGTAGTACGTAGCCCCTCACGTCCCTCCAAATTGCGAGCTCTAGATACTAAAGCCAGTCAGCCACCTCTTCGACCACATAGAACAGTACTTCGCCACCCTCCTCGGCTGCTCCAAGCAAGGCGGCGCCGCTCTCCCGGCCTACCAAGGCCGCGCCTCTATGTACGAAGTGCACAAATTCATGGACCTCTCCGCGGCGGAACTCGGCTGGTTCAACCTGCAGGCTACCCTCGCTATCGCCTCGCTCGGTTTCTCAAAGGCAGATGTGGCGATTGTGAATGATACGCTTTACAATGTCTTCAGCAAGCGGTGCTCGCCGGCCGTCACGCTGGTTCCGATGAATGCGGGGCCGCAGCTGCAGTCGTGCTGTGTCAATGAGGATTGTCCGTTGGATGCGAATGCGACATGTGCGGCGTATCCGAATAAGGGGGTTGGGGTTCCGCCGGAGGCGGCGAATGCGACGAATGCGAGTGCGAGCGGCACGGAGAGTCCGACCGGGACCGCGGCGGTTGCTACGTCGACAGGGGCTGGTGTGCCTGCGATGGCTGTGGAGGCTTGGGGAACGGTTGGGGCTGTTTTGGGGGCGGTGATGTTGGCGGTGGCGTTGTAGGAGTGCGAGACCTGGTGGGTATGGTGGAGAAGTACGATCTGTGCGTAAACAGGAAGCAAGTGTATAGTATCAGTGATGGAGACATTGTCACGGCGGTTTCGTTCGAGAATATGGGAATTTTGTTGACATTAGTGCGAGGTTTTGGCAGTTGGAGGAAGCTAGGCTGTGATATATGGTATACATGGGACGTAGAAAACCAGTGTCGACACATTGTAATACTCAAAGAGACTTCCATAGAAAGTCAGATGCGGTCTTTCCTTCGCTTACTGTAATCAAAGCCTTCTTCATCAAAAGCAAAGCTCGATGTCCCGCCACCGATTGGTTTCTATCTAGGAAGATTTGAATGACATCGAATGAACAAGCGACAAAGGAGAAACCTGCAGCGCAGTCCACTGCCAGTTCCAGGTTGTAGGGTATCATAGACACCGGCATAGCTCCCGGCGCGGTAAACTTTCGCGAAACCTCAATCAGGACCTCAGTGCAGAAGGCATACAGCGCAAAGAAGTTGAGTTTAGCGATCGGAAACGAACCAATGAACTCGCTCTGTACCACGTCCTTGATCTTGTTGAGGGATTCCGCAAAAGGCTGTTCCTTTATCCGCTTCTCAAAAGCAGCAGACTGGCGGCTCTTTGGCGTCGTTTTTTCTTTCCGATTAGTGAAGATCTGATTCCAGAATTTGCCGTCACCCGACCATCCAGTGCTGCACAGTGCACAAAAGAGAGACATCTTGTGTGCCTTGATGCGCTCCTTCAGACCCACTCCTCCATCTGCCATCTTCCTTGGAAGCCCAATGTACCTGCCACTCCTGTATTTCTTAATCCCACCACCAAGATACCGGTTGAAAGTGTATGGTCGGCCGGCTGCTAAGGAAAACTAGCTCGACGAACATGTCGCAGAGCTTCTCTAAGAACTCAATCTTTGGGCAGGTATCCGTCAGCTAGCGAAGGATGTTGTACATCCACAGAACTATTCCAAAGGCACCACGTTCGTTACAGAGAGACGATCCGGCCTCCATCGACAGCGTTAGGATCATGGTCATATGACGGCCGGCTACCCACGAGGTTTGGTAAAACATATCGAAACGGGATTCTTTCAGATAGTCATAGAGCCATCCAGCCAAATTGTACAGCCTAGTCGCCATAGCCTGGGTGTGGCTGTCTGTTATTTCAGGCCTGCGGATTTCACAAATCGCATCCCTGACTTCTTTGGGAAATACAAGGGCTTTGATCCGGCAATTGATATTGTTTGGAACATCGTCTTTCCAGACAAAGTTCTTGCATGTCTCTAGCATGAGTTGCACCCCAAATACAATGGGCGTATATGCGAAGTCACGAGATCTTGATTGGAGATAGTTGCGGACCTCGGGCAGAAGAATCTGCATCTCTTTGCGTTTAACGCCGTACTTCTCTCCGACTATGAGCGAAAGCTGTTTGATGCTTCGTAGGATAGAACCAATCGCATTTCTATCCATAGCTTGTCGTTGATCGGCTAGTTGCAGGACTTTCGAGGCTTCGTCTTCTGGTAACGTCGTCAAAGATGTGTTGCTGACCGTCATCTCCGTTATTTGCATGAACATCTCTTGCTGATGTGCTTCTTCGCGAGCGGACAAGAAGAACTTTTGGATAGGCTGCTTTTCCACAACTTCCATAAAGGCAGTATCTTTCTGCTTTGTGGCCCGGAAAGTTCGTAGTTGATGTGCTGGCGTGACTAGTCCGAGGCCATTTGAGAATTGTTGGTAAAGAGGCTCTTGGCTAGATCTGCGTGCTTCTTCCTCAGCGACGTTAATGCCACGAATCATTAGGCCAGTTTCCTTGAGGATATAACGCTCTAGTAGTCCTTGATGACCTCCAATAGCAGGTGAGTAGACGGAGGCGATGTTCTTGAGTGCATAGTAGCCAGCGTTCGGCAGCCATGCAGCGAACGGTAGCGGGATAGCTCCCATAGCAGCCTGACACCAGTACTGTTTGACAGCAGTACAAATGGAGTCCATTTCCAAGACGTAAAGACGAATATCGAGCACATCTTGAAGTAGGTTGTCTTTGATCGTCGATCGTTCGATGTCAGATGCGTCCGGCAGAGCGGATCCATTGCAAGGCTCGACGTTGAAATCGTCTTGATCTTGCTCGATCAAGCTGCTAAGAACTTCAAATCGGTTCGTCTTCGTATCAGTAGCAACAGCCGAGGGCTGCTCCGATGCTTTCGTATTTTTCTCATCTTCTCGAGCAAACATAGCTTCATAAGCTCGACCTAGTCTGGATATTCGAGTCAGCGAAAGACATTCTTGGCACATTACTCGACACAGGTAGGCTCTAATTAGTGGCACTGCCAAGAGTGCTTTAAATCGCTTTAAAAAATTGAACACCACGGAAGCTCGTCACATTGAGCATTCTGAAAATATAGGGGTTCTCGGTCGGCGCAGGGTACTAGTTAGATACCATAACACGTTGTTGATTATAGAGATAGAGTAAAGCTCTGATTGCAAGAGTGTAAGAGCGCATACCGACTTACGTCTCGTTGAAATGTTGATGCGAAGCTGTGGCAGCGCTACTATCCGCATCGCTGATCTCATTCTCGCGATACCATTGATTAATCTTCCTTCTACTCAACAAAGCTGACCTGAGTGCCCCTTGAACATATTGGGGGGCTGCGATCTTCCTTTTGCCAATAGACTGCGCAGCTCTCAAAATCTCCTAGACAGTCTCAATCTTTGCCGGTTTCTTTGCTTTCTTTTTCTTTGATGACCCGTCAATCGAGTTGGAAGACAGGTAGTCGATGACAATCGCAGTGATCTTTTTGTAGTTCTGGTAGATGGTATACAGCGAAGGTGTGAGCACCGCAGGCCTTGGAGTTTGTTCAGGGGTAACGATCTGCGAGGCCATGATGGGGCAAAAACCCAAAACGGCGAGATGCTTCACAAAAGACAAGGCCGCAAAACTCTTTCTTGTAGATATCTCCGATGAAATAGGAATTGTGTAAATTGCATTTATGAGGAAGAGGAGCCTCAGTGAGAGGAGCGGAGGAGTTAAGAACCGTCACGGTACTTCTCCGGCGCTTCCCAAAATAGATTAGACTGTACTCAGGTTGCCACTACTAGCGTGTCAGTGGCGTTACATCCTTCCATATCCGTAACAAGGGGGAACAGGGGAGTACCCCCCCCCCCCCTTTCATAGGCTATATATACGGGCCTTATGCCTCTTCAAATCAACACAGAACTGCTTCTTCACAACCTGAGAACTGTGCATAGACTCCACTCCTCCTTTTGGCAAACTTTGGGGCTTTCCTCCTCCATTACTTTGAATCCATCCCATCATTGCTCCCAAACTCATCGCCGCGGAACGTACAAACATCAAACCTGTACCGCTACACAAATAGCAACCATTTGGCGATGGAAAGAAGCGAAAACTTAGTCTTCCGGAATGACGCAAAGACATTTTTCTCCTGTGTCCTCATCTATCACTTCCTCGCCATCGAGTCCAAAATCATCACCAGTCGCATCGCTCTCCGCGAAGCCTTCAATCTCCATTTCCACTAATCCGTCGTCCTTGGCCGTCTTTTCGTATTTGTCCTTGAATCGTTCCAGATCGAATAGAGCATCTTTGTTGTATTGGGCGTGTTTGACTTCTCCAGTCTTCTTAACCTTGATCTGCCTTAGACGAAACGCAAACACGAAATCATCTACATCTCCGAATTCCGCCTCTGTTCTTGCAGTCCTATGGCACTCATATTCTGGGCCTGCGCCCAGTGGAACGCCAGAAAATAGCGTGGCATCTACCCCCGCATGCGTATAGAAACCCTGGTCCTGTATGACTTTACTAACTCCGGAAGCTCCAGAAGCGATCATAACGCCAGTAATCATGAACAGCCTTTCACGGAATTTATTGGCGATAATATATCTTCTGACAGACTCTTCCCAGATAGCCAATTCGATGTATTCTTGGCTTGGCACAAACCAATTTGTGCGCATGTTCTTTGCGGTTAGAGATTGCCCTTGCTGGTTTTGCTAGCTAACACCCAGGTCACCGCCCGCTCCGAGTATGGATTGTAGGAAGGATCCCCAGACGCCGATGCGGCCGCTCTTCGATTTGGCATTCCATGACGTCCAGTTACGCTGGTTGTGGGTAAAGATGGAGCATGATTCTAATGGGGGAGTAGACGTGTTGATCGGCTCATCTGGTAAAGAAGGTGATGATATGATACCACTGAGTCTGATGGGGCCCTCCGGTGGGCATGTACGTGTAGGCGCGAGAAAGTAGCATGGCTTGGAAGCCATGACTTCTGTGATATTGGGCCCTTACAAAGATCTAAGTAATAAGTAAGCATCAACTTTCCTCCATAAAAATGACTTGATTCCAAGAAAGCCGTTTCCGTTGAACGAACGATAACACAAAAACTCACGGATACTCTGATAACCACACCGCGTATACGGAAGGCTGACCTCTGATTAAGTTTTTCCTCCCAGCCGCTTTCCAAACGCAATTGCTTCAGGCGCAATACCGAATTACTATATCTGTGTCATAGTTAGCAGCCATCCGCTTTACTGAGATCTTACTAGCTTTTACCCCCGCCTGATCTTCTGTATAGGGCTGAAGTCGACCTGATGATCTTGCCTTCTTTGCCTTTTTCTTCACGAGGCTGATTTTTCCTTGCACTCTAGCAGCTTGTACTAAGTTCTGGTTAGACTCCAGCTTTATCCGTGGTGGCGAGTGAGCTGGCGGCGAGTAAGTTGATGATATACTAGGTGAATATCTGTAGGAGTCTGGCCTATCCTGATAGCGATAATAGCAGCAGAAGAGGAGTAGAACCATGAAGCCTAATAGAGATCCAAGAACTGCTCCTACTAATACACCAGGGCTCGGTCCGCTAGATTGGGACTCTGTAGATGTTCCGGCTATTGCAATTAAGGTTGCAGAAAGTCGGAATATTGTTGTTATGTAGGTGGTAGTTGATCTTTCGATGGTGAGAATAATAGGCGCTGGTGTGCTTGTAGGAGAGGGTGTGATCCAAGCAGGCTCCCGATGCGCAACGTTCACGACGGGCATCAGCGTTATATGCTCACCATCGTCGAACGAATGTGCGAACTCGAAGTTGAGACAGTTGCTGGCAATTGCTGCGTTGTATCGAAGCGCATTCTACGGAGGCCGGGTCTCCAGCCATCTCACTTCAAAAGTAGAGGGCGGTCAAGGCTACAGTAGCACGTGTGAGAGGGCAATCTAGAAACAGGAAGGGGTTGAGCTTTGTGCTTCGTACAGGTAAACCTCGAGTGGCTGAGGCTGGTATCATGCGTACTAGTCGTTTCACAGAACAATGACAAGGCACGGCGTACCGGTGCCCCATCCACAGATTTCCAGCGCTGCCTAGTCCTGGCCTCCTCTGGGCGACATGATTTCTACAGCAGCTTGCTAGTAGAGGCAAACACAAGTTCTACTTTCAAGGCTACTCTTTACTCTGATTATTCAATATCGAAAAGGATGAGTATACCAGCTGCTTCCGCAGCCACGGAGGCCATTATCCTCAAGCTCATCGGCCAAGGGGACGATCACGAAGACTGCAAACGGTATGATCGGGCGGCAGAAACATTCGAAGAGGCTGCTTCAACTGGCGGAACAATTACTCGGATACAATCACAGCGACACTCTTGACATAAGAGACAAATGGGCCGACAGTCTTCAGTCTGCAGAAAAATATACGGTAGCAGCTTCATGCAATGCCCAGAGCCTCATGCGACGACAAGAATGTGTGCCAAAACGCCTTTCCCCAAAATTCGCTGAATGGCTCGAGGAGGTCTTGGAGAACCGTAGGAGGCTTGCGGAGAACTATTCGAAAGCTGGTTGGTCGACGGACTCTATCAAGCAATATCGTCAAGTGCTTGCCGACAAGGCTAGCCTATCGAATACTTCAGACTTGGAGACGTATTGCAGTGATCGATGTATCCTGGCCGAAGAACTCGACAAGACCGGAAAAGCAGAAGATATGAAAGAAGCGGTCAACATCTACCAGGAGACTTTAGCGAAGACGGAAACAGTCCTCGGGTCTGAGCATGTCCAGATCGTCAGATTCCGGTATGGTCTTGGTGTGGAACTCGCCAGACTGGAGAAATTTGAAGACGCGAAGAGCATTCTTCGAAAGAACGTCCAGGTGCCGAGTGCGCAACCTGCGGCTAATCTCACCCAAGATGGCATAGCGGAAATACTGGCAGACACGAAAGTGTCTCTTCGAACATGCGAAATGGCGATAGCTAAGAAGCTTGAGCTGGAAAAGCAGATCAAAGCACAGGCAGAGAAAGAGTACCAAAATCGGTTGGAGACAGATCGCCACGAAAGAGAGCTCCATGAGGAACGGCGCCTGACGGAGGAAAGCTGATTACGAGAACGTAGAAAACAGCACAAACCAGACGAAGTCCCCTCGTTAGTAGAGAAAAGGAACGTCTTGGCGCCGAGCAGGACAAGCCAGGACGTCTCGCGGTTTGTGCTGGACCAGTTCCAGAGAAGTTCCCCCAAGTAGATAGGCAGGCGGTATGCGAGGCTTCCGCGGAGAGATATCAGCAAGAGAAGAAGACTGTGCTTAAAAGCGAAGCCCACAGGCCGCGATTCGATACTTTCGAGAGCCCGCCAACGGAAAATAGAGGCGATAGAGATAAGCCGAAACAGGAGCGGCCAGAGCAGCATCTACCTGAAGAAAAGCGTGAAGAGAAAGAGATCTTAGACGCTAGAAAGGGGGAGGTCACGAAACCATCACTTGAAGCAAGAAGTCATCAAGCCGCAGACGATCCAGCTCTTGATGTCGCACAAGAATCGGGTGCGGGGAGAGTTTGCGATGAGAGTAGCGAGAAAATGCCTATAAAGGATGGAGCACAGACCGCGCCACCTGAAGTTTGCCAGAACCAAGAGGGATCTATAGAGCAACAAGCATATGTGCACCTCCCAGACACCAACAAACCGACGCTGATTGAAGCAGCTCCGCTTAAGCCTGATTTCAATATACACAACCCGTTCTCTGGACTACTCAATCTATTTCCGAGCGTCGGCTTCCAAGAGATGTCTAGACATAGAGCAACATCAAACCCAAATCCCTCAGACCGACAGCCTGAGTGCTACTCAGGGCCATCCAAATTAGACAAGTGTACGACAAGCGTCAGCCTCCAGAGTTCAAAAAGTAATGCATCAAGAACTCAAGTGAATCATGCCGACGCAAAGAAGGCAATCGTCCCTACAGGTTCCCCTGAAAAACAGCCTATAGACGCCCCAACGGCCAATATGCTGCAGGAAAGCTCGCGAACGGTTCAACCCAGAATTTAAATTCCTTCCATTGAGATAGCGCCAATCAAACCTATGGATTCTGCTTTTGGTTGGGGCCTGCCAGGCGGCTGGAGAAGGGAGTTCGATGTACCGGATATTAAAGCACCTACGGAAGTGCTCAAAAGAGCACACTCAGATGAGGACATGCGCATGTCTGCTACAGACCACCTAAGGGCTGAAATTGAAATCACTAGGCCCTCCTCGGCGATGGGCCACAAGGTTAATGGCCGACTCTTAGATTGGCCGTGTCCCCAGCCTAGGCCTCAAGTTGCGTACGTACCGAGCAGTCCATAAGTGGTAATAACACATGAACAGACCAGAGTAGGCAGATAAATGGTTCGCAGAACTAGAAATTGAGACTCATCCTTTCTTGGATAAGTACAAAGACTTCACACTCAAAGGGAAGCGCTACAATCATGTCAAAGTCGCAATCTTGGACACCGGAGTCGCCCGATCGACGAGAACTCAGATGCCCGCACTAATCGAGCAGCGGAAGTCGCACATCAAAGGTGGCATCGTTGGAAGTTTGGCGAAGACGTTACCCTAGAATGAGGATAGCGACGGCCACGGAACTCATGCCGTAGGCCTGTTGCTCAAGGTCTGCCCTTTGGCCGATGTGTATGTATATCGGGTGACTGAGAACGATACGCACTCAACAAACCGGGAACACGTGGCCGAAGCGTTGGAAGATGCTATTGGTAAAGTCGATATCATCTCTATTTCCTTTGGATGGGATTTAGATAACAATCAAAGACTCCGAGATCTGCTTCAACGCGCCTATAGGGAGGGAGTACTCGTTTTCGCTGCGAGCTCGAATGAAGGAACGCGTGGTAGCATCGCATACCCAGCTAGATCAGACGAGGGTAAGTAAAGTCCCCCGTACAGACACTACGTGCCTTTCTCTGTGCTATCGCATGGTGTTGTCCATACGAAACGTAAATCGAGTAGCCTCTCGAGATGGCAACACTATTCGCAAAAGTATAGAGCGTGCTCTAGTAGTATCGACACCGCTCTTTATTGGGAACTCGTGCTGATTTTGTACCACCACCACAAGTCATTGCCGTCGACTCAGCAGACTACCATGGCGAGCCTTCCAAGTACAACACACCTGAAGACGATCAAAAGCTGAGATTCACTGCTCTGGGTGAAGACGTGGAATCCGCGTATCCTCCTCAGCGGGCCCGCGCAGGTGTAACTCCAGGATCTAAGAGGCTCTCCGGAACGTCGTGTGCAACTCCCATAGCGGCAGCGACGGCTGCCATGTTGCTAGAATTTGCGAAACAGCCACCCTTGGGCTTCGATCCCAGCGTTCTACAACATCTCAAAATGGTAAGGGGGATGCGGGCAGTACTCACGAAACTGGCATCTCAGAAGAAAGCTCAGGCCTCACGTTTCAAATCATTTAAACCCCCGGGAGCTATTCCGCTGCACGGAGCATCATCAAGACGGCGGCGAATGGAGTGACCTCGCGTCCCCCAGATTCAGAGCTGCCGATGATATTGTACGGTGCTTAGGTAAAGAGTTCGGAGACATCGTGGGGAAAGAGATCTATGCTCACATATCTGCCGAGTTTAGGACTCGCAAATAATGACCAAGAGGAGCTGGGTTATGGTTATCAGGTGTTGAATTCCGGACAAGGTTGAGTTCTCAGATAGCGTAAATCCTTTACCAATGTTTTATATAATTCCTTCAGATACCTCTCGTCTAAAGAGTAGGCAGTCAGTGCTTGACTCTGAAACTCCTCGAGACCTGACCTGCTGATGATTTACGGTAACGTGCTGTGCTATTTGGAGATTAACCTTCAACCTGTCAAAGAACAATCCCACGTCAACCTCAGAATGAAGTTGCGATTCCCAAAACCATACCTAGCCCTATTAATAGTCATTACCTATCGCTCCAGTCGGCAAAGCTCAGATCCACTCCGACAGCACGAAATCTAGGCACCAACCCCGATATATTTACGGATGCACGACATCGTCTCTCTAGCAAAATGACTCTCCGCAAGTTCGGCAAGCATTCTTGGAGCCATGGAATGAGCTCAAAAAGAGGCTCCAGGTTGGTAATAGTTCCGCCCCTCTTCCACGTTCCGACATCGGTCATCGTAAAAGTAGGACCGGCGCAGTACTCGTAGTACCATACCTTGAAGCCGAGGGTCTCTAGTGATCGAGGCAGCATCATGGCCACTTTTTCTCCGGCGCGGTCAGGCTCGGTACTATTCTCGAAGAACGCGAAGGATGGAGCTACAAGGCTGTGAAGCTTGTGAAACCCTTCCAAGGATCGCAAGGGAGCGGCATTGTTGTTCAGTGGAAGGATTTCCAAGTGCTCCAAGGTATCGTGGTGATATAGGAGTATTGTGACCACGTCATCTAGCTGTTCCCTAGCTACGTGTGGTACGTATATTGGATCTGCGATGGCAATTTCGGCTTTGAATCTCTTGATGCCTTTGAAAGATTAGAGAAACGAGGTCAGAAATTCGGGCGTGTGTACCCCTTCGATGTGAAGATCGACTACGTTAGAAGAATTTCGGGCGGCCACCTGCATGAATGGCTCAGCGTCCTGAAGGTGCCATGCTTTCTTGACCTTGAGCTTTCGCAATGAGGGAATGGTTGAAAAAGAGTCAAACAACTTTGAGCCGATATTATCTTGTACAGGATTGTCGGGAGGGCAGTCTCCAAGGTAGTAGATACTGAGCTTCAGGAGCGATCCAAGGATTGGTCTTGAATGTGCTATTGCGAGTGTGCGTAGAAAGGCCGGTAAAAAGTCGTCGTTGTAGGTATCAAGCTCCCTGAGATTCGACGTGAGGGAAAGGAGGCCAGCTACCATAGCTACGTAATTCTGCAGTTCAATCTGCAAGCAGCCAGGCCCTCTTGATTTTAGGTGAGATCTTCAATGCTTGGACGTGCTTGCGGAGACGTTCCCAAAGCTGCAGTCGCACCCTGGAGTCTGAGTATGAAGAGAACCGATAATCTGGTTCCAGGATCGTTAGACTCATTGAACGCACCTTTACAGCCAAGCTGGGATTGTCGAAAAGTGTTTTGAGGAGTCGAAAGAATTGTCGTGTTCCAACTCTCACTGAGGCTGCGGTATAGAGAACATCCTGAGTGCACCTAGCGAACTTCCTTGAGACGAGGGCCACCTTCGGTATGCGGTATTCCATTTGGCTGATTTGTGAGATAATGATCACTAGTAATTCGTCTGGAAGGTGTTGAATTGTTCTCAGACCTATTGGCTCGAGCATGCCGAGCAGCCTATTCGAAGGCGGGAGTTGCTGCATATTGTGGTTGTCGTTGGAATCGATCATGTCAATCTCGACGTGATCTGGTGATGCCATGTCGAAAGCATAGAAAGTAGTATGGAGCTTTATCGGAGTGTACTACTTCAGCGAACCGGTAAAAATCTACAGTGGCGGGTCGTTCTTCGAATCTGTGTACACCCCTGTCAAAGGCAATCTCACGAGTCCATCAAAGGTCCGAAGTGCTTCAATATCATCTGATTCATAATAATGAAAGAAATACTATGAAGTGCCTCAAGCAGCGGCAACAACGTGTAAACAAATGATTGAGACATCATATGAGAGCTGGCTCCAATTTATCGTCCCAATCAGCAGCCCTTGGGCCCTCACCCCGTCTTCTCAGCGGCGACGTCCTCGTGGTGCATCGCCGCCTCCTTGTCCGTCACATCACCGTGCTCAAGTGCGACGATCTTGCGGAACTCAACTCTAGTCTTCCACGGCTTAATGCCGCTGAAGAACATCTCTTCCACATCCTCCAACGTCTTGCCGGACGTTTCAGGGAAGCAGAAGAACGTGTGAATCGACATCGTGGTGCAGAAAACGCCGAAGATGACATAGACCTTCCATTGGATGTTGACAAACGCAGGCGGGACGAAGTAGGACAGAGCGAAATTGAAGATCCAGTTCGCGGACGTGCACAGCGCAACGGCCTTGCCACGGACGCGGAGAGGGAAGAGCTCGGGAGGGTAGATCCATGATACGGGTCCCCAAGTAGGCGCGTATGAAGCCACGAAAAGGTATGTGCAGGCAATTACTGCCTTTGCCGGTGCGCCGGCGATTTGCCAGCTCTCCTCGGGCACGTTGTCAACGCCTCCTGGCGGAGCCGCTTTGCCATAGCTGGCCATCAGACCTGCGTTAGCGTACATCCAGATGGACATCAACGTAGCACCGATAATGAGAGGGCCACGGCGACCCCAACGATCAATGAAGATGAGGGCGAAGATGGTCATCACGACGTTGATGACATATTGAATGGAAGAGGCGACTAGGTTTGTGTTGCCGGTCAGTCCAGCCATGCCGAAAACGTAGGTGATGTAGTACCTGGATCGCTCTAGGTTAGCTACGCTACAGTATGTAAAAGATAGGAACGAGGAACTTACATCATGACGTTCATTCCCGTGAGCTGCGACCAAATCTGCGTAAATACACCAATGTGGGTTCGGTTGATCATCTTTGACTTGAAAAGTTCGAAGTAGGTAACGTCGGCATTGGTGCGCTCGAACTCGCACATATCCTTGATCTCGCGAAGCTCACGACCAACAAAGGGTGCCTGAGGGTCACCCTTGCCGTGCACCAGCGTAAGTACCTCGTGGCACTCCTCCCATCGATCTTGCTTAGCGAGCCAACGAGGTGATTCGGGCAGGAAGAGAAGGCCCACGAACAATCCAATGGCGGGAATCATCTGCAGTCCCCAGGGGACACGGAAGGCGGCAGTGCCGTTGATGAAGGAGCAGCCGTAACTGATGTAGAACATAATCTATATGCTGTAAGTAAAGGCGATGCAAAACAAACGAGGCGGTGATTGCACGTACCAAGATACCCCATGTAATGGCCCACTGCTGAGTTCCTACGACACGGCCTCGCATACTCGGGATAGCGAGCTCCGATACGTAAACGGGAACTTGTGCGGAACAGATACCAACTGCAAGCCCGTTGATAAAGCGGCCAACAACGAGCATTCCGATGTTTTGGGACGCGCAGATGAGGATAGATCCAATACACCAGACAATGGAACCGACTTGAATGGCTTTTTTCCTACCAAGCAAATCCGACAGGAATCCTGAGAGGAGGGCACCGACGAAGGAACCTCCGGGCATAGAAGCAGTAATGCCGCCCTGCACGTCGGCCTTTGGTCCAGAGCACTTGCTGTCGTTGAAAGGCGGCCCATCGGGGCCTTGATTGAAGTAACACTTGTATTGCTGGGTACCCAGACTGATGACGCGTTAGTGAACAGCCAAAAACGGGGTCTTGATAGTAGAAATCTTACATAGCACTCATCGAGGAGATATCGAAGCCAAAAAGGCCTCCTCCGATGACCGCAATAGCGGTGATGATGTAGATGTTTCCAATCATGTTGGCGGTTCGTCGGCCACGACCAAGCTGTTACTCTGGAAAGGCGGCGCTCGTGGTGCTCTACAAACACCACGAAGATGCGAGAGACGGCCACTTAAATAGTTGCGGCGCCCCAGCACCACGGGAAGGAGACCTTCCCGCCCCGTTTGGGGTAACATCTCCACCACGACGGGTTCCCCGCGAAAGGAGACGTTAGCAGGTTGGTGTGGCGTCCGGGGCCCACCCCCTCTCCAACGTGGTATGGAACCCGATGAGCGGGCAAGAAGTGATCTCCGCAAGACCCACACTGGTGAGAGCTCTCGGTCGGGGTTGGATGACATGGCAGCGGTACGGCAGGCAGGTGAGGCCCGCGTCCCTGGATCAGCGCTGAAGTCTTACCGATCAGCAAGAAGCTCGCCGTTGCGAGGACCAAGGCCGGCCTCTTCACACAAGAACAAAATGCTTGAGCTCTCTTTTTTCCATCTGCTCAAGCGCTGGAAAGACTTCTAAGCATTTTGAAGCACTCCTAGGCTCGTCCAGGATCCCCAGACACGAGCATCGCATCCAAACATCCGATGACATGGCAGCTCTTCCTGTGGCCCTCGCGTTTCGCAGACCCCTGCCACGCCGCTGACGACTTTGCGTGTCTGTCGCGCGACGTTGCATGCGGCGTCAAGCTTTACACGGCAATGGTGTGTGATGGGGGCCGCAAAGCGCTGCCGATCAGCCAGGCAGCCTGCCCATAGGGACGAGCATTTATGCCGCTAGCAGGCCGATGAGCCGAGAAGACGAGCAAGGCTTCCCCATACGCCTTACCCAGCGCGTAGCGAAGCCGGTTGACGCTTCACTTTTGTTGGGCTCCGCTGGCGTGCAATTGGACGGACGAAAGACTTGGCTCAAGACGTAGGTGGCGAGGGGGGTGGCACGCAGCATGGCAGCCCGTCCCGTCTCTGCATTGCGGGGTGGATTTCGATGTCACGATGCTCCTGCAGAGCTCGCGTAGTTTCTTTTTCGGGCTCGCGGCGAAGGCTAGCAAGGGAGAGGTTGGAGAGTGGTCGGCTGATGATAATTGTGAAGGTGCGTTGATGGAAATGCGCCATGCTTTGATTCTTTGTCGAGATGTGAACGTCGGCATTCAGCATGCTGAGGGCTGGTCGATAGCAAATGCGAACGAAAGTAGCTAGCATATACTGAGGTCTCGATGCCCAAAGGACTTGGTGAGGAGGCTTTCTCCTATATGCGGTCGTGTTGTAGGAGAGGTGGAGAGCTGCAGTCTCGCAGTAGACATCGATTCTGGAGGCGGGCCGACTTCCGCTCTAGGAAGCATACCGCTCCCAACTAGGGAGACTGACCAAGACAACAAATGGTCTCAATTCTAACGGAGATATCGGCTGTGACGGCACACTGTATGTAGGGTGATCCAGTTTGTGTGGCTGGCTTCCAATAAGCCATTTGTCTTGGGGCCAAAAGCTCTCCGCAGACTTGCTCTCCCAAATTCCCAGAGCGTTCTGAGATCCCTCTACATTTTGGTATTAGAACCAAACTAATGCTATGGATGCCTGAGAAACTAAGCTACAACGAGATTAAGTATCTTCTACTATTAAATCATTCCACCATTGATTGTTCAACGGTTATCCACTCGACTAGATGCCCGAACCCATCCTCGCTGCAAGATATCCCGAGTCGGTGCTAGGTAGCCCCGCAATAAAATTGCACGCAATGGAAATTGGGCTACCGTTTGACTAACCAAAGACGGGCTAGCTATGGTACTCCTCACAGCGGTATCGAGGGAGCAATAGTGGCGCCCGATCAGTGAGGTTTGCGTGTGTTCAAGCATATGACCTAGTACCTGTACTGATTAAGAAGGCTGACCAGGTCGACATAGGTGGTAAAGACACGAGAAGGCTGTTTTAGACTTTTTTTTATAGTCTATTTAGGAAGGCTCTAGTAAAGAAAGGAGAGAAAGAGAAGCTACATGACCCGGACCCAGACCCGGACCCAGACCCACACCTGGACTCATACCTGGACTCATACCAAAGGGTGTGAAAACAATGAAAAACACTACCAAATCACTCGTCCATGCCGCAGACGCTTGACCCCCACCGCTGGCGAATCCTCCACTTGACCCTCCTGCTGGCCATCATCATGTCCGCGCTTCCGGCTAGCGAGAGAACCGCTAAAGGTGGCGGGCGGCGACGTGGAGCGACGCTTGGCAGGATGCTCTGGTGGTGCGAGAGGGTTCTCCCAGCTTCCCTCTTCGCGCGCGTGCTTCACGCCGCGCTTCGTCTTATCCGCCTCATCTGGGACGTAGGCTAGCTTCTTCATGTGATGCTTCGCGAGGGGTGCTTGGAGCGACTCGGGAGTCTCGACGCACGAGCGCTTGCCTAGCACCAAGGGTGGCGGAATGATGTTGCGGAATCGCGGTGGTGGGCGGGCCTGGGCAGAGCGATGCGCGGAGGATGAGGTGGGAGAGGCGCCCTCAGTTGGATTGGCATTGGGGGTCTTGCGGGTTGATAGGCCGGTATAGTAGGACGAGCCATTCTGCGCGGTGAAGAATCGGCCACCAGAGGGTGTGGTCGTCGTCGCGTTCGAAATATTGGCCGCCTTTGGTGTATCTTCCGGCTTGCGAGCCTGGGCAGAAGAAGAGAATGATCGCTTGAGCTCAAGAATGGCTTCATGAGGCATAAGGGCGACTTTCTCGTAGATGTCGCGAGTCTTATCACCAGGCGCGAACATGCCGCCACGTGGAATCTTTGTCTCTTCCGCCGGGAGAGTATGTCGACCACGAGCAAATACCTTCTCCAGCTCCGCTCGGCAGGCATATTTCGCCTCCAAGATTGCGCTGATGTGGTTGGTGACCGTGAAGTTCCACAGCGTGGCATCATCGGTCTTCTCGGCACTGGCCTCTGCCCGTCTGGTACCCTCTGTCAGGTAGTACTCCAAGTAGGCCGCATGCGCTATGCAGCATTCCAGGCAAACAAAGGCGGTGTTGCGAGATGTGCCGCGGCAATTAGTCGCGCAAAACTGATTCTTCTCAGTGCGGACGATGTGCTTGCATTCCAGAATATGACGACGTCCCGAGCAACGTTCGCGCTGCTTAGGGGGGGAGTGAATAGTATCGTTCGTGGCCACGCTTGGTGTCGACACTGGAGAAGTAGGGAGTCTGGAGCGAGGAAGGCTCGCGGAACCAAAGATTGGGTTGGAAGCTTGCGAGCTAAAGCTGTCGTTTTTGGTGCTCGAAGCACCACCAGATGTATGCGTGTCTTTGGTCTGCGAGAAATTCGAGGCAGTCAAGTCCGGGCAAGGAATGCTCGGAGCGCCGAAGACAATGCCTGAGCTTGAGCTCTGGGCGTTGTGAGAGTGTGTTGTGATGTTTGAGGTTGTGTGGGGCTGGAAGGTCGAACGTGTTGTTGTTTTGGGGAACAGATGGCTTGGAAGGCCAAAGGCGGGATGGCCAACTTTCGCACCCGAACTTCCTTTGTTGTTGTTGTTGTTGTTGTTGTCGTTGTTGTTGCTACCGCTGGAGGCGGCTCCGCTGGAGGTGCTTCCAGTCCGAGTGCGTCCGCTCTGGGTGCTGTGAGAGCTGGGTGCGGTGTTGACGGAGACTGCAGACGAAGGGGTTGTTCGACGGATCTTGCACGGTCTCATCGCAGCAAGTGCCTCTTCATATGCAGCGATGGTTTCGGCAACCACGGCGGAGAAGGACTTCGAGTCCCTCGGTGGTTGAGTAGGGGAGTACGCTGCCCCCTTGCGAGATATCGGCGTGAGCCTCGCTCGCTGGGCTGTCGTCGGTTGCGGGATACGGCCGTGGGCGTCAGCGCCGTCGTATTCCTCGTCGTCGCGCAAGTGCTTGCCGAGCAGAGTGTGGACGGCCATGCGTGTTGTGGGGGAGGGAGTGAGCAGTCCTAAGACGAAGTTGGAGACCTTGGACAAGGCGGTCCAGGGAGAGTACCCAAAAACCATTGTGGTGATGTTGACAAGAGGTTGTCGGGTGGGTGTGAAAAGGTTTGGTTGTAGGTGTTAGGAAGTCGAGGAAAGGCCAGGTTCTTGTGGAAGCTGAGCCTTGGCGGCCGGGCGAAATGAAAATCCTAGTGCGGCTGTGTCGTCATTCAGCGACATGGCGGGTGGTGAATGACTATCGGTGCGGACTTCTTTTATCATAGGTGGTGAATTGCTGCTCAGCAGAACTGAAAGACGCTAGGTTGGGGGTCTACACAACGCAGCTTGATACGAAGATATATACAATATTAAGACGAGAAGAAGTGGGTGAAGGGAATGATATAGAGATATATGTGATTGAGTACAGAGTTACCCTACGTTAAATTAAGATGATTTGATGCTATAGACGTGGAGGCCTCTCGAATAGACCGTCAAGCTGTGCTTTCCTAGCTTCAAACTTACTGGAAAACGCAACCAGCGCTTCGGATGGCTTTGTGCTAGGAAGCCTCCCTGCAACATACTGCGAAACGCTTCCTTAAGAAAAACGAATAGAACTTGTAGCAGTATCAGATTTGAATGTACGACACTTCCGTTCTTTAAATGACCACCACTGGGTCGTCCTCGAAGTTTCCATCTTGAGCGAACAACTCCGGTTCGACCACGTCAGCTAGAGTCTAAACTCCCATCTGTGAGCGAGTTGGGCATGTCCATCAGTACAAATGGCACAACTGATGGATTAAACAGATGTCGTCTGATGATGGCGATGATGAGAGATGAAAAGCGGATGAGCTGAGGTTGAAACGGAACCAAAAGCTTTAGCGAGGTCACGTGAAGCGTCAATCTCATACATATCACCCAAACATTCAACACTTTAATTTAGATACGTGGCAAAAGCGCGCTGGGGAAGCTAATGATCTTCTGGGGACTCCTGGGGGTGTAGAGAGTTTGCGAATTACGATGTAAAGTTCCGTTCAAGGTAAATCAGGCCGGCGACATACAGCCATGCCTCCGTTACTCTTATTCAAGCACTGTTCGGATTGCATTTATCGCATGAGCGAATTACCAAGATGAATAGTGCTTTGATGTGCTCCTGGGAGGATAGAAGGCCTGGAAAGCAGTATGTCACGCCCCGCACCTCTAAATCAAGCCATCAAACCCACAACCACGCCTCCACCACCCTTCCTCGTGCGCTTTTCAAATCACACGCCCAATGCCAGCCCACTGAATCCTCACACACACCTCTGTAGTCCCCCGAACCATATCTCATCAACAACAACGCCATCTAACATCCTCAACGCGGTGAATCCACTACTCATAAACCCCTCCCCCTACCCCATCATATCAACATCACTCGCACTCTCACTATCCTCCACATCCTCTGTTCCTCCATCCCCTTCCCTCTTCTTATTCTCGTCTTCCCTGTATCCTAAATCTAGCACTCTCACCCTCCGCCTCGCTTTCTCCAACACAGCCACTACCCTCCTATCTTTGCGCCCATTCACGACTATCTCCTCAGGCTCAAAGCCATCGTTCGCGAAGATGTGCTTGATATACGGCTTCAGCCGCGCGGGGTCGGAGAGGTCGAGTGCGGGGACGTTGGGTTGAGATTGATCAGGGGCGGCGGGAAAGAAGGTAGGAGATGAAAGAGGGTGGTAGGGTAGTGGTGGTAGAGGTTGCAAGGAAGTGGACGGGGAAGGGATGAGGGGGAGGTTGGGGTTGTAGGGGATTGAGAGGAGATAGGATGAGTCTGCTAGCGTTATTAGCTTACGCAAGATTTATGGTATGACAGAGGCGTTGGGATTTGCAAGCGAAAGGGAGTGGGAAACATGCCCTCTACATGCACAAGTGCAATCAGCTCGGCGTCGTCCGCAAACTTGACGTCAAGGACTGTGCCAGAGCCGAATTGCAATGTGGTGGTGTCGCACGATCGAACGGAATTAGGAGATTCGTCGAAGACGTCGGCGTGAGTGATGCGGTGGAGGCGGACTGGAAATTTCAGCATCTATGCACAGGCATCTAAGGTTGTAATAGTAGACTTACTCTCATTCGTGTTAGTCTTCGGTAGTACAGCGGCGTAGGTGGTGATATCGTTTGAGCCATCGAAGTCCTACTCTAGTCAGCATGCGTTGTGATCAGGATCGCCCACAGAAAGAATAATAAAGCTCACCTCAAACACCATCCTCAAGTCCGCCCCCCTACTCTCCCCCTCCTCAAGCACTACACCAGTACCCAGCCCCGTGCTCTCCGCCTGCCACTTTCCAATCATCTCAAACAGTCTTCCACACACCTTCTTCAACCGCTCGTTCGCAAGCTCCAACGAGAGCGCTTCCTCTTTATACACCTTGCCCTCCTTCGCAGCCTGCACTGCCTTCCGCGTATCGTCGTACCCTATCTCCGATGCCGTTGTCGGAGGCGAAGCCAGGGCAGCGAGTTCCGTTCCTGGCCGCAAATAGGGTGCAACATCGCTTTGCCGCAGTGGTCCTTGCAGATACTCTAGCAACAAGCTGTAGTCGATGTCGGGATCTCGCTCGCCATCTGATTCTTCGCGACTACCCTCCGCACCTCTGACGTCGATCTCCCATCGTAGCCAGCGGGAAAACGCGGCAAACTGCCGCTTCTCGTCGCCAGTGGCAATAAGAACCGAATGTGCGAGGAAACGAACGGAGCGGATGGAGTCAAGGATGGCGCCGAACACAGGGAGAGGAATGGAGAAAAGGCGCGAGAAAGACTCGTCATGGTAGCGAGCGAGGCCGCGGAGTGTGCTGGTGACTATGCTGCAGCGGTCGAGTGCGGGGAGGAGTGAGGTGTGTATGAGATCTAGGAGCTTTGTGAGGCCAGTGATGGCGGCGTGATCCCAGCGTTTGTGGCCCTGCAGATGTATTTTAGGCTTACATCGTTGATATTCCAAGGATCGTTGGGGGAAAACAAAAGATGTAATAGAAAACAAGCCGCAAATGGAAGTATGAAATGTACTCACACTCTCCGCTAATTCCTCCACCAACCACTCCTTCAGCGTAGCCGGACAGCTTCCCGTAACTGCTAGATGATAGAGCGCCTGCTCCAAAGTACCCTCTCCTTTCTCCTCCAGCGTTTCACTGATATTGCGCATAAACCGCGCCGGCAGATCTTGCGCATGAGTCCAGAAAGCACGCATACGCTGGAGGCATTGAGCCACATACTGCAGCAAATTCTGCAATTGAGTAGTCTTAGATGCAATGAGATGCAAGTAGATTCCCGCAGAAGAGATGAAGCGGAGAGTAAGAGGGACGAGGACAAGGCGAGTGTCAGACTCAATACTTGAACGAGAGCTGGTGGTATTTCGGGAAGTGATCTCTATTAGGAGGCCGTGACTGCAGCTGTAAGGATGGCTGGCGTGCACCAGAGGCCTTGTTTTCTCAACCTGCCACGCAGCCGGCAGGCCAACGCTCACAGTGCTCAAAGAATCGTAGATAGTCGGACTGATGGTTCCATCATCCATGCATCTGACGAGTACGTCCACAGCGTTATGATCCTTCAGATGATGAGAGTGGAAGATGCCATCGATTTGAGCCTGTGAGCTGAATGCGCCGGTATCTCCAGCAGCAGGTCGAGCGAAGGGATTCGCAGGTGGTACAGGGATGACAGGAAGTTTTGGGAGCAGAGACTCTACATCCATCATGGCGAGCTGATCCGGTAAGTCCGGACTGATATCAAGATTGCTGAGGTCGGGCTGGCGCTGGAGGAAATCGTCGAGCGTCGTATCGTCGCGGAACGAATCCCAATCTTCCGTCGTGAGCAGCCCTTTTCCATCTCCATTAGACGAAATATTGATTGAGAGCGGACCGTCTTCGGAACGCTGTTTTGACGCCTTGGTAGAGATGCCTGTTCTGGCTTTGACCGCATCCACATCGATGAAGTTGACGCCCCAGCCCAAGCATGCAACTTTTGCCTGACTCTTCCCAGCCTTCTCTTGAGAACCATGAACAGTAGTCGAATCCTTCAGCAAGAATTTTCCCGTTTCTGCAGAGATCACATCGACGGTCCCATCGCTCCAGGCGACTGCAATGGCTTGGCCTATGTCGGGATTAGCACGTGACTTTATTTTGAGAGAAGCAGAATGAACGAAGGATTGGCAATCCAAAGGCAGAGGAATGGGGAAAGACAAACCATTAAACTTCCAGCACACCCGTTCAACTTCTGCCATTCCTTTCCTCTTCACCCCAAACGCCCTCTGCCCGCTGATTCTCCACACGTCCACCTCCTCCTCTTCAGATACCGTCGCGACAAGGTCCATTGTCGGGCAGTACGTCAGCAGATGCGGTTTCACGGGGTGTAGAAGCGTCTTCTCTGCGTGCAGCAGCAGGATTGGGGGCTGCGGGCTCTCCATTATGGGCTTGTATTTGGGTCTTTGGTGAGTGGAAGATGCAGAGTACAAAAACACGCGTGTGCAGAATTGGATTTATGTTTGGGTTATCGTCATCGTTCTTCAACCGATCTCATCTGATATAGTGAGCGTCCAAGAGATTGATTCAATTATCCGCGCATTGGGAGTTACGCAGAGTTTGTTATTGGTTGGTGGTTGGGTCTAGAGATGAAGTCGCGTCGCGTTCGCTTGTTATATTTTCGGGTGAACGCTAGACGAATCGGGAATCGACATAAATGATACCAACGTCCCTTGATCTACAGTGCCTCACCAGCATGAGCATGATCTCGTATACTGCACGTGGCGTTTCAACAAACCTCAGATATCTGTGATGCTATCCAATTTGATCTTAGATCGTCACGAGGATATTCGCAAACACCGTGGAAATTCTTGAAGGCACCCCCGTCTAAGGTGGTCCGGCGAGTTGGCCGATTGTCATAAAACAAAGACTATTTTCTCGTTACGATTCTCTGAAACTTGGTTGAAGTACCGCATACAATATCATGCAGGACTACAGTGAGCCAGACCGAAGCGATTTCAATGGTATAAAAGATGCGATTCAAACGCTCCACGCATCGGCGTGGTGATGCCCTTCCCCACAGAGAAGCTATGCCGCGTGCTCTATAATAAGTTATACAAATGCCCTTCTTCCCAATCAATTCGCATCTCATCCAGTCCATTTCAGTTCAGCTCAATCCCCATCCTTAACCCAAGGACGCCATCATTCATGCCGTATTCAAATAATCAGAACAGTTCCCGAAACCCATAACAATGACGCCAGTGATCGGGCAAGTAGGGACTTCAAACCCGATCCAACCCAAATAGAACGCCGGCTCTTGCGAGTTTGCTTGATCCTCCATGATATGTCTCTTTCTAACGATGAAAACGCCAGCCACACCGCCACAGCCAGCGCGCGCGGTTTTACGTTAGGAGAAGGGGCGGAGGGAGCCTTTCCAGAATCTTATGTACAAGGATCGACAAGCCTAGGTTCAGAATGCAGGCAGGCCAACAAGAAAGCAGAACTTGCGGTGTGCGGAATCACCGTTCAGAGCCCTTCATTCCACCCCGGAGACTCTGCTTCTTGACGTGCACGCTTCCACTAGCATTGCCGTTGGCACCAGGTAACACTTCGTCGAAGCTTGTGCGTTTGCCGCCGGCCTCGCCTTCATCTGAGTCTTCGACCAGCTCGCCGAGGCCGAAGCTCTGATTTTCGACGTCGTAACTGCGCACTAGGCCTTCTCGTTCGCTGAAACTGTTTCTCGCGCTACCACCGCCGAGGTATGGGCTTCGGAAGCCGTTTTCAATGCTGCTCCTCCTCGCTTGCATGCTTCGCCGTGTGTAGACGCCTGAGATGCCATCTGCGGGTGGAGCGTCGGTCAAGCGGTTTCCAAGGTGTTTGTTGCCGTCTGGGTCTTCGCGGGAGAGATTGAGTAGGTATACGCCGGAGAAGATGATCAAGAAGCCGCAAAGGAGGGAGAGGGTATTGACAGCTGAGGTAGTGTTGAAGCCGCGGAAGAGGATGAAGGACGCGACCAATGTGCATGTCGTAAAAGTCACGTAGTAGAGAGGGTTGACACTGGTACAAATTAGCGGTTGATCCCAAAAGAAGTAGATTGGCCGAGAATACGTACATATTTGTCGAAAATTGGCTCAGTGCCTTGTTGAAGTAATTCATTTGCGTAAGAATGCAAACGATCACGACAATGACGAAAACGTAGGTTGAAGGATGTGTGAATTGGTTGTTGCCCGCGAAAGTCATCTTCAATGCAATGCCGAACGCTTTGATGGCCATGATAGAGACGGATCCGACAGTTGAACAGATGGAGAGGTAGATGAGGGGGTTTTTGCGGCCGTACTTGGGGGAGATTTTATATATCATGACGATGGCGAAGATCGCAGTAATGAGGCAGTAAATCAAGAACCCTGGAATGGAGCATGTCAGCGGCTGTCCGTGTAGCGTGTTTGCAGATAACGTACCTGGTTGAATTGCAAAGTTCAGGATTTCGTCGATGGATTCAACAGGTTGATCTGGCGGCGCATGGAGCACAATAATGACAGATCCTATTAAACATATGGCGCATCCAATCTTTCCGAGCAGTCCCAACTTTTCGTTGAGAAAGTACGAGCCTAGAACAGAGCTGCTCGGTAGTCAGCAGCTGTGCAGGGTGGCGCGGACAGTTTCAACATACCCTATAAGCACGCTGAGTGCACCCAGTGGGGTCACCAGTATAGCCGGCGCAAAGGCGTATGCTGCAAAGTTGAAGATTTCTCCGAGCACCACTGTTGCCGTTAGTCGGTATTCGTAGGATCGTTGATGTGGAAGCGCGTACTTGTTACGATGCCTGCCCACCACGTAGGGCTTCGTAGGTATGAGTAGCCATCGCCTTCGAATCCATGTTTGTCTGCGGCCTCGTTCAATCCCTAAATTCAACGCGCAATCAGTATCGCATTCGCGGGTAGGCACGTGAAGGCTTGGAGGGGTGACTTGGGACGCGCTGGGGTGTAGGCGACGAACCTTTTTGGTGATGACGAAACTTGTGCCTAGCAAACAATTCATTAGAATCCTGCATATGTCCAGGAAGCGCAGTGCAAACTCACCGATTGCCAAAGACGACGTTACCGCCAGGGCCAAACCGACATATCTGTCCGCATGTTAGCCATCGGTCGCCATGGTGGTGGGCCGAAGTCCGGCATCAGAGCAACGCACTTATCCTCCAGCATCGTGTCCGCAAAGAGTCTCCAGAGACTCTATCTCGGCCCCCGTTCAGTAATACGCAGCCGTGATAAGCGGGTGGTCGTGGTCTCGCCGTGGCAAAGCGCGAAGCCTCGAAAGCTGAGTCGTGGTTCTATCGATAGGGCCGAGCTGGAGAGGCCAGATGGCACAGCCGAGCGCGGCGTCAAGTATGGTGGTGCAGGTGGCCAGCAGACGTTTCCTGAGGCAGGCGGGTCGAGGGGCAGTCGCGATGGATGCGAGACGGGGAAGGGAGAGGCCGTTCGCGTTTCACCAAACGCTTGAGAGTGGACGTGGTGGTTTGACAGGCGGACAGCGAGCGAGTGGGCCGCGGTCGGCGAACGAGTGACGGGAGGCAGCGCGCGGGGGACAGGTTGAGTATGAGGCTTCGGCGGGTGTGAAGATGGCGGGCAGAGTCGTTAAAGGAGGCGCATCTCAGTCAGCGGTTTTCAATGCCGGCGCGTCAGGGCGGTTGTTGGCGCTCCAGCTGGGCTCCAGGTTGCAGCTGGAGAGGTCGACGCGGGAGCAGGGGGTGGGCCATTCTGGCGTCTCTGCCCGCCGTTTCGCACTCCACTCAGCGCCAGGGCTACGCAAGCCAGGAACATCCGTCACATGTTGCATCTCCTGCATCGCGCCGATCGACATGAAACACTTGCGCCGCGGAGGCATTCGCTGCGATGTGCGATGGACAGTGCTGGGATTGACTTGTCTGTCTATCACGGTTTGGCACCAAGCAAAATCTCCGCATCTGAGGCTATAAATACACGTTAGTAACAGGCCCATATTTGTGTTGGAGGCCGCGCCTCCTGGGGCGCCCTAGGCATTTCTGGCTAGGTGGAAATCGAGCACGAGCATCACGAGCATCACGAGATTGAAACACCATGGGCAGGGAGCGATTTGGCCAGTTTTCGTAATGTCACGTCTGCAAATAGTTCGAGAACCCCTCTAGAAGGCGAAGGCGCAGTACGAACTGTCAAGCATGGGGCACAAATGGTGAGCAGCAAATCGCATTGAAATTTTGTACAGCAGTCCCCATGTAAAAGTACCGGTCAAGCATCAGTACCGACGGTGCCGGCAGCCCTATGAACGGACTGACCGGTGCCTGACCAACGCCAGGATATCACCTGTCCCATGCCGCGCCTCCCGAGCTTAGTCGATTAGACCAAGCCCTATGCCGCCACCACTCTCAGAAGACAGCGGAAGCTTTCGTTGGGCCAAATTCCCAGGAACCAGATCCAGATCCCAGAACATTTTCAACCCAGCCTGCCATTCGCCAACCACCGAGAAAAGAAAACGCCCAAAAAGCCCAAAATCAAAGGAAGAATCCACCGTGAAAGACCATAAAAAGGTAAAGTCGCTCACCTTTTGAGAACCATATCGGTCTCCTCTGGAATCCATCCAACTTTTCTATTAATCCCTGAGCTGTGACGTGTGTCAGTATTGAAGCCTTCAAATTGAATTATGCTGGACGGCGCCAGAATCCAGAGTCGCCAGAAGCCAGAAGGTCCCAGGAGCCAGTGTCGCCGAAAGCCAGGAGCCAGAAGTCGTCAGTCGCCGTGTAGCCATTCGCCGGTTGCCAGTCGCCCGTCGCCATTCGCCAGGATCCAGATGTGGGGTTTAGATACGTACCAACAATTCAGGAGCAATGTCCATATCGAACTCTGGGATAGAGCCTAGCCGGTCAGCCATCCGGTCAGCCATCCGGCCAGCCATCCGGCCGTGAAACCTATCAGTTAGTTGTACAAAGTTGAAAATCGAGGCATCGCTGCTTGCAATCGAACTAAAGGGCCATTGCCCAGGACGACAACGTGCCAAGACATGTTCTGTCGAGTGAAGTATGCGTCGTGATCGCATCTGATAGCAAACTCAACCCAACCGCGTCTTCTTATGAAGATCTTGCTCATCGTCCTCTTCATCATCGCGGGAGCGTTTCGCTGGAGGCGATGTGCTGGGTTGGTGAGCCAGAGTCCCCGAAACGATGGTGGTTGCCGCTGGAGGTGACTCGTCCTCGTCGTCATCGTAGTCAATTGAGTCCGAATCGTAGCCAGGGTCCCCCTTGACAGCCTTCACTTTGCTAGTGTTCGCATGGTTGCCGTCCACTTTCGAGTTGTCCGCGTAGCCGACGTCGGGGTTCGCCAAAGTCTCGCCATCGAAGTCCAGGTGGTCTCCAAGCTCGTCACCGCCATAGTTGGTTTCATCGAAGCCAGCACCGTCGCCACCGTTGTCGGTGTGTTCACCATGTGTCTCATACGACTCCTGGCCTGAGAAGCCCTGTTCCTGGCCTTGATAAGCCTCATCCTGAAGATCGTAGTGGCCTTCGTCGAAATCTGGGGCGTAGTTCTCATCGAAGCCTTCACCGAAGTCAAACCCAGATTCGTGGTCGACAGGATCGGCGTGATGAGCATCATGAACGCCATCGAGTTGTCCAGGTTCGACTTCAAGATCTTGTTCTACCCCGTGCTTGCCATTGGTCTCCAAAGCTTGTTCCAGTTCTTTCTCGAGCTCAAAGTCCAAGTCGTAATCGTCCTCATGTGTCTGCTGCTGCTCTTGTACCGAAGACTGGGAAGTGCCTACCGCTTTGCTTTGGACGCCATTCAAGGTAGTGGCAGCTGCATCTGGTGGACCAAAGTCGTCATCAAGGTCATCCAATTCATCGTAGGCATCTTCAGGATGGTTTGGCTGGCTTCCAGCTGCTGGAGTTACCTGACCCTTGGGTGTCTGAGTGGCGTCGCCTTGAACAGTTGAGGAAGCCGACGAAGGGCCTGACCCGGAATTTCCCACATTGGGAGTCGGATTGGTGTCCACTTCGTCATCAGAATAATCAATCAGATCGTCATCGTCGATTACGTCTTTGTGGGATTCCAAGGCTGTCTTGCTCTCCGACCGGCGCTCAACTTGCTGTCCGGCGGCACCAACATCATTCTCAGTGGGTCCGGTGAGTTCAGCACCGGTTGCGACATGGCCCGCTTTTGGAGCATCCGCCGTCGAGGCCTCTACTTCGTTGTCGAAATCAAAGAGATCGTCCGACTTGTTCTCTGCTGATTCGTAGGTCCCAGCGCCTTCTGTCCCATGTTCAGTGATATGCGGCTCTGGCGCAGTTTGAGCTTCATAGTCATCATAGCCCTCGTTTTGCTGCAGTTCGTTCGGAACTTCTAGCTGTTCATGCACATCTATGGCTGCGTCATCATGTTCCGAGTGCTCGTGTTCGGCATCTTCGTATAGCGGATACTCTGAGTTCTCTTCATCGAGATGTCCGAGGAATGTTAGCTGCGATATACCTTGTCCTTGGGAAGCAGCCGAGCTTAGCTGGGCCAAACGAGTGGAGAATCTCGTCTTCAGAGTCAGGGTCATGTAAAGGGGATCGGGGTCATGCACGCCGTCGTGTTGTTCGAGCGAAAGATATGTATAAAGGATCTGCGAAAACTTCACTTTGGACGCAAAAACACAGTCCTAGAATATGTTAGTGTGACAGAGTAAAGGGCGGGTTTTTGTCCTGACTTACTTCACGAATGCATAAGCCAAGCTTAGCTATGTCCATTTCCAACTCGTCTTCGTCGCTGATCGTATCACCAAGGACGGTTCTGCAAGCTTGCAAGAGCTCATAGATAGTCTCGTGCGCAATCGACTCATCTTCGAGGAAGTAGGTTTGAGACTCATCCTCCACGCGGGGATGGAATAGTGACATTGGCTCGTTGTCTGCATAGATCACGATGACAGGGTGGAGAGGACCAGGATGAGTCTGGTAGAAGTCGTCGCGCTGAGAATGTGAATGTGCGAATTCTTGAATATCATCATGAGCTGCATAGGGAGAGCCAGAATGATCATGGGTCGGCACTTCATTTTCGTCGTTACGTTCCTCACCTAGCGAGCCGGGAGGGCTCAAGTACTGCGCATGTTCCTCGTTCTGCGTAGCATCGGCCGTAACGAAATTTGGGGAAGTAGTCTCAAGATTATCGGCTGATCCTTCGACTGCGGGAAGGGGGGATACGGGGTGCACATTGCTGGGCTCAGTTGGCGAAAGAGTAGCTGGTACCGACTGAGCGACAACACCTTCTTGTACAGCTTGTTCCGCTGTCGTTGGGGCTATAGCATCGACGGTTTGTTCATATTGGGCCTGGGTTGTCAAAAGGGCTTGGTCCACAGTGCCGGCCTCCTTGGAAACCTCGTCCTCGAAGTCGAAGTCCAGTTCGAGGTCGTCGTCCGGGTCCATAGCGACATTGGGCACGTTGGTCTGAGTGGCCTCTTCATGGCCTAACTCGCTGACATCAGTGAGATGCTCATCTGGAATGCTAATGTGGTCTTGGTTGTCCTGCATCATCCCCTCGTTGTCGTCTAGCTCATCGTCGAACATGTTATCGTCATTGTCTGGATACGTCGATTGGTGCTGAGCGTGGCCCTGATCAGACATTGCGTCTTCGAGCATCTGGTCGTCGTCGTGATGGTGCGTGTACTCGCCACCAAGATCCAGGTCAATGTCGATATCGTCGTCGCCGTATTGAATCTCGGACGTGATCTCCATATCGTCGTCTGGTGCAGTCACCTGAAGGCCAGGTGCAGGCTGTGAACCAGTGGCCAAGGCCGTCATGGAGGCGGCGCGGGGGCAAAGGTCGAACTCGTCTGTGAGGGCGCGTCGCGGCGCGGTCTTGAAGGGCTGCTTATCAAAACAAGTCCAGTGGCGAGGTAGTGGCGAAGTCCAGGAAGGTTGTTAGGTGTCGGGGCTGAGGGTTAGTGGGTAGGCGAGGGTGGTGGTCATGGAGTGGTGTTGGTGTCGAAGGTGGAGTGCGACGTGGGCGATTTATAGGCGGCGTGTCGCGCGGTGACTCCACGTCGACAAACAGGCAGCAGGCAGCAGGCGTCTATCTATCGCTCCGAGACAGAGTCGTGCGTCGGTCGATGAAGGAGTGCACGCTGCGCTGCGGTGGATGTGGGCGAAGGAAGGTGGAGAGTGTGTCGAAGTAGGAGGTGAAGGAGCGAGAGACGACGGGGTAAAGACAAAGGCTGCGACCACGTGCCGCCAAGCCTTTTAGCGCCAAATCGTAATTCACACATCGCCAGAACGGCCGGCGACAACAGCCCGCGGTGCAGCTCGATTCTCTCGCGATACGTATGTTGCAACGGCTGAGGGTGAATTCCGTTGTCGTTTGCTACGTTTCCCTACCTTCATAGCCGTGCAATTGCCCCATTTGCAGCTTGTGACTATCAAGTCTCAACCTCGAATCCCCCGCCGTCTACATCCCTCCTCGACACACCCTTTGGACGACTCCGACACCACCCTGAAAGCGGCATCCCCGTCACATCATACCCACGAAAGATAGCACAAAAGTCCCACAATGGTAGCCTTGTTCCCATACATATTCCACCTCGAATCAAACTCACAATCCCCCCAGGTCATCCTAGCAGCCTCAATATGCACCCGCGGCGGGAAAGCCGTCCTCTCCCGCCAATTCCGCGAAATGCAACGGTCCCGTATCGAAGCTCTCCTGGCCGCATTTCCTAAGCTCGCCGACGGCAGCACCCAACACACGACGGCCGAGCAAGACAATGTGCGCTACGTATACCAGCCTCTCGACGAACTCTACATGGTCCTCATAACGAATCGGCAATCGAACATCCTGCAAGACATCAACTCGTTACATTTATTTGCGCAGGTCGTGTCCAGCATTTGCAAGAGCCTGGACGAGCGGGAGATTGTGAAGAATGCCTTCGAACTGCTGTCAGCGTTCGACGAGCTCGTCACATTGGGATACAGGGAAAATCTCACACTAAGCCAGATCAAGACCTTCCTAGAAATGGAATCACACGAGGAGCGGATCCAGGAGATCATAGCACGCAACAAGGAGCTGGAGGCCAGCGAGGAGCGCAAACGCCGCGCCAAGCAGCTCGAGATGCAACGCAAGGAGATGTCACGGAGTGGACGAGCAGCTGGCGGTGCTGGCCCGCGCGCTCCCCAGTATCCCACATACACCCCCAGCGTGCCCGCCACCGTCACAGACACGTACGAGAGCTACGAGGCGGAGAAGAAGAAGAGCAGCAAACCACTCGTCACCCGCGGCAAGGGCATGCAGCTAGGCAAGAAGTCGAAGACCAGCTCCATGTTCGACCAAGTTGCCGGCGACCTACCCCCAGAATCCGAGCCGCTCGTGCAATCCCCCAAAGCGGCGCCCGCTGTTGCCCCTGCTTCCGCGCGCCCGTCAACGTCCTACGACCGCGAACCAGTCCACATCACGACGTCCGAGCACATCTCCGCCCGCCTCGACCGCGAAGGCCTGCTGAAGTCGTTCGAAGTTCGGGGCGACCTGTCACTGCGCATTTCGGACGCCGCACTGACGCAAGTCAAGCTCGCGCTGGCGCTCGGCGAGACGCGCAATGCGCAGCTAATCACGCACCCTAAAGCCGACAAGGCCGTCTTCAAGAACTCGCGCAACATCCAGCTCTCAGACACGTCCAAGGGCTTTCCCGTCAACATGGCCATTGCCGTTGTCAAGTGGAAGCTTGCGCCCAAGGCAGAGGACGTGTCCGACCCGCCCATCACGTTCCGCGCGTGGGTCGAGGAGAGCGGTGGAACATACAACATCACCGTTGAATACGAGCACAGCGGCGCCGACGTGCTCAACGACGTCGCCGTCACCATCCCGTTCGCCACGGACGAGCCCAACGTCAGCTCCTTCGACGCCGTGTACGAGGTCAGCGGGGATAGCCTGGAGTGGAACATCGGCACCGTCGACGAGGAGCACTCATCCGGCAGCTTCGAGTTCGAGGCGAGCGCGGAGAGCGAGGCAGAGTTCTTCCCCATGCGCATCAAGTTCTCGAAATCGAAGCCGTTTGTCGACATTAGCGTAAGTTTCTTCTTCTCTCCCCATGAACCTCGTGGCATATTCCCCAAACTACAACACTCATCTAACCCACATCTGTGCAGGTCTCGTCCGTCTCCCTCATCAGCATGGGCCAGGACATCAACTTCTCCACCGACGTCAAGTCCGTCGCCGATGTCTATGAGGTCTCGTAAACGTTGTCTAGGGCCTAGTTTTCACATTTCTTGCATAGATGATGTGGCCCCTGACGATTTCGCCGGTCTGGGGAGGGGGAACGAGCAGGGGCCGTTACGGGTTAGCGAGTGCATGTGCTTATGCTGCCGTGCAGAGGGTACTAGCTAGGACGTACGTTGATGAAAAAAAAACGAAAATGAAAACGAAAGTTCCGAACCAAGAAGCTGGCACACCTGAACTGCGGTTTTGTGCCCTTCATTGATGCTGATATAGACCGCATTTGCCTTTTGTTTCTCAGTCTCAAAACAGCTTATTCCATCCGAGATTGTTTGGGGTTTGTGTTCCAACATGTGATTCAAAGCCATCACATCCATCTATCAAAGCTCTCGCAGTCGTGGAAGATATCATGTACTCTAATCAGCATTCGTTCCTTTCATCCCGCATATCCTCATGCCCTCGGAGTTTTCCCCGTCCGGAAGACCCTCAGTGCAGTCCTATCAGCCGCCATCCGCCATCCGCCATCCGCCATAGGAACTTTTGATCGCAGTACACTATAATACAAACAAAGGCAGCTCCAGAAACAGCAGCAATCGATCCCTTCGCCCATCGACTTTCCTTTCCCGGAACGTGAAAGAAACAGAGAAACTAAAACAACGCATACAGGTGTAATACATACCCATCCCGTCATAGCCCTTTCCATGAGGGTCGAATAAAGTAAAGAAACCATAGACCATAGACCGTAGACCGTAGACCGTAGACCGTAGACCGTAGACCGTAGACCATAGACCGATAGGCAAATCCACCCCTCAGCCGCCGACAACGCCCATCACCACCACCACCCCCCCTTTCTCAAAAACACCCGCCCATCCCCTCTCAACTCACTCCGCCGCCGCACCCACCCGATCACTCGCCCTCAACACGCCCGAAAACCGCCCCTCGCCTCCCCTCAAACACCCATCAAACTCCACCGCCGCCGCCTCGCCCTCATCCTCCCACCCCGTGTTCAGGAACCACGCCACATTCACCGCCGCGCACTCCACCGCGTCCACCTCCTGCACAATCTCGCCCATCAGCGGGTCCTTGGTGCTCAGCATCGCCGGCGCGAGCGCGTTGTACCGCTTCGAGAAGAACGGGTGCCGCAGGAACGGGTGCGCGGGCTCGAGGCCCGCCTCGTCCAGGTTGGCGTGCGGGAGGCGCACGTAGCCGCAACTCACCAGCTCAAGCTGGCGGAGGTTGCTCTCGCGGTCGACGTCGGCGTTGGAGTGCGTGGAGCCGAAGTCGGCGAGGTTCTGGCCTGGCGAGATGATGTCGAGGATGTAGAGCCAGGAGCCCTCGCGGGGTTGTGTGCGAACGGCAGATTGCACGTTGACCTGTGGTGGGGGTGGCGCTAGCTGTTGTTGTTGTTGTTGTTGTTGTTGTTGTTGTTGCTGCTGCTGTTGAGGAGGTACCAGGCCTGGTATGGCGTGGGCTTGGAGTTGGGCTTGGACGTGGATATGGGCTTGAAGCTGGGCCTGCATATTGGGGATTTGCGCTTGGGCTTGCGCGCCTTGCTGGTTCTGCAAGTGGTTGATTTGGAGCTGCAGCGCTTGGATCTGGAGCGCAATGAGCTGCTGCGGCGGTCCGCCTTGTTGAGGAGCACCGTTTTGTAGTCCTAGTTGCCAGCCTGCGGCATTCGGCTGATTGATTGCTCCATTGTTATGAGCCCCATTATGGGCTTGTTGCACGTTGGCCATCGCCTGCTGAAGATTGAAGAAACCGTTGAAGTTCTGGTTTACGTTCTGGTTGGCGTTCTGGTTGGCATTCTGGGCCGCGTTCTGGTTGGCCAATACTCTCGGCATTGCAGTCAATGATACAGATTGAAGTGTTAGCTTGCTCAGTCGTGTCTTGTCGTGCTTCTTGACGAATTCTTGCAGTGCTGGCGGGGTAATCCAGCAGTTGCGCAGCGTGAGCTGCTCAACGTGGGGGAATGAGAGCATGACACCTCCAATCTGACTCGGAACAAGCAGCAACGCATCGCTGTTAAGAAGCACTGGAGCTGGGAGCACGTGCTTGTTCCTCGCATGTATACCTTCTGCATGCTCGCCACCAGCGGCCCAGCCAATGGTGAGGCTCTTGATATTCTTTCGGGGACTAATCATCTTTTTGAGTAGCTGGTAGAAAGGTTCAATAGCATGCTGAGGGTCGATACATGGTGTCTCCACATATCCAGCGTCGTCCTTGACCACATTCCGCCAATCTGGGAGAACTTGGATCGTGACTGTTTTCAGCTGCGGTAACGCATCCCAGAAATCCTGGCGACAGAGTGCGGAAGTGTATCGACTGGATATTCGAGCAACATTAAGCGTGTGGACGGTCTCAAATGTTATCGGATTATCCATGATAGCCAACATGTACGACGAGAGGAATGCCCGCTGTGCCCATTCAGTTTCCATGAGCCACTCTTTCTGCGCCTTCGAAAGCTTCGTAGGAACTATTGAACTTCGCAGTTGAGCTAGATCGCTTGGCGGGGTGCCTGACGAATACAGCACTCCCACAGAAGGAGCCAGTGTCAGAACAGGGTCAGGAACCAAAACGTCAGCATCGGCGGGCACGTCCGCTGGATCATCCCGTCGGTCCTCCACGGTATATTCGTCTAGCGTGGCTTCAGCAACTAGGCACGGATCCAAGTAGGGAAACTTCAGTAACATGTCCGGGACGGCATGGGCGTCAATGATAGGCTTCAACTCTTTAAACGGAATGTTGACCGCCATTCTATAGAGAGTGGCAGTCTTCAGATCAACTTTTGCTTCGTCATGCACTTGATTGAGGTAAGCCCAGAGCTCCTGTTGGGCTTGCTCCTTGCGGTCTGGTATAGCCTTGGAGGAACCAAAGACTTCCGGCTGCTTTCGGATTATTCTAGCACGAATGGACCGATCCGGGCCCTTGAGCCAGCCAAGACCGCTGTCTAGTGAAAGCGCCAGCTCTTGGACCTTCTGAAGCATGGAGAAAGCTGTCTTCATCTTCGGTGTTTCGTCGGCGGCCAACTCAAGACCGGCGACATCATCGAATCGTCGATATTCTTCGAACGGCCATTCGTAGTTGCCCCAAAAGCTAGCATGGTTTTCAGTGGTGCCTTTGAAGGGCGGCTTCGCTAAAGCTTCTGCAATAATGTCAGCTCAAGTCGGATGTATCGACCTTATATAGCAACATACCTTCATCAACGTCAAAGCTCATGCCGTATTTCCGGATATGAGGCCCAAACCCACGGAATACATCCAATCCATGGCCATCATAGACATCGTCTCCATTGGCGTTTTTCCACGACAGGCCCTTGTTTACTTCAACTTTGATCTTTCCTTTTCCTTTGTAGTCCGGCTTCTTGTCCTGGCCTAACATGCCATAGATTTCAGTATTGAAAGGAACAACGACAGTCCTAAACAGGACCTGCGAGACGTGCTTGTCGAACTCGCGGGACACCAACCTCATCGACTTAATGTCATCCCGTGAGAGATAGCTCGCGATCTCCTCAAACATCTCTGTTGGTAGGCGCTCTTTTGGCCAGCCTGGCACAACTGTCCTCAAGTTCTGCAAGGATCTCACCTTGAGCTTAAGGATCTTACTTGGGCGGACAGAGTCAAGTGCGTTCAGACCTCTCCGCTTCAGCCGCGATCCATTCGAGAATCTGTCAGAAATGGGGAAGTAGCGCGATGGAATCTTAGAGCTATCGCGGATATCCGGCCACACATCCGTAGCGCCCGGCTGCGAACGTTCGCTATGATAGAGTACCGCAGAGACGGCGCCTTTTTTCTCCAGGACAGACATGAGATCCGTATTGTTCGCATCGATCGTATCGATCGCATCAACTTTGTCTCGCGGACGCTTTACGAAATTGTTTTCTGCACTCCAGCGGCTAAATCTCTCTCTCATTACTTGCATGGCCTGCATCTGAGAGGACCCCCGGGAGGGATTGTTACCACGATTGGACCCGAGAGCGATGAGTGAGTCCTCGTATTCCTGGCTGGAAAGAAAATCGTCGTAGTCGTCGGCGCCTTCTGAATCCGAGTCGACCCAGTTTTCAAAGCGGTTAGCTAGTCTGGGCATGTCCCGTGCCTGACGACGTGATGGAACGGGGCGACGAGCGCTGTTGGATGCGTCGGGCCAGTCACCCGCCGACAATTCTTCCAGATCGTTGAGGTAGTTTCCTCTGTACCCCTGGCTCAAATGTGAAGAGAAAGAAGTGTTGTTGGCTCTCATGGAGCGAAGTAAAGCACGACCATCTGCACGACGTTGGGCATGGGTGAACTCTGAGACGTCTGAGCGCTGAGAGTTTCCGCGGTCTCCTAGAAGTGAGCCAACCGAATTTGGCGTGCCACCTTGCGAAAGAGACCGCGGCATATAGTTCTCACTCCCGCTGCCTATTCGGCGATGCACCCGCGACCGGCGAGGTGAGAGGGCATGGTTGTTTGGGGTCGCCGGCGAATTTGGGGCCTCAAGTAGCCCAGATTCATACAGTCCAGATCCAGGCGGTGGGGAAGCAGCGCCAAAGAGACTGCTCCGCGCGTGTCGATGACTTCCACTGTTTGTAGCCATCACGCTTACTGGCACCGCATTCCCATCAGTAGGAGTTTGCGATGAAGACAAGCTAGAACTTCCCAGCCCCGTGGCCTCAGATAGATATATCATGTCGTCTTCCATTAGGAACCTGGAAGCGAGGAGCTGGTTGCGGCGACGGCGCCGGGGCGTAGATCGTGGAGGTGTCATATTTTCTGAGGTTGCGACAGTCTCGTTATTGTTTGCTTGCGCGAGGCCACCTACCATAGGCTCGCTGCGGACGAAGGAGGAGCTACGTGTGTTGGTAGACCGTTCACGAAGGCTGCTGAGACGTCCAGTAATATGAGCGCTAAAAGCCTGTAGACGGGAATATTAGCAGTCAGTCTTTATACAACGAACATATGTGAAGGCCGATAACCCAGATGTGGGCTGGTGATGATACAGGCAACAGGGTGTCGAAACTTACATCGTCGCCAAGGTCGACATCATAGCGGTCGTCCATATCGCTATGGCTTAGATCACCATCTGTCTCGAATCGCGCGAGCGTGGGATACGAAGACTGCTCGGACTGCCGTCCAGCAGGTGTGTGCCGGTTCCTCAGACGCCTGTCGGACATGGCGAAGGCTGCTCAAGAAAGGTAGCTATTGGAGGGGTAGATGCGGTGATGTATGCGGCTCAAGTAGTCGGAAGCGTGAGCGGAGACCATGGGCGAGGCCGGAGTAGAGACAACTGCAACGGTGGGGAACAGCCGAGTCATGAAAGCGGGTGTCTTGCCGTCACAAAGCAGGCCGTGGTGTTGCGTTTGCTGTTTGTTCGACCCCGACGAGCTCCGCGACGTCGTTGCTTCAACCTCAAAAAAGGGCCGTCCGAGGGCCCCGCGCTCTGATTTTCTGCCCCGTACGCCGAGGTCCACTATATGCATTTTTATATATATGGTTATATGCGGAATCAATCGGACTTCTTATTCGTAATAGACAACTAGCAGCATGTTCAAAGTGCCAGAATCACAGCGCATAGTGGTTGCTATATGTTCACGAGGCCTAGCCAATCCCGCACAAGTTCGACAATATCTGGCCGGGTGTTGGCTTGTGAGATGAGGACAGTGGCATGATGGTATAGTGTGAAGATGGAGTTGACGGTGTCAAGGACGGCTACGTATCGAATCAAACGCCCAGTTTCATGCATTATATAAACCCTGTAGAGATAGAACGACAGACTCCGGCTTCCTCCAGGTATTACCGGAGCCCATACGCGAAGACATCATGACTATACAGCGGCCTGCCTTGCGCATCCTCTTCATCCATCGTATCCTCCCGCGCCGTCTCGCCCGCTAGATATTCCAGAAACTCCCGGAAGCAGCTAAAAGTCTGCATCTTGGCTGCTTGCGGACACCACGAGATTATCAGCCAGGTCAGCTCGTCGCTCCCTTCTTTACTACCATACGCAGCATTGAGGCATTCCATGAACTGCTTCTTCGTTTCCTCGTCCGACTCTTCGTATGTCTCCCACAATAGCTTACGGGCCACTTCGATGACTTCTGGCTCAATCATCCAAACCAATACCGTCTCCGCGTCGCCCGCGTTGATCAGCACTGTGTGATCGAATTTTGGCCAAACCGTTTTGAATGGGAGACCTGGGATGTTGGTCAAGTCGATGCCCTCTTCGTCCCATTCCTGTTGGTGCCCCTGGGCATCGTAGATGCGTACAGCGTCGGTGCCGCTGAGCTCTGGCTCGCCAAAGAAACCGTTCCACCACTGGTCCAGCCCGTTGCTCACCAACAGAAACTCTTTGAAGTCGTCAGGGAGGCCGGACTTGCAACCTAGCCTCCTCTCTAGAGCCGTGACTTCCTCAGCGGAGGCGGGTTCGCGGATAATCGTAGTAGGAGGGTTGTCGGGATCGTAATCGGTTTCTTCCCAGATGGCGTTCTTGAGCGTGTTATCGTTACACAGCTGAACGAGCTCTCTCATCGACTTGTTCTCGTAGGGTCGCCGTAATGGGCCGTCCTTTATCCTCTTCTGGAACGTCTTCAGTACCTCCTCTCCAAAGGCCCTGACCTTCCCGTCATCAAGTCCGAGTTCTTGTGCTACAACTTTATCCTTCAACATACTCCATGCCAGCCTCGATTTTGATAATTCCCGGTACATCATATGGAAATTGTCCGCAATCGTCTTTACAATCTCCTGCGCCTTGTCCTTTCGGCCTTGGAATATAGCGAGGTCCAGGGCCGCTGCGTAGTCGTCAGGCCGTAACGTCGCACTCCCCCAAACTGCTGCTTTGGCATATCCTTGGGCAGTCTCGAGTAGCTTCTCCAACCCTCCCTCCTCCTTGTGGGTATCTCGTTTCCATAGGAGCCTCTCGTTTTCCAGCTTCGCGAGGTACTTCAGTGTTCGTTCCTCAGCCGGGATGGCAGCTGGCCATGAGTTGGTCGCTTCCCACGCAAAGTACAGCCCGGGACTCCAGGAGGCTCTGCAGGTGCTGTTGAAGTCCGCGGTGATGTTGAAGAGCGAAGTGGCGATGTCGATGTATCCCAGCAGAGCAAACTCCAAGGCAATATCCGTGCAGTTGCGCGCAACGTCCCAGGTAACCTTCTCTATCAGCGTCTGATGCGGGTCGAACTTCCGGCCCATTTTGAATGCCATTTCGGCAGGCTGGGGAATGACCTGGGTAATAAAGCAGGCAGAGGATCGCTGGCAGGGAATAAGAGCCTTGCCACAATCAAACCAGATGTCGCGATACAGTCCAGGAAAGCAGAGGACGGTGGGGCACTCGATAGCTCTCTTCTACAGCGGCCCCTCCGCGGTGATTAGACCCAGGACCCCACGGCGGCCATGACTCGATGGACACTCCTGGTACGGAGGGGCATCAGTTGCTGGAAACCTTTAGCTCCGTACCAGACTTGGGCCGCAAATCGACCCTTTGCCGGTGCCCCTCTGCGACTCATTGACGGCTCACTCGACGATCACCGGCAGCAGAGAGGGGTTCGGCAGCACGGGCACCTCCCGAATGTCTTCGGCAGGCAGCGCTGGAACATTCACCGGCTCGCCCAGGCGGTCCCATGGCGCTGGCCTTGCCGTCCCGATCGTGGGAGGCAATCAAGTGCCGCAGGCGGCGTGCTAGCAGGGTGGCACAGGCTGGAAGGCCTGAAGGCCTGATGACTTCGCTTTTAGAGTTTCTTGTGCATGAATGGGGTTACGCAATACTCATCCAGGTCGGGCTCGGGCAGACAATTGGCCAGAGCGGGCAAGGCTGATGGATGAAGTCGGGAGACCCCGAAAGAGAGGCCGTAAGCGCTGCATGGCCAAACTCAAAATATGTTCCCGGGTGTTCGCCCCGATAGCAGCCCGCCACGGCGTGCCGTCTGCCGATGGCGTGCATATGGAGGCTGTTTAGAGATTCCAGATGCATGACAGAGATAGTCGTGCTGGGAGGCTTCCATGGCTGCGGTGGACAAAAGGCCCCGGACGGGTGAGGTGAAGCGAAGTCGTTCCCAGGATCGTGCAAGTCAGGCGTCACCGATCATGCAAGTCAAGGGGCTAGTAACATTCGCCATGCAAAAAGGGCACGCGGGGAACAGACCGCACCGCATGCCGCACGTCGCCTCGAGGCTGGGTTCAGGGGTGCTTCACCGCTCGCCGGGTTCGCTCTTCACATCCTCCACAGTTCGATGCTTGGCGTTGTACAGGCTACGCAAGATACACATGCAGACTCATTCCCCGTGGCCTATCTTCCATCTCCTGAATCGCGGGCGCCGGCCCTGGTTGCTTTAGGCTTAGACTTGCAATGTACATTGTCGCGTTACAGCCCCTCTGTATGTCCTTAGCCCGAGGTCCGAGTACGCAAACGGTGTCCACGCTTTGGCAATATTAGTGGCATACAACACCAGGATACCTAGAGTTGACAGCACCTCGCTCCTTCTTTTGGCCATGAAGAAACCATCGAGAACCCTCAGAAATCACGGTAACTCGGCCCTTCTTTTAACCATAAGTTAACATGGAAAAGTCAAATCCGATGTGCGTATAGTGAAACTCCACGGCAAGCTTTCCTCGTTATAGAATACACCTTTGTACCGTTCTGTTCAATACATATATGTATATCAACATTCACGATTTCTACCCAATCCCCGCTCTCACATCCAGCCCAACGCCGTCTCAAAAGTCAGCCAACCCCCACCACCTCCACTCATAATTCCTCTCTTCCCCTGCGAAATCAATACGCGCTCTCATCCTCCCGAGTCCCATCGCTTCCTCCAAGCACTTACGACGGACATGCCCAATCCCACATGACTCGCGCCGCATACCATACCCTCCCTCCTCTGGCCCACACGCAACCCAACCCAACCCCACCCCGCTACCGCACTACCGATACTCGCACAGTACTGCCACGCTGTCCAGCCCCGCCTGTCTGCCATCAAATCCCAAATAACCCCGAACCTAGTCTCTCGCCCCTCATTTCAACAAAGCCCGTCGAATCGTCACATAGTTAGTACAAGTCACACACATGTCACGTTTTAAGTAAAGCACGAATAATCCGCTGTCTCAAGACCCTCGGACAGCTATCCCATCCACATTCATTTCCCATTCTCTAAACCCTATTTTGTATGTATCACACTCAAGAAAAGACGAAGAGGAAGAAGAAGAAATTAGACCAGAAGCGTAAGAAAAAAAAAAGTGGTATATCAGCCATCCCAAACCCTCCAAAACCAACCCCCACCACCAGCAACACAACCACCAACGCCCCCCCCCCCCAAATTTTGGAACCTTTCCATTTTCAACCTCCCGCTTTCCACAATGATAACAGGGGAAAATGTTGCTAAGAACGCTCACTTGAAAACTCACAATATCCACCCTACCATCCCACCTCAGAAAACCCAGAGGAACTCATCCGTTTTTAGCTAGAAATAGTAGATTCCAGAAATCAGATTTCCAAGTCGCATACACCCACCCACACCCTCCTCTCCTCTTTTTCAGTCGCTGGCGTAACTCACCCCCCGCCCGAGTTCCCTCCCTCCATCCCGCCCCCAGGTCCCTGCGAACCGCCCACATACCCCGAGCTGCCATCGTAGTACAACATCTCATGCGGCAGGTACTCGAGCCAAGGCATCATATCGTCCCCAAGCGCGCTCATATCGATGTCCTGGCTCTGGATCATCATGTCGCCAAAGGGCACCTGTGCTGAGCCATCGAAGCTGCCGCCGATGTCGAACTGGTTATACTGCGACGAGGGCGAGAAGTCTTGTGTAGGTGACTGGTTAGGGTTGAGGGTAGGCGTACGATTAGGTGGGATGAAGGGGGAGACGCCCGCAGTGATGCGGCCGGGAGAGGCGGTGGAGTAGGGCGAGTGAAGGTTGAGGAGGAGATCGGCGTCTGAGACGAGGACGGGGTCGGCGGAGGGCATGTTGTGGTATGTTGAGGGTGGCGGCATGGTGGTGATTCCAGACGGGTTATGCGCGTATGATTGCGGTGGGGCGCTGGTCTGGAAGCTGGGTGATGGAGGCGGAAGGCCGTGTTCGTACTTGATGCGCTGGTTGGATTTTGGTTGAGCAGATGTGTTCTGCGGGGTGGATAGTATCGAGGCAATGGATGGTGCGGCAGCTTCAGACGTGTGCCGGCCATTCGTTTCGCGACTGGTGTCCGTGGGATACAGGACAGCAAGGCTCGTACTTGGAGAGTTCATGGTGCCAGTGAGAGACCATCCAATGGCTACGAAACTGATTAGTCTCAACAAAATGTGATTGGCATGAAGCAACAAACCTTGGTTCATCATGGGCGAAGCTGGCCCACTAATGGTTTGACCGCTTGGCTTGTGCCGCAAAGCAGAAGCCACCCTTGCTTGTGCCACGTCGCTGACCCCTTGGGCTGTGAGATATGTTCCCCAAGACAGTTTCCTCCGCCATCCAGGAGACGTGAAGGCGGGCTCAGGTCGCGGGAGCTCTAGAGCGCTCTCCATCTCTTCTCTAGTGTATAAAAGGGGATCTCCGACCCCTTTGGCCTTCTGGTCAAGTACTGTCAGTATATACTTTACACCAGCCCAGTATGTTTCCAGTGATTTGAGGGCCCTGTAACACCTTTGGTAGTTCTGGTTCGCTGCCGAGGCTAGCAATGTATGCTTTGCTGCCTGGTTCTTGTCTATAGAAGTGTCCAGTAGATGGGTCATCCTGTCGCCGTTGGACTGAGAGAACATTTGTTTATCGAGCTTCTGTTGGTCAACAGGGGTCTTCGTCAAGACCCCAGAATCATGGCTTTGGTGAGATCCCGGGGTGGAAGGTCTTGAGTGCGGATTCGAAGAGGCTGAATGCAGCGCGGTCTCTCTTAGAAAGGCACAAGCTGCGACATAGATAGGTTGACTGTCTCAGATGTCAGCAACTGCACCTACACTACCGGAGAGCTTTACGTACCTCGTGAATGGATTACCAAGTGCCGACTTTGAATCTATCAGCTCTGCAAATGATAAAATGTCTGCGATAGTCTTTGCTGAGGACATGGATAATTCTCTGCTGTTGGGTAACAATTGCTGAATGCTCCCTTCGAAGGTCTTGAGTAATGTCGGTTGATGGAGAAGAACAATAAGAGTGTGGAACCAGAAATGAAGAAGAACGAAGTTCGTTCCTTGGTTGACCTTGACGTAGTGCTGGAAGTTGACGGCGTTGAAATGAAGCCTTGGCGAGAGCCCTTGATAGATATCGGTCAAATGGTTCTCCATAGCAGCTAGCTGCGCAAGAACATCCTGCGTGACATGAGACACTTCCTTGATGCTGTTTAGCAGATCTGTTACACGCCCGTACAGGTGGATTATTCGGATCAAGGCTGGGAACGGAACAGGCCAAGCAGTCACTGGATCGGCCTCATCGAGCGATGGGAAAGAGATTTCAATGTCCCGGTCGCGCAGAGTCACGGGCCGTCCAGTGCCAGACGAGATGACACGATCCAGGAAGAAGATTGACCAAAAGGTGTCTACTCGCTCACGCTCAACCGCCCGCTGCTCTTCGATGGCGGATTCGTCTACACTCTTCTCAAATGGTAGGAGCGGCGGAGTTCTCTCCTGTGATGGCTCATGCTTCCCGTTTGTAGGCGCAGTCTTCACAGTCTTAGGCGTGGGGCCGGAACGGCCTTCATATCTCAGGCCTTCTAGTGTCTGCATTCCAAGATCCTGTGCCATGCGAATTGCAATCCCCAAGTACATCCAGAGTCCACTGTCGCGACTCGCACCAAACTCATCGTATGCGAGTAGAAGGGCCGCTTGCACCACAGCAACGCTGGGACACGGGAAGGTGTCAGGAATTGCTGATTTAGCTCGTTGTGCAAATGCCTGCCCGTGCTCTGAAGGATGGACACTGGGGACTTTTCGAAGCTCTGCCTCCGTCTCTGGCTCTGGACTGCCAGTCAACATGGGGTGAGTGGAAAACCGGGCAGCCAATGCGCACACAGCGTCGACTAGGATTGCATCGACTTGCTTTTCTTCCAGATCACGCAAGAAGCGGTCTCGCTGCAAGAAAGGAAAACTGCACCCAAGATGCGTGAAGAAAGTTTTGCACAAATGGGTGATCAAAGGGCTTGGTGACATTGCCGAGGTGTCGTACACTGGGATCTCAATGGGCGTACGAGCCTCCGGCACTTGGACAGGCGAATACTGGCCGTGAGAAGGCTGCACTCCTGGAGAGGACTCAAGAGCTGATTCTTTTATAAGTTTAGTTGATGTTGCAAGAAGCATAGCCTTACCTTCAGACGAGGTGTGCCCAGTACCTTGGCGTTTCCCTCGGACCTTTACCACCATCTGTTTGAAGCCAGGCATGATGGCAGTAGGTCCAAAGTAACGGAAGTATGGCATTCGGTTGCGAGTGCTCAGACTCAAACCAGCGCCTGAGACAGAGTCAGTGGTGATCTTCGCGAGACAGTGGGGATGCCAATTTACCGGCATCTTCCTCGAGCTTTCCGCCGTTGCTGGGTCTTGAATTGTCGGACGGCCTCGCTTTCGAGGAGTCAATAGACCGCTTATGCGATGTTGATGGGCGAGAGTCCTGCGGCGACTGGGCAGGCAGTTTGTGTTTGCGGGGCTGCGAGGATATCGTGGTATGTGAAGCGTCCCCCATCAACGTCTTCTTGGTCACATCTTTGCTGTCTTCCGACACAGGGCTGAAGGGAGCGTCGCCTTCGGGCCCATAGCCACCGCACTCGTGCTTGTTCTGCGTACAGGTCCCACACACCGGGCGTTCGCCTGGAGGCACGGTTAGCAGTGTTCCTCCCCGTCCCCACGGACTGCCCCCGACGCGAGCATGCAACTAACCGGAACATCGCGTCTTCCTCCGCCGACACGTCAAGCAGGCAGAGTTGATCCTGCGTCTCTTCGCGTAGGGCCCGTCATGGTTCGTCACGAAGCGGATGGGCTTCGGCTTGGCAGGCGAGGCATTGGACGCGGTGGTGGCGACGGTGCTGTGATTCATGAAAAAGGCCGGCCGGGTGCCTGTGGAGATGCGCGACAGACTCAAGACACCATTGGGCTGCGGGTTGGGCTCCTGGGGGTGCTGCTGCGCTCCAAGATGAGGTTGCCGAGGCCGCAAGAATGGGGACTTCGAGATGGCGGCTCAGGGTGCACGATGCGGTTTCGTCGGGGTCAAAGGGGCGCGAGCCGTCTGGGCGGGCTTTTGGTGGGAGAGGGTGCAGCTTGGGGCCTCGCGGTCATGGTCCCCGCTGGGCGTCGAGGTGAGCGAGCGGTGCAGCGGGTGTGACAGGCGCAAAAAGCTGGGGTCGGGAACACGAGAGCGGAGAGCGGCCTGCAGCACCAGCGCGTGCCCCTTTAGCCGGTCCTACGCATGAAACGTGCGAATCGCGGAGAGGAAGTGTCATTTCTGGCGCCACGAGCGCTCTAGGAGCCTCGCTGCGTGCCCGGAATAGTCGCAGGCCAATTGGCAGCCATGGGGCTCCCTCGGGCGCTGTTGAGCGCAGGCTGAGGAGCGCAGGCTGAGCACACAGGCAGACGGATGGATGCTTTTTCTTACGAGATCGGCACCAACCCCAGCTTTTGTCATCCGTTAGCTGCGATCGGGCCCAGCTCTGCCGTTTGCCTTTGCGCGAGGTCCCTCTGAGGTCCACCCATCCGGAGCTTCTATCAACGACCACATCGAAACCACCTGCGACGCCACCCGGCCAACCTCACCCATTCTACGGCCATGGAGACTCTGCGGTCTCTGTCCTCCCTCGGGCGACTTTCCTCGCGCCGAATTCCCGCAAGACGAACACATCTGCCCATCGTGCAATGTCTGCATACATCACCGCCACGTCCTGCCAACCCGCTCCCACATCCCGTAGTCTCCGGTGCTCCCCCGGACCCTCCAGTCTCAGACGTAGACGAGCGAGTAGCGCGGAAAAAGCGGCAGGTTGAGCTGCTCAAGAGGGCTCAGGAGCTCCGGGCGAGTCCTTCCAAGTCGAAGGGCGGTCTGCTGAAGCGGTTCTGGAAGGATGTCAGTGTGAAAGAGACCCCAGGTAAGCTCGGAGCCCTGAGCAAGGAGAGTGTACATCTAATTGCGCTAGATGGCCATCAGGTTTTCCTCGATACCCGGCCTGTGCGGACACCCACGAAAGATATCCTCACCGTTCCCCACGGCAAACACCACCTCGCCGCCGCCATAGCCCTCGAATGGGACCTGCTGGTGAGCATACAGCAAGCGCTCAAGACACACAACATCCCGATGACGTCTCTGGCATCACGTGCTTTGGACATACAGGCGGCGGATGCTGACGAAAAGAGCTCGGTGAGGAATGACATTGTCAAGATGATGATGCGCTATCTCGCCACCGACACGCTGCTGTGCTGGGCGCCGGAGAAGAACATTCACGACGCGCCCCAACTGGAGGAGCGGGCGGGCACAGAAACGCTGCGCAAACTGCAAATCCGGGTAGCCAAGCCCATCATTGCGCATCTCACGACAAAAGTATGGCCGGGCGTGGAGATCACGCCAATTACCCAGGAGGACAGCATTCTGCCCCTCCCGCAGCCTGACATGACCAAGGATGTCATTCGCGGGTGGCTGTCCGGACTGCCAGCGTACGAGCTGGCCGGTCTCGAGCGCGCCGTCCTGGCTAGCAAGAGTCTGCTCGTCGGAGTGCGGCTACTTGTCGAGTGGAGCGAACATCTGAGCCATCTACGGGATGAGGCTGCTGGAGATCGCTTCGGCATTGAGGAAGCGGCCGAAGCAGCGAGTCTGGAGGTTCGCTGGCAGACAGGCATGTGGGGGGAAGTCGAGGACACTCACGACGTCGAGAAGGAGGACATGCGCAGACAGCTCGGAAGCGTCATCCTGCTTGTCAGCGGGGACAGTCGGCAGTAGAGCTCGACTCGACGTATGACGGCATGAAAAAATGCCAAGATGTAAAAAAATGTAATATACAGAACTACCCATGCCAACTGAGGGGCTCCGTGACGGTTTTGGCATTGTCACTGCGATATAACCTTGTACATGACATAACATCCTAGCGTGGTATAACCTTACAGCGGGATCATCTTACAACGTGATATAACATATTAGCAACTGATCGTTTTGGCAGACTTGATGCTCTGCCTAGTCCACTCAGGCAGTGGCAGGTGTTCACCCACCAAATGTCTGTCACCCGAATTTTGCTCCATCCATCGAGTCCCCGCACGCATACGGACAATGGTGTAAGCAAGCTTTTATCGTAGTATCGCAGCATCGCAGCGGCGCGAGGCCGAACTTCGCGAAGCACCTACGCATTGTGGCATTATTCCCGCCATGTTTATGCATAATTATCCCAGGCCGCCGCTGCACGCACCTCCATTTGTCGAGGACAGGTGAACAAGGTTTGCCATGCTGCCACACTACCGCTAACTCCCCTAACGGCCTGGCGGTTTCGTCACCCAGGTGGCCGTGCCGTCTCGAAACCCCGCGTCCATTTGTTGGAGCGCATCCAGCTCTATTCCTAAGCAGCACGCTTTTGCTCCCCGAAATGCCGCACAAAGACTGAGTCTGCGCCGTTTTGGATCTGTTGTGCACCAACCCTCATTGCTATCTCAAATCTCACCGCGCGCCGCATCCCCGCAGTCCGTCCTTCACGACTCACCACACAACACTAGAAATGGACGGGTAAGTAGCTGCCACGGCCATGAATGACTCTAGCGACACCACCGCACAGTAGGGGCTCTGCTCTTGTGATCCATGAGCCTGGAATCTGAAGCTCACGCAGAGACTGACAATGCTGCAGGCACAAGCGGTCCAAGTCGGCCAGCGTGAAGCATCTTCTCTCCCGCGTTTCTTCCAAGCCCGACGTCACCGACCTGCCAGAAAACAGTACTTCCCATACTTCGGCGGCAGCCTCGACGACCTCTCTCAGCTCCCAGCAGTCTTCGCTACCTGTCCGGGGCCCTTCTAGCCACATTAGACACCCATCGCGTCCCGGTCACCGACCGCATCTCTCTACGACAATGTCCAACGCCGGAGGGCTGTCCGACAGCTTGGCGCCAGCCTCTCCGAGCCATGGCACGTCTCCTGCCTCGCCGACTACCAAGGGAACCTCGATCGAACAATCCGTCAAGATGTTCAGGGTCTTTGAAGCGTTGCGCAACGGTGATACTGGTGCTATATCCAAGGCCATGAGGGAGCAGGCAGTCCCAGCTGCAGATCCAGACAAGAGCGCGTCGTCAATTGCCCTGTCATCCACCGGTCGTCTGGAAGGGACATCAATATTACACCTGGCTATACAATGTGCTGAAATGCCAGTCATTGAATTTGTCCTCTCGAACTCAACACCAGGATCTGACGGACCTATCGATATCAATGGGAGGGACAAGGACGGCAATACCCCCCTGCATCTTGCCGCAACTCTCGGTCGAGCGCCTGTTGTTCGTACGCTGTTAGATCAGCCCGGTATTAACGATTCTGTCTCGAATTACCTAGGTCAGACGCCTCTAGACCTCGCGCGCACCCCGGAGATATTCCAGCTCCTGCAGCTTGCGAGATCCATCTTTGTTGACACCAACGTGAAGAAAATTCAGAGTCTAGTAGCGGCGGGCGATTTGACCGCCTTGGAGAAATTATTCCAGGACCCTAGAATTCGCAGCACAATAGACGTCAATGGCGGCGAGCTTACGACTGACCCTGTAACACTTGAATCTGGCGGAACCCTCTTACACGAAGCAGCGCGAAGGAGAGATATCAAGCTCATTCAAATGCTTTTGCTCAACGGCGCCGATCCCTTCAGGCGAGACAGGAAAGGGAAACTCCCGCAAGAAGTTACCAAAGATGACAGGACACGAGCAATCCTAAAGCGATCACCCGCAGCACATGCAGCGCAACGAGGGATCCAAGAAAAGACAATTCTTGGCAGCTCAGCTGCACAAGCCGGCTCAAGTGGCGCGGAAAATCCCTTGGGTAGTAAAGACGGTCGCGAAATGAAAGGATACCTCAAGAAGTGGACGAATTACACCAGTGGGTACAAGTTGCGGTGGTTCGTACTCGAAGATGGTGTGCTTAGCTACTACAAACATCAAGGTAAATCAATAAATCTTGGTCGTCAATTGCCCTCAATTGCTTACATGTGATAGATGATGCTGGGTCTGCTTGCCGAGGAGCCATAAATATGAAAATTGCTAAGCTATACATGGATCCTCAAGACAAACAGCGCTTTGAGATTCACGGGAAGTCCTCTGTTAAATACCATCTCAAAGCCAATCACCAGGTAGAAGCAAAGCGCTGGTATTGGGCACTGAACAATGCCATTCGGTGGAGCAAAGATGAGGCTCAAGAGGAAGAAAAGCGTCAAACTCGCGAGGTGGAAGCACTCAAGCAAGCCAAAATAGAACAATTCGAAAAGCGACCCGCCGGCGAAGGAGACTCTTTGAGCATTCATTCCAGAGCTGCACCCAAAAGCTTCGCTCCTTGTAGGTTGCCCTCCTTACTTCTTCGTCATGCCTTCAACTCACACTATTTCTCAGCGGCCGGATCACTTAGTGTGCCATTTGCCATTGGTAGCACATCGAGAACCGGTGCAAGCACTGTAGACGATGACGACTATCCTCCTAGCAATTATGAACTCAGTTACTCTGGTGGAGATCTTGCCAAGTTGCAAAGCCACCTCGGCACTGCTACAGCAGAGGGAGAGGACGACGATGACGATGACTATGGAGACGGCAGTAGTAGTCACGAGGTGCAACCGGCAAGCAAGGACGCCTTTAATATCACCGCCCAGTCTGCAAAACTACAGCTTGATTTGTTAGGGCAGGTGTCTGCGGCCCTCGTTGCAGAAAGAACACGAAATCCCACAATGCAAATATCAGACCCAACGGCGGTACAAGCTCTCACATCGTATGAGTCCGCGGTTGGAAATCTTAAGGCCCTTGTTGGGGATCTTTTGCGGATTGCTCGAGATCGCGACGCCTATTGGCAGTATAGACTTGATCGAGAAGCCAACGTTCGCCGGATGTGGGAAGAGAGCATGGCCCGGGTCGTGCAAGAACAAGAAGAACTCGAAAGCCGTATTGGTCTATCCGAGCTGAAGCGGAGGAAGACCAAAGCCGCTCTCCGCGAAGCTCTCGAAGGATATGAAATGAACGAGTCTCGTCCACTAAGTAGGGACGGAGAAAAGGATGAATTTGCTGAGGCTGAGGAAACACCTACCAGGGAGCCGGAAGACTTCCTGCGACCTAGGGGTACTAACAGGGGCGCTAGCAGTGCTGTTCGACGAAAGTCTACCTTTGTCGACTTGGGAGAGCTGTCCGACTCTGACGCCGACTCTGACGAATTCTTTGATGCAGTGGATGCGGGTGAAATAGAAGTCGTTGAGATGCCGATCTCAAGCCCTGGTATCGGAGCTATAGAGATGCCACCATCCACTGAGGAGTTGTTCGACGATAAAATGGCGCAGATATCGACTGCTTGGAGGGGCTATGAGGATGGTCCTCGGCAGAAGCTAGCGATGGATGCAGATGACAGGCCCAAGATAAGTCTTTGGGTATGTCTCGATGCCTTTTATCGATTAGCCACGATCTAACTCTCACAGGGTATCCTTAAATCCATGATTGGTAAAGACATGACCAAAATGACTTTACCTGTCTCCTTCAATGAGCCTACTTCTCTGCTCCAGCGTGTTGCTGAGGACATGGAATATACCGACCTGCTCGACACAGCGGCTGAACGGATGGACTCGACCGAGAGACTCGTATATGTTGCTGCGTTCGCGGCTAGCGAATACGCTTCAACAATCGCCCGAGTCGCGAAGCCCTTCAATCCTCTTCTTGGAGAGACATACGAGTATGCCCGGCCTGATAAGGGGTATCGTTTCTTCATTGAGCAAGTCAGTCACCATCCGCCGGTTGGTGCTGCCTATGCTGAATCGAAAAAATGGGACTACTACGTAAGTTAACTGTGTCTTCACTCTCTTTAAGTAGGCACTGCTGATACAATATAAAGGGCGAATCCGCTGTGAAATCCAAGTTTTATGGCAAATCGTTCGACATCAACCCACTTGGAACATGGTTTTTGAATCTCCGACCAACTTCTGGTGGATCTGAGCTCTACACATGGAAAAAGGTCACCTCTTCGGTGGTAGGCATCATCACCGGAAACCCAACCGTCGACAACTACGGCCTGATGGAGGTCAAGAATTGGAACACAGGCGAAGTCTGCCAACTTGACTTCAAAGCCCGGGGTTGGAAAGCCTCCTCCGCTTACCAGGTCCACGGCAAAGTCATGACTGCGGACGGCAAACCCCGCTGGAGCATCGGCGGCCGCTGGAACGACAAGATCTACGCCCGCCTCACCCCCGGCTACGAAGACAGCGTGGTCCACCCGAACACCTCGGGCTTGAAACCCGCCGAGGAGAACAAGGCTTTCCTAGTGTGGGAATGCCATGGACGGCCGGCCGGCATCCCGTTCAATTTGACCCCATTCTGCGTTACGCTCAACGACGTGCCAGACAAGCTCCGCCCCATTCTCGCGCCCACTGATACCCGACTCCGCCCAGACCAGCGTGCGATGGAGGACGGCGAGTACGACCTCGCTGCCTCGGAGAAGAACCGTGTCGAGGAGAAGCAGCGTGCGAGAAGGCGAGAGCGAGAGGCGAGGGGGGAGGAGTTTGTTCCGCGGTGGTTCTCGAAAGAGAGGTGCGAGACGACAGGGGAGGAGTACTGGGCCTTTAATGGAGAGTACTGGACCACGAGACATGAGGTTTCGGATAAGGGGGGGAAGTGGGAGGGATTAGAGGATATTTTCTGAAGAGATAGAAGGGTGAAGGGGAATTGTATATCAGAATGGAAGGGAAAGTGGGGAGATGTATGTGCTAGAGTTTGAGTAATGGAAAACTTATTCCTTTCTTGATATTCTCACATGGCCAGATGTTTTGACTTGGGCCATTGTTGGACTAATTTCACGATTGTTCTAATGTCGCTCACTTCTAGGATTGAAAGTCCGAGGCTGTGTAAATTTCACTGCGAGATTAAGTTTGACAATACGTAAATCCATTGAAATATAGGAACATAAATCCCAATCTTCCTGCACAAAAGAAACAAAAAGAGTCCGCACCTCCAGCCCCACCAAGTCACGACCTGAACATCGACGTCATCTGGCCATCAACACCAACGCCGCGCCTCACCAAAGCTTATAGATATACCCACCGGCCCGCTCCTAATTGAAAACCCCGCGATGATCCAGCAACCCTAACCATGCCCGCCCTCGTCCGCAAACTCCTCGTCTTCGCCGCCGTCGACGGCCTGATCCTGCAGCCCGCCCCGCCGCGGAACCACCCCCCCGCGACCCAGCAGGCCATCAAGATCGACTACAAGGGCAACATCGCGCCGCTGCTCAAGGACCGGCGCGAGACGGACACGACGGCCGTCTCGCTGGAGGCGCATGGCATCGTTGGTGAGCAAAGCCCGAAGCCCGCATCCCACAGCTTCAGTAATCTAGATTATAGAATGCGGAAATGGCTGACGCATGCGTTGTTTTCAGGGCTGTTGAAGGTTGCGTCGTCGACGTTCCTGATCTCGATCTGCGGCCGCGAGCAAGTCGCCCAGGTCCGCGGGAAGCCGATCTATGTGATTACAGATGTGGCGCTCATCCCGCTGTCGTCGCAGCAAGAGGCGGATAAGGCTATTGTGGCGGCGAGAGAGCATTTGAAGCGGCACGCCAAAGCGGGCGAAGCGGGCACAGAGGAGGATAACGAGAGCGACGATGATGAGAGCAGGAGTATCACTGGGGACTCGTTGGACGATGAGGCAGCGCCGCCCGTGCATGAGGAAGTGAAGGATGCGGTGACGGGACAGCGGGGGCTGTTGGAGCGGAAAACGAGTGTGGTGGAGGATGTGATCGGGAAGAAGGGGGTCTATGGGCGATTTGCGGATAAGTGGTTCTCGAAGCGCGGGTGGAGTGCTGAGGGACGGCGGATGCAGGGGATGAGTTCTGAGGAGGATGTATCGACAAAGAAGGCGCAGACACCGCCGAATGTGGAGTTGACGCTAGAAGAGTCAGAAGAGGCGGCTAAAGGCCCTGTCAATCCTGAGGATGCGCCGGAAGGGGTCAAAGAGGAGGTTGAGGCGCCAGTGAGCCCGGAGGAGATTCCAAAGGTGTTGGCGCAGCCGGTGGATAGCTCGACGGTGGAGCTGTTGCCGAAGATCTTAAGAACGACGAAGCTGTATTTTAGCTCAAGGAGCTTCTTCTTTTCGTATGATTATGATGTTTCGAGGAGTCTAGGACGGCAGCAGGGGGTGGGGTCTAGTCTGCCGCTTTTCAAACAGTTTGATCCTCTTGTGAGTAGAGATATTCTAAACTTGAGACATTGGCTGACTCCATGGCGTAGTTCTTTTGGAACCGCCATATAATGAGCCCGCTAATAGACGCTGGGCAGTATACGTTTGTCCTCCCACTGATGCAGGGATTCGTCGGTCAACGAGCTTTCACGGTTGACATTTCAGGAGACTCGTCAAAGAGCGCTGTAGTTGACTCTGCTTCAAAACCAGAAGATGTTATTGCTGCACAGCCGGAGGCAGATTCTCTGGGAACATCTCCTGATACAGGTGGTAAACCACCAGCGACCGAAGAACCAGGAAAGAAAGACTTCCTGCTCACTATAATATCACGACGCTCTATCAAGCGTGCTGGTCTGCGTTATCTTCGGCGAGGTGTCGATGATGAAGGCAATGCTGCCAATAGCGTGGAAACCGAACAGATACTCTCCAGGCCGACTTGGAATTCCACTCAAGACAAGATCTACTCGTTCACGCAATATCGAGGTTCCATTCCACTCTTCTTTTCGCAGTCTCCTTACAGCCTCAAACCCCTACCCATGTTCTTTGGGTCCCCAGAAACTAATGCCGCTGCCTTCAAATTACACTTCTCCACCCTCGCCTCTCGATACGGTAGCATTTACTGTGCATCTCTAGTCGACAAACACGGAACCGAATCTAAGATCGGCGAAGCGTTTGAAAAGCACGCAGGGGAGCTCAACTCAGCCGGTGGAATAGACGGCAAAGGAACTCAACTCGGGTTCGAATGGTTCGATTTCCACAACGTCTGCCGCGGGATGCGTTTCGAGAATGTCTCCCTCCTCATCGACACCCTCGGCCCCTTCCTCACGACCTCCGGCTTCACAGTCATCTCCAACGACAAGCCCATCCAGACCCAAACCGGCGTCCTCCGCACAAACTGCATGGACTGCCTTGACCGCACCAACGTCGTACAGTCGGCCTGCGCGCGCACCGCCCTCGAATCCCAACTAGCATCGCACTCCCCATCCATCCACATAGACCTCCACACCGACCCCTCGACCGCCTGGTTCAACACCCTCTGGGCCGACAACGGCGACGCCATCAGCAAACAGTACGCTGGTACCGCTGCCCTGAAAGGCGACTTCACACGCACCCGCAAGCGCGGCGTCGCGGGCGCCCTCGCCGACTTCGGCCTCACCCTCAACCGCTACTACAACAATATCGTCAACGACTACTTTGCGCAGGCCCTCATCGACTACCTCCTCGGCCGCGCGACCGACTCGATCTTCGCGGAGTTCGAAGCTGATATGAAGAGCGCTGATTACGCGGTCGACTTGCGCAAAGTGCGGCAGGCAGCCATTGAGCGCTGCGCTGGCATCGTGATTGAAGACCCGGAGGAAGATCTCGTCGCGGGCTGGGCGCTCAGCTGTCCCAGTGCCGCGAATTCGCTGAAGACGGCGCGGTTTGAGGAGGCGGTGCTGCTGCTGACGGACCAAGCACTCTACTTCTGTCGGCTGGACTGGGGCACGGAGAAAGTCGCGGCGTTCGAGCGGATAGCGCTGGACCAGCTGGACGCCGTCAGTCGGGGCGTGTATATCACGAGTACGCTGGCGAAGCGGCATGTGGACGAGGCCAAGAACGTGGGCTTTGTGCTCAGGTATCGCGCGGAGCTTGGCAAAGAGTTGGTGCGGGTGAACACGAGGAGTTTGGATAGTGGGGTGCAAGAAACGACGGCGAAGGGAAAGGAGGAGGGCAGGTTCCTGGCGTTCAAGGCGCTGCCGCCCAAGAGTAGCTTTGGGGGTGGGGACGGGGCAGACGAGGCGGTGAGTGAGGGGGAGGTGGTAAAGTTGATTTGTGAGGAGATTGTAGCTGTTGCTAATAAGGCGAGGAAGGGTGAGAAAGGGGCAGTGGAGGGAGAGAGAGAGGAGGGGCAGGGAGTAAAGCCATTGGTAGAGGAGGAAAAGGATGTTATTAGTCTGGTAGATGCGAAGAAGAGCACTGGGTATTTGGAACAGCTGGGATACTCGCTCAAGAAGTTTGTGTGGGCGTAGATAAATATACTGCAGTACTAGGATATGAGTTAGGCAAAGCACCCTTTCGACTGTCTTTTGCCTTGTTGCATTTCAAAAAGGCACGAATTCCGGATGGCGCCATGCGCCTCTGTTTTCAGCTATTTACTCAAATCTATAAATACAGTGTAGAATACGGAGACCCTGCAACACGCTGGAAAAGAGTTCAAGTCGTAGGTCGAAAAGGCAAATAAACCTCGGGGAGGGTGTTTAGGACGAAGAGACGTCGTTCGCGGCCCCTGCCAGGATCACCGATGCACCTCGTGTCCCACCAAACACCACAGCATTCCCTGCTCAACCGACGTCATCGTTCACGAACCCTGGCAGCGAGCATACATAAGAGCTCCCGCGAGGTCTGGAGCAGACTGCTAACTGCACAGAACTCATACACTCACACCTACTACATCAGTATACCACCATTGTATATCTCAAATAAACTAGCACAACTTCAGCAACTCGACCATATCATATCAGCCAAAATGTCCTCCAAAGAAAACCAAACCCAGCCCGAGCCTCAAGAAGAGGAGGAGCAGAAGGGGTCTGGAGGTATGCGACCATATCTCTATCCTTCACACGGCATCTAACTCATATACTAGGCTTCCTTGCCCCCCTGCTCGATCCCGTTGGCAAAGGTCTTGAAACCGGGCTCAAACCCATCGGCGTACCGTTAGGCTATGTGACCAAGCCGCTCGGCGACGCTGTAGGCGGCATCACCAAGCCCGCCCTAGGCCCGCTGGCAGGGTCTCACGACGAGAAGGCCGAGCCCCTGGGCGGCGGCAACAAGGACAGTTATGAGAGTAAAAAGGAGAGCATTGGCGGCAAGTTGCAGGATGGCGAGAACCCGCTGGGTTTGGATCAGACTGGGAGGTGGGGGTTCGCGGATGAGTAGATGGGCGATCACTTAACGTTCATCTTGACTAAGTTGGAGTTTGGCTTTCTGTATCAATAACTTATGGTGCGTTTAAATGTGTGGTGAAAATCCTGGGGCCACAACAATGATGAGCTCTACATTTTATCAAACACATTCGTTCCCGACCATCCCTCAACTGGATTCCCATGCGTGCGGCCCAGCAACCCTTCCATCTCTTCATCCTCCATATCCTCTCGTAAGCTCTCGAGTAGCACGCTTGCCTCTGCCTCTGCGCCGTGCATGAGATCGAAGCTTTCCTCGCTTTCGCTCCTCCCGCTACTACTCATGTCGATGCCGCCATCCCACCAACGGGCTTGTTCGCCAACCCAATCGATTCCGCCACCACCACCCGTGTGTGGCCGTCTTATGACTTCTTTTTCTTCTAGAGCGAGAGCAGGGAAGACTGATTTCGGAGGGAGGATGGTTCGACGATGCCATTCGCCGACGAACATGCCCTCTGGGTCGACCTCGTTGCGGATGCGGAGGTATGCCTGTAGATCGTCTCCGTACATGGAATCCAGCACCTCGTATGAGATTTGCGACGTGAAATTCTTCGCCCAATGCGGCCGGCCACCCATTTCACGCATTAGCCACTCGAAGGCCTCGTAGTAGCGCGCTAGACATGGCGGATCCTGGCCGTAGGGGCGGTAGAGGGTGGCGTTGAGGTAGAGCGTAGGGCCATCCTTGACTGTATTATCAAGGTAGGGCCGCGGGTCTGCAGACGTGGTATCTGAGACGCGGACTTCGATGGGTGAATGCACCCAGAGGCCTTTCGGGCTGAAGGGAATACCGGATCCTTCTTGGTCGCCGTGCAACCAGTCGGTAAGACGCGTGAGAGCTTCGGGGCCCTTGTGCAGGGGTAATGCCCACTCATTGACGAATTGCGAGTAAAGACAGTTCATGAGGAGACCAGTCCGCAGTTCTTCAACTGCAGAGATTGTGAAACCATCCTTGAAGCCGTACTGCATGCCGAAAACAAACCACTCGACCCACGGTAGTAGTCGAGGGACGTATTGGGAAGCCCACAACAGTATATGGTAGGTGTGGTAGCCCACACCGCCTCCGTACCAGTTATATGCGGGTGCTCGCGGTGGTTTTGTCGTCTTCTCGGCTCGCCAAACGATTGCTCTCTTCATGTACGGCATCCACCAGACCCGGGTATATTCTTTCTGAGTCCAAAGATCTTGCTCCCAATCGCGCAGTACGGTAGAGGTAGGCAGAATCGTCTGTACCCATTCAATATCAGAGGCATCGATCATCTCGAACTCCACTTCCACCACAATCCCTAGCGCACCCAGACTAACCAACGCAGCTCTAAATATCTCTTCATTTTGCTCCTTAGAACACTTAACGCTCTGTCCATTAGCCATGACAATCCTCAAGCTCTTTACAGACTGCGCTAGTAAGCCATGCCGCGTCGAACTCCCATGCGTAGCCGTGGCAATAGCGCCAGCAATCGACTGCTCGTCTATGCTCCCTAGGTTCCGCATCGTGAGCCCATGCTTTTTCGCACTCAAATTCAAGTTGTGTAGCCGCATGCCCGCCTGCACCAGCAGCGTCTTCTTGCTCTTGTCCACCTTCAGCACACTCGCAAAGTCGTCCAGATTGACCATCCACGCGCTCGTGCAGGTCAAGTCGGACGGCGAGTGCGCGCATCCCACGACGACTATCCGCCGCCGCATGCGCCGCGCCAGCGTCACGATCTTTTGTATCTCGGGCAGCGTCTGCGGCCGGATGTAGAGCTCCGGGCGCGAGTGGAAGGTTCGCGCCCACGTGTGGTGGATGTAGGTCTGCGAGGCGCGGAAGGGGACGGTCGTGTCGAGCTTCTCGAGCTCGATGGCCATGCGCGAGGCCATGCTGACTGGGGATACTGGGGTGAGGTCCATACCAGCGGGTCGTTCTTGGTGGGTCGTCCTTTGGTGGCGGGAGTGCCTCTGGGATCTTGCGTTGTAGAGGATTCCAGCGCGCAAGTCGTGAAGTGGAAAATCAGATGACTGGAATCGCAACAGCGCGGATTCGTAGCCAGAGCCGCCTGATGGAAGACATAACCGCGCCGAGAGTGGTGACGTTTGAAGGAGAGAAGAACGCGGCCCGATGGTGAGCTGTTTGGGCGTACTAAAACATACCTAGGCATTTAGTCAGCACGGTTGATACAAAGGTATGTAACTAACGTAGTCGGCAAGCAAGTGGGCCACCCCATCAAAACCGCAGAAAACGCGACGCGTTATACAACTACAACCTCAATGGTCACCCCACAACAGCAAGAAGGCCCCTTCGGAGAGGCTAGAATTGCCCTAGCTATCGATGCCCATAAGCAAGGCCATTTTACAAGTATCCGGTCTGCCGCAGCGACGTACGATGTACCCCGAACAACAGCCCGGCGACGCGCCCACGGTACCACGCCAAAACGCGGTTCTATTGCCCAGAATCGCCGTCTTACTCCAGCACAAGAAGAGAGCCTTAAGCAGTGGATTCTATCAATGGATCAACGCGGTAGGCCACCACGAATTGCGACTGTACGGCAGATGGCTGGCCTGCTAGCTACACAGCACCCAAACGCGCAACCAGTTGGCGAGCGATGGGTATACAACTTTATCAAGCGCCACAACGACCTACAATCCAAATGGAATCGCAAGTACGACTACCAGCGTGCTAAGTGCGAAGATCCTGTCGTTATTCGCGCCTGGTTTAAGCGCGTTCAAGACATTAAGATCCAATATGGCATTCTTGATGAAGATACCTGGAATTTTGATAAAACCTGCTTCCAGATAGGCATTATTGCAACTGCCGGAGTTGTTACAGGAACCGACAGGGCTGCCCGGCTTCGAACAATACAGTCAGGCAATCGAGAGTGGGTTACAATCATCGAGTGCATCAACGCGTTGGGGCTCGCGATTCCACCGCTCGTCATCTTCGACGCCGTAATGCACCAAGCTGCTTGGTACGAGGATGATACTATTCCACGCGACTGGTCAATTGGCGTCAGCGAGAATGGCCGGACAACAGATGAGATAGGCCTTACCTGGCTATCTCTATTCCATAAGCATACAAAGGATCGCACCGTTGGCACGCATCGGCTGCTTGTATTGGACGGCCACAACAGCCATATCAATGCCGAATTCGATCAGTATTGCTTGGATCACAACATTGTTCCAATCTGCATGCCGGCGCATTCGTCTCACCTGCTGCAGCCGCTTGATGTAGGCTGTTTCTCAGCACTTAAGCAGGCCTACGGACGCGGCGTTGAACAGATGATGGCCGGCGGCGTCAATCACATCGATAAACACGAATTCTTGCCATTGTACAAGCAGGCCAGGCAAATAGCGCTGCATCAAAACAATATACAGGCAGGCTTTGCAGGCACTGGCCTTGTTCCATACAATCCCGATCGCGTGCTGGCACAGCTGCACCCCGAATATCAGACGTCATCTCCCCATCGCCGTCCGCACTCGAATGCATCCTGGGCAGCTGAAACACTACACAATCTTACTGGATTAGAGCAGCAAACAGCCTTGTTAAGGCGCCATCTCAAGCGCCGTACGCATAGCCCACCAAGTCCAATAGAACAAGCCCTTGGCCAGCTTGTTAAGGGGTGCGAAATGGTGATGTCAAGCGCTGTGCTACTTGCAGCGGAAAATGAGAGGCTGCGCATGGAAAACCAACGCCAAAAAAAGGAAGAAGAAACAGCGGCGCATGTATATAGTTAGAGGCATGTGTACTTCAACTGAACATACGGCACGTACGTGCCCTAGACGGCAGGCAACTAGCTAGTAGATAGCTATATACAATACAATTGTTCGTTGTTGTGTGACTCAGATGCTTGCCGACTCCGTTACAACTTAACGTCCAATTGGACCTCCTTTCTGGACACATTCAATTGACTGAACTTTTTGATAAGTTAGGCTCTCAGAGAGCTCCTCTTAGCATCACTGCTAGAAAGAATCGAGTCGTTGAGGATTACGTATACGGTGTCCTTACAATATTCTATTCCCCATTCGCAGTACCCTAGGGCAGACAGGACCTCGGATAATGACGAGTCGGACCACTACACCTTTCCTTACTTCTCTATACCTCTCTAAACGCCTTTCACGTACCATGAATCGTGGGCCGGGATTAGGAGTTTTCCTGAGGGACATGACCCCATATCCTTCAACTTATCATGTTACAATGATCCAACCCGCTTCTCCACCTCTCCACGTCCTCATTCCCTTCGTACTACCCCCACAAGTCCTTAGGGTTCATTCACCTAGAAGTAACGAAGACGCGTAGACGACTTGTAGAAAAGAATGTTCTGGCTCGTCATCGCGCGTAATCTCTCAAAGACCGCGATTCCAGATTCCACCCCGGTCAATATCAGAGTTTGAGGCCAGCGAAAATGCTCCGGGTCCACCCGAATTATCCCCGCATGAGCCTACGCCTCCCAAACTATCCCCGAAACGAGGCGTAGGCCTCTGGACGCCCCCCAAGTAGGTGGCGGCGTATGACCGAATGCCCTCAAGCCTCGCGCTCACGACCAGGGTGCTCCCTGGCCGACTCGGCCTTCCTTCGGGACAAGTAGTATATTCGTTCTCTTTTGTTTTAGATGAAAGCATATAAGACTATCGTTGCTTGCTTCGTATCAGCTACCTCTTCTACACCATAGTCATCCAGTGTACAGAACATACCTAGTTATACTCGGCCCCATATAACACACATCACACAAGTTACTTGACAACATATCAATACAATAACAACAATGCCGGCCTCTATCCACCGAACGTCTGCAGACCGCCCATCCACATCCACCCAATCTTCCTTCACCAACCAACCCGAAAGCACGACTTCAGCTTCTTCTACAAAATCTGGACGGAATCCCCTCCTCAAAGCCCTCAAAGCACCCTTCCAGGGCTGGTCGACATCACTCCTAGCCGCCAAAGAGGATCTCGATGACGAGTACAACTTCGCTAGCGGAAGGAGACGGGGAGCGGATTACAACTTCCCTAGTGTAGGGAGGAGAGGGTCGGAGGAGTAGATGAGACTTTGATATAAGGAGTCAGAAGGATGGGATCGGGCGGATTGAAAGCGGGCTGGGGAACCACAGGCAGCTGTGACCTAGCATGCACACCTTCGCAAGTGTGTCTCACCAAGGAAATGAAGAGAGATCTGCGGTCATCGGAGGGGAAGAAGATGATACGACGGAATGATGTGCTCTATACCCATTTCTATACAGTAATACCACGACTGGGTTTTCCTCACATTCTTTCACGTGACACTCTTTACGCATCATGATGAGCACGATCGAGCTATTTGGAACAGCCACTGAGTCCTGTACTTCTAATCTAAGCGAGCGAAATGTTGACTTTGTCCAAAAGCATCGCTACATCGAGGAGTTACATCCTAGCCCATCCAGCGCATCTAATCCAATCACTTCGACTCACGCTAATCAACCTTCTCATTCTAACCCACTCCACCAAATCCCTTCTCCCATTGCAATTCACTTCAACTCACAAGCCACTACGCTCTCCCCTACTGCCCCATACGTCCACACTCCCAAAATCCTAAGCCCACATCCCTCCAGCAGGATGCGCCACTGCTCGCGCGTGCGCTCCATAGCGCCGAGACAGCACATCATAGTCATGTCCAGCTGCACCGCTTGCCAGGGGACGCCGGCGTCTGGGAGGACCATCTCATCGATCAAGAGAATGGAGCTAGAAGACATGGCGGCGGTAAGGTGGGACAAGATAGTAACAGAGGCGGCGTCGGGCCAGTCATGAAGGATGTTGCGGAGGTAGTAGTACTTGGCGCCTGTATTGTACGTTTAGAACTGGGGCTGAGAGAAGGGAAGGTCTGATACACACCTTTGATCGGCTGCGGCTTGAAGAAGTCATGCGCCATCAGTTCAACCCCATCGTGGGGGATCGCGCCAGCAAGCGTCTCAGGTATGTCCTGCAGGATCACGCGCCCGGGGATGGTGGGGTGGCGTGTCTTCAGGGCAATTACCTGGTCGCCGATCCCGCCGCCGACATCGACGAGGAGGACGTCTTTCTCGGTGATGGGCTGCTTGGCACACTCCTGTGCCAGTGGGTAGACATCCAGCCAGATCTTTCGGCCAGTGCGGTCATATGCTAGGTACTTTCCGAAGTAGGAGAGAGCGCTTGGGTTTCCTTGGGCCCAAGCGAAGACGGTGAGGTCAGTTTTGTAAGCGACTTGAAAGGGTGTGTCTTTGGGATCGGTGATATCTTGATACTTGCGAGAGGCAAGGAAGTCTGGAGCGGCTTGGAAAGCTTTGTTGAGGTTGTCGAAGCTGGGAGTTGGGTTAGTTGGCGTTAGGAGGAGAGGGAAAGTTGTATGTACTAATGGTGAGCACCAGCTTGAAACCCTTCTTCGGACATTGACTTGGTGATGTGGTTTGCGGTGAACGTATTGGCGCCAACTTCTTTGACCATGGAGAAGGCAGCGAGAAAGCGGAGGAGGCGGCCTAGAAAAGTGTGAGTAATTTTTATATCCATAGCCGTATAGGACGTTGGTCTAACCCAGGAGCACTGGAGAGGCACCCGTCTGCTTTGCGAGCTGAGAGACGGTCAAAGGGATAGGAGCGCTTTCAACGAGCGCCTCGAATAACTTCAAGTCCATAGCTACTCTAGCTATTGCAAGACGGAGGTTCTAGTGACTTGTTAGTAGTCATAGCTCGAAGAAATATATCCAAAAGCTGTATCAGAAAGGTGGTACCTACAGAATATATCGTTCTGTTCAGTGTATCGTGCGGCGATTCCACAGAGTACTGCAGCTCGCGGAGAGAGTCGAGAATCTTTCTTCTCTCGACATCATCGGCGGTGCCAGCAATCGTCTTCACCTCAGCAGCTAGCTTCTCCATTTTCTTCGCCTTTGAAGAGTGGAAGAAGGATAGGCAACTCATTTCGAACTTGATATCAGGAGTTGAAGGTCTTTGGACTTTTAATCGATTTATATCATAAAGTTTGAATGTATACGGAAACTGCTCCGTCGTGACGTGATGACCATTCTGGACGTATGTTTATATTCGGTCAAAGAATGTCGAAATAAGGACGCGCTAAATTGATTTACATTGACGGGTAGCGGAAAGGACGGTAAAATGTGCACAAGATCCTTGATCCTTCGCACGAACGCGAACCTTCCGAGGCCCCGCGCCAATGAGCCCACGTGGGTCCACGAGGCCTATTGCGGGACCGCCATATCTTGGTGATCCTTTCTGCTAGATAGTGGACGAGGCTCCCGGAAGGATTGATAATTGATGCGAGAGAACATGAGTGTGGACTGATTGATACGTCAAGAATGCATCAGATTACCGTGATCCTCGAGCTGGTTTCCTGATCAGGGGGAGAGGTTACTACCTAATTGGAGCGGTTGCATTTGTAGCGGTCGGTGACACCGTCTCACTCGAATTGCACTGTAATTCTTCCTATTTTGAAGAGTCGTAATAGTTTCGTGGACATTGAATTAGGGTCAGTTACCTCCATGCGTCGTCCCCTTCCTGATTCAGTGCGATCTTGTCAGCGTAAGGTGTTAGTGAATCGAAGATATAATTGAAAATTGTCTGTGATCATTGAGACATTCAGCAACGATAGGCGGAGTGAAAGTGATAATTAGGGCGTCCAGATGCTGTCATCGACAGGGTAGGGGTGTAGTGGAATCGGGTTCCTGTGTTGATCCTATGCACGCTGCCATTTCAGCTCCTGGACAGGGTTCAGAAACTCTAGATGCTACCTCATAGCTTGGTAGGCCTTGTGCTATAGAAAACAGCGGCAAATCGCTGGAGCTTGCCGAGTATACCTTGCCGGTGCTCCCCGGGATACACTAATGTTGAAATCATGTATAAGAAAGACTGGGCGAAGAACTTGAGTAGTTATAATCAAAATATTGGTAGACTTGATGAGGAATATAGGAACGGAGAGCTCGTATGTCTTCCACATCTCCAAGCAGATAAGAAACGACCGTCAGCGTATCATACCTACATGATGCAATCCATGACCTTCCTGATCCAATTAATGATGCGTTTCAAGGATCAGGAGTGGTGATAGCCGTATACCCGATCAACGCTGCCATGCACAGAAAGCTGTCGGAGCAACATCATCGCTGGACAACATTCAGGGGTCTGTGGAGGAGTGCAAATACGGTAACTTGCCGTCGGACTCGGACTCAGCTTTGCTGCAATTGGCGAATATAGCAAAAGGGCACATACACGGTCCGGTAGCTAAGACGTTTAGCATCTCCTCCGCACTCGCACGACATCCCATTCGGCATCTTTAGGTAGTTGTGAGAAATATCCTTGTGGAAACTGATGCTAAATCCAATCGTTTGATATGCATGCCAGTGGTCTTTTATCTTTGAAGCTTGATCGCAGTGTTTAGAGCGGAGCAGGCTGGGCTCTGAGGAAATTCAGAGGATGCCTCAGAGGTGGCTGAAGCCTGTGATGGAGAAAAGACGTTGATGCGGTGTAATTTTCGCGTTATTTCGACTTTTTAGAGACGGCCCGATGAATCCCTGCCGCCTCCTAGAGTTCCACCTTCTTCACTAACACAAACCGGCATGCGTACGCACTCATTGGAAAAGAATTATCTTCTGTATCTGAAACGTCCGATAGATGCTTCATGTTGAAATTGAACCACCATGGTTGAGCACTTTCCTCCGATGATATGGCAACGTTAGTGACTAGATTTCGATAACACATTGAAGCACCCCGAATAACGGCGACGTAGACCAATCGTAAGCGTTCGAATCCACTTCGATTTGCACTTTCGAGACTTTTACATCTTCTCCGGATTGTTAATCTTGCACTGAAGCACCTCAGACAGTGGTGAGCATGTGTGCACAAACAGCCCATCGGCCTTGCTGCGATGTCAAAACCTGCCTCCCGACGCTTCCTCGACCTGGCGACAGCGATTTCTTTTTAGCACCAGATCATTTCCCGATCTATGGTGTTCCTAGGCCCACGATATCAATTATTTCCTCTTAGATCAGCAATATGGCTGTTCTTCTACCCGGTCCCGTGAGGCGTCGCCTGAGGTACCTCGATACCGTTCCCGTAATCCAAGCGAGATGTAAGCCAATGGTTTCGACAAGCCTGGTAACTACCTGATGACGCACCTCGGAAGGTGTCAGGTGATATTAGTGCGTCTTTTTGACATTGGAATTCTGTCATATTGCCGCAAGCTTGATAAACGCTGCAGCACATCAGTCCGCTACTTTGTGAAGTGCCTCAATATTTATAGGATATGGTAACGAAGAGTATACTAAGACACCTATTTGGGCATCTCGTCTTTCCATCTCTTCCAAAATCATGATGATGTGTTGAAGCCTTACAAACAACGGTAAATAGGCCGACGGTAAGCAGCTGAAACCTCTCTGATTCAAGCTCTGAAGACCTTTACATCTTATCGGAATTTTATAGTACGCCGAAGTACCTCAAACGGCGGCGAGCGAGTGCACACAGACTTTTGGCAATGTATACCTTAATGATTTTGCGCAACCTTGAATCTCGTGAAGGCACCTCCCAAGGCGTTATCCTGGAAAGTTGTCACGAGCAACACGTATACCAGGAGCTGTTAGTCTGTAGGTAAGTTCTTGTTCTACTCTTTTTTTCTCTCAGGAGTCTTGATAATTGTGTACTAGTGTACACTTGTAAACTGCCTCAACATGTTTTTGAAACTCTGGATGAGAGAGATACCCTGACGGTTCTGCACAGCCTTAATACTCGTGAGAGCACCTCGCATGGTGTTATGCCAAGCTGACGATATGCAGTTCGCGTACACACAGGACTGGATTTAGCTCGGTCAAACCGGAGAGTCTAATGTACAGTTCAGCAATCTTTACATCCTATAATCGCTTTTCCCCCACATCTTGGGGCGCTTCAAAGCATCTACTAGGACCCCATCTCCCGCACGCGTGACCACATCCACCTCACTTCGCGCAACGTCCACTACTCTTCCATCGTCCTCTACCGCTAACTAAGCCTAATTTTAGAGCTTCAGAAGAGATATTCGCATCTTCTGAAGCTCGTTGGCTGTACTCTGGCGGTGCTGACCTAGTAGCAAAGACAGTGTCGTCACTCTCCCAAGTACGCGGTACTTTCTACATCTGTTTGGCACTGAGCCGCTCTACCCGCTCCTGCCAATGCGCAAAGATGGAGGCCCTCAATTTGCATCATGTCCGGCACTACTTTCCTCACTTCTTCACCACATCACGCCTTCCTTGACATCTTCAAACAGGTGTCAAAACACTTATATCCGTGTCCTGATTTAAACTATTCTTCCACATCAGCCATCCAACATCAACGTCACTAATCCACGCCCGATTCATTATTACCATCTCCTCACTCTTCAAATCACTCCTCGACATCGTCAACTTTTCCACACTCGACAATGAGTGGTAGCTCCCCCACGGCCGCCGACGCCCGCGAAGATGTCGAGGCCGGAAAGCCAGCATCGCGCCCCAAGCCGTTCCTCCCGGACTGGCCAGGCTTTGGGCCACACTTCCGGGCAATGTCATTTGACATAACAATCTTCTGGCTTCTTGCGCTCGCGTCACTTGTTCTGTATCTTAAGCCGCCAGGGTTGGCACGCCCATTACTCTTTGTGCTTTATCAGGACGGACTGCCCGATAGGTTAGACATTGCCGTCCCTTACGCCGACGAGATTCTCGACACCTATGCGTCCGCCGGCATCGCGACCGGTGTTCCTATGTTTGTGATACTTGTGGTGGAACTGGGGTGGATCCGAAGCTTTCGAAGCTTAGAGGCTGCTGTACGTACCCTATTTGCGTCTCCTTAAATCGGGCTGAGGCACCTCACAGAGTGGCATACCAGTGTGCACACTTATCAAGTCTCTTGAGCTCTTTACATTTCCTCAAATTGGGTTGAAGTACCTCACACATTGGCAAACCAGTGTGCACACTAGTCAATTGCTGACAACGCACATAGACTGGAGGCTTCCAGATGGCTCTTGTATGCACATCCTTTGTCACCACCGTACTCAAGGTGACCGTGGGTGGCCTACGCCCTCACTTCCTCGCCGTCTGCAATCCGGACCATGCTATGCCCGGGATTGGCTACGCAAACCTCTACTACACCCCCATAATCTGTAACGGGAGCAACGCTCACGACATCCTCGAAGCCCAAATGTCCTTCCCATCCGGCCATGCTTCCAGCGCATTCGCCGGCGCCGTGTACCTCTGCCTATGGCTGAACGCAGTACTAAAGATCTTCTCCGGCTGCCGAACGTCGTACTGGAAGCTGCTCGTGTTCTTTGTGCCGCTGCTCGGGGCGATACTGCTCGGACTGAGCAAAGTGGCTGATAGCTATCACCACATGTCGGATGTAATTACCGGTGCCGCTATCGGGATCTTTTTCGCACTGCTAGCGTACCGGGGTGCGCATGCGAGTATTTGGGACTGGAGGTAGGCCTCTTCCGCTCCTTTTTACGCGTCTCGGTGGTTACTAATGTTGCTTGTTCGCGAAGATATAACCACATGCCGCTGAGTCGCACGGTGCCTTTCGACTACGAGGCCCCCTACGTGGAGGTCTCAGACCTCCGGGATTTCCGGGCGAGATCTCCGGTCGAAAATGGGGGTTGATGGAGATGTTCGGGCGGAAGTCTGATGAATGGATGGCTATTCCCTTTCTTTTTTTTCTCCTTGCGCCGTGATCTCTTTTACGTTTCCTAGTTGAAAGACCTTTATAAAAGGCACATTAATGTCGAAAGTGTACCCATTTCTTCTGCAAGCATTTGACGCTGCGTGACCTCTTCTAGACGTAATGGCTCCCCTTCACGTGGTTGTATATGCGACTAACACTCACGAAAGCAGCGCGTTCCAAATCGTCCTATCCGCACGATCGTTTTGGGCAAGTGACTACCGCGTTGGAGCGCCCCTGGACGCTGTAAATCAGGCGATCGTGCTGGGACATGCATAAAGCTTTGGGAAGCTTTGGGGGAGCTCCGGAGGTGGGAGGAACAAAACAGGTAGGATGTAAAGATCCAGAGGCTGCAGATTAGGAGGTTAGTAACTGGACCGACAAAGCGTACCTTTCGTGTGTCTTTCTACTAGTTTCAACGAAAATAGGTATACATAATGGGCCCCTTTGCGTGATTATAACCTTTTTAAAAGGGCTATATGCCCAGTCTGTGTACACCCTAAAGCCGCTGTCTGAGGTGCCCCGGCGAGTCTACTAATGCTTCCAAGATATGAGCTTTGCAATTCTGAAAATACCTTGAAGGACCTTAGACAGCGTCAAAGAAGTGTAAGCAGTGAAAAGTTGAATGCGTCTTTGCTTAAGATTAGAGGTCTATGATTGGCCAAACGATAGCTAAATGATATTGAAAGCGCACCTCTGCGTAGTTGCAAATGTGACTTGATGGCCCGTTTCGTGTGCTTACCATTTTTTACGCATCGGCGCCCTCTATGTGGGTTTAGACTACTAAAAGCCACCCTCTGCGTAATTATAATTGTGACTTCATAGATCCTCTACGTGGGAAGAAGAGTAAACAAATGGGCCTGTCCGCGTGGTTAGAAGTTTGACAGCATAGCACCCTCAATGTGGCTGATTGTATAACTTAATGGCCCTCTTTGTGTGGTTAAGAACGTAGTAAGATAGCCCACCTCTTCGTGGTTAAAGAGGTTACAAAAGCAACTACATGTTCGCAGCCTTTACGGACGTCCCAAATCGGGTTATGTGGTGCTGCCGCATTGGGAGTGCACGCGGTCTTGAAGAACCCCTGGGTGTTTGAAAGTTATAAAATTGTAGATGTAAAATTTAGTAGAACGTGAATTAGATAATCTAATCTCTATTTTCCTTCCTCTGCGTCTTTTGACCTCAACGTCCCATCGCTTTCGTTCTGTTGGCTCCTTATAGCCTCCAGAACATCGAGGCCCATACCAGTCTTGGGGCCGGTGAAGTTCTTCCGCCCATCGACGAACCATTGGACGGTGCTAATGATGAGGATGATTGCGAAGGCGACGACGCAATAATCTAGGCGCATTAGAACCGTTGTTCGTTGAGGATAGGGATTAAACTTACTCATGTTGCTGCCTGTAACAGGGAGGTCTGGGGGAAAAACAAAGAGTACCGTTGTGACGATCACATAGGCAATGCCGATCAAATTCGCGGTCCATCCAAACCAGGTAGGAAGCACGAAAGCCCGTGGCGGAAGTTTGTTTCGCCCCTGTAGACAGTTTACCGCGATTGGCATGGCATAGCTGACGCCCAGTGCTACAACTGAAGCGGAAATGATGGCGTTGAATGCGCTGCTTGATCCAAGGAAAATGCAGCCAAAGATGACAACGAGCGCGGTCGTCAGGTAGAGCGCGTTGAGGGGAAGATCCAGCTTTGGATGCACCTTGGCGAAGAATCTCGAGTAGGGGAGACCACCGTCGCGAGCGAATGCGTACGACATCCTGGACGAAGTCGTCATGATGGAGGTCGTAGCGAACAACAAACAAACGAGTGGGAACATTAGAAGGCAGATAGCTCCCGCGTGGCTTTGAGTCGCGTTGAAAAGGATTTGAAGAAGAGGACCTGCCGCAGAGGTGGTCACAGTTGATACGTCACCCGCGACAAACAAAAGGACGGTCAGGAAAATGAAGCCAGTGAACATTCCAATAGCGACGCAAGCTATCATGATCTTTGGTCCCTCGGTGGCAGCGTTTGGAATCTCTTCAATCATGTGAGCCACGGCATCGAAGCCGGTTAGGCCGAGACCGCCCTGTAGCAATCCTAATAACCAGGCGATTCCATCGGGCCAGCCAGTCTCGTTGATGAATTGCCGGAAGACGAAGTAGCCGGAGGAGTAGTTCGGGGATGCGCAGGCTAGACAGGTTATTGAGATGATGCAGAACCCGCCAATGGACCATGTGATAGCGGCTTTGTTGACGTAGGGGAGAGACGAGTTTAGAAAAGCGTTTACAACGAAGGCGAAGATGTTGTAGCCGATGTAAATCAGGAATTGGTGCCATCTCTGAGGAGAGTAGTTCGGATTCATCAGGGATATAACACCCACGATAAGCTGGGAGCCCAGAAGACCACCTGATGCAACCAGCGCGATCCACCCAGATACGTTGATCCAGCCAGTAATCCAAGAGAGAATCGGGACATATTGTTTCCAGCTGATAACAGCAACCCAATGGTACTGCCCGCCGGCGGTGGGATATGCGGACAGGAACTCGGCGAGAGAGGCTGCTAGGCAGAGATTGCATATACCGGCGGTGACCAGGCCCCAAATCACACTTGTTGAGCCACCGGAGGGCAGGGCCAGAGACAGAGAAGCAGAGAGAGCGGTCCACGAGTTGAGGATTGCGAAAGCCAGGCCAAGCATGGCAAGCGGGGAGAAGTTCCTCTTCAACTCTCCCCTGTGGCCGAGAGCTTCGAGCTGAAGCTCGTCGGTGGTTTCCTGTGGTTCGCCCATGGTCAGGATCGGAGCAAAAAAGGTAATATCAAATGCCAGAAGATTTGCAACGAGCGATGGGATATATTAGCAGAAATGGACGTTGCGCTATGGGCATTCTTAGAGCCCGCCGGTGTCCGTTCGGACGACGGGTGGCAGATAAGGATATCGTACGGGTCTCTGTCCATGGCTTTGGTCGTCCATCTGAGCCGCGTGGAGGTGAGACCGGGCTCTCCGAGACGTCATCGCATGCTGGACCCGCCCGGAAACACAAGAGGGGGACTGTGCCGATCTCACCAAGCCGTTGTGGGCAAGAACATGCCGGCGCCGTTTGCTGACAGGAGGGATGCCCTGTCGAGCATGATCTCATGAGGCATAAGAATGTGCGCTGTGGCGCTATGCTATCCAGCGTGGGATAAAGCAAGAGCGAGGTCGGCCTCCGTAATGCGAACTAGTCATCGAAGGCAAAGGACGTCCTGAGAAAAAACCTAGCGCGAGCCAGATGAGAGTAGCAATTACCTGATAGTCGGCATTGTAGTCTTCTTCGGAGACTAGCATCGAAGGTTAGCATAAGGCTTCTCGTAGTGATTGGACGGATACACTTACTACTCCCGCGGGCGTGAAGTGGCGGCTCATCGAAGGCTTCGACAGCTTCTAGCGGCGTGTACCTGGCAGCACGATGGGGTGATCTGTCCCTCATGCCTCACGACCATCCCGTGCATCAGGAATCCAGGGGTTTTAGGGCAAATTGGAGATGCAACGGTGGGGCAAAAGGAAAGGATGTCATGACAAGCTCCTGGGGATGCTTGGCACGGCTCGGCATCCATGCCCGACCTCACCTGCACTTCTCGATCAGTCCATCAACAGCCTCTACGCCAAAATCTCTCAGCCTCTCCCGGTTACAGAGAATCACAGCCAAGCCGTTGCACAGTGTTGAGGTGCCCGGCAACGTTACTTGCCACGCCTGTGTCCACAGCATGACAGCGCACATTTGCCCCACGTAATATGGTACCGGACTTCCGCATCAACTTTTTAAAACGACAACACGGACCGCAATGATGAGTCGGATGTCTCGGTTATGGCACCGCATATCTGCATTTCGCGCCCAGCGTTATGACAGACTGCCGTTAGAAGAGCATGAGCTTAGAAGTCCTGGCAATCCTGGAAGTCCTCTTAAAGAACGACCATCTTCCAGCTCTGGCCTTTGGCCATGGGCAATAGTTCTCACCGGCATTGCTTTCATTATCTGGGCCTTTTCAAGGTATTTTGGCTCCCAGTTTTACCGTTTTCTGTCCTCATAGACAACAGGGTATACTCTATCGAACATGTACAGCCTTCGAAGTCATGCGACTCGATCGACGAAGGCTATCGTTGTAGCCCCAACATCTCGCACTTCTGGGGCCAATACTCTCTGTACTTCAGCGTCCCCTCCGAAATACCTCCCGAGCCGCCTAAAGGCTGTTCCATCACCTTCGCCCAAGTACTCTCAAGACATGGCGGCCGAGATCCAACATTCGGAAAGAGTATCTGGTATAATTACACAATAAACAAGATACATCAAAACACCAAGGAATACAATGATGAGTTTGCAACTTTAGCAGATTATAAGTACACCCTCGGTGCAGATCAGCTTACAGCGGCCGGGAGACGACAGATGGTCAACTCCGGAATACGCTTTTACCGATTCTATGAAGCATTGGCGAGTAAGCATGTGCCATTTGTCCGATCATCAGGGCAACAGCGAGTCATTGAGTCTGGAGAAAAATGGCTCGAAGGGTTTGGCAAAGCCAAAAACGATGGGAAGCCAACACCAGAAATGGTCATCATCAGCGAAGATGAGGGCTCGAACAATACCTTGAGCCATGGCCTATGCACGGCTTTTGAAGACTCGCACACGGGCAGTGCTGCACAGGCTGCATGGGCGGGGATATTCATTCCACCGATCCAGGAAAACGTCAACAGTCACCTTGTAGGCGCAGATCTTACACAGTCGGAGGTGATATACCTCATGGACCTTTGTCCTTTCGAAACGGTAGCACATCCCACAGCCAAGGTGTCTGACATATGCGGCCTCTTCAGTGAGAAGGAGTGGCAACAATACGACTACTATCAGTCGCTAGGAAAGTACTACGGATATGCAGACGGAAACCCTCTTGGTGCCACGCAAGGCGCTGGCTTTGTGAACGAATTGATCGCTCGGATGACGGGAAAGCCAGTCGAAGATGAGACGTGCACAAACCATACCTTGAACTCAAATTCGAAGACATTCCCATTGGACAGGCCACTCTACGCGGATTTTAGTCACGACAACGACATGTCGAGTATATTTAGTGCTTTCGGGCTCTACAACAGCACATTACCCCTCTCGAATACAACACTAGAAACAAGCAAGGACACGAAAGGTTATGCCGCCTCGTGGACTGTCCCGTTTGCAGCGCGGGCATATTTCGAGAAGATGATGTGCGATGGGGAAGAGGAGGAGTTTGTCAGGATCATCGTCAACGATCGCGTCATGCCGTTGAGCTACTGCGATGGAGATGAGCATGGTCGATGCAAGCTGAGCAAGTTCGTTGAGAGCATGGCATTCTCACAAGCCGGTGGACACTGGGACCAGTGTTTTGTGAAGGAATAGAAACTACATATGTGATACCACACAATTGATACCCTTTCGCACCTGTTTTCTTTTTTCCACACTTCGAATATCAACGCAGCGAGAGATATCATCAAGTTGAACAGGTCGTTATTGTCGTAAACACAAACTCCAGCGGGATTGATGAATCCAACAGTATCTCGATATATCGGGACTCGGCACCACAGCACGCGAGCGGGCGGCGTGTTGTAATTGGGCCACCGCTCACGCGGGTTGCCTTCCGTCTTCCTCCGACCAAAATTTGTTGCTAGGCCCGCCAAGACGTCTCTGCTCCGACGGCTCAGAGGAGCTTTGCCAGGAAAACATCCTCCAAGTCCCTAGCACCACCCATCACCACCTCAGCCCGCCCTCTCCACTCACTTCGTCTTATTCATACGCCCACATTCCTCACAATGTCGGCTCCTCCTACCTCCACCGGCTCGACAAAGCTCGACGCCATTAAGCAGAACGTTGCCGCTGCCGAGCCCGCAAAACTCACCGGCCTCCAGCTGTATTCACGATTCGCCTTTGCCGGTGCCGTCTGCTGTTCGGTCACTCATGGCGGCCTCACCCCGGTCGACGTGTAAGATATTTTCAATGGTTTCAGTATTATCGCTGGTTCAATGGATAGTTGTCGCATTCCCGGGACCCGCCTTGGTTTTTCCAGTTCTTTAACGAAAAGCGGCTAACACAACACCCACAGCGTCAAGACACGAATTCAACTCGACCCCATCAAGTACAACAAGGGCCTCATCGGCGGCTTCAGGCAAGTCATCGCGTCTGAGGGAGCGGGCGCGGTATGGACTGGTTTCGGCCCAACCGCTGCAGGATACTTCCTCCAGGGCGCGTTCAAGTTCGGCGGTTACGAGTTCTTCAAGCAACAGAGCATTAACTTGCTTGGATATGAGTCCGCCTCGAACAATCGGACGGCCGTTTACCTGGCCTCTGCCGCCGCCGCCGAGTTCTTCGCCGATATTGCGCTCTGCCCCCTAGAAGCCACCCGTATCCGTCTCGTGTCGGAGCCTACCTTTGCCAATGGTCTCATTGGAGGCTTTGGGAAGATCGCGAAGAATGAGGGTTTCGGCGCGTTCTATTCTGGTTTCGGTCCCATCCTGTTTAAGCAGTAAGTTGTCCCGGAGGGCCACCCAGCCAGCCCAAAGCGGCATCTCCGCAAACTCCGTACTAACTATTCATAAGGGTCCCATATACCATGGCCAAGTTCGTCGTCTACGAGAAGGTCTCGGAGTTGATCTACCAGACCGTTGACAAGTCCACTGCCTCCGGAGGAGCCCAGACCGCCATCAACCTTGGTTCCGGTCTCATCGCCGGTCTAGCCGCCGCCGTCGTTTCCCAGCCCGCCGATACCATGCTTAGCAAGATCAACAAGACTAAGGGTCTTCCCGGAGAAGGTACCACCAGCCGCTTGATCAAGATCGCCAAGGAACTTGGTCTCAGGGGCTCGTACGCTGGCATTGGAGCTCGTCTGTTCATGGGTAGGTTTCTACCTCTCTACCCGGCCGTAAACATCGTTTGCTAACCTCCCCACAGTTGGGTCACTCACCGCTGGACAATTTGCGATTTACGGCGATATTAAGAAGGCGATTGGCGCTACGGGTGGTGTTGAGATCGCCAAGTAAATACGACAACGCAAACAGCAGGCGGAACGATGATTATGCAATCGCGACCATGGCAGGACGTTCTTTTCTCAAGGGGAAAAGCAGGTCTGTCTTCGTTCTTGCATATTGGGCATTCTTCGGGGTTTTCCTTTTTTGCTTCCTCTACCCTTTTGGGTCGTTTTGTTATAGAGAAGAAGGTATAAGTCCTGCTTTTGGTAGCAGGATCTGTAACAGTACGCCCTTGGTTAGTCTCAAAGCAATAGACGGTGCGATTTTAATACCTCATATCTGCTTCACCACAAGCGCATGCACTCGACTCGCGCCTAGGAGATCATGACTTCCAATTTCACGACTCAATATACGTAGAAGCCACCATGATAAATGCCGCTTTTCCGGAAACTGGGCAAATTTTGGAGGGTCTGATTTACGGCGTGCAATTGATACGATGTTAGCCCCGATACTTTATAAGTGTTAAGCCTGTCAAACAGTCTTGTGTTACTCAAGAAGTTTAATACATGCCAACATGTGAAAATGGACCGATTGATTTTCTTGCATATTATGTATGGAATCTAAGACTGCGAAGTTCCCCTTTCCTCTGTGATCACGTGACCCAATCGCTTAGCTGCAACATGATTGGCTGAGGCTCCTCCGCAACTTTTTGGTGTTTACTGTCCCAAACAACCCCACCTCAACCCACTGGCCAGCACCCTTCGCAATGGAAACGACACAGCAATTCAAAAGTTAGTCCTCTCCCCGTCCCATTCCCCGTGCGCCTAAATACTAACCTGTCCAATCCAGCAACCAACCACCCCGTCCCCTCTCCCGACTCCCTCCACATCGCCTCCCTCAACGGCGCCCGCCTCCAAATCCGCTGCACCACCTCGCTCAACGTCGTCCGCAGCATTACCCTCCCTACCGACTTCAACCCGCGTGGCGCCCTTATCCGCTGGGTCCCCATCGCCCCTCGCAATGGCAGGAACACCTCCACAATCTCGCGCCGCGTGCTGCTCGCCGACGACGACGGCGCGCGCGTCTGGGACTTGAGTGACGAGAAATGGAGTGCGCTAATCAGCAACGGCAGTGGAGGCATGGGAAAGATCGTGCACGCTGAGTTTGGGCGAGACGGGGAAGAGGTGCTGCTGTGGAACGATTTCGGGGCCAAGGTCACGGTGTGGTGTCTCAAAACGGGGCGGAGCGTAGAAATCAAGGACCCCAAGTTCGTGGGATGGAGAGGGTGTGGGACGAGGCCGACGCCTGGGGGAGAAGAGGGGGGTGTGGGTGTTTTGGCGCTGTTGAGCAGGCCTGCTGGTCAGGATGTGGTTACGCTGCATGCGCCTAAGACGTATTTTGTGATCAAGACGGTTGCGGTGCCGAGCGTGGATGCGCAGGGGATTAAGTGGAGTCCGGATGGAAGGTGGTTTGTGATTTGGGATGCTGCGAGCGCGGGGTACAAGGTGTTTGTGTATACCGCAGACGGGCATCTGTATAGGATGTATGGCGGGGAGACGGCGGAGGGAGATATCTGTGGGTTGGGAATAAGGAGTGTGGAGTGGACGCCTGATGGGAAGTATTTAGCAATCGCAGGATGGGATAAGAGGGTTACGCTACTAAGTACAAAGACGGTATGTTCGACTTCTCATGAAATCTGGAGTTCTCGGCGACTGATGACAATAGTTTTCACCGGTTGTTTTCCTCGACCACACGCCTACCATCCAAATAAGTACTGGTACCGTCTGGACTGAAATGGTTTCCGCCCTCTCTTCACGAAGCTATTCTGTCACAGCGCAACCCGTCTCCCCTCCCAAGGTTGCCTCGCCACCCAACGACCCTGCACCTAAGCTCGGAATATCGTTAACAACATCTAATGCTGATGGTACATTGATTGCTACTCGGGATGACTCCACGCCCACAACAGTCTGGATATGGGATCTCAGCCAACTCGCCCCCAAAACCGTCATAATTCAACATGCACCTGTCAGGCAACTCCTCTGGCATCCTACAATACCAGATCTCTTGCTCATTCAATGCATACAAGACGACCCGATAGTATATATCTGGTCCGCGTCCAGCGATGGGCCAGAAATCATCACCATAGGGCTCCAGAAACCTGCAGGAACTGCTCCAGCCCGGCTAGAGGCCCGGTGGCTCATTACTCCTACAAATAAGAAACCGACAATAGTGTTTGGGCACGCTCAAGGCTACGTTCTTTTGTGGCCTAATGGTCGAGACTCGATTCTACGGTTCGAACGTGATAGAGACGAAAGGGACAGCACGCCCACTGGAGACGATGATAGCGAGGACTCGCTATACGACATCCTTACCGGGCGAACGCCGATACCGAGACTGGATGATATGATGAGTAATTACGAGAACGACGATGATGATGATACAGGGAGGTTGGAGGATACCTTCCGAGAAAAGAAGAGGAGAGGTGGGGATATGGATGATTCAGGGCTAGACGAGATGTTCTGAGTTTTCACTATATGAGGTTGGGCGTGTTTTTGGCGTGTCTGGGTAGCTGGCAGTGTTTAAGATACCCTATCCGTAAGCCCGGAATTGTAATTTGCCAAGTAAGTACTCATGCTTCCTTCAAAGCTTATTTAGACTTACTTGTCATAGCTTGAGGGTCTTCTATTACGTTGTCAAAGGCTGTGAAGCGACAGCTTTGGCAATCCTGGTAGCTTTCGGGGCAGCCTCAGACCAGAGGGGGTTGAATTCCCACTTCATATACAAGGCATCCTGCTACTGAACACTGCTGAGAGGTACGTCATATCAAGAACTGTGCTGGTTTGTGATGCCGTTAGTCGGCAAGTAGCTAATTGGCGGACTAGAATATATTGAGCCATCTAGTTTGAAACAGCCTAGCCAAGCAAAGAACTCTATTCGCCAAATTAATCCCAAACATACTTTCTTATACTGGACTTGGAAGGACTATCCGCGATTAATGCAGTCTTTTGGTCAAGGGATGATTAATCTCGGATTCTCCTCATGCTCTCCGGACTTCCTCCTAGGTACCGCATAAGAACTTTCCCCCACTTTTAGTAACGATCTTTCCGCTATCAAGCTTTCATCATTCTGTACTACCGTCTTGAAATGTTTCATTTAGCCGGGTATCCGTTGGAGCTTCGCTTTTAGCCGTCCATGATTCTATATATAAAAGCTACTAAGCTCATAGTTTGAATGCTTCAAAAGTCCTGGAAAGATGCGATCACTCATTCTCCTTGCGACAGCGATTGCTGCTGCCTTCGCCGGCCCTTTATTGGTACCTGATGAACCCATTTCCGGTTCAGTCGATGCCTTGACGGCGAGGCAAACGGGCAGTCCACCCAGCAGCTTCAGGTGGAGCTCGAGTGGAGTGCTCATCGGCCCAAAGAGCGATAGCCGCAACATCGCAGGAATCAAAGACCCTTCTATCGTCTACTACAACGGCCAATATCACGTCTTTGCCAGCACCGCTCAGTCTTCAGGCTATAATCTAGTCTACCTGAGCTTCACGGACTTCTCTCAAGCAGACTCTGCCACTTTCAACTACCTCGACCAGACCCCGATTAGCTCTGGATACCGCGCTGCTCCCCAGGTCTTTTGCTTTGAACCGCAGGGCCTCTGGTAGTAAGTCATAAGACCAACATACCCATACAACCGGCAAGTACACAAGTCTAACACGGAATAGCCTAGTATATTAAGACAACAAGGCCGCCTACTCCATCAACAAAGACATCAGCAACCCTTCCGGGTGGAGCTCCCCGAAGCACTTCTACAGCGGCACCCCCAGCACCGTCTCCGCCAACATCGGCAGCGGCTACTGGGTCGACATGTGGGTGATCTGCGACGCCTCCAACTGCCACCTCTTCAGCAGCGACGACAATGGCCACCTGTACCGCTCGCAGACCTCCCTCAGCAGCTTCCCCAACGGCATGAACGAGCCCGTCGTCGCTCTGTCCGACTCCAAGAACGCCCTTTTCGAGGCATCGAACGTGTACAGCGTCGGCGGCGCCACGTATCTCCTCGTCGTCGAAGCCATCAGCAGCGACGGGAAGCGCTACTTCCGCTTGTGGACGGCGGGTAGTCTCGCCGGCCCGTGGACTAGGCTTGCGAACACCGAGGCGAATCCGTTTGCGAGGGCTGATAATGTTGCTTTTTCGGGGACGGCGTGGACGCAGAGCATTAGGCATGGAAAGATGGTGAGGACGGACGCGAATCAGACGATGGCTACTAGTCCGTGCAATCTGAGGTATTTGTATCAGGGGGTCAGTCCGAGTGCGAGTGGGAACTATAATTCGCTGCCGTGGAGAGTGGGTTTGCTTACGCGGACGAAATCGGCGTGCTGAAAGGTTGGAGTGGAATGAGGGGGCTGGCGATGGGAGGGGTTATGTGAATACACTCCCACTTTATCCACTGCTATATCCTAGCCTAGTGGAGCACTTCAGACGATGTCAGGCCAGTACAGACAAGCCACTTGAAAGGGCAGCCTGAATGCCGGCGTCAAAAACTTCACATTATACCATAAGTGTGCATCGCATAATGGAGGATTGCAACCAGTGCTGAACGCTTCTGAGACCGGTACTCTAGAAGACCATGTAGTACACGATTTGAACCCAATTACACCCCGTCCTCGTTTTCACAGCCTGTTGGAACACTTCAGAAAGCGCCATCCTGGGGCTAAGAAGCTGGAAGGGAACTCACAACACGAGCATATAGCAGTTGTCCAGCCGGCGGCTTGATTCACGACGTGACGAACTCTGGGGTTATGTCTGGATATTCTTCCAAGCGTTTGAGTACCCCGTGTAGCGACATGTATGTTTGAAAAAGCTCGTTCTAGCGTTAGAGACCTAAAGAGCATAAAATGATCAGATTTGGAAGGAAAGGTTCGATCGAGTTCAACGGAAGCTAATGTACGCTTCGCAGCAGCAATACTGAATAGTAGAGTACTATAGTCTATTGCTATTGAAAGATTTATTTGCATGGTTCGGGAGTCATTCGTCAAAGTTGAAGTGTGTCAACCCTATCGGATGTGATAGCGCCTATTCCATAAATGTAGTGAGTTTGAATCTATTGTTATGAGTGGTGACTCTTCCGATCCGATTAAATCATATGACACTATACACGAGGCCAGTTCGTCTGCATTCTGGGTCAATGACCAGGCAACCAAGTTGGGTTGTAAGGACATGAAAGTGTTTCCTTTGAAAGCGAACCGCTCATCAGCACCTCGTCTGATCAGAATCGCTCGAGAACATCACTTGCTGAAAAGTTTACCCCTGAGGTGGGACAGAACCCAGCTCTCCCGTAAAACGCCTTGTCGTTCGATCGATAGTACCTCCAAAGGCCATGCCGCAAAAACTTCACTAAGCTCCCGATCGCCTACCATTCACTAGAAAAATGGTCGGAAGTAGTTGTAACTCGCGAGATCTTCGGAGATGTTCAGCTCGAGGCCCTCGGGAAGCGAAGGCTCCTCATAGGGATGGCCTGAAAGCCTACGGGCGTTGGCGTATAGTTCTTCGAGTTGGAGTTCGACAAGTCTCACCATCGCCTTCTCTGTGTTGGTGACTGCTCTGGTCATCTTCGTAGGATCACACGAGAGAAGTGGACTCTTAAGAAAGTCCTCTATCGAGCCATTGATCTGCTCTGTGCCTCTCTTGCGAAAAAGTTCGAGAATCTGACGGCATCGGATGGACGTGATATTCGTTTGCTTGATGACTCCGCCGACGGTATTCTGAAGTAGCTCTTTCAAGCGGTCGATTTCCTTCTCTTGCGACTTGATAAGTTTCTTGGAATCGCAGTGGGCTGTTAGGCACTCCTGAAGTTTCGATTCGACTTCGTCCAACAGTCCTGGGCCACTGCTCTCCGCTGAAGGGGTTGAGAGTTTGCTCTTGTTCGAGGCATCACCACTACGAGCGGCGGAATTGGCTGAATTGTCCACTTCCGTCTCGAGCTCGTCAATTTTCTTCGCCTGAGAGTCGATACTCTTGGCCTGTTCATCAATGGTCTTCTCGTTCCCCTCCACAGTTGCCTCAAGCTCGTGGATCCTCTTCAACTTCTCAGTGAGCTTTTCCTTCAGCTCAGCAATCCCCGTAGCAGGTGTTCCTTCCCCGGTGCCATTCTTGTGACTCGTTCTTTGTCGCTTCTGCTTAGACTGGTTGTCTCTGTAGAATGAAAGACCGTCATCCTCACTGAACTCAATGTATCGATCGTGGTGCGCCGAGTAGCCAAGCTTGGCCTTGGGTGGGTGATACTTTTCCGACGATCCAGCGCTCAAAACGGGCCTGACGGTCTCAGACTTCGACGCCGAACCGCTAAGATCGTGTGTGTTTGCCTTTGGCTTTCCAAAGAGTCTCCTCCCAGATTATCCTCACCTAGGATCTTCTTAGGTAGCCTAGAGCTTCTCATCATTGCAGGCGCCCAACGGCTTCAAATAACCCCATTAGCATTATAATCCGATACCTGTCAGGAAGCTTTCAACCAGCCACGATCTTCCCTCACCTCACTTAGGAGACAACCTATAGCTGAGATTCTGCACTGATCCCCAGGCTCGTAGCCGATGTAACAATCTTCGGAGTCGACGCTTTGGGCGGAAGAAGTGGATATCCAGCCCAGGAAAGGCTAGAAATAGTGGTATAATATGAGGAGGAGAAAGTAGGAGGTTAGTATTGAGACAAGCAAGTGAAATGATATAAGACTCAGGTAGCGCTCACGTGATACGCAGCGTAGCCACTGGCAATAAGGGTAGAAACTGACTCTAGATGAAAGGGAGAATCATGGGCACGTGAAGTATTGGGCTTATGAACCCTTTCAGTTAAATAAAAGAATATGGCACAGGCTAATTTCACCAGCTCAAATGTCCTAAACTATAGCGGATAGGAAAGAATGAAGAATATTTGGATTTTATTGTTGGGTATCAATAGAAATCAGCTCAGATTATTTCCTAAGCTAGGAAACTAGTAGAGATGCTACTTGCACATAGAATACATAAATTTATTGAGAGACGCTGAACAGCAGCATGACAAACAGCGCTTAACGATCATCGAAAAACCGTATAATTTTCGGATATCTGGAAAGCCTTTCAAAGCTCCTCATCATCTTCTCGCACCGTCTGTACCCATTTCAGCGCTTGATTTGGGTGTGAGGTCTCTTGGCCGCAGGAGAGCTGTCCAAACGCCCAGTGTAGCTGTTCTGCAGTGTCTCCAGGGAGGTTCCGCTGTTGCTGGGCTGAGAAGTTGGAGAGCTCCTGGTGAGATGATTGCGCGGACAGACCCAGTGTATCGAGTCCAGCAGCTAATTCTAGGTCCTCGGGCGTCAAGTCTGGGCCACCACAACTCTCTGTCTCTATGCACTGCGCCCTGAGTTGTGTGACGTATGTGGCGAGGTTCGCGGAATGGACGATTCGCAGCTGGCGGTCTTCATCGTACCACTGGTTGTACTGCTCTATGGACATGTGGCTGATGGGCGGATATGCGGCGTCGTGTTGCGCTTGAGTTTCCTTCCATACTTTGTCGTTCTGAACATTGACGCAATCTTGGCAGTAGAACGGCTGGCCCGGCACAGATTCCAAACAATTCGACTTGCAGTCTTCAACTAGGTTTGTCCGGACTCGATGACCACACTCTAGGCGGTGGTAGAGGGTCAGATTGCAGCCCTTGAAGCGGCGCTGCCGGAAGGACTCGCGTTGGAGGTCGGTGGTATTGAGTCGAGCGTTGTAGGTAGGGAATTCGTTGTCCGGGTTGCCCCACGAGGCTGGCGAAACACCGTTCGAAGGTGTGTCAGGTCGCTGACCGAATGAGAAGCGGACTGCTAGTATCTCTGGCTGGTTGCACTCCCCTGATGGGCGCGGCGCACCGAAAGGTGCACTTGCTGACATGTTGTTTGTGGAACTTGGAGCTGAGGGTGGGTGAGATCGGTTCGTATTTGTGTTGGGAGGCTTGTAAAAGGTGAGTACGTGGTGAGTTTGGAACAGCAGACGCGGATATTGGGAGTGAACTAGAAAGCCTTCGTGTTTTTAAGCCTTCGACTTCGGTGTTTTGTTACTGCACGTTGTGAAGGGAGGGGTGTTCCTGGGATTGGTTGATTGTGATTCTCATTGTGAAGAACAATGAGAAAGGCTACGAAGTCTTCCAGCGAGCGACAGACGAATGCTGCAGCAGACGGTGCTACGAACGAACGACTAGGTAGGGCGACCAAGTTGTACTTCGTACGTAGAGGATGGGTCGGTGTTGTGAGAGCACGGTGGTGGTGGTGGAATGCGGGTGGCAGGTGCGGTGACGCGGAAACGCGTGCCTTCCAAGGTTGTAGGATCGATCGATCACGGCGTGAGATCCTCGCTAGTCCGAGAAAATACAGTCACGTGGTGGCTTATATAAGTAATGGGGCACCCCTAACTAACTAGTTAACTAACGGCGATGACGAGCCTCAAATTTCACCACCGGATTCTTGCTCCTGAATCGCTGCACCCCCCCTCTGGAGATATGAAGCTACTGTAGGCCACCCTGACAGCGTGGAGGCAGTCACGAAGGCTAGCTTGAAATAACTGCCAGCATGTCAGCAATAGCACATGTTTCAACATATTGCCCTTCACGAATTCATTATAAGGTTTAAAGTTCGAAAGCTAGATTGTTGACAAGTATGGGGTATATAAAGGAACAAAACTATCACAAATAGAACCCCTTCAAGATAACTTTCGACATGCAAGTCTTGGAATCGTCCCCCGGAAAAAATTGCTGTAAACAGCCCGTTGAGGAAAAAGATGGGTGAGGTTAAGTTGGCTGACTCCTCCACCCGTTGCGCATGCCCTCTCCCTTTCCAAAAGACGGCGACGCTCAAACACAACAAGGCCCAGCTACGAGTGATCAGCTCGAGCAAGAGGTCCACGCCGTGTGTGCATCAAGCCGCCGCGACACAAGTTTTGCCCTTTTATCCTCCACACATGCGCAAAGCCGAAGTCCTAGGGTTGGACCTACTGGACCGATCCGACACCGCATTTCTCGACCCAGCCGAGCCGAGAGCACAGTGCCTTCACTGCTACGAGTCCTTGCCCTGTTTCTCCCACGCCTTCGACATGGCTCCAGAGTCACCAAAAGTGTGAAGATAGAGGATGTGAATCCAAACCACGGCGACGTCACCACTTCAAACGAATCGGAGATGCTTGCACGTGCGCGCCGGCCGGGTGTGAAGCGAAGGAGAGTGATGTATTGCTATGGACAGGTGCCCAGCGCCAGCAGTCGTCGAGAGTCGCAGAGACGGAGCATCAACCTGCGTAAGACGCGCAAAGTCATAAGCTTGGCTCGCTCAGAGATGGGTGTCGTCTTGCATTCCGCCAGCAGGGCAAAGAGTGGGGAGTGGAGTGAAGTGGGAACGTAATGAAGGGGTGGGGGCCTGTCACGGATCGACGTAGTCGGTGTGACCATCGAAGAGATCCGTGACCACCTTCAACATAGGTTCGAAGAGGCTTACTTCATCACCGGCCTCGCCTCCGAAAAAGCGAAGCCGTTGAACTTCCAAAGAGGCCTCCTGCTGACAGAGGCGGTCCTGCCATGCTGTATACGTTTGATGCCAGTGGTCTGCCGGTCGGCCCGTAAGAGGAATTACGGTAGGCTGGAAAAACAATTGAGAAGATGAGGAATAAGATGAGCTGGTATCGAGAGAGTTCATGCGGGAGTGTAGTGAGCGTGCTTTGCCGGCGTCTCGGTGACGCGGCCGACTCCTGGTCCGCTTCCGGTTTCGTCTTTGGCCCATGATGATGAAATGGTGTAGGAGAGCGAGAAAGTCGTCGCCGACGGCGAAGACAAGACAACTGAATGTGAGGGACGTACGGAAAGGCACCTACCGGCAGTCTTTATAGGAGCAATCACGCCATGGGAAACAGTCAGAACGCACACTTTGATGCAGTGAGTCATAGCCACAACGTGTTGATGAGGTGTGACTGGATCGAGCAGGTCCGTGCGCCCCCGTGTGGCGAAGTCGGGCAGATTCAGGAACCAGAACACCAAACCTTCTCCACGCGGCCTCTCTCTACGCACTCTTTGTCCAATCGATTCCAAATATCCTGGGGAGTCCGCCGGAAATAGTCATTTTCCGGAATTAGCGCCATGTGCCACACATGCCAAGTGTGGCTTTGCGCTGTCTGCTGCTCTCTGGACAGATATCGTCGCTTGGAGTTCGACCAAACTGTTCCAGGCGGCTGTGCTTCCATGTCACGGGGCAAGAGACCAGTCGCTTGTAAGGCGTCAATGAGGCTAGGCCTAAGGCAAACGGGGCTCTTCCTTGACACTTGCGTCCGTGCTTCGCGAAGAAAGCTCAATGCAGGTCATTCGAAGACTGCAAGTCTCTCTCTCCATTACCGCCTGATCAGTCTGCAGCCCAAATGACCTCTGTCAACTCGGCTGTGTAGTCACAGACATCGTCGATGACTATAGGATGTGGTCTAAGGCGTGTTGAAGCCGATGTCGGCACCGATACCTGCGAAGCGGGTCAATGTGGAGCCAGCGAAGATACGTGCCGCAGCCGCCTACTTCTCTGCCTCCGAGGGAGTATTTGCGCAAGACTTTCAAGAGGGTGTCGATGCTGTACGAAAGCCTTCGGAGGCGTGAGTCATGCTGCGCAAACCGCGATCGCGAATTTCCCCGGCGCAGTTCTAATAAGAGGTGTTCAAACCAGGCTGGAAGAGCATTGATTCAGAGATGGCCGCCAAAAAAGGGAAAAGGAAGTGGTGCGAGGAGGCTTCGCCCTTCAGCGAGAGCTCTAAGCTTGCTAACCTCAGGGACTGAAGCCGGCGCATACCTCGTGTAGAACCCTTCTAACTCCACAAGATCTCTATTGAACGTGTCTGCCGGAAGAAATGGTAAGAGAATTCGAAAAGATAATTTGTGGACAGGAGAAAAACACGTGATGAAATATGGCGAAAGAAGTGAGAGGAAGGAACGAAAGACGAAAAAAGATGACTATTAGCCTGAGGGATTCACTATGAGTTTGCGCTAGCCCAATCTTGTTCTACTTTGGCTCTGATCTATGCGAGCTTACTCCCGAGGTTTGAATGAGCTCCGAGCTTTTGATGCTGGCGCGACAATGAGATACCTAAATGTGAATTGCTTACGAGGAGCTTTCGTCGACGCTTCGAAGTATGTTTCCAAGGGCAATCTTGAGCACATGTGTAGGTCTGTACCTGTTAAGGACGGAAGGACCCAGTCGAGAGTTTAGGGTGCGAGGAGTCTTGATGCTGCAGGATGGCATCCCAGATACGGCGGATGCAAGGCTGAGGTCGCACATGTCGGCTCTGCAGGCAGATCGTATATAGTTCTAGAGTGGTTCGATATATTGCTTTTCCCCAATGTGCGCAACCACTACAGCAGGCGGTGGTGTTGGGTGAGCTTCTGGACAAGGACGAGGAGAAAACCCTTCAATCATGTAGTGAGCAGTATGCACGCCGTTCTCTTGCGGCTAGCGGCGTCCCTGGATGCTTTTGGCGATCCAAAAATAGATGAAGCTGAGAAAATACTCTCATGTAAGAATCTCCGATCCAGCAAAGCCGATTTCTCAACGACGCTTGCGGGTATCAGTTCCCAACTCAGGCTGTCTCAATTGATGCCAGGACTGCTGGCTGCCAGGGCTGCGGCAAGCATCAACGAGGCTAGGGAGGAGACTGGCAATGTCTAACATGTCTGGACGGCCACCTGGCTGCTCCGGGCTGGCATGCGCGAGGCTGAAGGCGGTGGATCGCGAGCCAGATTACACCTGTGCCTCCCTATCCGGCTCGAGAAGCTGGACTGCGCGATACGAAGTGGGGCATGGGAGTGTGAGAAGTGGTCGAGGCTGCAACTGGCAAGTCTGTCTGAGTCGTGTCGTGAATAGTGAGCGGTTCTGCGCGCATGCAAGAATAGCCCACCACGCGGTGCACTGCCACCGCCCTCCATCCGGCACCTGCAGTTCGCGGGGCCCACTCCTCTCTCGTCCCTTTGCAGGGTATCGCGATGGTCTTGGAAGGTGGAAGGCTCCTGGACGGTGCGGCTCGGGGAGCTGCTGGCAGTCAGCCTGGCTCGCCCTCACGTGCGGCCGGGGAGACATGGCGATGGAGACTCCACGCTGTTGCATCCTCCGTATCCTCAGTCGCGTCTCAATTGCTACATATGCCGCCGCACACAGGCACCAAAGGGGCGCCCGCGGCTTGAGTCCACTCTGACCGGCACCCTCAGGCCCCCGGGCGATCGCATCGTTATTCTTAGCTGGGTGTCTGCCCTCAGCTCCTCCGCCCCGCCTCCCGACTCGTCAAGCTGTAAGCTTTTCTCTGCGACGAAGCTCCTGGCCCTTCAACACTGCGATGCCGACTCCCAAATTCTCTGCGCCCTGGTCCAAGTCGAATCGCTCGCACTCGTCCGTAGGCAGCTCGTCCGACCATTCCACCGCGCTGCCCTCTGGTAAGCCCGCGACCCGGCCCCCGTCGACGCTGTATGAGGCTGAGCAGCGCGCAGCAGTGAACCACGACGCCGCCGCGCAGCGATATCCTCAGCCCGACGACCAGCAGCTCCAGCAGCAGCAGCAACAGCAGCAGCAGCAGCAGCAGCAGCAGCAGCAGCAGCAGCAGCAGCAACAACAGTCGCCTCAGGGCCCTCAAGTACAGCAAGGCCCCCAGGGCCCCTATCGCCAGGTCTTCCCCACTGCGCCAGCGCGCACGCAGAGCCACCGCCATTCGTCCAACCTGTCCCTGGAGCGCCCTCCTGCCAACCCACCCGTCCTCGCCGCTGACCAGCAGTCGCCTCCAAATAACCACGCCGAGCGCGCTCAGGACCCGCGATACTCGTACCAGCAGGCCCCGCCTACAAACTCCCCAGTGCTCTACGTGCAGGAGCCGAAGAGGTCTCTCCGCAGCCGTCTCGGCCTAGGTCACTCGCACAAGGACGAGGACCCCGCCCGCTCGAACTCGTCCAAGAACAGCGGTGGAATTGGCCGACGCGTCTCGGTCAGGAAGAGTGAGCCGAGTCCCACGGACAAGTTCCAGAGCCAGCCAAACGACCCCCAACGGCTTCAAGGACAGCAGTGGCAGCGACAAGAAGGGTCCAGTCCGCATCTGCCCACCTCAGAAGAAGAAGACGAGTCCAACCTGGATCCATTCCTGCAGCAAGACGACCAGCCGTCGCCCCACCCCCTCGTTCCTCCAAAGGAAGGCTATCACCAGCAATTCGCGCCCAACCAGCACCAGGAACAATATCGGCCCCCACTTGCTAGGGTCAATACCGAGACAAGCTACCACACGCAGGGCGGGGCTGACCACTACAGCCCGGAACAACACAGCGGACACCAACAACCTCCGCAGTACCAACCCTATCAACAACCTCAGCAGACAGCAGACGCAGGCCAGCATCCTCACCAATACCAGGCCTTCAATCCCACCACTAGTCCCCATCCCGCCAACAACTTGCAGCAACAGGATCTCGCACAACAAATATTCTACCACCAGCAACAGCAGCAACAGCAATTAGGACCGGGCCAGCCAGGGAACGTCCAGTATCAACAACAGATATCGACGCCAAGCTCGCTGCAGTCAACTCCGCAAGACTTGCCGCAGCTCCAACGCGGACAGTCACTGTCAACACCGCAACCCCCACCGCACCAACAAGAAATTCATCAACCTCAGGCTGTTCATCAACTACCCCAGATTGTCCAGCAGCAAGACCCTCAGCAGGGAGACAGCCCGCACATTCAACAACTGCGTCCTCCGTCCCAGCAGCAATTCGCACCACCGTCTCCGCTTGGCCCACAATATCAAGCTTACGACGGTCAGCAGGGTCAGCAGCCGCAAGTCTCTGAGAACGCCGCAAATAATCCTCCTCAACAAGGTAGCACGATGCCACCTCCCGGCCCTCCTTCGAACCGAAACACCTTGCGAAAGGGTGAGGGGAACCAGCAGAATTTGCCGGGCGCGCCGTCTCGCGAATCATCCCTCGTTCAACCACCGCAGCAAGGTCAGGGTCAACCACAGCCACCAACACCAGGGCTACAATCGTTTGGAGCTAACGTTGTACCCGCAGGCTCTCAAGGACAACCATATCGGGGAGCGGCCAAGCCAGGACAGCCAGGCCAAGAAATAGATGTAGGCAGGGCAACACCACCTCCCCGTGCCCCTAATGATATGACGGATGAAGAGGTGCAGCAATTGATTAAAGAACATGAAGTTCTCCGTAAGTATAGTGCAGACCCTGATCCCCTTTTGTCCATGCTGACTGTGGTATGATAGGTGAGAAATACCAGAAGGTGAAGCGGTACTTCTTTGAACAGCAGACCCAAGTGCATCAGCTCCAGAACACCCTTGCACATCAACGTCTGTCGCTCTCTCGTACGTCATGGGACGATTCCGAGTATTCTACGCGTTTCAATCGGCTGGACGGTCTTATTGCTCAGCTGTCTTTCGCAATTCGCAAGGATTGGAAAGCAATCCCGCAATGGCTGCAACCCGTGGTCAACAAAACCGCGGTCGAAACAGGGAAACAAGAAATGACTGCTGTCGGACGTGCTTTCATCTCGTCTTGGCTGGTTGATGAAATTTTTGAGCGAGTATTCCACCCAGACCTTGAGCCTGGGCTTTCCACCCAACTGAAAATGATTCAACTCAATATCCGGAAATTTGCTCCCGCGTCACAATCCGGCGAAGAGGAAGACGCCCTCGTTACTAAGGTTATCAATTGGCGATTAGCCACTCTCGAAGGCCTCGCGGAGACTCTTCGTGCCCCCCAATGTGCTACAAACCGACAACGTCTCACCGACCAGCTGAACGAGAAGCTTATCGCTACTGTACAAATGTATCTCCAAGATCCTGCTCCACCAGATCTCGCGGGGGGTATTCCCATGATTGTCGAGCTCGCTATAAACATAGCCCAGCATGTTCCATTGGAGAGCCGAGAAGTTCACATCGAGTACTTCCACCCGGGCCACGGCCTTGTGCCTGATTTCATGAAAATGGAAACGGGAATTCCCGCTCTGACAAACCCCATTCACGATCCAAACGCCGATGCAGACAAAGCATCGCTCAAGAGCACGGCGTCTGACCTCCGCGACTCTGCCACTTCATCGGTGACGGAGCAAGAGACGCAAGCAGCACAGGCTCAAGGTCAGCAAGGCCAGGGTAACATCAACAACAAGGATCTCGGCGACAACAGGGGCAAGCGAGGCATGTTCGGCAGCCTGATGGGTAATCCCAAGAAGGGCCCAGCTCCTCCAGCTCAGCTTGGAAAGCAGCAGCCGACAGCTGGCGGCGCGGGAAGCAGCCAAGTGAGCCTCTCCCAGCAGCCTCCTGGAAGCTCCAACGGACCGAAGGAGGAGCAGATCCCACCCAGGGTGCGATTGGCTGTCGGTTTCGCCGTACAAATCCGCGGCAAGAGTATATTGATGAAGGCGCCCGTGTACAGCACATAAAGCGGTGGCGTGTACAAGTGTAATGACGAAGTAGTCTTTCAGTCGATTGCCAAAATGCCGGCTACGAGTTTCTTGACTCTGGTCTGAAGCGAATGAAGAGGGGGATTTCCGTTTTTTCCTTCTTGGTCCTTGGATGTGGATACGTATTGATGTGCGAGAGCTCTTTATTGTGACGGGTTGATGCCCTAGAAGAGACCGCTTTCTTGCTTGCGACGTTCTATTCTATCTTGTGCATACCGATACCCTCGCTTGCTGATTCCGGTTGTTGCATTAGCTTTGGACTGAGTCTGGTTGGTGTGATGGATTTGTGTGTATGAAGCGTTTTGAAGTAGCGGAGGTAGGTAGAGGAGGGACGCCCCAGAAGATTTGTTCCGTTATATGGGACCATTTGTCGGTATGTGATGTGAACGTTAATTCGCGGAGCTGAGATCAAACGGCGCAGGCCGAGTCGATACCTACCATCTGTCCTCAAGCGTATTCCTAAAGAAGCTTTGCCTAGCTTTTCTGCAGACGTCACCTGGCGTATGATTTTGTTGACATCCGTATCCATGGAGTTTGGGTCCATGTAACGGAGTTAGCTTGTTAGTGCTAGGCTTCGGCTGGTCGGTTCGTACGAAGTACTCCACATCACCCTGGCGACTCGAAAGGAAAGGTCCTAATTACCCCGCCGCCCTTTCCCTCCCCGGGGTGCATTTGAAATACAATGACGCCATCACATGATAGCAAGTAAAAACTTTAGAAAGCTATACAAGGGCTTGCTCGCTTCTTCACTCCTCTCCCCTACTCCAAACCAACGAATCCTATCTCAGTATGAAGGACGCCATTGTACACCCAGGGCCCACGGTCGAGATCATCGACAGTCCCATCCCGGAGCCTGGTCCCGACCAACTCGTTATCCAAGTCGTCGTCAGCGGCTCTAACCCCAAGGACTGGTATGGAGTCGCGTCTTTCTGCAGTTACCGACAGCATTGCCAAGCTGATTCAAATTTAGGAAGATGGGCGATTGGACGAACACAAGCGCGAACACTGGCGACGACATCGCTGGAATAGTCCACTCCGTCGGAGAGAATGTGTACGAATTCAAGCCTGGAGACCGTGTGGCTTCCTTTCACGAAATGCACACGCCTGGAGGAAGCTACGCCGAATATGCTCTAGGGTGGCAACATACAACATTCCATATCCCGAAGAAGATTTCCTTCGAAGGTAGGACTGAGTACCACTTCGCAAAATTAAGAAGAAGTGCTGACTAGAATGCGTGTGTAGAGGCAGCAACTGTGCCCTTGGCCGCCATGACGGCAGCAATCGGTCTGCATATCCGACTTGGTCTCCCAGAGCCTTGGCTGGCGACCAAGGAGCCGATCCCTCTTATAGTCTACGGGGGTTCTTCCGCAGTCGGAGCATTTGCGCTGAAGATCGCAAGTCATGCAAACATACACCCTCTTATCGTGGTGGCGGGAGGTGGCTCAAAGTATGTGGAAACGTTGATCGACCGCAGCAAAGGAGACACGATCGTCGACTATCGAAACGGCGATGACGCTGTCGTTTCTGGCATCAAAGAAGCCTTGAAAGGCTCGAAAGTCAGCTATGCTTTCGATGCCGTGTCTGAAAAGGGGAGCTACGTGAACATCACTAAGGTACTGGATCCCCATGGCGCCATCACGCTCGTCCTGCCGGGCAAAGAGTATCCAGAGATACCTAAGACAGTGAAGCAAGTCTTGACGAGCGTCGGATCTGCTCATAAGGAAGATGCAGGTTTCGCATTCATATTTTTCAGGTACTTGGCCCGTGGATTTCACGAGGGATGGTTCACTGGCCATCCAACGGAGGTCGTGCCGGGCGGGCTTGGTGGTGTGGAGCAAGCTCTGAAGAATCTGAAGGCTGGCAAGGCGTCAGCTGTCAAATATGTCTTCAGGGTTGCAGAGACAGAGGGTGTCAAGTCTTCTCTATAGTCGTGACTAGCGATTGGAGTTTGTTGGGACCGGTCAACAGAGGCAGGTAGCTGACCGCTCTGCTCTAATGCTCAGCACAGCCAACTTTCTCCCAATCTTACTTAGAGATATCATTAAGAGTCCACTTTCTTTGGCGTCGCTTCTTTTGATTGAACTGCTCCGCTGAACTCAACCCTTCCACTCCCATCCTCTTCCCTATCCTCTCCTACCGTTCTCAATATATATTTCTAAGCCTGCCTCAGTAACACCACTTCCCGCGTCGCCTTTCTAGATTCCAGTAATATGTTAAGCGTTTGAATATATTCAAATTCGCACTCTCTAGACTTTTACATCTCATCTGGATTGTTCATAATGCACCAAATGACCTCAGACAATGGCGAGCAGGTGTGCACAGACTTATGTTCAAGCAACAGCACTAGGTCACAAATTCGGACACACGGATATTCCACTGCACGGATTCCACCTTGCTTCTTCGACACCACCGTGAGGAGTGGTCCTGCTAGCAGATGTTCTGCCCTTCAAAAGGTAGCTTAGTTTCAACTGCATCGATCTTCACATTTTATTTGGAATTTGAAAAGCCCATAGGTGTACTTTATACAGTGGCAAATTGGGGTGCCCAAACTTATGGTACCGTATAGAAATGGCCTGATCTGCGCCCACTTCCAGCCCTTGTTCTGCCCATTTTCAGCTGACTACCTCTCACGCACAAGGACACAGATTCAGGTACGCCGTCTTATCATCTCCTCCTGATTTATGATGTGGTTCTGGAGCACCCCCAACAACAGCGACATATGTCGATCAGAAGCGTTTGAATCCGCTCAAATTCGCACTCTCCAGGCTTTTGCATCTCATCCGGATTACTAATGCTGCACCAAAGCATCTCAGACAGTGATGAACAGGTGTGTACAGTTGACTGGTCCTAATCCAGGTCTTTATCACCTGATGCAGAGCAATCCTGTGTAAGAGCACCAGTCGTGGATAACTTCACCTGCCCATCTACAAGCTAGCTAGCGCTCATCCTTACTCTCACCTCCCCACCATTCCTCCATCATCAATAGCTCAAAGAGGTCAGTCGGTGAAGCGCCCGCGGACAGTCTTCCTCTCAAGTTCAACACTACTCACTTCAACATTGGCTTCTTCGACAGTACCTCATACTAACCATTTCACTTGTCCTCTGATCTTCCTCCAATTGGCTACCTTTAGAGGTCCAACCTCTTCACTCCATCTCTTCTCCTCAATCTCTCTCACCGGCTCCAGCGTCTAAGTCTAAGTACTCCTCAAAAATCATATGAGATGGCATCCAACAGCGGGGTCCGCAAGGACGTCTCGCATCCGAACCCGAAGAGATCCGCCCCAAGAAGGGCGACGGCTAACGAGCGAGATCGCCACCCGAGGGCTACGCCTTCGAACTGGCTGAGGTACTTCAATGTTCCAATCCTTCGTTGCTTTCGAATGCATGCTAACAAAGATTCATGAAGTAACGCTTTCAAAGACACAATCACGATCATGGTCAGCGGCTCAGACGACCAGACGATGGAAGAGTTTACGTTGCATAAAGGCATTGCAATGCACCGCAGCGCAACAATTCAGCAGATGTGCCTTATGAACCCCGATGCTAAAGAGTTCAAGCGTCCAGAGTGGAGGGCTTCGGCCTTCAACATGTTCATGCAATGGGCGTACCAGGGAAGGTTCTACATAGCATTTCCAGAAGGTCCAGATCATTACGACCCACTCCTGAAGGTATACCTACTAGGGAAGGACCTCCAAGCTACAGGACTGATGACTTGCACCATTCAAGAAATGTGCAGATACAGCGACAAGCGGAGGACTTTGTTCAGCAACGCCCAAATCAAGCAGATCTATGCTTGTTCGCCACCGGCAGGAGCTCTTCGACGGTTGGTCGTAGATCAATACGTCTTCAATGGTGACGCTACCCAAATTGACTCTAACACCGAGGCAAGTGTGCCGAAGCAGTTCTTGGGCGACTTGACCCGCAGAGCGCTTGGGAAGGAGAAAATCAAAGACGACCCGTGCACGCGACCGGAAAACTACATCGCCAAAGGTCTTGACTTGCTTGAGGTCCAAACCAACGATGCCAATCCCCAACCCCGTGTTGCTTCAGTAAACTCAAGCGCGACAACTCTATCAACTCTTCTTGCAGGTAGTTCTAGAGCCAATCCTCCGAGCTGTACGAACGATCCCAGATCTCTGCCATCAGGAGGTGCAAGACCAGGAGCGCAGGACCTCCCTTTCTCTGTCGGTTCGGATGAGGAAAGTGATGCATGACCGGCTGGACTACAAAACATGGCTACATATCTTATTCCGGAATTTTCTTTGGGAAAGGAGGCGTTGTTTGCTTCTCTTTCTTTCTGACCTGGCTGTTCACTACTAGGCATTTCCCATTCGGTCATGCAGGTATCAAGCCTTTCAAGATGCTTATTGGCATTCTCATGCTTTCTGGCGCCAACGAGATGGAAAAGTGCTGGAAGTCTTCTTCCACAGACTGGAAATATTTGATTTGAAATGGACATATTCATGAAGGGGTTATCGGATGGAAAAGCTTTCTTCTTAGTCGGGGCATCAATACCAGGGCACCAATCTTTACCCATTCAATTGCTACTGCTTGTGATCGAGTGCGATATGGAACTTTTGAAGGAGATATGAATCGCCCTCGAGGTAAGACGGAATCATTCTTAAACCTCTTAAGCTCCACCAACCCACTAATCCACTAGTAAAACACTTTAGGTAGCGGCGTCCGGCGGTGATCGAACAATGCGCGTAGCTCAAATCTCTTACGAAGCCCAGTCCTATGGAAGCGCCATTCCAATGTACCCAATACTCCGAGCTAATTACAATAAGCATAGAACGCCTCTACAGAAGCACCAGCGTGGCACCCATACCCGTGACACCTCAAGCCTGTAATCCGTCATAATTGTGCCCAGCACCAACCCCCCCTAAGCATCCCCATACATATCCTCATAACTCGGCAGCACAACATCCCACTCCTCCTGCACCTCCCCGTCCTCATCCACGGCCATCTTCCCCTTCCCCTTCCCCTCCCGCCTCTCCCTCTCCTTCCCCCACGAAAACGCCAACACCCCCCCATCTTTAACATTCTTCGCGCCCTTTGGACAGTCCCCCGCCACCTGCGTCGCCTTCTTCGGCCTCCCCTTCCCCTTCTTCCCTTCCCCGCTCTCATCCACATCCTCCATTCCCTCGTCGCCGAGCCCGTCCCGCTCCCACTCGCCCGTCACGAAGCCCTTGCTTAGATCGTTGATATCCACCGGCCGTGCGAGGATAATCTCGGATGGAGAGGATGGGAGGGGGATGCCGTCGAGAGCGTCGTCAGGCGAGGTTTCGCGCAGCGCAGTGAGGAGTTGGGTTTTCAGGGTCGCGAAGGTTTGGAGGGGGTCGGTGTGGAAGAGGAGCGTTGTGCGGTGGTGCTTGAGGCGGAGGGTCCAGGCGGTTGGGCTGGGGGGCGTGAAGATGGTCATTGTGGTGCGCGTGAGGGGGAGATGCGATGGGCGCTTCGTGTATGGTTTGAGCGATATTCGCAGGTATGGAGTGTGGCGAGTAGAGGTGTTTGATGAGATGTGGGTGATGTTTTGCCTGCAGAAGGTGAAGGAGGAGCGAGCGCGGGGTTAAGGTTTTTTAGGTTCGCGCTTGACACGCGAGATCAGGAGTGCCAAGGCACTAACACGTTTGCCGGTGGAATTTCAGCGGATGAGTTACATGATTGTAACAAAGAGACCTGAGACGGGAACATCGCTGTAGTTCTCTCACATTCAGCATAACCCATCTCATTCACCAGGAGGTTGTGCTGAGCGTTGCAATGAACTTCCAGAATCAAGAAAACACCCGGGCCCGCGCTTCTACCAACTGGCGGCGCAGAGACGCAGGCGGGACGCCTTCCGCTTTCCAGCCAAGAAACGCTCAGAATAACCATGAAGGGGCTGATCCAGGCAGCGCTCAAGCGACTGAACCACTGAGACAAGGCTTTAGAGATTTGGGGAGGCCATCCGCATCTCCGTCCCAATCTCAATCACCAACTGATGATCGAACCGCCCAAGCCATTGCGGATGGCCGTCGAATCTACGTAGGGAACCTCCTCTATCATGCGAAGACAGAGGACGTGGAAGCTCTCTTTGGCGACGGCGACTACACCATCGATCGTATAGTCATGTCCTTGGATCCTTTCACGGGTCGAAATCCCTCATACTGCTTCGTTGAGCTGGCGAACAAAGAGCAAGCCGACTGGGCGATGGAAAGGCTGAATGGAAGGAAGCTCCTGGGGCGGCCGGTCAAGATTAAACCATGTATTCCACGCAGAGCTGATCGACAACCACCTTCTGGACCACCGAGCACTCGTAACACACTTCCAGACCGGTGGGAGCGAGACGACGCCCAGAGTCATTGGGTAGGCGCTGGGATGCCAGGACGTCGGCTGTTTGTTGGAAATCTTCGAAAGCCACGCAGCCAGGCCGATTCGAACGCGGAGATCGCACAGCTGTTCGCTGGATTTGCAGTGTGAGTTGCTTCTGTTTACAGCGTCTGCGTTGATACAGTGACAGGCTAGAGCCTGTGTACATTCACTTTCCACTGTTTGGGGGAGTCCCGAATGGGAAAGGGTTCGGCGGGATCTCAAGTATCTTCCTCTGAGCTGCCTCTTGTCCAGCGGGCGTCCGGCAACGGGGCTGCCCCTGACAGTGGTGTCTAGCATCCAAAAGCAGTACTCGACCAGAGACATATCTATGCGCCTAGAAATATGGCGTGTAGCTTCCCATTTCGTACTCGATTATAGTAAGCCTGAATGGTGCTGATCGCGTCTGATTTATAGCGAAGCCATTAGCAAAGTCATATCGGGTTCTTCAGGGGATACGTATTACGCCTTCGTGGACCTTGCCACGAAAGAAGAGGCCGAAACGGCGGCGCGCGCAGTGGATGGTACTACTACATCCTGGGGAACCATCAAAGTCAACAAAGCCAGACAGGATCACGCATGGAAGGTCCACGAGCGGGAATCGTTTGATCGATCGCGCGAAGGAGTAAAGCTGCCTTGATGGTGGGAATGATTCTACACAGCAGACCAGAACTTGGACCGGATGTCTTGAAGAAGGAACACAATACTGCAATAGGAGAGGTGCTGTCTCGGCAATTCTGTTCCGTGCCACATGGCGGAGAATTTGTGCACGATGATCCTGGTAACTAGACTTTGACGCGTTCAGACGGAGGGCTGTCCGACGAGAGCGGCTTGCGGTGTTGTTGATGGAAAGAGGGAAGCCTTGAACGTGAAGAAGTTGGTCAAAAGGCGTTGCATCCGGTCAATGTTTACGAAATAGTAGTAGAATAACACGGCGAGCACCTCATGCTGAGTGACGGCGCGTGGCGATAGAGTTGGCAGAGTGCAGTGTCAAGGCGCGATGTGGCGCAGGGGTGGGGCTGCTCGATCGGTTACTAGCGCAACTGCCTCCGGGCTGGGCGAGTGTGAGTAAACAACACACTTTTGCACCCACGGCCTCTTCAGACCTAGATACCCACCCCATCTCCACCACCGTGCCCTCTACACTTTACGATTCGCATTCGCCATCGCAGCAGACGCCAGCTTCTCTCGATTCTCGCCTGACGATTCCCGAATTCTGCGCATTACCCAGCTCTACTCCATGTTTACCGCTTAGACCAGAGCTTTGCAACCCCCATCACGGCCTCGATTACGGCCTCTTGAGCCTCACTGCGCCTTTCACTCTGGTCCCCGCCGGCTGTGCGACGCATGTCACGACGTCTGCCATCTGAGGACTGTCCCTTCGCTTCGCGCTGGTCATGACCTACCAGTACTCTCCCCGCAGCAAGCTGGGCCACCCAGCAACATCGCCTTCCCCTCTCCGCCACGCCTCCAATGCATCTACGAACTCCTCCGCATACTCGAATTCGTCGAACCAATACCCTCCCAGTCGCACAAGCACCCTCTCCTCCAATGGGTCCGGCACGTATGGTCATTCGGCCCTGGGACACAGGCGCGGCATGAGCGAAGCATCCGCTCTGTCAAATCCGCCGCGGACCGAGAGCTACTATGGCTCAGAGGACTCTACTCAGTCCAATACATACAAGAACATGCGACAGTCGCTACGGCCCCTCGCCCAGGCACCTGCGAGCTCGCCAGTCCAGGAGAAACCTGCCTATACACCACCAAGCCCGAAGCACAGTAGATCACAGAGCGTGGATCCTGTCCGATATATGGATCAAAATGATGGTACAGTATCGCCTCCGGCGAAACCAAGACCGCTTTCCATGGCCATCTCCCGATCAGATTCCATACGAGCCCCTACACACGACAAATCTGGCAAACATAGGGGCCACCAACAATTGAGCCCCCACATAGAACGGCCAGAGCTGCAAAGCTTTGGGAAGTCGAGCACCGGTCACCTTCGCGTTCTCTCAAAGTTTGCTGACAGCGCTTCGGACGGTGACTTCTCACCCCTCTCCTCCGGCTCCATGGTGGTCGGCTCGCATACACGTCGGCGACTACAGCGAAAAGTCTCAAGTGGAACCAAAAAATCATCTATAGGCTGGGCAAGCAGAAACTGGATGGACACCCAGCGACAATTCCTGCAAGCTTATGAATACCTTTGCCACATCGGAGAAGCCAAAGAATGGATAGAAAACATCATCGACAACGAGCTGCCTTCAGTCGTCGAACTGGAGGAAGCGCTCAGAGATGGCGTGACTCTTGCGGAAGTTGTTCAAGCCATTTTCCCTGAACGACCAATGCGAATATTCCGAAATCCGAGACTCCAATTTAGGCATTCTGACAACATAGCCATCTTCTTCAACTTCTTAGCTGAGGTGGAACTTCCCGACATATTCCGTTTTGAACTCGTAGACCTCTACGAGAAGAAGAACATCCCCAAGGTTATTTATTGCATTCATGCTCTATCCTGGATGTTACTAGCAAAAGGGATCGTCGGCTTCCGGATCGGAAATCTTGTCGGCAAGCTGCAATTCGAAGACCACGAATTGGAAGCGATGCAAAAGGGTCTCGACAAATCTGGCATCAACATGCCCAACTTCACGGGCATGTCAGCAAATTTCGGTGCGGAACCTGAACCAGAACCCGAAGAGTCGGAAGAGGATCGGATCGACCGGGAGTTGGCAGAAAACGAACCTACGATTTTGGATCTGCAGGCTCAGATTCGAGGAGCACTTGTAAGGGTACGGCTCGGGAACTTGATGCAAGAGCTTTGGGACGCGGAGGACACTATAATTGATCTCCAATCAAGGATACGAGGCGACTTCACGAGACAAATTGCCCAGTACCGGATGGACATGTGGAAGTTTGCAGTCAATCTACAAAGTGCGGCGAGAGGATTCCTCGTCCGGTCAAGATTACAAGGTGAAGAAGAATACTGGAGGGATAAGCAGAAAGAGGTGGTTACAATTCAGAGTTTATTCAGAGCGCGCCAAGCTCGAGCAGAAGTCCAGTATGTGAAATCTAAGGTCCAGCGGCATGAGAGTGGCATTCGAAACTTCCAAGCAGCAATCCGAGGAGCTTTGACGAGAATGAAAGTCGGAGACCAATATGAGCGCATTAGTGAGGGCGAGGCCGTCATGCATGATCTACAAGCAATGATCCGAGGTGCTTTAGTACGACGCAAGATGAATCAGAATCGTACCGATACAAAAGAGTCTGAGCCGAGTGTAGTTATCCTACAAGCCGCCGCCCGTGGAATGCTCCTTCGACAATCAATGCGTACCGACCGAGAGAGCCTTCGTCGAGAAGAATCGATGATCACTTCATTGCAGGCCGCTGCCAGGGGTCTCGTTACTAGACGGCAACATGCAGAAGTCCAAGACAAACTGGTAAGCAGTAATGTCGATTGGTCTGATTTCCAAGCTCAGGTTCGAGGGAACGCTTTGAGAGACTCGGTCAAGCAATTGCGGGAGGAGCTTGAGCCTGAATCCCCGCGTATCATCGAGCTCCAAGCCGCAGCGAGAGGCTCTCAGCTTCGACAAAAGGTTGCGCAAGCTCTTGACGCGTTAGCAGCTCAGGAGGCATTTACCACTCAGTTACAGGCTTTTGCTCGAGGTTTCATGAACCGCCAGAGGCACTTTTCTGACCTCAAATCCCTACAGGCACACACTCCCACCATCATTGATCTTCAATCAGCGTCCAGAGGATTCGTCGAGCGCCAGCGGACGTATGAGCTGCTTTGCGACCTCAATCAGCACGAGCTAGAGATTGTCTCGCTACAAGCACTGGCTCGTGGGATGCTTCTCCGAGCTGACGTTGGAAGTGCGCTTGGTCACCTAGACTCCCACGAAGATGCCATTGTTGAGCTGCAAGCTTTGGCTCGAGGAATGGTCATCCGACGAGGCTTTGTGGAGAAAAAGAACTTCTACAAGCAGAATATGGAAAAGGTCATCAAGCTTCAGAGCTTTATTCGAGGACGACAACAAGGTGAAGCTTACAAGAGCTTGACAAGTGGGAAGAATCCTCCGGTCGGGACCATCAAGAATTTCGTTCATCTTCTAAACGACAGCGATTTTGACTTCGATGAGGAAATTGGTATGTGGATTCATGAAGCGTTCTTGTTACTTCAGCTAACACTTGATAGAATTCGAGCGTCTCCGCAAGACCGTAGTTCAGCATGTGCGGCAGAACGAGATGGCCGAGCAATACATCGATCAACTCGATATCAAGATTGCTTTACTTGTCAAGAATAAAATCACCTTAGATGAAGTCGTGAAGCACCAGAAGCACTTCGGTGGCCATGTTGGAACCCTCCTCAGCAGCAAGGACATCTCGTCGAAGGATCCTTTTGATCTTAAAGCCTTGAACAAGAACTCCCGAAAGAAGCTCGAGCACTACCAGGAACTCTTCTTTTTTCTCCAAACGCAGCCTCAGTACCTGGCGCGACTCTTCAAGCGGATTAGGGAGCAGGGGCTGCCCGAGAAAGAATGCAAGCGCATTGAGCAATTGATGATGGGACTCTTTGGTCTAGCCCAGAAAAGACGAGAGGAATATTATCTGCTCAAGGTCATGACAAGGTCTCTCAACGAAGAAATAGATGGATGCTCCAGTCTTCAGGAATATCTCCGTGGAAATTTTTTCTGGGCAAGGATCTTTAATGGCTATATCCGATCTCCTCGGGACCGCAAGTTTTTCCGTGATCTCTTCGGTCCCTTGATCAAGAACCACGTCATGGAGAACGAAGAGCTAGACCTGGAGAGCGACCCTCTACAGATCTACAAATCTCTGATCAACAACGAAGAGCTGCGGACAGGCCAGAGAAGTAGAAGAGTACTGGACATTCCCCGTGAAGAAGCGATCAGAGACCCAGAAACACGAGAAACCTTCATTCATCACCTGCAGGATCTTCGGGATATTGCCGATCAATTTTTCGCGGCTTTTGAAGAGGTCATGCACAAGATGCCGTACGGAGTTCGTTATATTGCACAGCAAACATTCGACTTCCTCCGTCTCAAATTCCCATATGAGTCTCAAGAGCAACTACTTCAGATAGTCGGTCACTGGGTCTGGAAGTCCTACCTTCAGCCTATCTTGTTGCAACCTCAGCACTGGGGGGTTTTAGATCGTGGATTGACTCCGCTTTGCAACCGGAATCTTGGAGAAGTTGCCAAGGTCATGGGTCAGATTGCAGCCGGAAAGCTCTTTGGGGGAGAGAATGTATATCTCCAACCGCTCAACAACTACATCACAGAAGCCATCGACCGTTTGCAGGAGCTCTGGAGTAGCAGTAGGTTTGACTTCGGTCTTATGAATCTACATATACTAACATATTTGACAGTGATCACTATTCGCAATGCCGAAGAGCAATTCGACATTGATGCCTTCAATGACCTTTACGCTCGCACGAAACCGACTCTCTATATCAAACTCGCAGACATATTCGCCATTCATAATCTCGTAGTAAACGACCTCAACGCCCTCTGTCCTGCTCAGGATGATTTGCTTCGAGACGTCATTCGCGAACTTGGCAGCGCAAAAAACAACGAGAACGAGATGTTGCACGTTAGCTCTGCCGAGATTACGCTGACCCTCAACCCCAAGCTGCATGAGATCGAAGGTATGTACTCCTTAGATCACACGTCAGACATTACACTAACGGAACTTACTAGATCCCGACTCTGCGGTCAAAGCACTCTTCATGGAAACAAAACGCTACGTTCTCTACATTATCCGCATTCAATCTGGCACAAACCTGATGGAGATTATGGTACGGCCTATCACCCCCGAAGATGAAGACCGCTGGGACGCTCTAGTCCGCGAGGAGCTTGCTGTCCACAACACACACCGCCGCGCCAGCAAGATTCAATCCTCCGCCGCCTCTACCTACACAACCGACATGCAATCCACCACTCTCCTCGACATGGACTACCCCTCCCTCAAACGCCAAGCCTTAGAAAACATCTTGCACCTAGAACGCGCAGGCCGCATCTCACGGCACAATCACTACCAAGGCATCCTCAACGCCATCGCCGTCGACATCCGCACGAAGCACAAGCGCCGCATACAAAGAACCAAGGAACTCGAAGGCGTGCGCGCCACGCTCAGCGCGCTCGACGAGAAAGCCGAGTTCCTTGACCAACAGCTGAAGAGCTACAACAACTACATCGAGCAAGCCATGGTCACTCTCCAAAACAAGAAAGGAAAGAAGCGCTTCCTGCTCCCCTTCACTAAACAGTACAACCACGAGCGCGAGCTTCAGCGCTCCGGCCGCGTCTCCAAGTTCGGCAGTTTCAAGTACAGCGCCCGCACGCTCGCTGAGAAAGGCGTGTTGATCGCGTGGAACGGCTACACCGAGCGTATGTGGGATAAGCTGGACCTCACTATCTCTAGCGACTCGATTGGTGTCTTTAGGCTTGAGGGCAGCCAAGGCAGCATGATGATTCCTGGCGCGAGTGTTGAGGTGAAGCTAGACGATTTGCTGCAGGCGCAGTTTGATAATCATCAGTTCATGAACCTGTTTGGGGAGGGCGAGAAGGGTGCTGGTACGCTCCGGTTGAACGTTAATCTGCTGTTGCATCTCGTTTTCAAGAAGTTTTATCGGGATGAGTGAGCGGGAAGTGTAGACGAGGAAAAAGGTTTGCGCGGAGCGCTGTATGGGCATTGGATGAGCGGTGTTTGGTTTCGCTGGCTTTGGAAATGGGCATTTGAGGCTGGCTGGATAGGTGTGCACAGGGTTGGTGTGCACGGCATACTGGAAGGAGCGCTGTAGTAATTGGCGCAGCTTGTCGTTTTGGGGTAGCATGGCTGAGTCTGCGTTTGGCGCTGGGGGCACCAGTGCGCGACTGTATAACGGATTCATGGCTTTACTTACGGTACCCTACCTACTTCTTCTAACTCATACAATTTTTCGATGAGAGATGGGCTATGATGATGAGGATAGGGATTCTTGAACCGGTCGAGAAAATTACATCCTGTAATGAGCTATTCTCCGCCCTGCCTCCATCAGAAACACGCTCCTTGAAAACTGAAGAGTCTATCTAATTGAGAGTAGCCCTAAATAATTGAAATGGCAGGGACGTTCTCACGTTCCTGAGCGATCTTCAAACCTGTGACTAGGGCTTATTACTTCATATTTTGTTTCCCTAAATAACGAAAGTAGGAAATGTGATGTATAACGAACTCAATGGAAATACTTAACCGGAGTCTATAGAATAGCAGGCCTTAGACTAGGAAATAATGTACAGTGCTAAGTCATAAGTTTAAGACTTCAGATCAGATATCCCGTTATCCTTTTAATGTTCTACATACAACATGAAAGTCAATGCAATGGGAATAGGGCTACTGTTTGACCGACTGAAGACATGCAAGCTGGGGAACTCCTTACAGCGGTAAGGAGTGAGTAAAAGTGAAGCCCGACCAGCGAGATATCCGCGTGCCTAAACTTATGACCTAGCACTGTAAGGAGCTCCTTTGTGCTGATAGAAAAACTCCCTTGGAAGTTTAGGCTCCGATTTGAGGTCGGCTTGGGTCTCAAGATGATATCTCTCTTCCCAGCGTCATCGTTTTGGAATCGGGAAGCTGATAGCATCTCCCCCGGGACTGGCTTGTGGCCAATACTTGACCACGCAGCATAGTCGGGCCACTGCTCTCAGTTTCTGTGATTTGGTCACCTGTGGAGTGCAACAACTGGCCATGCTTGGGCATATCGACTCTTTGGGGCTCGACAAGAGTGGGGGAGACAGCATACTGTGCCCAATGACTTCCATGAAGGGCATTGTGGCACACGTACTCAGTTTTATGCGTTAAATGATACTTGAAGGAATGCGTAAAGACAGAGAGGGCCTTTCTGATTTGGCGTAGGGTAGGGGAGGTATTGAGACGGAGACTGTGATAGAGGAGACAGAGCTTTTGCGGAACGACAAAGCTATTTCGATATGAAGATATTGAAGAATCTCATCGGCGAGCTTGCGGACTTGCTTCACGGCGAGCTTTTTACACCGCTGCTTGAGGAGAAGTGGGCAGGTGACTCATGGGATGGAGCTTCCTTCGTTAATGCGCAGATTGGCATCGCTATCTGTGCCTCTCTTCGCACAGCCTGGACATTTTCGATCGGCACCGTACGCGGCGTGCGAAACAATTCGTTAAAGGCAGCACAACACCCACACACATTGTGCCCCTCTTATTCACCATCATTGCTAGCCGGAGCCATCACATGAGGGCTGTCGAACGAGGTGCGGGAGGAGGTTTGCCGCCGCTCTTTTCAAACTCACCTCCCAGACCCCCACCTCATAGCTGTAGCGATATCGGTGCCTCTCCACGACGGTCCAGATGATTTCGGGCATGTCCATGTCTCCGACGACTCCTGGGAACGGAGCCCATCCCGTCCTTTCCTACGGCAACAGCCCATCGAGCGCCCGCTCGCACGGCTTCAAGCGCCCAAACGACAGCGACGATGAGCAGGACAATGGCCCGGAAGGGCGCATGGCGAAGGCAGCACGGCAAGCTGCGGTTAAGCGTGCGTGCAACGAGTGCAGGCAGCAGAAGGTATGTGACGGCCCCTCCGCTCAATTGCGACCCGCCAGAGAGAAGAGCGCAGTCTTTTCACCAGCTCACCACTGACGCGCTTCTTCTAGCTCCGCTGCAATGTCCAACAGGATCCCTTCCAAGAATGCTCGCGCTGCTCCAAGCACAAACTTACCTGTGTAATCGAACCCAATTTCAAGCGCATTGGCAAGCGCAGCCGGAACGCCGAGATGGAGAAAGAGATGGCAGAGTTGAGGGCGAGGCTGGCGCACTATGAGGGACAAGGCAGGCCATCGCAGCCCATAATCAATACTCCAGTCCAGAGCTCCGAGACGACCATGTACTCTGGCAACTACAACGAGGAGGAGACGTACGCTGGGCCACATCACCAGGCAATTGCCTCCCTACTCGACCTGCGCAGCGGCTCTCCGAATACAATGAAGTTTCAGGCTCTGGAGAAGGTGGTTCTTGCGCCCGACCGCATTGAGGAGCTGTTCAACGAGTTCTTCACTAATTACCACCCGATACTGCCATTTCTCGATCCGATTCAGTCGCCAGAGGAGTATTGTAACGATTCTCGATTGCTGTTCTGGACCATCATCAGCGTTGCTGCTCGACACTTCGCCCAGGACCCAACTCTGCTTGACGCTCTCAAGGAACCATTGATCAAATTGATATGGCAAACTGTTGCAAAAATTCCTCAGAACCATTTCGTTGTCAAAGCTCTCTGTCTGCTCTGCACCTGGCCGCTCCCAACCAGCCGCACTTCCACAGATCCGACTTTCATGCTCTGCGGGCTAATGATGCAGATTGCTACGCAAATCGGGCTGCACCAGCCTACTCATCCTCAGGACTTCTCAAGAATGAAACTTCGCTTGAAGCGCGAAGACATTGACGATAGGCTCAGGACATGGGCTGTATGCAATATCGTTGCACAAACGTAGGTCGGAGACTAATTCCTCAACACGCTTCCGCTAACTTCTAATGGTGTTTCTACTGGGTTTGGGCAGCCTTCAGTAACTCTCTACGACTCCACCCTTGATTTCAGCCCCGAAAATGAGCAGCATATGAGAGTCGTTCCCCCGGAACTATACACTCGTCTACGCCAAGAAATGGCGGCTGATAGGATTACGAAACTGTTGTATCTCTCCAGTGGCAGCAACCAACCCGACAAAGCTCATGACAGCAACGGAAAGGCAGTATTCTATGCCAATTTAGAAGCGGACAGGCTCAATGAGGAGCAGAGCCGGTTTGAAGCAGCTGGCCTAGTCACAGGTAAGTTACCTCCAAAAAGGATGCTTTACTTTTCCCAATCTAATCTGTGATAGATATGGAAGCATTGAATTACCAAGCTGTTCTTCTCCATCTTCGCTTGTACGCGTTTTTCGACACGATATCACCAACAGGTGGTCGTGACGATCTACTGGACTTGTATTTCGCTGCAACTAGCTTTCTCAATCGTGCATTTCCGATGGTAGAAGCGGGCGTCCTCAGATACGCCCCCAACTACATCATGCAGATGATCCTTGCCGCAGGTTTTGCGCTGCTCAAACTACTTAATTCGGACTTCGCGGCTAAGCTGCCTGCTGAGGATGGACGCCATTACCTCACGCGCACGATCACTTCAATCCGCGCAATAAGCGTCTCCAAAAATGATCTCCCTCTCCGCCTAGCCGAGGTCCTCGCCCAGCTGTGGAAAGCGAGTGGTGGCGGGAGCCTCAAATTCTCGAGCACATCTCAGTCTCCTGGAATCGCTAACGCCCCTCTCCCGAACATCTTCGCCCATCAACCCCCTCCTCGCCGTGGAAGTCCGGGTATGGATGACCCTCTCCGACTTCGAGTCCGTAGCCGCATGAGCATGAGCGTCGTATTCGACTCAGTCTGGCGTTGGCGCGAGACACAAGTCAATGGCGCGGGGGAGAACCTCGATACGACCGTTGTCAACAATCCAACGAACCCTGACAGCTCGACCAACTCAACGCCTCCCGCAGGCATGCCCATGGAAGGTAATCTCATGACAAACCAGCTAAATCAAAATCTCTCGGCCCTGAGCATGCCTCTGGCCATGCCCAATGGCCTAGCCAGTGCGAACAGCTATGAGTTTTTCGATCCGGTTAGCTGGATGCTAGACGTGCAGCCTGACTGGAATGTCTATGGTGGAAGTTATGGAGCTGATTTTGGTGCTTGAAAAAAATGGATTGCGAAAGAGCGAAATGTGACAATTGTGCTAATGAGGCAATCCAGGGTATCAAGGCTCCAGTATGGGTTACAATGCAAGTTCTACACTGGACCAGGACTGGAGCTCCTTTTTTGAAGACATCCTTCATTGATGAACTATTGCTATAGAGTTCGGATTTCTTCTAGGCAACCACGATGAGTCTGCTCCGGACTCCCATCATGGCTCTGATCCCATGGAAGACTGTCGTGGCCTGTTTCCCCACGAGACAGGCGCTGCGGACAACACGAATTGATGACTGCATTCATGGTTTGGGCTGGGTTAAAGGCGGGCAACGGACTGGCATTCTGCATTATGGTGGCGTTGGAGTGGGCATACCCTTGATTTCGGTTCGGTTCGTGTGTCTGTTCTGTGGCGTTCGTATGTCTGGCATAACACTCTCACGGCGTTAGTACTACGGGTCCTGAAATTGTAGATAATTCCTAGTGTCTCCATATTGATAATCGTGGTAGTAATCTGAGCAAATTAGTAGACACTGACTTGCGTAGTTCTGAGCGGAATGCGAATATAGATTCCTCTGATGGGAACATGACAATCACGACGCTCGTGTGAATCATATTGGAGATGAATTCTGATCATGTGTTCATTGTCGAGCTGTATCACTCTGTCGTCCTCAGCCCAGGTCTCCCCCTACGGACAATGACCGAGCGATCAAATTTGTGCTCGTGCCGGCCCCAAAGAAGCATTGTGGGCCCCCAATGCAAGTGAACACCGATATCCCTTCGTTTTGGCCACATTCCGCTCCTACGCCCCAACATCTAGCCTCTAGCGCTTCTTCTGTTGCGACTCCTTGAGCACCTTCTTGACGATCTTCTGCTCTATAAGGACGTTAGAGACTGCTATAAGCAAGCGAGTATAGTCCCACTTACCCTCGATCAAGAAAGCCCTGGTGATTCGGTCCTTGACGCAGTTGGCGCAGCGGCTGCCACCGTATGCCCTGTGATTTCTCAGCATTCCATCCACCCCAACTCAGTTTATCCGCACTGACCTCGAGACGCTCTTCTTCGGTCGGCTGATGGTTGCGTATTCGCGGGGACGGAGAGCCTTGATGCCGGGGAGCTTGGTGCCACAGTCTATCCTCTGTTATCAAATGCTCCCTTCAAACCCTCGTTTTGAGAAACGTACCACCGCACTTGGGCGACGAGCCGGCCTTCTTGATGTGCAGGTATCCTTTGGGACTGATCAGTTGTGCGCTTGGTTCGTGGTCTGGGGGAAAATCGTACGTAGCTTGCCACCGGGAGTCTACTTCGCATTAGAATGGTTCAGGAAGAGCAGGGCTAGCGCCAGAATGCAGATTCTCACCTTGATGATGCGGACTTTGTTGCTCGCCGTGTTGTCTGTCGAAATTAGTGCCTGTGCTGTCGCAATGCGGGCTCGTCCAAATGCTTACACGTCTTCCGGCGACGGAAGGTCAATCGGGTGGAAGGCATTGTTACGGTATTGCCTTGCAATCAGCACTTCGACAGCAAGAATCCTCGGGCGTAGTAGTGATGGGAGAGAGTTGTCGTCGGTCGTCGTCTCGCGTGTGGATCGAGGTTCCAAAATTCGGGAAGTTGGTGGGTGACGCGATGCCTTTTCGGTGTTTAGCGTCTTGGCGCTGAATGCACGTCGCGAACGCAAAGATTCATTGCCGCGCCCTCGCTGCCTTGCCACTGCAACCGCATTTCCCTCCAACCTCACCTCATCGCGAGGGTTGTGGAAAGTGATTTGCTTCTCTTTCTCGCATCTCTGCTGCGGTCTGAGGGCTGACTCCTATTCGAACGCGTGCTCTGAGCGCGCTCCTGAGCCGGAGAGCTTCCTTCGACTTTGCGCTCTCAACTCTACCTCGATTGCCGTCCTACTTCGAGGGTGACGACTGTCCTCCATCTCGACATCATGTCGTCTCTTCCTCCCCCGCCGCCGGGATGGGCTCCTCCTCCACCGCCTGGCGCACCTCCAGGAATGTCTCTCGCGCCTCCCCCCCCGGGATACCGGCCTCCCGTCGACCCCCAAGTCGCGAAGTTTGCGCAGAAGAAGAAGGAATGGCTGCGCATGCAACGCCAGCGGTACGGCGAGAAGCGCAAGGGCGGGTTCATTGAAACACAAAAGGCGGATATGCCCCCGGAGCATCTCCGCAAGATCGTCAAGGATATCGGAGACGTGTCGCAGAAGAAGTTCAGCAGCGACAAGCGCAGCTACCTTGGGGCGTTGAAGTTCATGCCACATGCTGTCCTCAAGTTGCTGGAGAATATGCCGATGCCGTGGGAGAGCGCTAGGGATGTGAAGGTGTTGTACCATGTGAATGGCTGCTTGACACTAGTCAACGAGATTCCTCGAGTCATCGAACCGGTCTTCCATGCGCAGTGGGCGACTATGTGGGTTGTTATGAGGCGAGAAAAGAGTGACAGGAGACATTTCAAGAGAATGCGATTCCCGCCCTTCGACGATGAGGAGCCACCACTTTCCTGGTCGGAGAACATCGAAGATGTCGACCCGCTGGAGCCAATTCAGATGGAACTGGACGAAATGGAAGACGCGCCTGTGTTTGACTGGTTCTACGAGCACAAACCTCTCGGGGACTCCTCCCATGTCAACGGACCAAGCTATAAGGAATGGAACCTCACGCTTCCGCAGATGGCCACTTTACACCGTCTTAGCAGTCAGCTACTGAGTGACATAGTCGACAAGAACTACTTCCACATGTTTGAGCTGGAGAGCTTCTTCACCGCCAAGGCGCTGAATGTTCCCATCCCCGGTGGTCCACGATTCGAGCCGCTCTACAAAGACATCGACCCGAACGACGAAGACTTTGGAGAGTTCAATGCCATTGATCGTATCATTTTCCGCTCTCCAATCCGCATCGAGTACCGAGTTGCATTCCCGTTTCTCTACAACTCTCTCCCTCGAAGTGTGAAGCTATCATGGTATTCGCATCCACAAACTGTCTACGTCAATACGAAAGACCCGAGCCTGCCAGCGTTCTACTTCGACCCCGTCATCAACCCAATATCCTCACGATCGGTTGCTCCAAAAAATCTTACGATCAGCCACGAGGACGACATCTTTGGCGCTGATAACAATGAGGATGACGAATTTGAGTTTCCCGAGGAGGTCGATCCTTTCTTTGACGATGAGGAGCTTTACACAGACGAGACCTCGTCTGCTATTGCTCTATGGTGGGCCCCGTTCCCATTCAACAAGCGATCTGGAAAGATGGTTAGAGCGCAAGACGTACCATTGGTGAAACAGTGGTATCTCGAGCACGTTCCAAAAGATCAGCCCGTCAAGGTACGGGTGTCTTATCAGAAGCTGTTGAAGACATATGTGCTCAACGAGCTTCACAAAAAGCAGCCCAAGGCTCAAAACAAGCAGAACTTGATGCGTTCGCTTAAGTCGACGAAGTTTTTCCAGCAGACTACCATTGATTGGGTCGAAGCCGGTCTCCAAGTCTGTAGGCAGGGCTTCAACATGCTCAACTTGTTGATTCATCGCAAGAATCTTACCTATCTTCATCTCGACTACAACTTCAACCTGAAGCCCATTAAAACTTTGACGACAAAGGAACGCAAGAAGTCTCGCTTTGGAAACGCGTTTCATCTAATGCGAGAAATCTTGCGTTTGACGAAGCTTATCGTGGATGCACAAGTCCAATATCGGCTTGGCAACATCGACGCTTTCCAGCTTGCGGACGGTATCCTCTACGCCTTCAACCATGTTGGGCAGCTGACTGGTATGTACCGTTACAAGTACAAACTTATGCATCAGATTCGATCCTGCAAAGACTTGAAGCATCTGATATATTATCGCTTCAACTCTGGCACCGTCGGAAAAGGACCCGGATGCGGTTTCTGGGCACCGGCTTGGCGTGTCTGGCTGTTCTTCATGAGGGGAATTATTCCTCTGCTGGAGCGCTGGCTCGGTAACCTTCTGTCCCGTCAATTCGAAGGACGACACAGCAAGGGTGTAGCAAAGACCGTGACGAAGCAACGTGTGGAGTCACATTTCGATCTTGAGCTCCGTGCAGCAGTCATGACTGATCTCATGGACATGATGCCAGAGGGTATCAAGCAGAACAAGGTCAATACGGTCCTTCAGCATTTGTCCGAAGCATGGAGATGCTGGAAGAGTAACATCCCGTGGAAGGTTCCCGGACTTCCTGCTCCGATTGAGAACATTATTCTGCGTTACGTCAAGAGTAAAGCTGATTGGTGGATATCCGTCGCCCATTACAATCGCGAGAGAATTCGACGAGGCGCCACTGTCGATAAGACTGTCGCCAAGAAGAACTTGGGACGGTTGACTCGTTTGTGGTTGAAGGCTGAACAAGAGAGGCAGCACAATTACATGAAGGATGGTCCCTACGTGTCCTCGGAGGAGGCTGTTGCCATCTACACAACTACTGTTCATTGGCTTGAGTCTAGGAAGTTCCAACCTATTCCTTTCCCAAGCGTTTCCTACAAACACGACACCAAAATCCTGATCCTGGCCTTGGAGCGTCTCCGCGAAGCCTATTCCGTCAAGGGACGTCTTAATCAGAGTCAGCGAGAAGAGTTGGCCTTGATTGAACAGGCTTATGACTCTCCTGGAACTACCCTGGCCCGAATCAAGCGATTCTTACTTACTCAGCGTGCATTCAAGGAGGTCGGCATTGATATGAACGACAATTACAGCACTATCAACCCTGTGTATGACATCGAGCCGATCGAGAAGATTACCGATGCCTACCTCGATCAGTATCTCTGGTACCAGGCTGATCAGCGACATCTCTTCCCTGCCTGGATCAAACCTTCGGACTCTGAAGTACCACCTCTACTGACCTACAAATGGGCGCAAGGCATCAACAATCTCGATAAAGTCTGGGAATATCAGGATGGCGAATGCAACGTCATGATCGAGACACAACTTTCGAAAGTCTACGAGAAGATCGATCTAACACTACTGAATCGACTTCTACGATTGATCATGGATCACAATCTGGCGGATTACATCACCTCGAAGAACAACGTGCAGCTCAACTACAAGGACATGAACCATACCAACAGCTATGGTATGATTCGAGGTCTGCAGTTCTCGGCTTTTGTGTTCCAGTACTATGGCCTCGTCATTGATCTACTTCTGCTTGGTCTTCAGCGTGCAAGTGAAATTGCCGGTCCACCACAGAGTCCCAATGACTTCCTTCAGTTCCGCGATCGCCCTACTGAAACTAGGCACCCTATCCGTCTCTATACTAGGTATATCGACCGCATCTGGGTCTTCTTCAGGTTTTCGGCGGACGAGTCTCGGGATCTCATTCAACGTTTCCTTACCGAGCAGCCCGATCCCAACTTTGAGAACGTCATTGGATATCGTAACAAGAAATGCTGGCCTCGAGACTCAAGAATGCGTCTGATGCGTCACGACGTCAACCTTGGTCGTGCCGTTTTCTGGGACATGAAGAACCGCCTTCCTCGATCGGTCACCACGATCGACTGGGATGATACATTTGCGAGCGTATACAGCCGCGACAACCCAAATCTTCTATTCTCGATGTGTGGATTTGAAGTCCGCATTCTTCCTAAGATTCGCAACCTCACAGAGGAGTTCCCGGTCAAAGACAGCGTGTGGTCGCTCGTGGACAACACCTCCAAGGAACGAACCGCACATGCCTTCTTGCAAGTCACTGAAGAGGACATTCAAAAGTTCAACAACCGAATTCGTCAAATTTTGATGTCCTCTGGCTCGACGACATTTACAAAGATCGCCAACAAGTGGAACACCAGTCTGATCGCGCTCTTCACTTATTACCGTGAAGCAGCTGTGTCAACGATCAACTTGCTTGATACCATTGTCAAGTGCGAAACTAAGATCCAGACTAGGGTGAAGATTGGGTTGAACTCCAAGATGCCGTCTCGTTTCCCTCCTGCTGTGTTCTATACGCCGAAGGAGCTTGGTGGTCTTGGCATGATCTCCGGGTCACATATCCTCATTCCCACGAGCGATAAGCGCTGGTCCAAGCAAACCGACACTGGCGTCACGCATTACCGTGCTGGTATGAGCCATGACGAAGAAACACTCATTCCCAACATTTTCCGATACATCATTCCCTGGGAGTCGGAGTTCATTGATTCGCAGCGTGTCTGGATGGAGTACTCCCAAAAGCGTCAAGAAGCTAACCAACAGAACCGCCGTTTGACCTTGGAAGATCTTGAGGACAGCTGGGACCGAGGTCTTCCTCGTATCAACACCCTTTTCCAGAAGGATCGAAGTACATTGAGCTTTGACAAGGGCTTCAGAGCTCGAACAGAGTTCAAGACGTATCAGCACATGAAGAGTAATCCCTTTTGGTGGACGAGTCAGCGACATGACGGCAAATTATGGAATCTGAATGCCTACCGAACCGATGTTATCCAAGCGCTTGGAGGTGTAGAGACCATTCTTGAGCATACCCTTTTCAAGGCTACCGCGTTCCCGTCATGGGAAGGTCTCTTCTGGGAGAAGGCAGGTCTCATTTCTCTTGCTATCTGATATGGCAATGTACTAACTGTTCACAGGCCTCCGGTTTTGAAGAATCGATGAAGTTCAAGAAACTCACCAACGCTCAGCGCTCTGGTCTAAACCAGATTCCCAATCGTCGCTTCACTCTTTGGTGGTCACCCACAATCAATCGTGCTAATGTGTACGTTGGTTTCCAGGTGCAGCTTGATTTGACGGGCATCTTCCTCCATGGAAAGATTCCGACTCTCAAGATCTCCTTAATCCAGATTTTCCGTGCCCATTTATGGCAGAAGATCCACGAGTCTGTCGTCATGGACTTGTGTCAAGTCTTTGATCAAGAGTTGGATGCACTGGGCATCGAAACTGTCCAGAAGGAAACTATTCATCCGAGAAAGTCTTACAAGATGAACAGCTCTTGCGCCGATATCCTGCTCTTTGCCAGCCACAAATGGAGTGTTACCAACCCGTCGTTGCTATACGACACCAAGGATCAGATGAGCTCCACCACGACCAACAAGTTCTGGGTCGATATTCAGCTTCGATATGGTGACTACGATTCTCACGACATCGAGCGATATGTGCGTGCCAAGTACCTCGACTACACCACTGACAGCATGAGTATCTATCCTTCTGCAACGGGTCTGATGATCGGCATCGATCTCGCCTACAACCTCTACTCTGCATATGGGCAGTACTTCCCCGGTCTTAAGCAGCTCGTTCAGCAAGCCATGGCCAAGATCATGAAGGCCAACCCAGCTCTTTATGTGCTGAGGGAACGTATCCGGAAAGGTCTGCAGCTTTATGCTTCAGAGAGCAACCAGGAGTTCCTAAACTCGCAAAACTACTCGGAGCTCTTCAGCAACCAGGTGCAGCTTTTCATCGACGATACCAACGTTTATCGTGTCACTATCCACAAGACGTTCGAAGGCAACTTGACCACCAAACCAATCAACGGCGCAATCTTCATCTTCAACCCTAGAACTGGACAGCTCTTCCTCAAGATTATCCACACGAGCGTTTGGGCTGGTCAAAAGCGTCTTGGGCAATTGGCCAAATGGAAGACTGCCGAAGAAGTAGCAGCTCTTATTCGATCCCTCCCCGTTGAAGAACAGCCTAAGCAGCTCATCGTTACGCGTAAGGGTCTGTTAGATCCTCTAGAGGTCCATTTGCTCGACTTCCCGAACATTTCCATTCGCGCCTCCGAATTGCAGCTTCCATTCCAGGCTGCAATGAAGGTTGAAAAGTTGGGTGATATGATCCTCCGAGCAACTGAGCCTCAGATGGTGCTGTTCAATCTCTACGACGAGTGGCTGAAGACGATCTCGTCGTACACCGCTTTCTCACGTCTAATCTTGATTTTGCGCGCCCTGCACGTAAACCAAGACAAGACGAAGCTACTCCTCCGTCCGGACAAGACTGTTATCACACAGGAGCATCACATTTGGCCAACTCTGTCGGACGAGGACTGGATCAAGGTCGAAGTGCAGCTTCGTGATTTGATCCTGAACGACTATGGCAAAAAGAACAACGTCAATGTCTCGTCGCTCACGAGCAGCGAAGTCCGAGACATCATCCTCGGAATGGAAATTTCTGCTCCTTCCATGCAGCGCCAACAGGCTGCGGAAATCGAGAAGCAGCAGGAAGAGCAAGCGCAGCTCACAGCTGTGACCACGAAGACACAGAACGTGCTCGGCGAAGATATTATTGTCACGACAACTTCGGCCTACGAAACAGCCAACTTCGCCTCAAAGACAGAGTGGCGAACCCGTGCGATTGCAACGTCCAACCTGCGAACCCGTGCGAATAACATCTACATCAACTCTGAAGATGTGAAGGAAGAGAGCCACTTTACTTATGTCATGCCGAAGAATATTCTCAAGCGTTTCATTACCATCGCAGATTTGCGAACCCAAGTCGCAGGTTACTTGTACGGTTCTTCTCCTCCCGACAACGACCAAGTGAAGGAGATACGCACTATCGTCATGGTTCCCCAAAGCGGTGGCACTCGCGATGTTGCGCTGCCACGAGAGCTGCCCCGACATGAATATCTCGACAAACTGGAACCGCTCGGTATCATTCACACGGTCAGCGGTAACGAGCCGCCGTACATGCAAGCCAGCGACGTCACTCAACACGCGAAGTTGATGGCGGCGCACCCATCCTGGGACAAGAAGACGGTCTCTATGACGGTTTCTTTCACGCCAGGCTCCGTGTCTCTTGCGGCATGGGCTCTGACGCCACAAGGCTACAAATGGGGAGCGGACAACAAAGACATGATGTCGGACAGCCCAGCCGGGTTCTCAACCGCCTTTGGCGACAAGTGCCAGCTACTGTTGAGCGACAAGATCAGGGGTTACTTCCTTGTGCCGGAAAACAACATCTGGAACTATTCAATCCAGGGCGCCAACTTTACCACAGTGGAAAAGAAGCCGGTTTGGGTGAAGCTGGATACGCCAGCGAGGTACTATGATGCGATTCATCGGCCGCTGCATTTCCAGAACTTCTCAGAGTTGGAAGATGTGTGGGTTGATAGGGAGGATCAGTTTGAGTGAGGAGGATGACTGAGACTGGATACGAGGGGTATGTGTCTGCGGATTGCATTTGCCCGCGGCGGGAAGGCGGGGCGTGGGCGTTTCGGGCACTTCTTTCTCTTCAACTGCCCTGGAGATTGTGTTACTGCCGGGGATCGATGGGATGAAGGGTTGAAGGAGGGATGAAATCGGACTGTACAAAATTAGGTAGTAGCTGTATAATTGCATGGAGTCCCTTCGCCTTCGATCTATCCTTCGGCGGGAGATGCCACAGATGGGGCTGATGCTGTGGATCTTTCCTCGTAATGCGGTAATTTGCTTGCAATGATGCGTCTTAATTGATGGGACTGCATCCACGCAGCGCAACTGCTGACCCCTTACGATGGTACGTGGCCAGCCCTCGTTCAGCAGCTACGGATGGAGTTAGTTCGGCTTGCACAACACGTGATGACAACCCAGCACTGTCATTATCACCGTCTCATGTGTCTACACCAGACTCCGGGAATATCCAAAACCTGCAACGACGTATATCAGTAGTATATCGAATCATCTGTAAGTTTTGTGTATCATAGTAGCTCTATAGGGGTCATGGCTTTGAAGTGTGGCTGTTACGTCCCCCTAGCACGAGCACGATCACAATCACGTGCTATAGATCAGGTGACGCCTGATCACGTGCGCTTCGGGGCCTGCATGGCCCGAGGCTCCGGCCACGCCTGCGCTTCCAATCAGAGCGCAGTCGTTCTGTTCTTTTGGGCTGGCCTGCGGGCAGCCTGGCGTACGTAGTGTCGTAACAGTGGCTGGTGCACGGTCAGCGTCCAATGTGGCACAAGTTCGCTCCGAGGCGGCGTGCGCCCATGCGGATTGCAGCCACTTCGCTAGGAGTGTGCGACGTCGCAGCTGCCTGGCTGAAATGCACGCCGCGTTGGCATGGCACGACTTGCACAGCTCGTTGATGGGGGGTCGGGTCATATGGAGGAGTCTGCTATGGGGTGGGGTGGATCCGGAGTGTCGCGTGCCCCTTTTTCATATGTATATTCGGCAAGCGCAGAAAGTTGATGCTCGGCGGATTCCAGGGAGGCATCCCGGCGCTAGCAAAGCTTGGAGAAGCTTGTGTCGGGTCAAGCTTTGCTCCCGGCTTGGGCATGATCGCTGCGTCGAGCCAGATATAAAGATGCAAGCCGCTGGCAGGACTCTGTAACACACTCCGTAACACACTCTTTGCGACTCGCATCCGCCATCGTCGCGATGGGCTTCGTCGTCGCTAGGAAGCGGGTGTCTGGCCTTGCTGCGGCCCCATGGTCCCGAGTCGCACGTCGGCTCAGATAAGCGGAGGAGGCAGAGTCTCGCCTTGGGCTCCGCTCCATGAGGGCCCTCAAGCACTGTATATAGCAAGCTCGAACAGTCCAATTCCATCATTGCCCCTGGACCGCGTCACTGCCGTGAATAGGCACATGGCGGCAGTCTCGACGGAATGGACGCGTAACGAGCCCTACCAGCTTCCGTCGGCGATTGGGTCAGTGCACTCGCCCATCCTAGCCCGCTGGAGTCGTCCGTCGGTCTTGCACTTCCCCCCCGGCGGCCGCCTGCGCCATAGATATCTCCTGGCTGCTACATATCTCCACGCGAGACCCAATGTCTGCCACGCTGCTCTCTGGCCTCACCGACGACGAGTGAACGAAAAGGACATCGCCCCGCCCCAGCCGCCCACCCGACCCCGTTGCTCGACTTTGCCGCCCACTCCCGCTTTGTACGGTCTCCGCCTTCTGTCGCCGTACATTCCTGCTGCTCGGATCATGCTTCTAGCAAGCTGCCACGTCTGCTGATCATCATGGTAATTCGGACTCCGCTGCTGCTGTCGCTGCTCGTGACCCTCGCTGCGCTGGTGCATGCCATCCCAACCCTGCGGAGACGAGACGCCGATATTGAGAGCCTCTACGGCATCACGGCCCTGAGGCGCGACCACAGCGGCAAGCGTGGCGACAACAAGCAGAAATACTTCCACGAGTCCACCGTGAGTTTCTCCTCACAGTCGCACCAAGCCGTGCCCGTCTGACCGCCGCAGTTCCACCCCCACTACGATGGCCGCTTCGCCGACAAGGTCCTGTCCTACGACGACCGCCGCGCCAACCTGGTCGTGATGATGAAGACCTATCTTTCCGCTATGCACGAAATCGGCACCGAAACGTGGATAATGCATGGCTCGTTGCTGGGCTGGTGGTGGAACCGCAAGATCATGCCGTGGGACTCGGACGTCGACGTGCAGGTCTCAGAGGCCGGCATGGACTTCCTCGCCGCCTACCACAACATGACCATTCACCACTACCAGCTCCCCGGCGAGGCCAAGGGCAGAGATTACATGCTCGAGATCAATCCGCACTACGTCAATGGCTCGACGGCAGACAAGCTGAACGTGATTGACGCCAGGTGGATTGATACGCATACAGGGTTGTTCATTGATATCACCGCGCTAAGACGCGATAAAGAGGCCGAGGCGAAGGGCATGAAGGGCGTCATGATGTGCAAGGACAAGCACCGGTACGAGGAAGCGCAAATCTTCCCGCTCAGGGATAGCTTTTTCGAAGGCATACCGGTCAAGATTCCGTATGCGTATGCGGAGTTGCTGGAGGAAGAGTATGGGACGAAGGCGTTGACGAGGGTCAACTTTGAAAAACATCACTTTGATGAGGAGAAGATGGAGTGGATACCGCTGAAGTAAGATCTACCCTTCACGAATTTGCGAACTTGAAAGATACTAACGTATATACGCAGAGGTGCCAAAGATGAACCAAAGAAAAGACCACGGCCTTTAAAACCGGGGCTTAGAACCAGACCCGGTGGTGGGAGCGGCAGTAGAAACGCAGCTAGAACTCTGTGAGAGTCTCAGAGATCTCAACAGCGCGCGTGATAACCTTGCTACGAACTACGGGCTCATCGTACTGAGGATCTAGTGCCTCACCACCGGAGCTGCCCCATCCCTTCCGAAGCGGATTCGCATGGCCACTTCGATTCTCGCCTGTCCTATCCTTTCAATCTCCGAATCTACTCATTCCTACGTACCTATTACCTCAAGGCATTGACGTCGGCGCACGTCTCATTACTCCTTGTAGATCAGCCGATTGATCTAATACGCCGTCATTCTTATACCCCTACGACATTACACACCTAAATAATCGTGAACTTTCGACAAAGCGAGGCGCTTACCGGAGTTTGTAGACTTTCCCCCCTTCGTTATGCTTACAGGAATTGGGACGATGCTGTTGATGGAGTCTTAAAATCATGTTGGATAGGGGGGTTCGAGCATGTTCATATTCGATCGGCGTGTATTGTATCATGTTTCAGTGGTGTCCTGACAGGGAGGGGCGCTTCCGGAAAGTCAATAGGACTGAGGTTGCGGAGCAGATAGTTTTAATACCGCGGTCCTGTGGAAACTACAATCAGTGATGTTGGCTCATCTATCTATCAATCGTCAGTGAAAGTTGCTGACATGGCAATTGGCCACTACTCGGGATGGTTCAAATGCTTCCCATTCTCTTGGAAATGTAACATATCTATTCAAACAGAACAAAAAGCAGGATGTTGTGCAGCGAACCAGGCAAGTGCCCATTCTACGAGAAAGTGTCATGACATGAGGTCAAGGTGAGTTTTGCTTGGCCGAGCTATCATGCTGCTGCCTGTCACCCCGCCCAGTAAACCCTCGACTATTCTACACACCAAATCGTGCATCTGGACTCTGCCTCTACTAACTAAACCTCAAAACTTCACAAAGATGGAGCAGTGCCGTCTTTTGTCCCTCGCAGATGAGCTTCTCGTCTCCATTGTTGAAACTCTTGCCAACGATAGGCAGTCACTTGCCAGGCTCGCCTCGACATGTGCGCATCTCAAGGAAATCTCAGAGCCGTACATCTACCGCGACATCAAGCTACAGAACACAGTCGAGGCGGATCACATCGCTAGCAGTATCAAGGCTGACGAGGCGAGGGCTCTTGCGGTCCATTCCTTGGACAGTCGTTTGGGGTCTAGTACTCACTATTCCTCCCGATCACCACCAGCCTCAAACACAGCAACAAACTTCAACTTTTTCATGGGAGATTTCAAGAATTTGCGCAACTGGACTCTCGAATCTCCTTACACTAACTATTCTCGATGGATGGGAAGGCCGGGGTCACGGTGGATTGACAATGATATGGAGCGAATCATTGAAGTCTTTCAGCTTGCAGGCCTTGCTTCACCCTTGATCGAGCAGCCGCAACCACTCCCACTGCTCCAGTCATGTTAGTAAATCTGCTATTTCTAAACAATTTCCTTCTGTTCGTTCCCATAGTTCGCCGTCGTGGGGCATTAGTCTGTGCGTATTTTCATTACCTCGGCCTGGGGTGCTCCAAAGAATTTTCAAAAGTCTAGGCAAGATGTAGAACTTGTCATCATACTTCCGGACCGCCTTCTCGAGACCTTGGCCGGTTTGGGCATTGATAGAGTATACACTGGAGATACACCAAAGCGGCAGTGATTTAATGTACCGAAACTGAGGACCTAATTTTCGCTATGTTCTGGAAACTTCAGGAGGACTGCCTCACGACAAATCATGTTGGGTAATTAGCAAGACGGTCACAATTTATGCTAACACCCTAGCAGTCACTCTGCATCCCCACGGAGACAATTCGCGTTATTACCGTCTAGACCGTTTGGGTGCCATATTTCTTCACCCGTCACTTCGCACCATTCATCTCTCCTGCGTCACTATCGACGAAGGCCTTGAATACCTCCAGCAATACCAGCACACAACTCCACTCACCAGTCTCATCTTTGATGAATGCGAAATCTCCGCCCCTGGCCTGGCGTCAGTTCTCTGCGCTCCGAAAGGTCTCACTGACCTTACGCTGGGCGAAAACATGCACCACAGCGACTATACTGATCTCTTTCAAAGAAGGCGCCTACGCGACAGTCAAGATGGTCTTGTTGGCGCTCTATTGCAACAAGCCCATTCGCTCCGATTTTTTAAGCACCTCAGCGAAACATCAAGCCCCATAAGAGGTCTCAACGTGTTTCCAGCGTTACGCAGATTGGAGTTAACTCGCGTTGATATCCGTCAACTTTTCAAATTCGAACACTTCCTCCCCTCTGACCTTGAATCGCTGATCCTGATCGAGCCGCGGGAACACTGGATTGGACAGCTCGACCACGTGCCTAGTGTACTAGCAGCACACTGGCTGAGGAACCTGAAGACGCTGTCCTTCATAGTAACGCTCCATTATCATCTAGGAGTGCTATCCGATAAGCTCTGGGGAGATGCATTGGCACCAAGAATCCACAAACTGGCCTATGAGCTGCGTACTGGTGGTGTCTGCTTTCGAATCCTTGCTCGCAACGACTACACCGGGGCCATGCCTCCATATCTGGACGGCGAAAAGATTCCGGAGCCTGTCGTGGTCTACGACTCGCAGGACTATTCATTCGAGGCGAGACTTGGGGAGGACATCCCGTTAGAGGAGAGGCGGAACAAGGACGAGCTCACAGAGGATGAGCTGAATGTTCTAAAAAGGCACACGGATCGGCAAGTGTTGTAGTCTGTAGGGGAACTACTTGGGACGACGTAGATATAGAGACGCTAGATACCGACGTCGCTATTGACGATTTGGGGTCTTTGCTTGATTTGGATGAGGAGTCTACGTTGGATGAGTGTTGGCAATAAGTAGATAGAGCGCGAAGACCAGCTTGGCTACGGCCAGTTACTCTAAAATACGACAAATGTCATGTGTATGTTATGCTCAGGGTGTACATTAGAAAGTCGAAATCCAAAGCGCTCATTTACCACGTGATTAGTAGCATCAAGGCCCAAGCGCAACCTCGCATCCTTGGAATCCCTCCTCGTTATCTCGTCGAGCCTGGCTTTGCCCTCGAGTTTCCCCATCATCCCTTTCAGCGTGAAATGGCTTAGCTGAAATGCTTTCAAATGCTGCTCCACAGGACCCCTCACTTCCAGCCGCATGGGCTTAAATCGGTCCGCATTATGCACGTTCTCAGCCGTGGATGCGAGGTCAGACACATTTCTGCAGGCCAAGGCTACCGTACACGAGCAATATTGGTATCACAGAACACTTCCGACATCAAAGAACATGATTTTGGCCGCAAAATTGCTCATTCTTCTCGCTCAAATTAGAGCAGTCCGGAAATATAAGATGGGTGTAATTCCCCTTCTTCGATTGCCAATCTGTTGTCTTTTCTATACTCGCAGCTGAAAATTGATATGCCGCATTAGCGTCCCTAATCACGCTGTCGAAAAGGTCTCGAAGTGTGGTCTCAGAGCTGCATCTTCACCGACAATCGCTCCCTCAAGCCACTCCAAATGCAGCTTACGCACTTTGTCACATTTTCCTATGGCGTTTGCTGGCCCGTTCACACACCGAGGGCTACTCAGCTCAACCCGTCTTCCGCTTACGCCGTCAGATGCGGAGTATTCGGGGCCAAGCTCCAAGAGGTCTCATACACTCGTGATCTGGACGCTGAGACGTTCTCTTCGAAACTCGAAGCCAATCATAACTTCCTCCTCACAATAACCAAGCCTCTATCAACACCATTGGCAGCCACTTCTGCACTTGATGGGATCTCTGGGAAAGCTGGGCTGGTCTAGACACGTTCTTTCCCCGCCTCTTTGACTGTCTTGCTGCACGCCTAGATGGCGAAAGCTGAAAATTTGCTTGAAACTACTCTAATCCCACTACAAGGTGCTTCAGCAGTGCTATATCCGGACTTTCTAATGGATCATGGCTTTTTTGGAGGTTGTGGATTTGCTAGATGTTCAGCTGAAGCACACGGGCCCTGTTGCAGAATCACAAGGCTCTGCGACCTGGTTGACATAAAGGACCGCGAGCGCGAGCTTTGAGCTATAGAAATCCTGAACAGCTTCTCCAGACCTCAGAAATAATATAACATAACATTTGGCAATTCTCTTAAGGCTGATCGGTTAGGACCGCAACCATGGCGAGCTCGAACATCGCTGCTACTGGTGTACCTACCACTCCTGACGCCAACGGTATAGTCTCGCAATGAATAAGGCCAGTAGTCATGCTGAATGAATGATAGGTGCGGTCCCCATCAGACGAGAAATTCGCGATCTCCAGGCGAATTACAAAGACCAATGGAACCTCTACCTTCTGGGCCTCGCCGCCTTCCAAAACGTGTCTGAGACAGACCTGCTTTCGTACTACCAATTGGCCGGTACGCCTTTAGAGTGACATGCTCTTCGAATCTTCACTGCTTATCTTTTAATAGGCATTCATGGCGAGCCATACATTCCTTGGAACGATGTCGCCGGTATACAGAATCCAGGGAACGGCGGATACTGCACTCACAGCTCGATCCTTTTCTTGACCTGGCATCGTCCATATCTCGCTCTGTACGAGGTTTGTAGCATCTATCGAATTCCAGAAAAATGCTTGGGTTGCCTCGAGGGGACCAAGGCTGATCGTCTTCATAGCAATCTCTCTATGCCATCATCCAAGGAATTGCGCAAGAGTTTCCCTCTGCAGTCCAAGCCCGCTATGTCGCCGCTGCAAAGGATTTCAGGATGCCATATTGGGATTGGGCCGCGAAGGTCGGCTCTGGAAGCGCATTTCCGTCTGCGATTAGCTCCCAAACCGCCACAGTCATTGATACCGATGGCGCTACGAAGCAGATCAACAACCCGCTTTTCAGTTTCCAGTTTCCCGCGAGTGCTAGCGAAGGAGATCTAGATCAAAACGTAATGTTGTCTTTCAGTGTTACATACATAACTTTGCTTATTATCATTAGTGGAGCAGCTTCCCAGGCACTCTTCGCTACCCAGATAGTAGCGACTCGACTGCGCAATCTAACAATTCTTCAGTGACCCAAATCATTAACCGGGAGAACCCCTCGCTCCGCAACAACGTTTCTTTGATTCTTCTCTCATACACCCAATTCGACGCCTTTAGCAACAATCAATGGCTTCGGAACGGCCGACCAGGAACCTACGGAAGTCTTGAAGACTTGCACAACGAGATCCACGATAAAGTGGGTGGAGGCGGACATATGGGCTCTTTGGAAGTGTCTGCTTTCGATCCTGTATTTTGGCTACATCATTCGTAAGTTACGCCATATGCCTACGAAACGTATCTATCCCGGAGGCTGTATTCAAGTGCTGATCTTCCCAAGCAATGTCGACCGCCTCTGGGCTATATGGCAAACCCTCAACCCAAATAGTTTTGTGACTCCCAAAGCTAGTGAAGGTAACTTTACCACGCAGCAGGGTGCGCGCGAAGATGCGAACAGCCAACTCAAGCCTTTCTGGAACACGACTGGAACCAAATTCTGGGTGTCTACTCAAGTGAAGGACACGAAGACCTTTGGATACGCTTACCCCGAGACCCAGAGCTGGGCGTTCCCAAGCACTCAAGCGTATCAGTCAGCACTTCGGAGCACGGTGACGCAGGAGTACGGTGGGAACGTCCTGTCGAACTTCTTCGCAAATGCGGGCGCTGCAACAGCGCAAATACAGACCGCGGCTCTTCCAGGAGCCGTGCCGAAGCAATTGGCACAGCATTTCGTTCAGAAGGGCACGCAACCAGCAGATGTCGCTGCTCCAAGTCTTGCAGCCCAGGTTGCCATACATCACCCTGCTAAAACGGACAACAAAACGCTCCAATCAGTCGTTAAAACCGCAGAAGTAGCTCCTTCACCCGCAACAACTCCCTCTGAGAAGAAGGCTGAGCCAGCTGCCACACCTGTTGCTCCTCCCAAGGCCTCCGCCATCGTACCGGAGAAATTTGCACACATCGCCCCAGACAACACATACACAGAGTGGATCACCAATCTCCGAGCCCTCAAACACGGCCTGTCGCAGACTTTCCGCGTCTTCATCTTCCTCGGTGACTTTAACCCTGACCCCAAGACCTGGCCACTGGAGGAGAACCTAGTGGGCCGCTTCACAGTCCTCGGGCGCGCCCCAGATACCGGCTGTGCCAAGTGCAAAACAGATCAGGAAGACGAGCTCGTGGTGACGGGGACCGTGCCACTGACGACGGCACTTCTCCGAGAGGTTGTGGCGGGCCGGCTGCACAGCTTGCAAACCGAGGAGGTGGAGCCGTATCTTGTGCGGCATTTGCACTGGCGCGTGACGCTATTCAATGGGGAGGAAAAGGAGAGGAGCGAGGTGCCTGGGTTGAAGGTGGCAGTTGTGAGCACGGAGGTGAGGATCGCAGAGGATGGGACGCCGGTGTTTGGGAGCGAGTATGCGACGCATCCTGCGATTACGGATGGGAGGCCGGCGGGGCTGCTGCCGGATGATGATGTTTAGGAGTGCTTTCTTTTGTGAGGCGTGGCTATAGGTTGGGCTATAGGTTAAATTGTTCTCTATTGAAGAGGAGTACTTGGTTCACGTTTGATTGTCACACTCAAAGAGCCGTAGCACTATCAAGTAACTCCATGTATGTGTCCATGGTCTTCACGCTGAGTCTATCAGAATCAGGGGCTCTTCATCCTCAGTTTCCATTCCCCTGAAAGCTCATCGCCAGCACCTCAGGCATCCTCTCCTCCAAGTCCAGCAGCGTCTGCCCAAACAATCCATTCGCCCAACTGAACCACTGCCGTGTCCAGTCACTCTCATTCCAACTATTCACGCTCTCATGCACCAGCCCAAACCCAGCCGTACTTCCCAGCACCTGACCCAGCTGCTCCACAATCTCGCCCTCATCTGTACTAGTCAGTATCCGCGCAATCGCCGCCATCGGCCACGCGTAGCCAGGTCCCAGGTGCGGCCCGCCAATCGCAGAGAGCACGGGCCCAGCCATGAAGTACGGGTTCTTCTGCGAGAGGAGCAGAGCGCGCGTGTTCTTGTAGATGGTAGAATCCGCCGTCGTATATCCGAGGAATGGCGCCGATAGGAGCGACGGGATGTTGGCGTCGTCCATGACCGTCTGGCCGCCGTAGCCGTCGATCTCGTAGGCGTAGATGCACCCGGCGGTGGGGTGCTCGATGACGCCGTGGGTCTCGATGGCGTCGCGGAGGTTGCCCGAGAGAGTTTCCATGCGGGTTGCGAGATCGGCGCTAGTGGAGGTGTTGAGTTGGGCCATGATTTTCGACGTTGAGAGGAGGTACGTCGCGAACATCATGTTGGAGGGGATGAAGGGCTGGTAGATTGTAGCGTCGTCTGACGGCCGGAAGGCGCTACGGATGAGGCCGGTGCCGTTGGCGGTTGGGTTGCCGAGGCCGTTGTTCTCGAGGGTTTCGGAGGCGCGGGTTGTATCCCGTGTGAAGGTGTAGGGAGATGTGAGAACGGAGCCGTTGGCGGCGTAGGTGGGCGTCATCATGCCTTCGGCTACATCTAAGACTGCAGAGATGGCGGAGACCCAGGAGTACTTTGAGAAGAATGATAGATCGCCGGTGGAGTTGTAGTAATTTGTGGAGACCTCGAGGAAGGCGGCCAATGAATCGAGCTCATATTTGCACTCGAAGACACTAGTGTTGGAGTAAGGAGGAGTCACGATATCGTTGCTCGCGGCGCCATTTACGGCTGGGGGAATCTTGGATTCAACCGGTGGCTGAAAGGAGTTACAGTAGGGTGAAGTGAGGAGATAGCGAGCTTGGAGGTTAATCACGCCTCTGTAGAGCGAGGCTAGTGAGTCCAGTGAGGAATCTGCCTTCAGGAATGGGAGATACGACTGCATCTGGTTCGCCGAGTCTCGAAGCCACATGGCGTTGATGTCGCCGGTGATGACGAAAGTAAGCTCTTCATCGCTGCCAGCGGCATACCCCTTCCATTTGATGGCGGTGTCGAGGGTGTTGGGATAGGCGTTCTGGAAGAGGCGGTATAAGTCCGGGTCTTTAATGACTGATTCCATGCTCTTGATCTTGTCTTCGATATCCTGTAAGACAAAGGTGCGGCATTCAGCCGCAGGCCGCATGTATGAGAGGTGGTATTTGCCGGAGGAGTAGGGCTCATGAAGCTGCTTGGCATAGTCCGAGTAGTCGGGGCACACTGCGTATACCAAGAGAGGAAGATAGAGAGCGGACAGGAGCATGGTGGATAGCCACATTTTGGACTTGGATCGTAAGAGTAGATTGAAAAGAATGAAGTGAAGAAGTGAACAGGTGAGTGGCAGAACTAGCAGTGAGGGTCAAGTTGAGGTCGGGTCAAGGAATACCGAATGTAGCATGGCACATGCAGCACGGCCAAGTGCCTGGATGTGTTACCTGATATTGCCTACCCCGCTGCTGATCTATCCATGCGCCGGCTCTGTGATTTGCATTGAGGCAATCAACTCGGCCTCTTGTCAGCGGATCGTGATTTGATCACGGCTTCTTTCCGAGTGAATATCAGCAACGCTGTCCCGGCACATCGGCAGACAGACCTCGGACGCCACCGAAGCAAAGCACCTCTACACCTTGCCAAGGCCAGCATTTACTGGCAGCTTACATGTTCGCAACCAAAGGGTTGGCGTCGGCTCTGGGAACGACCCGTGGACGGGAAAGGCGTCGTTAATCAATGCGGGGTTGAGCCGCATCCTTCGCTTCGCTAGTGAATGCGACCACAAGATACAACATCATGAGAAACCGGATGAATCGACAGCTCCTTGTAATTCGTAGTTCAATTGCTGCTGCGCTCTTCTGCCGTCACTAACGACCATGTCATCACCTCCACCGCAGTGCTGTCCTCCTCTTGTCCACCTTACCCCCACTCCACACTTCATACATCGTAGTTCTGCAAACAAACGCTTTGCATAGTATCCCACAGAATGGCCCTGCTTTCCAGAAAAGATACAGCCACGTATCGACATTATGTAGCCCCATGTCAAGGTAATAAATTCCCCGTGTGTATGACTCGCATGCGGCTAAACCAATCGAAAAAATCCGGGCATGCGCTAAATGGACTCCTAACAACGCCGATGCTAAATTTCTGAAGAGGTAGGGAAGGATCCGCCCGGAGACGAGACCATCATTGAGAAAGAAGAACAAAACAAATTCGTACACGACGGGTATACAGTGCGAAAACCAAAACTATCATACAAGGTGTAAAGGCCTACATGCGTGTAGGGTATCATAAAAGAAGCTTTCGAAGTCATTCCTGTGAAGAGGCTTCTAAAAAGTGGTAGGAGCGAATGAATCGTAATGTTCAAAGCACGGCTCCGCCGAGGTATCCAAAATCGGTCATGAGTTGCTCGAGCTGAGTCATGGTAGCATCTGACCTTAAGCTCTGTTCAACTCTAGGGGTTGACGAGTCTGCAAATGCCGTTAGGGGAGTCGAAGCTTTGGTGAGAGTGGCTTCTGATGCAGTCTGATAATCTGGGAGTGAGTATCCTTGAAAGCCATCGGCGAGTGCAAAGCATGTGGCGTGCCGACGAGATGCGCTTTCAGGTCGGGCGATATGAAAGTTGAAGGAAGTTCCAAGCGTAGTAGAGTTCCGGAAAGCGGGATCATGAGCGACACGAGTACCATGGCCTACGGGCGATGAGTGGCCAGACTTGGGACTTTCGTCGTTTAACGAAGCTGTTTCGTATAATGCGTTCAGGTCGCCCATGTATTGGCCAGAGAGTCTCTGTGGTGTCTCAATGTCGCTCGAGCTTGTTGTTATCGAGCTCAATGTAGGAGAGTGAACTCCGTCTCCATCCGATGAGAGCGCCGGAAACTCGATGGACGTGGTGCTCCATAGGGAGAAGTGACTGGTCGGTTCCTCGCAAGCCCCTGCCTCTGCAAAGTCTCGGGAGTCATCGCACCCGTCAACATTTCGGTTGTGGAAAAAGAGGGGTTCTGGAACAAGATAAGACGGCAAATTCGGTAGTTCTTTGCCAACGAGTGGCATGCTTCGTAGGAATGGCTCTGGTTCTTCTCCGCGCCGTGATGGCGGACGCGAATCGTTACTTGGCGGCGTTGCGAGGAAAGTCGTCCACATTGCGCCTGGCGTCTGCATGTTGTTGTCGTCCTCGTTCTTCGCCTCCTGTATCTGATCAGGAATCAGAAGAAGCTCGTCATACACAACGGTATTGCGAAGAGGCGACGGCTCTCTGACTTTGCCAACAGACATCGATCGTCGGCGATACAATACTTCGGCCCCTTCCCTCGATTCTCGCACCTGGCGTGGAGACTTTGAACGCCTGTGCTCTGCTGAAAGCGCCCTTCCTCGTAGCGGAGTCCTCTCACCGGGTACCAGAGAAGAATCCTGTGCCTGCGAACAGGCTCTTTTAGGCGGCGGTGGATTTTCTTCTACTAGATGTGGAAAGCGGAGATCGTCACTGGGACCCACCGGGTGGCTTCTCAATGGAGAGAAATTGGCGGATTGAGCATTTGGTGCTACTGGCAACGTAAAAGGTATTTCGGAGACTCCAGTGGAGAATGGGATAAGCTCGCGCCGCTCATCAAGACCGCTAATGAGAACCGGGGACCCAATCTGAAGCTCATGGGTACCCCGTGCATGCCTGCTGCGACCACGTTGCTCTTCAAAAAGTGTGGATTTCCCAAAGTTGACCCTTTCGAAAGTGGCCTTGATTTTGTCACTGGCTTCCTTGAAATCGAATAGAGTCGTTTTCAAGCTTTCGCTTGGTGAGCCAGCGGCTGATTTGGCAAGCCTACGGAAAGGCGATCGGGAGCGAGCTCGAGAGGGGCTGTCGTAACCAGCAGAGCGCGGATAGTCTCCATCATTACTCGCGAGGTACTTCATGTCCAAGTGTGGGCGCTTTCGGTGCTCTGCGAGGCCGTGGGAAGAGGTAATGATCTTCGGCAGCGGAAGTGGCGCAGGTCTTGGGTTAAGATACTTGTCCTCTGGATTGAGTGTATGAACTCCAGATGATGTGGAACTGGCGGAGTTGCTTCTGCTCCTAGAATCGTAGGGTACCTCGAGCACGTTCAGAGGCTGGCCAGGAAGCAGAGGGCACAAAGTGGTCGAGGGTTGTGACGGGTCATGGCACTCGTTGTGGCCGTCTACCCGGTACTAGGTAAGAGATGATGGGTTGGTGATTGATTCTGATATCAAGCGTGGACGATTGCTTACGTAGTACCAATACGTTCCACCCATTTTAAGAGCACCATTACGCCTCAAGCCAGGGGAGCTAAGATCGCCATCACATATGATATCCTCGAAGCTATAGCATCCAGACCAGAAGTTTTTACCTTTTCGGAGATCCAGCTTCATGGCATACGGTTTGTTGAAGTTGTCCCACGAGCCGAGTAGCTCAATAGTCCTCGCAGCCGGTGCGGACTCGCTGAAAGATTGATCAGTATAGCCTAGCGCAAGAAAGAGAAGCGCCTACAATAGAAAGGTTACAAGCGTAGTGGATGGCATGGTGCGAATCGATGTTGAACTGAAGCAAATGCAGCAAGTGTTGGTATGTGACTATCCAGAAAGAAGACGGCAAATCTTCTAGGCCTGCCGGTACTTGATCTCAGAGTCCTCAGCGAATGGGACAAAAGAGCAAAAGCATTAATATGATACTGGGGCTTTCAGTGAGCGTTGTCTATCAAGCGAGCACTAAGACCACCCACCTGATAATATGAAAAGGTAAATAGAGCGAATCCAAGCGTATATCTGAGAGATTGGCGGGTAGTCGACCTGGATTATAGTCCTCCGTGCAGTGCGTTGGTTGATTCTCAATTGGCAGGTCCCGTCAGGGCGCGGTGGAAGCTTGGAACAGCGAGTGTCGGTGCCGAGAAAGTTGGAAACGCTCCTGAAGCCAGTGCGGCGTAGATGCGGATCGAGGGCCAGTGAGAAGAGCAGCAGTAAGCGCCGTGCGGACAGACAGTGGATGAGGCTTCAGTGGCAGAGAGGAAACAGCTGGGGCACGAAATGGGACAGGGGAACAGAGGGTGTAAAGGTAGATGCGGCAGCAGAAGTCGGCATCGCAGGCAAGGCAGGAAGAAAGCAGCAGACGGCGAGACAGCAAGCAGGATGGAGTCTGGCAGCCTTCCACCAAGCAGAAGGAACTGAGGGGCCTCCGGATGTTGAGGCTGGCGTTGGAGGGCCTGGGCGAGAGGTCAGCTCTTGTTCATCAAACAGTGGCTGTGGAGCTGCAACCGGGAGCCACTCACGGGCGCGCACGCGAGGAAGCTTTCAATGGCGACTTGCTGCATCCCGGCGCGTCCAGAGACATGCTGATGCGCGCTGGAGGCGTGTGGAGAGCGGCTGGTCCTTCATCTCGGCGCTGCGTCCGGCGCCCGCCAACCGCCAGCGATGATGCTTGCGGACATCCTCGAGGACCGCGAGCAGCGCCGGGCAGTCACGCAGCCGTGGGCGTGGGCAGACGCCGACGAAGACGAGACTGAGGCCGTGACGGTTCCAGGGCTGCCGGATTCGCCGCCAGGGGCCATGCGGGCTCTTCCAGTGCCATGGACGCATCCCTGCGCGCTGTGGCGCTGACCCCTGTGTCTAGCCCGAAGCGGAGGAGCTGGTAAGTTTGCAGCCAATTGATGCCCCGGCGAGGGTCCGTGGCGCCGAGCGAGTCCCCTTGGGGCCTGGCGCAGCTTCCTCCGGCAACGTGCTTCCAAGGCTCCCCTCAGACGATCGCCCAGCCTTATTGCCAGGTTGCGGATGGAGGCCCGGCACTTGCTGCTCGCTCTGACGTGTCTGCAGCCGTGCCAACCGCATTTCGCCATGGGTTTCCAGTTCCTGTCCACTTCTGCGCCACGGCACCTATCCTCGGCCGTCCCGATGCTCCATTCGATGCCTGCCGATAAGCGCTGCGCGGGCTGCGCGGGCTACGCGGACTGCCTCCACAGCGGCAAGCCGAGACGCTGTCTGTGACCGGCCCCAACCCACCTGAATCGTTCGCCTTGATGCTGAGCCGCCAGACCCTCTTGTCAATCAATGGCCTTTGGCACGCGCGCATGGCACGGCACAGGAGGCGGCGAGGCTGCATCTACCCCCGGCCGCCCCACGATGGATGATCTGCGGCCCTCTTATCGGGATTATTGGAGGGGTCCCAATCCAGCAAGCGTCGGGACGCGAGCGTCCAACTTTCGACAAACGCAGAGCTTGGAAGAGTCGCTTCCGTGTGACGTTTTAACCTTCACTAGTTCAATTGCGTCCGTGTCAGGGTGCGCACCAAGCTCGAGAACGTGCTGGCAAGTGAATGAGCCACATGTTCGCTGCACAGGCCTTCTTGCTCGAGATTGGTATCACAGCACAAGTACGACCCTCCAAGTCTAAACCTCAGGCGGACAGCAGCACCCCTTGAGTTTTTTGGCTTAAAAGTGCTGCACAGCTGCCATCTATCTCGAGAGCCACGGATGGTCCCGAAGCCTCAAGTCCCACAGCAGCTCCGCCATAGTCACCGCGTGCGCCACTGATCTTCAAATCTCCAGCACTCCAGCCAACCTGCTTCCAGGGGCTTTCTCGGAGTCGCTGCAGGGACAAGAGTCTTTTCACCGACAAATCCTTATTGGAATCTATTGTACCCGTGCTCTTTTGACTTGCTTGCCTCGCATTCCGTTGTATTTGTATTCTTCCGCTATGAGGAGACTTTGCTGTCTGTCTACGAATCCCGAGAGATTATACTCGTATTGAGTTCTGACTCTCATTGCTCGGGAAGCAACATGTATCCAGAATCACAAGTATGCCACGCAAATGTGAGACCTGCCAGGGCAGTGCGAAAAATTTCTGGCGTCTTCCAATTGCAGGTATTCATGCAGAGGTATGCCTGAGACAGACGTAATTGCAAACCCTTCGATATATGATTCTTGATAGTTAGTACTTCTATGCATTCGTTTCGATCATTAAGACGACGCTTGACTTCATGCAATGGGTTGTACAAGTAGCCAGGGGGCTAGTCAACCGATATGTCAACACAGTCCTGATGTAGAACCAGCCCGAAATTCTTCTCGAGCCTGATGAAGTTCGAATGTGGAGCTGATAAATGTGGAGGCCCGAGCTTGGCAGCGCATCATCAACTTTCGACTTCATGCGTGAACTTTTGTCGGAGCCAACTCTACTTTAACAGCCATCATGAAAGCCACCCGGTGTTTCCCCACGAGGCCCTTCCAGTGCGCTCTCCGCGCAGACACCTCGAAAGGCTCGCCACTGCGACGCAGCTCAATTGCTTCAAACCAGCATCTCCGACCCCCCGCTCGGTCCACCAAAATACCTCCGCAACACGTCCGCACTCTACACACATCTCGAGCAATGCTCTCACGCCCAAAGTCGACCGATCGTGGCCCCGCCAGCACCGAAGACACTCAAACCGACTTTGGCAATCTCGACGTGCTTGGGAACACGCCGGCCCCGTCTACTAGCATAGACGCTTGCACCAACGATGGATTTCATCTAAACAACGGGCTCAAGATGCATGGCTGCGGCGCGCTCCTCATAGGAGGGGAGGCGTTTCGGTGGCAGCCATGGGCGCAGCAGAACGGAAAGCTGAAGAACGTAAAGGGCCAGTGGGAGGTGGGGAAGGAGGCCTGGGGAGCGTTAGATCTCGTGTGGCCGAAGCCTGGTACGAACAGCTTGAGGCGGAGATAATGTCGCTATCTGCTTCTTCCTGTCAATGCTCGATGCATAGTACTTGCTGAGACTAACTATTGGTCCACAGATTTGCTTATAATTGGCACGGGCCCCCAAGTAATACCAGTATCACCTGCAACCAGGAAACAGATCAATGACTTGGGCATACGGCTTGAGGTCCAGGATACTAGGAATGCCGCCTCACAATTCAACCTGCTCGCAACAGAGAGAGGGGTTCAACAGGTTGCAGCTGCAATGATACCCATCGGGTGGAGAGAAGCTAAATGATTGGAACATTGCCGCTTGTATATCAAAATGTAAAAACAGTAAGTACCAAGTCAGGCATACCTTTAAAAACAATAAGTGTTCGAACGACGGAGAGCTCTATTGTAGGGACCGACATCGACGATAGTGAGAAGCATAGATACATGTATCATGAACGCCCAGGTCGCAAGCCGCTGTATCCTATAAGATCTAAATAATTATCTTAGAATGCTACACAAACTTCGTAGCTGGCCAACCTCAGAATCTTTACCAAATAATAAGTGTCTATATCATCCCATTCTCCTACTTCTGATTTATCTTCTCTATTCCCCCCGCTAGTCTTTTCGAGTAACCTTTCACGGTCCCTCTGCAATACCGCTGGCCTCCCGATCAGTCGAACGCCTCCCGGTGGAGCAAAAAGCTATTGGAATAGCAGAGACTCCGCTAATCACAGCAAGAACGAGAGACATGATTGCCCAGCCATAGGCGTCTTTTAAGGCCCCCGCCATCAAAGGACCAATGAGACAGCCGAGACCCTGGAACGATACAAAGAGGCCGTATGCCTGTCCATAAACGCTCTTCTTGTCGATAAATTTCGGGTCGTCTCGCTCCTTGGTATTTACCACTCGGCTCACTTCCGCCATGAGGGATGAGAGCGTCAATGCTCCTGCAGTCCCATTTAGAATAAGCAGAATGCAGAGGAGGATCACTTGGCCATCTGAATTATGGTTGACGAAGCGCAGGCAGAGCAAAGATGGACAGCCAACGACAAAGCCTGCGGCGGCCAACACTCGAGTCCCCATGCGATCCGAAAGCGAGCCTATTATCGGGCTGAATAGGACGATAGGTCCTAGATACGGCAGGAAAATGAGGCCCGCCCGAGTGGCGGTCCATCCGAAGGTGGCTTTTACGAAGAGCGGAAGGACCTGTCATGTCAGTAAGAATGATTTTGCGGAGTGTAATCGAGTACTGACACTTTGAAAGGAAGTCATGAGTCCTTGCTGGACGGTGGTTCCCCATAGAGCGGCCAGCAGCCTTGGAGATCGGAGGAGAAGTAAGATGCGCGGTATTCGCCGGCCCTGTTCCAACAAGCCAACTTTGTCGATTTCGGATGCCGACTTCGATGGCTGGGTGTCCATTCCTACGGAAGGAGTTCGTACACACAGCTGAACGACCGGCGTAGGTTGTGCCTCCAGATCTCTCATTGATGTCCGATGAGATGCTTCCCGATGTCCTATGATATTTTCTGTTGTTTCCTTTTCCACCATGGTCACGCGTAGAATCCCATCCACGCCGATGACAGAAAACGCCATCGCAAACACCGCATAGTAGCCTGAATGGTCGAACACGAAACCGCCAAGCGCTGGTGCGCATAAAGAGGCAAGGGGACCGGCCACAGACATACAGCCCATAGCTTGTCCGATACGTCCTTGATCCACACTGTCCGAAAGCAGGGCCATGCCGACGGTCCATACAATTGCTCCCGTCAAGCCCTCGAGCACTCCAGCGATGACGAACAGCGATAGACATCTGGAGAGACATAGAAGGAGTGTCGCCACAAGCAAAGATAGCATTCCGGCGAGGAAAGGGATCTTTCTTGAACAGAACTGATCTGTCAGCCATCCAGCGAACGCTAAACTATGTCAGCCGGAAACAAGTGGAAGGCCATATTCCGCCTGGTGGACAGTCCACTTACGAGACCCGACAATAAGACCAGCTCCATAGCCCCCGAGGACAATGGAAATCCAGTACTGCACTAAAGCCTATCAGAACAAGCCGGCCGGAGACAGCAAGTCACTCACCTTGGTCCATTGATATGCTGACCCGTTCGCTCAAGGCAAATGGCAAGACAGGTGCCGCCTTCAACCATCAATGATTATGCCATACACGAGAAGGATGACGACTTACGATTGCGTAACTAAAATTGCTCTGGAATCTCGTTAGCCTCGCCGACTTTGATCATGGTCGGGTCAACTAACAACGAAGCATGCCGAGCAAACAACCACAACTATGAACCATGTCGAGGACCTTCGTCTAAGTAAAAACGGCAGCGAACAGCACGAAGCCCTGGCCGGGGTTGAACAGTCCATAGTTCGAGATCTGATGCTGAAACTGTGGATAAAACCAGCCACAGGATTCCAGCTGTGCAAAAAAACAATACGAAGATTCCCGCTGACTTTTAAACATTCTTCTCCTGCGCATCCCAGGGGGTGACATCAGTCCGGGCGTAGCAATGATATCCCTATCTCGAGGGCACCCATAGCCGGGTTACGTTCTTCCCGTGCGGCTAACAGAGAGCAATCTGTTTCAGTGTGGTTTGCTACTCAGAAACGAGTCACGGTATTGCGGATGTGTGACTATAGCTTCCGTGCTCGCTCTCCTACCGACCACCATTATTTGGGATATCGGGATTTTTCGCGGGAAGACGCAATTGCCAGGCGTTCTAACCGGCTGATAGAGCCGCAATTGTCGTGTGATCTGGGCGTGACGTAGAGCGCATTAGGCGTATGGTGCAACCTACGGCTATCGCAAGCTTTATGAGATTGTAAATGCCGGCACTGTGTGACGAGATATGTATAAACAGGGAGAAACATCGTAGGAATGACGTTTTTTTCGAGGGAGATTGAGCCTTCGCTGTCGTTGCCGCTTGGCCAGAAATGTGTTGCACCAAGGCTACTTGCACTTTACATACACGTAAAGTTCCTCCGAAATAGAGTGAGGTCCAGTACCCATAGTCTCGATGGGAAAGTGGGCTACTGCACCCGGAAAGATAGGCCCCAACTTTCAACCTCAGAGGCTACCATGCAAAGAGCACTAAGAGAAGAAGACGAGACCTTGAATCAATGGGCTTGGACAAAGATCCAGCCTTTCGGAACCCGCACCATCTTATCTTATCAGCGTAAGCATTTACACTGGCGCTTTTACCACTGTAGTAGTACGGATAGGTACTTGTAGCGGAGCCTGCAGGATCCGTGCACCAGAGTTCAGCAGCTTTCCCTCCAGAATTCAACACCCAAACCCAATAACTCTTGGGAACGTTTTACCGAGTCGTGTGCATGACGACACGCAGTACTTCTTGGGTTGAATTCATGGTGTTTTGGTGGTATTCTCGCTAATCTCGCCGAGATAGGTCTCGACCACCCTGGCTACTACTGCAAGACATTGATTGGACGACTTCATGGCTTGGAAACAATGGAACTCTGCGCGCACGCCGGCTGGAGATAACTTAACACCGTACAGACAGCGGTCGATGATGCGTCAGTTGTGCCTGTTGCTTAGCAGAGCCCGCGATATGGCCAGTTCGGTTGGGGACTGCGGACGCCGGCGCAAGACGCCTACATGCAGACTCAATCCCACAGCCAATCAGAGCATCGACTGGCTACTGCTCCGGCCTAGTCGCAGCAGTTAAATCCGACCTGCATACTGCCCTCCACCAACAGGACCGTGTATAAGAGTAGGTAGCCTTCTTCCTGTTCTATTCCGTTCCCATTCATACCAAGCTCGTTCTTCTTCTCTCTGTCTTCTCCCATTCCAATCATCCTCTGCGAAAATAGAGGCCTACCACAACCTTGCAATTTCGCTCTACACACATCACACTTCCACCATGTCGACACCACTTGCAGGAAAGGTTGCCATCGTCACTGGCGGTTCCAAGGGCATAGGCGCCGCCACCGTTGTCGAGCTTGCCAAGCAAGGCGCCAAAGTCGTTATCAATTTCTCGTCCGACGCCACACCCGCCGAGGAGCTCGTTAAGCAGATTGGGCCCGATAATGCCCTTACCGTCAAAGCTGACGCAGCGAGTGTGGCTGGCATCGAAGAATTGGTAAAGCAAACCGTTGCCAAATTTGGCAGAATCGACATCTTGATTCCGAATGCCGGTGTCCTCCCGATGAAAGACCTGGAGAGCACCACTGAGGCGGACTTCGACAGGACATTCGCAATCAATGTCAAGGGTCCCTACTTCTTGGCCCAGGTGAGTGTTCATCTTATGAGGCTTGGAAGATTATGGATCACGCTTACTAAAACCCATCCCAGAAAGCCGCCCCCCACATGTCGGAAGGCGGTCACATCGTCTTCCTCTCTACAAGTCTTTGCGCAGCGTCAACCGTCGCGCCCAACTACCTTCTTTACAACAGCACCAAGGGCGCGATTGAACAGATGACACGAGTCATGGCGAAAGACCTTGGCCGGAAAGGCATTTCGGTGAACGCGGTTGCCCCCGGACCAACAGCTACAGAGCTGTTTATGAGAGGCAAGCCTGAGCAAGTGATAAAAACCATAGCGGGCCTCAATCCATTCAACAGGATTGGCACGCCAGAGGAGGTTGCTCAGGTTATCGTCATGCTGAGCTCGGGAGCTAGCCAATGGGTCAATGGTCAGGTGCTTCGAGCGAACGGCGGGTTTGCGTAGGCAGACAACGCCTTCGTATCTTGTAATTAGATGGACAAGTGAACGAATATTTCTTGAAACTGGAGTGACACGTTACAAGCTCTCTATAGGGCACCAGCGACGACAATGAAGTGAACATCACATGATGAACTCGAATGAAGCCAAAACTAGTTTCTCTGAGACTTCAACAATGTGGCTAACGCAAGAGAATCCTACCAGTGATTCATTGTCGATTTTTGCCCCAAGTCCGACTCAGACTCCGCAAAATCAATAAAAGCTAGCATCAATGTCAAAGCGTTTTTCGGTTCTGTGAATTCAAATTTAGCATGAGCATACAGTTCGAGTAAAAGGTCGGGGGTCGAATGGTTGTACTGACGATAACGGAGGGTGGGATCAGGTATGAGCATTTCTCCCTTGCTGCCTCCAGTCCATAGCATTCTTGTAATGTAACGCTATGTAAATGAGGCTCAAATCCTAATTACTGGGCGCCTTAACAGCAATCCGTCGTCGCATGAAACCCGACAAGAGGGGAATGGAATGGAATAACTTGGCATTGAGTTGCTCGTTCAACTCACAGCGTACCATATAGTCAGAATTCTCGCCGCCAACCCAATAGCTTCTCGTTATATTCTTACCCCCTATATCTTGACCAGCATATCACCAAATGCGGCATTTCGGCTTTCTTCTCTCGTTGGCAACGTTGAGCTATCTATCAACCTCCACACCAACGCCTCAAGATCTCCAAACATTGGATAGAAACTCCCACGGAAGCCTAGATGTGCTTTGGAGTTTTACGCTCATCGATACGCCGAAAGAGCTGTGTGCGCTCGTCAACTGCCTGGACCATTACATCCCAAAGGCCACAATTGCCATCCTCTACGAGTCGACTGATCCTGCCAACCAAGGTTCATCCTTCCCCTGGACTCTAAGCAGCGCAGAAGCTTAATAGCTATCTAGGCTGCCATCAAAATCTAGATGTTTCGAATGATCTGTTGAGCGGTGACTTGAAATCGAAGCCGTATGTTTTTTGCGACAATGCCGTAGCCATCGCCTTTAACGGGCTCGGAGGCGAGGAGACAATGCCAACGTATGTAGAAGCACGAGCAGCGCCTTGGTGCAATGGCTGGGTCGACAGTCCTCGAATTGATACGACACCGGCTGGGGGAATCATAGAGCGTTCGTATAACCATACATGTGTATGGTAATGGGTTGTCCATTGGGGGAAATAGCCACCAAGTCAATGCATGACGAACAGATAGGGCCATGTGGCTAATTTCTCCGTACCTGGCGACGAAATTTGCGACCGTTGATAGTTGAATACTCAATCTGATCTTTCCGCATACTAGTGCAATGAATTGTGACATGGCCCTACCCCACCTTTCAAGCACGAACCCATCGTAGGTCTATCATAACGAGGAATTGCACTATTATGCGAAGCTCAGCATCGCAGTTCTGTAGAGCGAATTGGAGTGCGTCGGGATGACAGGAGCTTCAGCGTCAGAGGAAAAGAAGGCATCGGGCCGGCATGGGAGTCGTCTAGCCAAATGAGGCTGGCAGCAATTGCGGGTCCACGGCGCAGAGACCAAAATTGTGCGGCGACCGCAAACGACATCACACCACTACATCAACTGGAGATATCATCTTCTCAGGCTCGACCACCCTCGCATTCAAGCGGACCCTGTCTGTACGTGATGATCGATATACCCATACAAAGCCAGCTGCCCGTCTCACCCAGGACAAGCCAGAAATCGCAATGTCTCTCCCGACACGGCCATCCAGCCATCAGCAGCCGCTCAGCCCTGCTCCCCCTCGAATGTAGACCAAGCCAAGCGCCCCCGGAGTCTTCGGGCTCCTCGACCGAATTTCATCGTCGACCTTCGAATAGCAAGCAACAGTTATGATAAGGAGTGTGGACCGGTGGATGTGGGGCGAGTCATTCATTACTCGTCACCGCCCTTCTTCTTCGACTTCTTCGAGGGTTGAGCAGCGCCCGCCTTCTTCTGGTGCACGACGAAGCGGGTGTAGCACTCTTCTGGGTCCCACTCGAAGCCGGCAAGGATGGGGTTCTCGAGTTCGTCGTCCGCCTGGTAGCAAAGTTAGAACGAGTACGTCAAGGTCCTACAGCAAAGCGGCGATGGACGACGGCTACAGTGACGAAAGGAACAGTCTCAGGCTCCTGATTCGTCTCTTGCGGCCGGGGCTGGGGTAGATGGCACTACTTACCTTCTTCTTGAACTGCTTGTGGATGGCATCTAGAGCGTCCTTGATGGTCACGCCCTTGAGGTTCCGCGCAGTCACCTCGAGTCCCAGAGGAAAGTGTAGGTCGATCTTCTTCAGCTTCGGCTCACAAAGTGGCTTCTTCAGCACCTCCTTCTCATCCAGCGAGGCTGGCGAGGTGTTCAGTTTCCTTTGATAGCATCCTCAGTATTGACTCAATCTTCCGACAAGCAAAGCTCGTAGAGGAGTGCGGGCAAGAGCGGCAACAGCAGAGGAGCAGGTGTGTAGGACGAGTGAGAGGGACGAGAATTGGTGCACATAGTGGACGAAGTGTGCAATCTGCAGCAAGCACTCACCAGTTCAGCTTCTGGGTCTCGGGAGCAATCTTGATTTGCTTGCCCTCCTTCTCTGTAAGACACGTCAGCTTCAGCAACGACCATGACGCCGATAGCAGGTAGCCTCACCGAGATCAGCAATGTTGTAGACATCAGCAGCAGTGCTGCTCATCCGACGATGGCCCTTCTTGATGGGGTGCTCTTCGACGGCCGAGTCGACCTTGGTGAGCGGGGTGTGGGTCTCAGCTGACATGATGATGCTGGAGTGAGGGTTTGCAGCTACGAGTGGTGGTGATGCAACGGAGACAGGTAGGCTTGTCAATGAAGACAATGAAGTTGATGAGCTGTGATTGAGTGTGATGGAGCAAGGTGCAGCAGATTCAGGCACAGCAGCGGTTGTGGTAGAAGGAGACAGACTGGACAGGAGATGAGATGAGGGGTCGATGATGGCGTTACAATCACGAGACCTGGTCTGAGGGCACCTGAGCATCCGCAGAGCCCGGCCGAATCGGTCTTGAAGCATGGACGGGGCCCGTGCGTCATTTGGAACAAAGAATGCGGGGGAGGAGCGATCGACCGCTGGCCGCATTAGGGGCCGAGAGTTTGCATGCCCGCGCTGCCACTAAGCCTTGGTTTAGACTGCTGACTTCCCTTGATAAAGTGGCAGTCCACAGAAGCCGGCCAAGTTCTGCTCCACAACTTCAAATACACTGTCTCTAGGCTTCCGTACGGCCGCCTAACACTTCTTGAGGTTCTCTGATACATGAGTAAAATTGCAAAGTGACAGTGCTGGCGGAGTGGCGGAGTGTTGATAACATGCCAGACGGGGTTGAACTGCCACTTTTCGTTCAACGGACCTGCCTCCCAACGACAAGAGAAGGCCAGCTCGAACTTCGTATCTTCGTAAGAACGCTGTTCTAATCGTGCAGTAAAATTATATTTTGTTGCCATGCAGCAAACACTGTCTCATCCCTTCGGAAACGCCTTTTCCCCGCATCCGACCACCGGCACCCGGCTCTATATCTGCCTCTCTTGTCCAAAGGTCGTTCACTGAAGTCTCTACCCTTCCCTGCGTTGGATGCTAACGTATATCAGCAGCCATGGCCGGACGTCCCTTTTATCGCCTGCTCCAACCCTCTTGAAGTCTTCGAAATCTCACTGTCACCAATCCACTATGACAGACTCTTACAGAGGCAAAACAGTCATTGTGACGGGTGCTGCAGGTGGCCTGGGCCGCGCAATTGCGCAGGCCTTCCTGTCAGCCTCTGCAAACGTTGTCCTTGTCGACGTCAACCCAGCCCGACTTGCCGCCTGTTCCTCTGAGCTCAGTACCTCATATCCAGGCCATGTACTCGCCCTCCAAGTCAACATCACCGACGAAAGTGCCGTAGAAGAGATGATCAACACCACCACTAGCAAGTTCTCGACTTTGGATGTGCTAGTGAACAACGCCGGCATCATGGACCACTATGACCCCGTGGGCGGCCTGGAAAAGGCCATGTGGGACAGGGTTATAGCCGTGAATCTTACAGCACCAATGCTCACAAGCAAGTATGCGGTGAAGCAATTCCTTGAACAGGAGCAAGGGGGCGCAATCTTGAACGTGTCAAGCACATCTGCGTTGAAGGGTTTCATTGCAGGTGCGTACTCGACCTTCCCAATCAACGTTGTAATAGCCTCACAAAAGCACAGGCGCAGCATATACAGCAAGTAAGCACGGTATTATAGGTCTCACCAAAAACACTGCAGTTTTTTATGCCAAGAAAAACATCCGATGTATTGCCATACTCCCTGGCCCTATGCAGACAAACGTTGGAGACGCTTGGGCGGATGGGATGAACGAAGAAGGTTACGAGACGATGGACAAAGCAAGGGCCTTTGACCCAGAACTATGCGAGCTGAGCAAGGTGGCCGAAACTGTGCTTCACTTATGCTCACAAGCTGGGAGCGTGTGCAATGGAGCTTGTGTGACCGTTGATAATGCATGGGGCGCGTGGTAGCACTAAAAGAACAATACATTCTTAAACTGTATTAACTGCATAACCTGATTCTACGTACGCCCAGGGTTAATATCACTACGTACACCCCCTATATCGCCGGAGCGAAGTACCTTAATAACACCACTGCAAGTGCAGGTAGTATAGCTCTGCCCGGTCCGCAGTAGACGCTGAGGCTAGCTGTCCTAGGCAAAGGCAGTGCAAAATTTGTCCTGATATGCTTTGCGCTATTTGTCCTATTGCAGAGCGCTCTGTAAATAGCGTAGCACCTATGCACAATACATCTAATAACAACAGACCAGCATGTATACACATATAGGCTTGTGTTAGTGTTAAAGCTACTATTAGGGTGTGTTGCCTAGTACCTGTAGCCATTTAGACCCGGCGGATAAGATAGCATACTTATAGTAACGTACTCCACAAGCGAGCGGTCCAGCACCAGAAAATAAATATTTCATAGCAAAATATCTCAACAACCACAAGATAATAACTTATAAAAACTTAAATATAAGCTATGTTATACATAATCTATGTTATACATAATCTATGTTATATTAAGATTTTAAAGCTATTTATTTAGTAGTTGTAAGGATTATAATAGCATAAGCGTTATATCCCTATGCATAAAGCTCTCAAAACAACTTAAACTATGCACGTTTGAACGTGATACAGTAAACGTTTAGAACAGGAAAAGTGAGATAACGTTACAGAAGCGTTAGAGGACGTTTCACAATGCTATACGTATGTATATATGTGCAACTCCGCTGCCGTCGATGTAAAAAAGAACTCAAGCAATACAATTCTATTTATCTATCCATACAACTCTGTTCTATCTCTCTCTGCATCGACTCTATACCTTTGACAGAAAACTCTAATTTTCTAGCAAAATTACCATTTTCAGATCTATAATTAAAAGGGGGCCACTAATCGCACACCCCCTTTTCACTAATCGCACACCCCCTTCTCACTAATCGCACACCCCCTCCCCCCCTGTCGCTTCACCACGTTCTGATTGGCCCGGAGGGGTGCTCCGAGGCCTCCGATTCGCTCGCCTAAGTCGCTCACTAATTCCAAATGCTCTCTCCAAATGCGGCCTTGATCGCAATCAATTACATCCTCTTCCTCTCCTTCTACAATACACTCACTATGGCCCTCCACCCGCCACGGCTGGCGTACTACGCTACAGCAGAGGTAGCGCATATTGCTCTACAAGCGCACGCATCAGCGCAGGGCTACGGCCTAGCAAAATACCGTAGTAAACCAGACAGAGTGGACATACGAGCATACCTCCAGGACGCATGCCGACAGCTCCGCCGCCAGCACCGCCTATTTCTGTAGTCCCTCGTCCAGCTCCTGTCGCTCGGAATGCCTATCAGTCGACAGCTACACCGGCTGATCTTTCTTGTATTGATCCAGCCCTTCTTAGGCCTACAGCTGCATCTACGGCAGCATCTACGGCAGCGCATACAGCAGCGCATACAGCAGCGCATACAGCAACACCTGCAGCTAAGAAGCGCGGCCGGCCGCCTGGTGCGAAGGATAAGGTACCACGGAAAAAGAGGCAGGAGCTCGGAGGCAAGACAGTGCTCAGCCTCAACCTCAGGTGGAACAAGAGGATGACCGTGCAGACATCCTACGACAGATTGCAGCTCTACAAGCACGTCTAGAAGGGTCTCAGCGTCCAGCAGGTGTCGAGGGGGGCACTGCTGAGTTATCAAGCCGGCCGCCAAGCCGTAGGAACGTTGTGGCGCCTGCAGAGTATAACTATAAGGAGGCTAAGGAGTATATGGATTAGTATATAGAGTAGGTGCAGGTGGTGATGCAGGGGGGCCAGGCTCGATGCAAAGGAGCCGTAATAAGGTGAGGTTTTAACAGGTTTAGCATGCTTGTAGGCACATAGGCACTTCTAGAATAGAACTTCTATTCTATACTTAGACTTAGGCTTGTACATAAGGCTATACAAATCGGTATACATCCTTTCCGATTCGTGTAGCCATATATATAGCCGTACGTAAGGCCGTACGGCCTCGCGTATAGCATCACGTGTAGATAGACGTATAGGTGAATGCCCGGAGGAAGCTCCGCGTTAATCCGAGCCAATTATAAGGTGGTGAAGCGACAGGGGGGGAGGGGGTGTGCGATTAGTGAAAAGAGGGTGTGCGATTAGTAGCCCCCAATTAAAATTCTATAAATTATAAATTTAAGGGGACAGATAATCGTACACCCCCTTTCGAGTAATCATACACCCCCTCCACCCCTGTCGTTTCACCGCCTTCTAATTGGCTCGGAGCAGCGCGGAGCTTCCTCCGGGCATTCACCTTTACGTCTCTATACACGTGATGCTATACGCGAGGCCGTATGTGAGCTCGTACGTGAGACTATACGTGAGGCTATACGAATCGACATGGCTATACAGTCTCTCCGTTTTACGGCGCATCCTTTCCGATTTGTATAGCCTCACGTACGGCCTTACGTACGGCTATATAGCCTTTCCAATTTGTATAGCCTTACGTACAGCCTCACGTACGAGCTGTATATACAGTTGCATAAATCGGGCAGGATGCACTGTAAAATGGAAGGCTGTATAGCTATGCTGATTTGTATAGCCTCGCGTACGAGCTTATGTACGAGCTCATGTACGGCCGTATATACAGCTACACAAATCAGATAGGCTGCATTGGAGGCTACGTGGCCGCATTTGGAGACAGCATTCGGAATTAGTGAGCAAGTGAAGCAAGCCAATCGGAAGCTCTGGAGCAACCCTCCGAGCCAATTAGAAGGCGGTGAAACAACAGGGGTGGAGGGGGTGTATGATTACTCGAAAGGGGGTGTACGATTACTTATTAGGGGGTGTACGATTATCTGTCCCCAAATTTAAATACTTGAATATAAATTTTTATAGTTTTATATCAAGTGGTGGTGGAGTATAAGTGTGCAAAGCTAGCAGTTTTGGCGGTAATTTTTGGGTGGCTCGACCGGGGGGCTGGCTCGACCGGGGGACTAAGACGTTACTATTGCAGCGAAGGACACGGGTGTTGAAAACGATATGCTGATTCGTCTTGTCATCCAAACTGACTATCTCGACGCTCCCGCCAACAGATCAGTCTCTATGTTCTCCCAGAGGGTTGATGCCTTTGCTTCGTATTCAAACAGCTTCTTCGCCCTTTCAGCCGTTGATCTTGAATTAGCAGCGAACATATACGTTGCAATTCCCGGATAGTTAAAGCGTTCCATCATTGTGTTGACCTGTCCAGAAGTCACTCTTTGGGGATCCTCGGTTTTAAGAATCCCATGCTTGTGAAGAATGCTGCCAGCAGCCTTGGCGATGTCTAATTGCGAAGCTTCATGAGTAGCCGCAAAGTAGTAGCCCTTCGTAGTCAGCTTCGGGTCTTATTTGGGATCCAATTTACATTACCTGAAGTCCCCAGTCGGCGTTGCCTCCCCCAGTAAGCGCAGCTTCTACCAATTTCAAGTAGATAATCATGAGGTCCTCGATGTGTACCCAGCTCCTTGTATTTGTTCCGTCCCCGGCATAGAACGTCGCGCCTAGCTTCACGGATTCCTCTAAGAAAACGGGCATGTAAACACTGCGCGTTCGCACCAATCCTCTCCCAGTGCCATATATGTCGGGCGGACAAACAATTGCGGTTTTCAGAATATCTCCATGAGCGACAGCCGCACTTTGTATGATTTTGTCCACGTTGCGGTGCAGGGCACTGTCAGGAAGAGACGTGATCGCGTCTATGTCAGAGACATCAGACCAGACCTTGGGGTTCAATCTACCCATATACGTAGGATCCCGCCAGTCTGATATAATGCCAGTGCCGCTTAGGTGGATCAAGAAAGATTTTGAAGAGCGGCGAAGAAGTCCGGCGATGATTGCCTTGATACTGCCTTCGTGGTCCGAGTCTCCGCTATCTTTTGGAGAAAGTTATTATCCTGTTCAAGCTATGGCATCAATGCAAACCTACGAACAACAACATTGCTTTGAGAGACAGCATTCGCAATTATATCGAAATTGTCATAGCCGCCCCTCACAATCTTGACGCCTGGATATCGTTCCTGGAATCCGTTTGGTACAGTGCGAAGCAACACCGTGAGGTTGTACTCGGGGTGTGTCGTTGCTAAAGTGTCGAGGACGGTGCCTCCAATATAGCCCGTGCCACCCGTACTTGATGGGGAGGGTAAGCTTGGTCGCGATCAACGATTCAAGGAAAACACATACAGGAGTACGTTTGAACCCATCTTTGTCCTGTGTCAGTGGAAAATGTTTGCAAAACATGAAGCGGTGGTATGACAGCTTCCTACTTTAAAGCGGTTGCAAAGAGTTTGATTTATCGCACCTATGCCAGACAAGACCCAAGTGGGTATCGGAATAGGGAGAGCCGAAGCTGACCCTGTATTGCCTTATGTTTATCAGCACACAACGCTGCCTGCAACGAAGTGTCTGCGTTCTGTATCAGCGCTGAGACTTGACAGCAAGAGCTGTTTGGCATTCGGGTCCAGGACCGGCAATGAAGACGCCAATTACATACTGTACAGTACTTCGGCAACAAAAAGGGTAACTGTCGTGTGGATGTTTAGACCTACGACTTGGTCTCATGTTGATGGTATGACGGTAAGGGAATGTTGTATTTGGATGTCGTGAGGAAGCTCCAGCCTATCCCAGAGCCCTTGTATGGTGTGGCTGATGTTGTGGCTGATGATGCCTAGGTACGTATCACGTGGTACCTAACTTCCGGTGGATCCCCGCCAAAATTATTTTCTTCGCGACGGAACTTCGTGCTCCAACCACCAGAGGCGGCCGCAACGACACAAACCTCGCCATGGCAGCTTCCGAGATAGACACGAAGAAACGGAAGCGCAAGCACCGAGGCAGCAAGCACGAAGCCACGGAGAAGTCGACGCTGGATGAAGCAGTCTCCGATTCAACCCCGACCACTACCGCGGCACCACCAAGAGAGAAGCCGCGCAAGAAGGTAAAGAAGCAGGCCACGCCACGATCAGAGCCAGAGCAAGATTTTCAAATTCGCAAAGAGCTGGAAGATAGTGAACTGCTTCGTGCCCTCCCAGGCGACGAATCAAACAACGAAGCTGCGGAGACCAAATCGTCCCAGATACTTCGCAACGCCCCTTTGGAACAAGGCGAGCATGAAACTGCCCCTGCTGTCGACTCTCTAGCTGAAGAGCAAGGTGCCTTGCCTACTCTTGCCGCCGACCCCGAGCACTTTTCAGAGCTTCATCTTAACGACAAAACAATGCAGGCGATCAATGACATGGGCTTCAAGACTATGACGGAGGTATAAAACCCGACGAAACACAATGGATACAAGCTGATCCATAGCAGATACAGAGACGTGGAATACCTCCGTTAATGGCTGGCAAAGATGTTCTGGGCGCGGCGAAAACGGGGTCCGGAAAAACGCTTGCTTTTCTCATTGTGAGCGTTCTTCATGTCGCAAAGTTGCAAATAATGGCTAACATGGCTCCCCTGTTCCAGCCGGCTGTGGAGATGCTAAGCGCTCTGAGATTCAAACCAAGAAATGGCACAGGGGTCATTATCGTTTCGCCGACAAGAGAGCTTGCCCTTCAGATATTTGGCGTTGCCAGAGAAATACTTGCACATCACTCTCAGACGTACGGTATCGTGATTGGAGGAGCCAATAGGCGTGCTGAAGCTGAGAAGCTAGCGAAAGGTGCCAACTCCTCGAAGTGGATAGATGTTAGCATAATCTAACAGCCTATAGGTGTAAATCTTCTCGTTGCTACTCCTGGGGTAATGTCGCGCCAACCATTTTTCTCCATTTCCATACTGACCAAAATTAGCGCCTGCTCGACCATCTACTGAACACCCCTGGATTCGTATACAAAAATCTCAAGTCTCTGGTGTAGGTTTCACTTCCCACTTACTTTTTGCCAGAGTCTCGCTCACAATAGCAGAATTGATGAAGCCGACCGGATCCTGGAAGTAGGCTTTGAGGACGAAATGAGGTAGGCTTTTGATGCTTTCCTGCCTTGGCAACGAAGATTTCTAACTCAAACTAGACAGATCGTAAAGATCTTGCCGAAAAACGATCGTCAGACGATGCTTTTCTCCGCGACGCAGACGACGAAGGTTGAGGATTTGGCAAGGATCTCGCTGAGACCAGGTCCAATATTGATTGATGTAGGATATCAACCAAGGGAGAAGCGGCGTACGATTTGGAGGCTGACCGGAGACAGGTCGATTATCGAAAAGAGCACAGTACTGTCGAGGGCCTTGAGCAAGGCTACGTTATCTGCGACTCCGACATCAGATTCCGCCTGCTTTTCTCGTTCCTCAAGAAGCACCAAAAGAAAAAGGTCATAGTATTCTTCAGCTCTTGCAACAGTGTCAAATTCTACGCAGAGTTGCTGAACTACATTGACCTCCCTGTCTTGGAACTTCACGGCAATATGAAGCAGCAGGCGAGAACTAACCGGTTTTTCGAGTTCTGCAATGCGTCATCAGGTATTCTCATCTGCACTGACGTCGCGGCTCGAGGACTCGATATCCCGGAGGTCCATTGGATTCTTCAGTTTGACCCTCCGGATGACCCACGAGATTATATTCACCGAGTTCGTTCTTTTCGTCCCTTTTGAAAGTTGACTTACTTACATGTCGTAGGTCGGGCGTACTGCGCGGGGTGCCAATGGGAAAGGACGCTCCCTCATGTTCCTGCTCCCCTCCGAGGTGGGTTTCCTGAAGCTGTTGAAGGAAGCAAGGGTGCCGCTCGTCGAGTTTGAGCTTCCAGCAAGCAAAATTCTCAACATTCAGTCGCAGCTTGAGACACTAATCGGAAAGAACTACTATCTCAACAAGGTATGAAAGCTCATGGTAAAAATGAAGATATGTACTGACTGACATGATATACTAGTCTGCTAAAGATGCCTTTCGTTCATACCTGAATGCGTATGCCTCGCACAGCCTCCGGTCTGTGTTCGACGTCAGCAAACTAGATCTTGTCAAGCTTGCGAAATCGTTCGGCTTCCAGACTCCGCCCAGGGTGGATATTACCTTGGGTGCAAGCTTAGGTAGAGATAAGAAAACAGAGAGCAGACGGGCGTATGGGAGTCAACCGAAGCAAGGCAAACGGCCAATGTACCAGAAGTTAGAGAGGTGAGGAAAGAGCTAGTGTACTAGCACCAAACGAGGAAAGACACAGGACCAGGAAACTTACCAGCGGTGTGTCTCGAATGTTGATATCTAAAGACAACGGCGGAGCTGGTTCTTACATCTTGGGCTGCTCTTCAAGTACGCGGAATCAGATTCTGGTACTCATATTACATGTATACATTACACGCAGACCAGTAGATTCTTACCTGCTATTCGCCCCATTTCTATCTTGTGAAATTTCATGAGTGGAGCTACGTAAAAGGAGTGATTTTTATATATACGTAAATAAAGTGAAAGCGGAGATATCCCTATACTACTATTATTTTGCCATTGCTAAATGTGACAATCCTTTCTACTACACGTTGCATCGCTCTATTCAATCAATATACACAACTGCCTCCATAAAACAAAGGTAACTACTGTGGCTTAATTTATCGAGGTTTCATTCGATCTTCCGTAGCGAGCTAACCTTTACCAGCTGCCGTGAATTCATTTAGTTAAAGTTATACATAGAGCCGCTTACTAGGCTGTCTGTTGAGCTAATTAAACTACAGAGTACAGCTTTATGTAAGATGTGTAAAGGTATATGAGGCATGTGGTGAAATGGTAAAGGTTTAAATAGCTGTTGTATTACTGATCAGTATATTAACTGGTTAAGATTATCGAGTTTACGGAGCGAGGCAGCGGTCTTAATATACCTCAGTCGTTCTTTATTAGAACGTAGTCTTTGTTGTAATAAAGAGTTAACGTCTCTTTATTAAGACAAAGCCTCTTTATATACAACAAGTCCTTTATTAGGACAAAGAGTCCTTTATTAGAACAAAAAACAACAAAGGGTTCTTTGTTAGAACAAAGGAACAAAGGATCTATAAATAGATTTGTATCTATGTATATACATAGATAATAGAACAAAGAAATATATCGCTTATTCTTGTTCTAATAAGATGTATATACACTATAAAGATGCTGTATACATAATATTATATAAACCAACAAATATAGCTACAAAAATGCAGCCGCTTATACAGGTGCATAATATTAAGACACGCATATAAGAATAAAGCTCTAGGAAAACGGATAGCCTGCTCCAAGCAATTAGGACCAAGGAATTAGAAGAGATGGGAGCGGGTTATAGTGTCTATAAAATGAGATTTTAATATTTAGTAACAGCTAAAATCTACAGAAAGATTAGAATAGTAATAGGGTCAATAGTAGGTTCTATTCAGACTTGGTTTATAGAGAAGCACTATATGCTAGGCAAGCAGAGCCTAGTAAACATTAGATAAAAACCTTATTCTTATTTATAATATATGCAATATATTCATAAATCTACTATATATGTTTAGGCACTGCTAATAGTCTCGATAAAAACACTGTAAAATAAACTATTGTAATGCGTTAATTAGGCTATACTAGTATACTAGTTCTAGAAGTATATTAATCCTAGGTATTATTAGAAGTGTAGGATAGGTGTATAATGTTTGACTATAATATAAAAAATATTAGAAAATAGTGTAGAAGTGTTGCAGGACGTTTTATAAGCACTATATAATGCTATACTTATATATATAGGTGTGCTTGTCAAAGGTATATAGTCGATGCAGAGAGAGATAGAACAGAGTTGTATGGATAGATAGATAGAATTGTATTGCTTGAGTTCTTCTTTACATCGACGGCAGCGGAGTTGCACATATATACATACGTATAGCATTGTGAAACGTCCTCTAACGCTTCTGTAACGTTATCTCACTTTTCCTGTTCAAAACGTTTACTGTATCACGTTCAAATGTGCATAGTTTTAGTTGTTTTGAGAGCTTTATGCATAGGGATATAACGCTTATGCTATTATAATCCTTACAGTGCTGCTGTTAATATAGAATAGATCTTAAGTTATAAAACTTCTTTCTATCTATTTAAATATTAACTTTATATCTTTAACAATTACTTTACAAAAGCTACCTAGTAACTCGGTTCCTATACCGCTTCTATATTAAGCTTATATCTAAATATCTATAAGTGGTAATATATATAAAAGAATGCCTTATTTACTAGCTTCTACTTTATAGAGGTCGCCTTTATTAGGCATAGCATGTAAGCACGTATATAAGACTAACTCCTCTTTAGAATTATAGAAAGTTGCATAAAGAATACTATACATATATCTAGCTTAACATAGAAAAGTTATTAAATACATATCCTCTTAAAGCTTCATTAATATTTACACTTTAACAGATAATACATACTGCCTTTTATAGTTAGAAGGCCCTATAAAGCCTTTAGAAATGGCGGGTTCTCTCTAATATTTCTGTTAAAGGTATAGATTTAATGAATAGATAGATAGATATAAAAGAGTTATATTGCTTAAGTTCTATTCTATATTAACGGCAGCAGACTTGTGTATTATAACATATAGCACTATAAAGTATATGGGAAACTTCCTCTAATGCTTCTATAACATTATCTAACGTTTCTTTTATATCACACTTAAACGAATATAGTTTCCAGGTATAGTGTTTAATAGTGTTGAGCGTATTATGCATAGCATATAACGCTTATACTATTACGGATCTTACAATTTCCCTTAGTATTTCTCTAACCCATGCTATGCAATGTCCTGCAAGACAGACCATAAAGAATAGACAGCATTGTTATCTACAAACAGGGTGATGTCTTCATTTGCTATAACATACTAGATTTGGGTCTATCTGTGATGTTTATAACAGGATAAAAACTTGGGTGAGTAACGGCTGCAAGTGCCTGTCCCATTTCAATGACACATCATCAACAAGGCAGTCGGCAGGAACACGGGAATCAAAATCGATAAATAGAATTAGAAATGACCACATCCGTGAGTCCGCCCAAGAAGAGCCTTCTTCCTCCCGGGTGATGTACTCTCCATAGGCCAAATATCTGCTGCAGTTGGGTCCACCCATCTATCTTTCTCAGTTTTGGCGCAATCCGGTCGTTGTTCCTTTTACCGGGCTCTATTTTGGACGAGAGGTCCAGCCGATGCCATGAAAACCCTGTCTGGCACGAGGTTCCTCTTCTGACATAGGCGCCTTCCGTTAAGGAAGCAAATGTTCGCAGTTTCCCCTCGCATCTCATAGGTTGAGATAGCCGCCTTTACGCGTGTCATCTCATCGGAGTGGGGCAAGCAGAGCTGTCAGAATTTGTTATGGCCAGAGCAGACTGAAGTTATTGAAAAGCATACCCTAAAATTCAACGTCTGCACAGATTCGCCCATCGCCCATACTTTCCCCCACTGCTGTGAGTGCAGCTAGTGGGTTATGATACTACTTTCACTCTCATTGGCCTCCTCCTCCATTGCGGCGTTCTGGAGGTTGATTTTCAGATTTATTGATCCTGGCGTCGAGAGATGTTGAGATGTTGAGATGTGATCGAAGCCCGAGGCGTATCTCGCACCCTCCGTCATCAGATTCCAATTCAACGTGGAAAAGGCTGCGTCGGGCGTGTATTTTTGTCTGATAGAATGTACAGCATCGTGTTTATTTAAAGCTAGTTTCTAATCATTAATCTGGTTTTGCAACTATTTAGATACATTGCTGGCAATCTATATAGATTTGAATAGTCCGGCCAACCGCAAGTCCCGGTATTATTAGTATAACTGGAGTCTAGAGCCGTAGAAGCGTTCATATTAATTAGTAAGTTAGACAGTCCGTCTAGAACCCTTGCTTGAACGCGTTAGATTTTTTTTTAATAATAGGGCGGTCATGGCCGTAACGTAGTTCACAAGCAAGTGACCACCCCAAGCATGTGGCCACCCCAACTTTTAGTGCGATTTAGACGTTTTAGCACTCCGGCAATCTCAACAACCACAGAATATTATATAAAATTATACAGGTAGTTATACCGTTTATCCGACGGATATTTATTAGCATGCTTCTAAAAAAAGGTTTATCCCTTAACCCGCTGACATAGGCTCAACGTTATTGATAAGGATGCGACCAATAACAGTTCGGCGTGATGAGAAATGCTGTGAATTTCGCCTTCTTCCTTTCCACTTAATGATGTCGATCTATGAAGGGTGCGAGGGCACTGCGTAAAGATAGATGGTGATGGCGAGCAGTGAGGATTGAGGATTGAGCGAGGGATGCGTAGTCAGGATCAAAGGAACCAGGAGAACTAGCCAAAAGTGGTATCAAAATAGTTATGGCAAAACGCGTCTAAAAGTGCAGCGACTATCGAAAAGCGGATAACAGGAAAGCTACGTTAGTTAAAGATAAGTGCTGAATGCATCTAGGCACGAAACTTCTCTTAACTGCCCTTGCACGTCTCTACACAACGCCAGCGGAGCACGTGTTGTTGAGGTGCTTGTCGAAGATGCGGAGATGGTGAAAAAATTGACGTGGAGCCCATGCTTTTATTTGCTGTAATATTCATTCCACCGATAGGATTCAACCTAGGATATGAATTGCGGCGTGAGTTCAACGTCGTTAGTGGAACCCGTGTACACCTAGGTATAGCGGCAAATGCACCTGCTATGTGCCACGGAGGTGATGTAACGGATCCTGTTGGAGCACAGCACCACGACGCAGGATGGACTTGCCAGACCATTGGCTCTTGCTATGCGTTGATCTAGTCGTAACATGCCGAAAATAGATCGTCCATGCATATCTGGGGTGCCAGCTTCTCACGACTAGGCAGCTGTGTAGTCCACCGCGCGGCGCTGAGGCGTACTATCGCTGCCTCCAGGCGTGCCTCTACATGGATGTGTTACCTGTCGGCGTGTTATTTAACCCAGGGGCCGTTGTATTCGCCCCTATTGGAGAGTCGATAATGTCGTGTTCCGGCTCTTGACCAAGCGAAAGAAAGAAGGTGTCCTAAAAGATTGATTCTTGAAGCTAGTAGAGGCCCAATGTCCCCAAACGCCGGCCCCGTTCCCTCCGTAGTCAGAAGTTACCTACACCGCGTACGCAACAAGCAAAATAAGACTGTCGTCTTTGCTAGGGGTTAAGTCTAAATGATCGTTAGTCATATTTTCCTCACGAGTTTTCGGCACAATTACCTATAGCTGACTAGTGTATCCACGCGATGATTACTCGTGCTGAAACTCCGCAGCTGTACCTTCTCGCCATTCTTGATTTCCTTGGCATCGCTGTCACCCCATTCCAGTGGCACGTCTGAGTCTGCATCTGCATAGACAAGCACATTGAATGTGCAATTGCCATCCAGCATTGGCAGAAATGTGACCGAGGCAGTGATTTGGCGGAAGATAGACTGTATCTCAGCTTGAATCTCCTGCTCGGTCTTCTCAGGAACTGGCTCTCCCGCACTAGGGCGTCGTTAGAGTCATCGCACGCAGCCTATTTTAGGGATCTGTAACTCACTCTGGACCGGTGTTCTCTTTGTTCGCTGTCTTTTTGGAAGATTTTGCCTTCGATGGCTTTCCGAATAATTGAACCTTGCAAAGATCAGAATTTGGCATCGAAAAGGGCGTGTGAGCTAACATCGAACTGCCACCGCTCCACGTGTTCTCCAGTCTCCTTACTCGTGATGACAATGACAAGTTTTGAGATTTTTCCACCGTACATCCAATCTTTCAACTGGGACATTATCTTCTTGATGTAGGCTTTGACTTGATCGTCTGCGGTCACTTTTGAGGACTTAGAAGGGTATCCCCTATCGCGACATGTGAGACTTACCCATCATCGTCAAGCCATATTTTTTGACACTGTGCATGGTTTAGTACGTCATCTATCGGCTAAGAAATGGGGACTTACGCAGTGAAGTCTTCCGCAGGATACACGCCGCGCTGGAATCTGGGCAACCGGTCAGCACACGCGCAATCAAATCGCGGACGCTAAGCTCACAAGATAGTGTTGATTGAATACTCAAACTGGATATGGTTAGTATATTGGATGTGGAGGACGGTTGAGCATAATGGCCACATACAAACTCGGACACCACCTTGGAAGACCCTAGAATGCGTCAGTCAATCTACTCCTTCACGATGTAAGGAGTGGGGTACCTTTGAGCGCAAGCTTGTGCACCTTGGAAGACTCTTTCTTTGAGGAAACCTTTGGCTGCGACATGATTGCTGTACGGCTCTTGTTGCGGTGCTTGTGTGTTGGGGAGAAGGAGGCTGATGATGTTCTGGGACCGTGTTGGCGCGGCAACGAGGTCAGAGGCCGCACCTCGCTCGACTCGCCGGCGGGCGTTCTGCGTGGCGGTATGCTTGCTCTCAGATTATTATCGCACTTACTGAAGTCAGGGCCGCAGCTCTGGAGTAAGGTCTTTCACTTTCAACGATGCCAGTGTGCGGGCCTTGGCTTTCTCTCACGTGAACACCGATTATCTAGATAAGATGTCCGTGGATTCCAACCAGACCAGCAAAACTTCGAAGCTCCAGGGTATACACGTCGTCGACACGCTGAGACTCGGCCGCCTCACCACTAATTTACCTGGGCATGCGACCATGCTTCCGCACTGCGACTAGCCTCCTGCAGGCCTGGCAGGCGCCTTCGCTAGCTCTTCGCGCCTCAGTTGGCATCCGGACTTTTACCTCGTCCGCCCCTAGACATGCCCAAGCCCACAAAGTCCAGTCCCCGCTGGAAGCTAGGATTGCAGCCATTCCAATAGACCGATTTCGAAACTTCTGCATTGTCGCCCATGTTGACCACGGCAAGAGCACACTCAGCGACCGCCTCCTGGAGCTCACAGGCACAATTGAAGCCGGGGGGAAGAAGCAGTTTCTGGACAAGCTTGACGTCGAGCGCGAACGCGGCATAACTGTGAAGGCGCAGACATGCACCATGGTCTACAATCACAATGGGCTGGATTATCTGCTGCACCTGGTGGATACGCCTGGCCATGTAGACTTCCGGGCCGAAGTCTCGAGGAGCTATGCTAGTTGTGGAGGAGGTACCATTTGCTACCCTTATAGAGTCTCCTCGAAAGCAAGCTGACCGGACAAAGCTCTATTGCTTGTTGATGCCAGCCAGGGCGTCCAGGCGCAGACCGTTGCAAACTTCTACCTCGCGTTCTCCCAAGGTCTTCGACTGGTACCCGTCATCAACAAAGTCGATCTTCCCAGCGCGGATCCCCAGCGAGCGCTCGAGCAGATGGAAACCACATTTGAGCTTGATCCCAGTCGTGCGGTACTGGTCTCCGCGAAGACTGGACTAAACGTAGAAGCTCTCTTGCCCAACGTTATCGATCAGATCCCAGCGCCAGTGGGTGATCACACGAAGCCCCTGCGCTTGTTACTCGTCGACTCGTGGTACGATGTCTACAAAGGCGTGATTCTTCTAGTTCGTATATTTGACGGGCAGGTAAAGCCCGGAGATCACATTCGCTCCTTTGCAACTGGTCTCAAGTATATAGTAGGAGAAGTCGGGATCATGTACCCTGACCAAACCGCACAGACTGTCCTCCGAGCAGGCCAGGTCGGATATATACATTTCAACCCGGGCATGAAGCGCTCCCAGGAGGCTAAAGTAGGCGACACATACACTACGATAGGCTCGGAGAAGCTCGTCGAGCCTTATCCAGGCTTCGAGGAGCCTAAATCTATGGTGTTTGTTGCTGCGTATCCTGTCGACCAAGACAAGTACGAGCACCTCGAGGAGAGCATAAATCAAATCGTTCTCAACGACCGTAGTGTCACCGTGCAGAAAGAGTCGTCTGACGCTCTCGGTGCCGGCTGGCGTCTCGGCTTCCTTGGAACCTTGCACTGCTCAGTCTTTGAAGATCGGCTTCGCCAGGAACATGGTGCCAGTATTATCATCACACCTCCCTCCGTGCCGTTCAAAGTTGTCTGGCGCGACGGCACCGAAATAGTCATCTCCAACCCCGCCGACTTCCCGGACCAAGATACACATCACCAGCGAGTTTCCGAATTACAAGAGCCTTATGTGTCTGTTACCATCACTCTCCCAGAAGAGTACATAGGCAAAGTGATTGAGCTTTGTGAGGCAAATCGCGGTGAACAGAAGGAACTTACATTTTTCACGGCTACCCAGGTCATCTTGAAGTACGACCTCCCACTCGCTCATCTGGTCGACGACTTCTTCGGTAGATTGAAGGGGGCAACCAAGGGCTACGCGACTCTGGACTACGAAGACGCAGGTTTTCGGCGATCCAACATCGTCAAGCTCCAGCTATTGGTTAACGGCGCTCCTGTCGATGCCGTGGCGCGAGTACTGCACACTACCCAGGTCGATCGTCTCGGTAGACAGTGGGTCGATAAATTCAAGGAACATGTCGATCGTCAAATGTTCGAGGTGGTCATCCAAGCGGCCGTGGGGAGAAGAATTGTGGCTCGAGGGTCGATTAAGCCTTTTAGAAAGGACGTATTAGCGAAGCTTCATGCTAGTGATCTCAGCAGGAGGAGGAAACTACTCGAAAAGCAAAAGGATGGCAGGAAGAAATTGAGAGCGGTGGGAAATGTCGCAATCGACCAACAGGCGTTTCAAAAATTCTTAGCCAAGGGCTGAAATTTTACACTAATAAGCTATATAATCTTTGCCCACCTGGGTGTTACCCTTTACATTGATCTAACAAAGCTCTGCGTGAGATGTAAAAAAATTGTCTTGACCGACCTGGGAACTCGCCAGACCCTCTCTAATCACGGTATGCACATCGACCTTGAAAGGACGTGGCTATATTTGAATGGCTTGTTATACATTCATAACATACTACATGGCTCTGAGTGCATGAGATAGAGGAGCCCTGGAGCACCGGTCAACGTGCTGCCTCTATTGCAGGGGGTTCCTGGATCAAAGAGCACGGGCGTTTCTTTGTTGATGGACCCCTGGGACGCTCTTCGTTCTTCTTTCAACCACCACGCTGAGAGGAAACAAGACAAACCAACTCTGCAAACAATACAAAGGTGCGTCTCTGGACCCCCTTCAGCATCATCTAGGAGTTTGTCTCATCCAAGTAGTCCATATCAAAACCTATCTATGCAGTAGAACACCGACCCACATTCTGGACTATCACTACTTCTGATGGCTGAAGGCATCACCGTCTCATCAAGCGTGCCCCTTCCTAAGGGCTACGGATTTCTTCCCAAGGGATCGGTCTATCGCACCATCCACGGCCAGCGTCTGACACGTGAGGCCGGAGAAACCCTTTTTATCGTGCTCCATCCCAAGACGAAGCTTCGAATCGGCATTCGGATCCCGAGTAGAATCTTGCGTGAAGTACAGCGTCAAGATGCATTGACCAAAGCGGCGCGACTTGCTGCAACCCACAGGCGTGACGAGAATATCGAACGCCAGGCGCGCGACGTGTTGCGGAAGTTGTATCCCAAGATACCCAGCTCTGTCCTGGAGCAGTGCCTGCACCGTGCCTTCAAGAAACGAGCAGGTAGAATCGGAAGATGTGTTAGTCCACCCTAATGTTCCCCCAAAAGCCCCAAGTAACCACCAACAGTTCACTGTCGATATGACGAAGCGCGCCCACCTAGCCCTGGCTGCTCACGTGAGGCACACTTTAACAAACTATGACAAGCTCCTAAATGCCGGTTCCACGAAGGAAAGTGCGAGAAAGGCGATCAACCCAAAAGTGTGCAAGATTTTGGCAGGTTGGAAATGACTTATTGGCTTCGGGTATTAGCAGCAGGCTAAGAAAAAGGTACGTCTGGCCTTCCTTTGACCTGTGTAAGCGATCACGATATGTACGTAGAAGATAGAACGAGACGGGCGCTTATATCTTGTAGTTCATCCTTACGTGAAGCGGTATACCACTAGTTGGCGTAAAACTTAAGCCCAGGCTCTCGTCAAAGTGCCACTGAGGTAGTGCGTAGGCAACCACGTCTATTTCACGGAGCATTACGATGGATGCTCCAGGTAGTTGTGTAGGAGCAAGCACAAGGTCAAGAGAACGACGGCAGACCCCCGGCAGAGGTTTGAATGCGGCGGAAGCAACCTTGGAAGGCACTGACCCATGGCTGGCCCATCGGTATTTGCGTATGTCATTGCAAATGACAGGGCAAAGGGCAGCAACGCTACATGTACACTCTAACTGTGGTCTAAGAAGGAGTAACGGGTTCAACACAAGCTTTCAGTAGAATGAAGGAAATGGACCGAGGGCGAAGTTTCTAGTTAGGTAGGCTGGAGCTACAAAGGTTTAATATTGCTCAATGAGCAATTAGACACGTGATTCTTCATCACGTGATGTGTCATCAATTTCCTGCTCTAGTTGGGTCGAACCAAATAGGTGAGGACAAGATATGCCGTACCTAGAAACCACCTAACAGCGAAACAACGAGCAAGTGGGGCTGGGCGTGAGTTCGTAGCTGAGGTCGGTGACAACTCATAGCGCGAGGGGAGTCCACCCAATAGACGGGGCTCAGCCTGCGGACGCCAGGATCGTCCCGGAAACCTGACCAAGGGAAGTCGGGGCGCTCTAAGCTCGACCGGGGCGGGAGTGGATGACGACGGAGCATCAAAGCATAGAGTATGTAGAGGCTGAGAGAGCGTGTGTGCGCTACAACCTTGGAAATGTGCAAACTGAACCTGGAAGCCTGCGTGCTCTCAACGTAGCATCCCAGTCCGAGCGAGACGTGGTTCTCCCCAGCCACCTCTGCGCACCGATAGGGACGCTTTCGAGGGTATACAAGTCGGCACAGTTAAGCGGAGGGCTGAAGACTTGAGGCCCAAACCAGCGCACTGTTGGCGCCTGCAGCCACCGTACATTCAAAATAGCAGCAGTGCAATATTGTGGAGGCCGAGCGTTTGTTGATGCTGCCCGGGTGACAGCGAGCGCCGCCAATCACGACGCCGCGTCCACCTGCCCATCTCGACCCACGCCTGCCATCTTTCTTTTGCTCAACCTCACCTCCAGCGCTCCTGGCTCCTCTCCCCGGCGCTTTCTCCAACCTCCCACCAGCCACCATCGCGGCCTCACCTGCACCTTCGAGCCGTGCTCCTTGTGGAGCTTGCCCCGACGCACCTGCGCCACGCGCCTTACGACCATCCTGCCCAGGTACCTAGGTAGTGCCGCCGGCCCCCTTCAGCCTTCAGCTCTCACCACACTCCGTGCCACCCACTTCGGCACCCACTTCGGCCCTCCACGACGGTCAAGTCGTCGAGCGCCCGGCTCCATTGTCGACACTGCTGGCCATGCGCTGAGTGCGTCTCGACACGACTTCCTATCGTCGGGACAGGTGCGTCAATTCATTGGCTGGCTCCGAGGCCGTTGCAGCGCCTGCACCACCCGGCAGAGACAGTCCACGCACTGCTCGCCTCGACCCACCAAGCCGCTTTGCGAAGACCTTACGCCCTCGAATCCGACCCACGCACCACCAACCGCTTCCATGAATTCGTGAGCTGCACCTCACCATGGGTATAGGGAAGCCTCCTCTGCCAGCGCCGACAGAAGCTTCCTCCATCGATAACGACACCACCCTCGGAGACGATTTCGCCACAGACGTATCTCGTCGCACGGACAAAACTTCGTACTCAATCCCTGAAGACGGAAGCCCAGTCACCATATCTACATCCAAAAACCAGCCAACTCTGCGAGGTGCTCATCCCTCGCAGACGTCGCTGCTGATCGAGTACTTTGAAGCCGGAAAGGGAGAAGGAAAGGTCCACTCGCGGCCCAGTGTCCGAGTACGTGTGACGCCGTCCTCCCACCGCAAGAGCAGATCCGCAAACGACCACATTCAGATCACCCAGACCTCGCGGAGTTCGCGCAAGCCCTCCTACACCCGACGTATCTCGCTTGGAGCTAAATCTCGCGACGAACCTGTATCTCAAGCGACTGAAGTGTCCTTATCCGAGGATTCCAACCTCTCTGCGCGCCCACCTGTGGAGGTTGAGGTCCTGGAGAACGTCAGCGACTTGTCAAGGTCCGACCTTTCCCACGGCCGATATATCCCGGCAACGTCTGACATCTCCTCCATGCCGCCGGACAGTCTGCTTGAAGGCGAACCTATTATTCGAGCTCCAGAAATACGCTCCAGTCGAAGCACTGAGAGAGAGGAGGTCATAGACAACCAAAACACATTGAGCGCGCCATCCGGGGGACGCGGCCGAAGCCTCAGCAAAGAGCGAATTACGCAAAGAGTTATGGAAAAACTCACCAGTAAACAGGCCGAGACCAAGCTGGTTTCAGGTCGTGAAGGAAGAGCCAGCAAGGAAGAGCTCTCCGACAGTGGCAGATCAGCTCGGCGGCGGAACAGCAAGACACACCACGACGAAGATGTCGTCAGCGCCACCGATTCAATGCTTTCCTCAAACTTGAATCGCCGATCCGGAGATACTCACTCTATGCGCTCGGGGGTTTCTGCGGCGTCTTCGTCCATCAACAACCCTCGCTTGCTCCAAACCGTCGAGGATGCAATAAAACGTCTTATACTTCCGGAGTTGAACGCCTTGAAAGAAGAGAAACGAACCCAGCAAAATCGGAGCAAATTCGACCACAACTCACGGGAGAGTGCGTACGAGAGTATTCCCTCTACGAGCTCTCGTGAAACGTCTAGTAGACGTGTTTCCAAGTCCTCCAGTGCTCCGAATGTCGCCGCTTTGAAACCCAAAGTTGTCTTGAACCAAGACGAAGACCATCCTGGAGTGGTCTTGTCCGGCAACTCCACCAGAAAGGAGGGACGATCAAGGCGCGGGTCGACTTCAAGCCGAAGTCATGACAGACGCGACTCGACTGATTCAATAGGACGTGGGGAGGAAAAAGCGCATAGTCGCAGAACTAAGGATCGTCATCGTTCAAGAGACGCTGCTGCAGCAGGGCTAGTAGGCGTAGCGCTCACGGCGAATGCACTTCGGCATCATGACTCCAGGGAATCAACAGAAGAGAAAAGTGAGAGAAGAAGGCGTCGCAAGAGCAGCCGGAGCCGGTCCACCAGTGTCTCTGAGACGGTTGATGGGAAGCGTCACCTCGAGGCGGAGATTCCACCCATGCCCCTGTTGCAGAGCGAACTACAGGGATCAGAGCTTACCAGAGAATCCATCATCTCAGCTAGTACTGAACGGCCGGTCTCGAGGTCTTCGGTCGATGTCAGTACGCCTGTGCAAGAGGTTGCTCGCGGATCTGGTCGTCAAATTTTTTCGTCTACTCCAAGCACGCCAACCCGCACCCCCGTAGCCCTTCAACGAGGCCTTAACAACTACCACAGCAACCTCTCTCAAGGGGACATTAGCCTCACCAAAGTAAAGAGCGACCGAAGTCTTGCTTCAACTGGCAGGGTTGCTGTCCCTGGTGCCATAAGACTGGGTGCAAGTGGGACGTCGGTCAAGGAGCGTGCTCTGACACAGGAGCCTGTTTCTCAGTATGAATATGCTGAGAAAACCCCACCACGCGAATTTAGCCCGGTGCAGAGCATTGCTAGCTATCAAGACGGCGATGATCGAGAGCTCAGGCATTTGCCATCTACTCATAGTCCCGTATCCCTTTCCTCCACAGGTCGCCGGGCTCATAGGCAAAGATCGACTCTGTCTATCGGCTCCATGGAATCTTCTCCCAGTACTAAGATGGCGCATACTCGAAAGCGCCCTCAAGGCGTGAATCTTGAGAAAAGCCATGACGCCTTGGATGAAGATATGCGGAACAAAACCCAGCAGCCGCAGACGCCTAGAGATGTTGACGACTTCTTTGCTGAAAATCACGAGCAAAATGAGGCCTATAGAAGGGAACTTGAGAACAACAGTCCACAAGGATCACCAGTAATCGATTACAAGCACATGACCAACTACACGGATGACAGCGGAGAAGGCCAATATCTCGATAAAGTCGCACTCGGTCAAGACATTCGTGGAGTAGGAGCTAATCCAGAGTATGTACACACGCCCCTTGCTGTGGAGTCTGCGGTAGCGTCACTTCACGAACCATCCACTCTCAGCGTGCGGTCGTCACAACCCAGTCCCTTGAAAGGCGCTGCGTTGTCTCCGGTGAGCTCTTTCCATCACGAGGGCCCCTCGCAAGAGCAGCAATCCGGTCGTTTCCAAGAGGAATCAGACGCAGCATATCCAGATAACGGGAGTCGAGAACGATGGGGCTCTCTCAAGGACCAGGCTCATACATTGAGCCAGACCCAAAGTCGAGAACGCAGTGCTAGGAACTCACCTCAACACAGCATCTCTCGCTCTATCGACGAGCCTGTGCAGCTGGGCGCAAGCGCGTTCCCGGTCCAGGATGACATGCTCCCCGAATTTGGGTACGGCATGGACGACGAGTCTGTAACAACTAATCCCTCAATTATCAAAGGTCCAATTGGGGGCGGGGATTATCACGATCAACATTGGCACACCGAGCCAACACCTCCAATGTCCTCTGTTGACGTTCGCGGACACGATGATCAAGAGGGGACTGCATCCCGTGGAGCTGTAGCCACCGCAGGGCTTGGTGCAGGCGCTGTTGCCATTGCTGCTGCGGCTGCAGCACGAATCCAACGTGAAAAGGGTGATTCGAGTACTAGGCTCGATCGAGGTTACCAGCCTTCTGTGGAAGATGAATACGACCTGCAAAATGCCTATCAACCGAAAGGTGTAGTAACACCTGGGAGCCCCACGTTATGGAAGGACGAAGGCTACATGTCCGCCAATCAGCCTGGAGCTATCACGCCCGACTATCAGAATAGGTCAAGACATTTCGAAGACGACGTAGAAGAAGACCCGTTCACAACCAGCAACAAACACATTCGCCATTTTAGCGGGAATTCTCATGGAATGTCGTCGCCTCTATATGACGGCGCCACTGGTCGAGGGATCGACAAAATTCAATCCAAAGATGTCGTCGCCCTCATGGATCATCTCACCGTACGTGATGGGCAGCGGAATGCTCGAGATACCGAGATCTTGGTTACTCTTGTGAGGAGTGCCGCGGAAATGCGAAATTCGTTTGAGGAGATGAAGAGATATATAGCCGACCAGGACCGGCTGATCATGGCAAATACAGACAAGAGAGTCGATGTTGCCGAGCAACGAATCCTCCAGGGACCTCGACCACAGCCTCTGGGGTCACCCCGAGTTCCGAGGCAGTCCTCGGAAGGCATGAGTGATATTCAAGCTCAAAAGAAGAACATCCTCAAGCGAGCTCTGAGGGGTCTGAGCATGAAAGGCAACACCGATCTGTCAAAGATAGAGGATATGCTTACTCATCTGCTTAGCGAAGTTGAAGTCCTGAAGGATAACCAAGCATTCCAACTACGCCAACCAATGACGCAATCGAATAGTCTTAATTCGTACGAAAATCTGAGGGCTGGCGGCGACCCTGGTTATGAACCGGAAGGCCAGGCTGGAACATCGTCTTCGCCAAATCATTCTGGATATCTATCCAATCCGTCGTCGAGGAAAATTGATGGCATGCACTCCGGCTACGACGGCCGCCGCGGTTCTGAGCACCGCATTAGCACAGTTCTAGAAGGAGACGAAGACTTAGATGGCCATGAGCCCCATCTGATGAACAGCCAGGATGAAAACGATGAGCGGCTCCTTACACCAACTCAAGAGGTCCGCCGCAAAGTATCTTTGCCACTAGGAACACCACCACAGCCTACACAGCCGCTCCAAGGGCAGCATAGTCAAGAGAATACGCCCAAACGCAAGCACAAGTCGAACAGTTCTTCCATTTTCGGTTTTCCTAAAAACCTTTCGCGCTGGTCGAAGACAACGACATCCACCGTACCGGACAGTGCAGGTCGCAATAGCGGCTCGCGGGATAAGCGCCCTTACTCCGACGCGTCTCGTTCTGGATCGAATTTGAACGTGAACTATTACGACGATAACCAATATGAGTTACGCAATGACGACCGCCTGCGTTCCTCGCATTCGCTTGACGGAGCCCCTGCGGCCCGAGATCTTCGATCCCCATCACCCTTAATTCCCGAAGATGAGCATGGCCAACGTGGCCTAGTACCTGAGCTGGACGACCCAAAGTATCAAGCTCATCGCAATTCTTTGAATCTACAACATCCTCAACCTAGGCCTGGGCCCACGCATCGACACCAATCCCACCTTGAGTCCCAAGCTCAGGTCTTTGAGCCAGTCGCCTCTCCAGATTTCGATCAATGGGGCTCCAATCCATCCTTGGCACGGAATAGACTCAGTGGCGGGAATGCCAGTACTGGCGCAGGCAATTTGTCTCCTATTTCATCGGACGGTGGATACTCCCAACATAGTGCTGCTGAACAGGCAGCGCCTCCTCGACCACCCAAGATCAGAGACGATGGCCCGCTGGTCCCGCAGCAGCAACCCCTAGCAGGGCATGGGCAGACTCGGCAAATGTACAGCAGCCCTGGTGGAATGGGTAGTCAAGGCCAACTTACACCCCTCGCGCCCATACAGGAAGTTAGATACAGCCTAGAAACGGATACCGGGCATCACGTAAGCTGAATACCACGCTGTTTGTGCGCCCCATTACTAAACAATTGCCAGTACTCCCCGACGCCTTCCCCGCGCCCCACAAACGCAACTTTGAATGCCTCCAATGCGATGCAAAATCCCCAGCGTAAGATCACTGGACCTCGTCCGATGGGAAGCAGAAGCCCAAGCGGTCAACCTCAGCAACAAGAAGTCCTCTTTGACAATTCGGGAACTGTGCGCAGAAAGCCTGTTGCGAGGCCTATGGGTACGTAACGACATCCTAGTCCACGAATATCTCTCTACGAACGACTCGAAAGGGAAACCCTTAACTGACACCGCTCTTGTATAACAGATACAGAAAGCCTTGAGAGCTACCGAAGTAGCCTAGATAGCGAAACTTTCTGATAGTGAAACCTATTAAGTCGAGCTTTCTTCTTGCCGCATAAAGCTACAATCATGTCATTTTCATGGAAAGTCCGTCCTGTTTTCTGCTTTTACTTTCTGGGTCTGCCCTGGACTGCTTCTCTTTACCAAAGGAGCGCCTCATCATCGTTGATATCGCATCATGGTTGTTCATAGCATGAATGGCTCTTTATGACCTCCTGATGATCTGCATACCTGGGAAGCTAGTTGAGTTTGGAGTTAAATGATTTTGGATTGGTCCGCGATCGATAGTAGATGAGTGTGAGTGGTGCCTACTTTACGTACGTACCTTTGACGAAGAAATGATTGGTGCAGTAAAATCAAGCGGGCATTGGCATACATTATCCTGTACGTAGTTAATGGAGAAACGAGTGTAAATGGCTGTTTGAATATGCCCTATGGCGAAATAGAATTTTGGCATACTAGTTTTTATCTAATTTAGCTACTTTCTATGCCGCCAGCGTTAAACAAACTATGCCCTCTTTTTACAAGACGTCCCTCCTAATTGAATCTTGTAGTTGGCTGGAGTGGATAGAGTGGAGGCTCTTCCTCCTGAGCTTCAACCCTTCTGTTACATGCAGCCGCACGTGAAGTTATACGTGCAGCCTCTCTGATTTATATTAGCCGTATATAAAGCATATATAAAGCAGTATATATAGCTATATAGTAGCGGGTAAAGAGTGGTATAGTTATAACTTTAGGTACAAATAAAACGTAGTAGATTAAGTTACAGAAGTTATATTTCCAACTTAAAAGTTCATCTTAAGGCAAAATAGTATATATAGCAAAAAAAGTATATATATAGAAAATATTAAAGTTATTAATCTAATGCTCTTAGGTATATAACTTATAGAATATACTAGTTATATACAGACCTCTTCTATAGCATATATAGGCTTAACCCCTTAAGTTAAATATAATTAAAGATTTGCTTTAATTAAAAAAAGGGGTAATAGTATATTTTCTACTCTTTTTACTTTAAATCTAATCTAAACTTAGATAAATAGATAGATAAATAGATAGAACTATATTTAGAACTATATTTAAGTTAGGTGCTAAATATACTATTTTATCTATATAATATTGCCCTCCCGCAACCTATGGTACTAGCTATACAAGAACCGTGGAGGAACCCTCGCGGGCAGGGGCATACAGTGCATACAACAAAGTTATACCACCTGCTGCACGCAGGAGAGGAATATACAAGAGCCTGCATATACGTTAATAAGCAACTAGACATTAACGAGTGGTCGGTTGTACACCACTTACCAGATCTTAACACCATCTCCCTCTGCGCAGGGGGAGAGAGGATCCATATTCATAATATCTACAACCCGAGCCCCAACAGTATTATACAGGAACTACCCCCACTGCTGAACAATACCGAAGCGGAACATATTCTTGTTGGAGACATGAATGTAAAGGTATATGAGGCACGTGGTGAAATGGTAAAGGTTTAAATAGGTGTTGTATTACTGATTAGTATATAGACTTGTTAAGATTAAGTTTAAGGAGCGAGGCAGCGGTCTTAATATACCTCAGTCGTTCTTTATTAGAACGTAGTCTTTGTTGTAATAAAGAGTTAACGTCTCTTTAATAAGACAAAGCCTCTTTATATACAACAAGTCCTTTATTAGGACAAAGAGTTCTTTGTTAGAACAAAGAACAATAAAGGGTTCTTTATTAGAACAAAGGAACAAAGAATCTATAAATAGATTTGTATCTATGTATATACATAGATAATAGAACAAAGAAATATATCGCTTATTCTTGTTCTAATAATAAACCTACACCATCCGCTATAGGGAGGAGTTCAAGTAGTGCAAATTAAGAAGCAAGCGGAAGAGCTCCTCCGCATCACGCGCGAAGCAGGCATGGACCTAGCCACAGAAGAAGGGCTAGAAACATGGGCAAGAGGAACATCGTGGTCTACAATTGACCTCACGTTCACAACAGAGTGGCTAACAGAACGAACAATTTCCTCCACGGTACGAGAGGAATAGAACTACGACTCCGATCACCGGCCTATATACACAGAGTTTGACGTCTCACCACCAAAGGCAGCCGAACCCCCGCAGCGTAGGCTGTGGAAGGATATAGCATGGAAAGAAGTATAAGAAAACCTTGCAGTGCAGCTAGACAAGCTGGAAACTTGGAACAGCCTGCAGGAGACGGAGGATAACCTTAATAACTTTACACACCGCCTATATAAGTGTATATAGGCCATAATAGACAACACTATACCACTTGCAAAGCTGTTAAAACAAGCATTACCTGCGTGGTTAACAGAGTGCACTAAAGAAGTGCGGGAAATAAGGCGGGCCTATAGAACCTAGCGCTTGTTAAGAACAGTAGAAGACTGTATTTTGTACAGAGTATAGTGCAATAGGAAGAAAAGGGCTATACGCAAAGAGAGTATAAAAGCATAGTGTTGCGCAGTAGATAAGATTATATCGGATCTAAAAGGCGTATAGAAGCTAGCCAAATAGGGCAGAACTATTAGAAAGGAACTACGGCCACCGCCTTAATTCCCCTCTTTTTTCATAGCCTAACAACGCAACGCTCTATACAGATAATAAAACTAAGGCCTAAATACTTATAGAACAGTTCTTTCCACCCTCTATAAAGGTAGACCTTTCTAACCTTAAAAAATACTAATACCTAAAGCTGTATAAGTCCTTATAAAATATTATAGTGGAAAATATCCTCTCCGCGCTAATAGGAATAGCCCTGGATAAGGCCCCGGGTATTATAAAGATAACTAACAGAATCCTTAAGAAATGCAAGATATAGCTAGTACTAATACTAGCTAGGTTCTTTACTAGGTGCGTGTGTATAGGGCACTACCTATAGCTGTATAAGAAATTAATTACTATAGTGCTATATAAGCCTTAGAAAGCGTTCTATAATATAGTAAAGTTATATAGGCCAATTATATTACTAGAAATAGTAGATAAGTTGCTTAAATATAATAGCATAAAAACTATTTAAAATAGCAGAGAAGAAAGGTATACTTTTACTAAGCTAAGTAGGTGTAAGGCCTAAATAATCTATATAGACAGTACTAGAGCTTTTTATAGAATAAATATAAACTATATAAAAGGGTAACTTTTACCTTATAGCCTTCCTCCTTAGCCTAGATATTTTAGGGGCATTTAATAGAGTATTTTATAAAAGAATAATATATAACTTCTAGGTCTAATATATACCGGAATAGATAGTCTAATTTATAAAGTTGTTCCTATAGAACTAAACTATAAAACTCTTTATTAGAAAATATATTGCTAAGACTATTCCTGTTAATATAGGTATACTATAAAATTTTTTACTTTTACTAATCCTCTTTTTATTCTTTATAAGCATGCTTCTACTAATACTATAAAAAGATAATATAATAACCTATAGGCTTATAGATAATACTAATATCCTTATATTTAGCAGAAGTATAGAAGAAAACTATAGGGTAATTAAAAGTACGTATATACAGTGTATAAAGTGGGCGAAAAAGTATAGTATAGTATTTACCCTAGATAAGTACTACTTTATACACTTTATAAGGCGCTGTTTAAACGCAGTAAGTATAAAAGCTATAGTAAATATTTAGAGCTTTATAGAGGGTCTAATTATAAAGCTTTATATACTTAGAGTCTACCTAGACTCTAAACTTAAATAGGGCCCGTGTATATATATTATAAAGGAAAAGGTTATAGTATAGATAGGGGCTTTTATATAGCTAATAGTATTAATATAGGGCGTAAGCTTCTAAAAAGCATAGTATATATATTTAGCAGTTATTAGGCCGGTTCTTATATATAGGTGTACTACCTGGTTTCTAATACTAGGTATAAAGGAATAAATTAGTAAAGTAAAAATTAAATAACTTAAAATAGCCTAGAACTACTACCTTTATACTATTATAGAGGTGTATAAACTAATAAATATTAAAATACTTAAGTATAAAACCTTTTACCTTTTTCTAAGGCTTAAGCTAGAAGAACTTATAGTAGTATATATAGACTGTATATATATAGGCCAGGCTAAAAAATATATTAAAACTATATACTATACTATTAGAAATACTATTAGAAAATACTATAAGCCTAGGAAAATACCTAAATATAAGCTTTTAAAATAAAAGTAATATAAAAAGTATATAAAAAAAGGTAGAGAAATAAATAGAAGGCCTATAGAAAGAAATAAAGGGGCTTTTCTATACTAGCTCTTAATATAAAATAGAATAAAAATTAGGTACCTAAATACTATAAGCTTACTAAAGCTAAAAGCTTAATTATTATACTTTTATAAATAGAATATATAGGGCTTAATATATACCTGCACTATATAAAAGTACCTAATTACCCTATACTAGTATACTTTTATAAATATATACTATAAATAATACTATAATAGTAGAGGTAATATATTTTTAAAAGCTAGAATAAGAATATATATATAGCTATATAAAAACTATAAGGGAAATAAGGCTGTTTTATAATAGTTCCTGTACTAAATAGACCTTCTACTCTACCTTTCTATAGCTAAAGAAATAGCAATAGAAAAGCTAGCTATATAGCCTAACTAATTTAAATAGCTATACCCTAAAAATAGAATAAGCCTAAATTATTTATTTCTATTCTTTTTTTTAAAGTATAGCTATATATAATACCTACCCTATATCTATACACCTATATATATATATATATACTACCTAATCCCTAAAAAACCTACCTAAGTTATATAGCTACTAGGCACGCGTATAATAGGGCAACCTTTTCTAATTTCCTATTATTTTTTAATTTAGTGTCTTTTCTTTTAGAAAAAGGGTATATAGGTATAGTAATAGCACGCGTGCTCTAAAGTAAACCTTAGACCTTACTAATATATTTAGATACTATATAACCCTAAAACCTAGGCCCTATAAATACCGGATTAATCCTAGAAAATATATTAAAATAGCTTACTCTATAGTAATACTTATAGAGCTGCTACGTGTTTCCTATAGCTATATAGGAATAAGAAGAAATATAAGGCGTTATATACTATAGAAAATAAGGTTTTTACCTAACTACTATAAAGTAAACGGTTTCCCCTTATAAATAAACCTATATAGCACTGCTGTATAAACCTTAATAGGAGCTAAATTAGACTAATAGAACCTAATAATAATAATAATAATATAGTAATATTAAGTTAAAATTTATAAAAGTAGGTAATAGTAAAGAAAAACTCTTATTTTAGTTATTAATCTAATATTTAGTATTGCTATATTTAAAGATATATATAGTTAATAGTTTATACTATTAAAATTATATCTTTTTATTTTTCTATAGAAAGAATAAGTAAATACTAGTATATATAGCATATATTTATAGAGCTGCTAAGTTTAAACTTCTAGGTATTAATAGTAAGTCTTTTCTATAATAGTAGCCCTTTATTCTAATATAGAGCTTATATACTAATACTTCTTTTACTAGCCTTTATTAACTAGAACTATATTATAGCTAGGTGCTGGCAAGCTCCTAGTAAGTAGCTGGAAATGTGGCTGGTTGATTATACTAAACACAGGAAATGTCTCTAGCAACATCTACATAGGAAAGGGCACTGGTTAGATTCGTAAGGGGCCCAGCAGCGTGTCAGGATGCGGGGAGCAGTCTATTATGCAAGCACGGATCGAGGCGGCGTGTTCAGGCATTCTTTATGTATCAGCATGCCTTAGCCTCAGCTCGCTGGCAAGGCCCGTTTCATGAGGCGGAATTCTTCGAGGAGAAGCTGCCCAGATGGCGTAGCACCCGTTGGGCTAGTTTTGAGATTTCCATCTGTCGATAGGCCGAGCGCCGTTGCATCGCTCGCGGAACGCGCACCCCGTCTTTCGCTTCCATCCAGGCACCATAGCCTGCGAGCCATTTTAAATCCTTAGGGTTTTGTGGGTGGTTTTTCCTCTTCTTCTGCGTTAAAGGACGCTCGCAATAGGTCTTGCTGCCTTTATCATAGAGTTCCCCTTCGACACCAAACAGCAGGCGTCGCGGATCTTTTTTCTGCCTTTCGGCGCCAAGCTGGCAAAGTCGATGTCTGGCACGAGCAATCATCGAGGCTCCCCCATACTGCTAGCATAGACCCATGCGTATGTACATACATACCGCACTGCCAGAATAATGCTCGTCTCGCCAAAGCGTGCGCTCGCAGCCTCGCCCAGCCCCTGTGATTGACCATGGCCGACCTGATCGATATCCTCGAGCGCCTGGGGCTCCAGCATTACTACAACGCGATGCATGAGAACGGCTTCGAGACGCGGGAGAGAGTGCTAGACATTTCAGAAAAGGACCTGCAGCAACTCGCTTTCAAGCTTTGCCACAGACGTGCCTTGCAGCGCGAGATCGCTACCTTTGTACCTTCACACGTCGCTCCCTTTGGAGCCCAAACTCGTCACTGGAAGCGACACCTCGTCCGCCCTGGAGTCTGGCCCCGCGCAGAGATCCACCGCGAGAGCGCGAGAAGGCAAACGTAAATATCGCAGGCCTCCTAGGCCGGACAGCAAGGCACCGAAAAAGCCCAAGACGGCTTGTTAGTTCCTCACTGAGTCTTACTACCTACCCATTAACTTACCTCTACAGACGTTGATTTACAGACTATCTGCGGACAGACTTGGTAGTCAGCTCTCTCTCTTTCGTCAACATTGCCAAGGAAGTTGGAAGACAGTGGCAGAATCTCTCTCCAGACAGCAAACGCAAGTGGGGGGAGAGGCTGCACGTGTAATCTAGGAGTACGAGGCACAGATGGACCATTACAAAGAAGACCAACTCTTACCGCAACTATCAAGCCTATCTAGAAGACTTCAAAGCGCAACAAGTCCGAGCAAACGCCAGAGAAAGGAAGGGGCGGTGGCGTACGGCTCGAGACTTCTAGCCGTTCGGACCATCACCAAGGAAGTCCATTGAGCTTGTCCGGCAGCCCAGTATCTCTGGCGTCGTCAGTGTGACCATATATCAATCATGAGAAGAACTGCCACGATTCCCTTACCATTGCTTTGAGCGAGGTTGCGTCGTTGAGCGGAGAGATGTTGGCCGCGGGGGCCCAACCATACCATGCAAGGAACCTTCCATCAGAAGACATAATGCGGCGAGCCATGTATGCCTTCATCACCGGCACCGGCTCACTCCTACACATGTGGTCCTTCACTCAGGCGGATGAGCTACTAGATCGCCTGTACAGGCCTATGTTGGAACCGGACCCCATGACTATCGCAGATTGTTTCATAATAGTTGCCATGGGCTCTCATTGTGATCTGGACTACTTTCCAGACGAGCTTCGGCAAGTATTAGACGTATCCAGTACGATACAATTGGAGGAGGTAGTTGCCAAAGTCGATTACCTTCGCACGATGCGGCTCCTTTTGTCCATGTGATTCTACTCGCTGCTGGAAAAGCATATGAGCGCAAGATATCTCGTTGGTGAGTCTTCCGGGTTTTGATGTTCATGGACTGGTAACTCCACATCGCGTCTTACTTCTCGCAGAGGACTAATCTGAAATAGCTGGCTGTCCTACACGCTGGGATATATGTTTGAAATTACTCATGATGATGTCACTACAAGTGTTCCGAACGCACGGCTAAGCGCCCTCGCTAACCAGGCTTAGATTTCGAGCGTCTTTTGTGTCGACCCCATTAATGTAGATAAGGCTATCCACATACAGGCCAGCGGGATTGGACTGATCGCAGCTGAAGTGACAAAGATTATGGCCCGCCTCAGTACAATACTCGTGGAAACGTTATGACATTGGCTGAGAAGCTTGGTGTCTAGCGCTCGGAAGTACCTTTGATGTTACAGCTCTCTACCTTGACATCGCGTGGCTCATCCGAGCCGACTCTACACCAGCGGAGAGCAATCCTAATGGTTCACGTACATGCAATTGACACGGCCGGCAGTGCGTCGTTCTTGTGCTCACAAACCCTGTAGATCATATACCTTGGTGCCCTCGTCCTTCTGTACAGGCAGTTGCTTGCTGCAGCTGCTCAGGCGCAGCCATGCACAGACAACCACTGCTGGACCTTGGACCTATCGCTAGACGAAACGCAGAAATATAGAGAAGAATGTGGCATAGCAGCACAGCAGATAGCTCGAATCATGGGCCTTATTAATGTCGATGGTACGTTCACAAAGCGATGTTGGTTAATGATGCAAGTCTGGAACCTAAATATCTCACCTTTGCGCTAACCAGGCCAATTAAATATTGGTCTTTTAGTGCTTGCATCGTGCTTCTTCTCGGCGCCGTGTCAAAAATGTTGGATGGGACCCAAGAGAGCATAGAGGAGGATCTTACCTATGCCAAAGGCTGCCTAGAAACCCTCCAACAATGCCGCGGCTACGAACCAGGTGCGGAAAGATACATCAAAACCCTACTCCCAATCTATGACTCGCTCCGCAGCGTCCATAATCGCACTATTGGTAGTGTAAAAACCAGCATATTTTCCCTGTTACAGCCTGCAGATCCGGCTCTACTGAACCCCCCAATTCCGATATGTAGGGCAAAGGTTGGCGTCTTTTCAGAACAGCTTTCCAGCTTATTGGTGGATCCATTCGGTCGGAAACAGAGACCCGAAGATGAACGCATGAGGAGAATACTGAGCCCAGATGGCTCTTGCACTGTATTCTGGTGGAGGTGAAATGCTTGTGCGTCTTTACTTTTCGTGTTGAGAAAGATCGCAGAAGAGAAAAGGTTGTTGCTGTGTGCCTAAGGAACGCTGGCGTGAAGTAAGTAGCACGCTCATCAAGCACTGTCTTTTGTAGACCTGTCTGCCATTGCTTAAGGCGCTTCGACGAGTTTCCACACAGCGCAACCCAACGTAAAAGGTTTCTATCTCATTCAAATTCCTAGAATTGCAGTCGCAAACTATCTGCAGTGGCAGATTGGTGTACACACGAGACAGCTTGTTCTAGAATCAGAGTGCCACCATTTCCATACCTTGCGTGGCACAGCTCTTAGGACCTACGTCTCTCGCGCCATGAGTCACTTTATATCAACTAATACGACCAATGCTTGGGGATCTAGTTCACTATACACCGGCGCCGGCTTACTGACAGCTGCATGATGAGTGTTGCTGTATCTGTTTGGCCATAAGCACTTGCTCAGTCGACGCATCTACCTAGGTAGGTAGCCAGCCGTTTTCCCGTTAATGCCAACTGGAAACGTTGGGTTCTGGAGACGCAAGAGCAATGTGTAAAAAGGAAAAGGTTAAGAGAGACGTATTGAAAGCCCGTTGAGAGTTGTCACTCAGTTAAAGAAGACGTGGAAAGAAGAGTATATGAGTCGTCAGACGAATGGCATTACTTGTGTAAAATATGGCACTTGAATTGAAACGGCCCGATCGAGTGACTAAATTTGAAATCTAAACCTTACCCGCAGTCTGACCATCGCGTATGCAAAGAGATTAGAGAACGACTTGAATTTGAATCGTATTGACGTTGATATGAGAAGCGTAACGTACAGGTATAATATAACATAACTGTAAATTGAGCTTGCTTAGTGAATGTTTCTAATAGAAGTAGAAATCATAGTGACACTCAAATATCCAACCCATCACAACGAATGGAAGCAGTCGTAGGCCTTTGATGCCTCTGGAGTTCTTGTCCACGGTTGGCAAAACGTGGGACCGTCAATCGTCGGTGGCATCCTCAAGATGTGCTCGCTCAGCTACATACCGCAAGTCTGAACCAGAACGCGGTTGAGGAGGTAGCATAAGTGACTGGCGGGGAGGTTCCCACTGAGCATGCCTATGCTCCTGCGGTAGGTACAGGTGAGGATGGATGCCTTGGCTGTCCCCAAAGTTAGGATCATCGAACGACGATGATGCCACGGGCCTTGTGACCAAGGACTGAATCTTCAGCATAGTACGCTGGGCTTGAAGGAGCGCATTCGGGTATTGGAAGGCAATCATGATGCTGCACTTTGTAGCGTGTGACGCAAACGCCTTTCTTTGCCATTCGCGGGCGGACGGGTTTACTGTGGGGAGGTCATGAGCGGCTGGTATCCATGCTGCAGCCCCTCCAACAAGGCAAATCCAGAGGAATACCCCCGGCATGGTTCTCCAGCAGTTGGTCGTATCGGTCATTTCGAAGGCACTGACAAGAGCATCGAGGACAGTACCCGCAGAGTACGTAGGCGTCAGCTCGCGAGCTACATTTGCGTCTAGTCCCGGACTGTGAGCATGCATCGCCTTGGCGGATTCCGAGATTGTTACACAGTGAACAATCGCGCGACAGTAGATGAGTGAAGCCAAGCGACAAGTCTCATATATCCAGTCTTGTGATGTCTCAAGGTTTTCGTCTCTTGCTGAAGGCCTTAGCAGGAGCCGAGTATAAATTTGGTGTATGCTAGTTTCATAAGAAGCCATGTCACTTCCCTGGAAGGGTGTACTGTTGGAGCTTGTACACATTATCGCCAAGTTCGTAAGGTTGACCATGTCGCACAAAATGCCGTATGTGTGGTCGGAGCATTCAGGACTTCGTGAGTTGGTAAATAAGTGACTGGTGGGACAATAGATAGGTGATTCAGGCAGCGGTATTGCTCGTGATGCGGGCTCAGAGCGAGTTGACATATACTGCAAGTACATGCCGTTTGGCACTCTTGCTCTGAATATCGACAGATTCATAACAATGCTGCAAACATATAAGTTTCTGGGCGAAATTGGTAATAAGGAGCGATAGTGCCGGAGTTTCTTACGCAGTAAGCAAGAGTGCAGTTAGCCCATCGAGGCCAAGTCTGTGTAAGCCACCCCTTTGCTCGACAATTCGTATGGTCCCATCGAGGTGTACATCGAACGCTTCCTCAGCGCCAGCGCCCATTTCGCTCACTAACAGATGGATTATAGTGATGATTGTAGAGTCGTCTGTCTGCGTTGAATGGTTCTGGAGCCTCTCGTTGATCTCTCGAATGACTCTGGTTTTAGTGTATGCTGTGATAGGGCTGTCATCAAGACAGTGGTTTGACACGTCTTGGTATACTGAGACCACGCAGGCGTGGCTCAGGAAAGCGAGATACGAGTTGAAGATGGATTCCATCCAGGATGGCCCAGCTGTACGAATAACAAAGTCTCTACAGGCTTTAAAGAAGTCAGCTAAGCATGATATCGGAGTATAGTCATTCCTTACGGCCCAGGATAGCAGCTATGAGTCTCTGGTGGAGATCTACTGCGGAAGGATTATCGTTGTTGACATACATGTGCACGAACTGAGATCCGTCTCGGCCCCATTCGAAAGCAAATAGCTCCATGGGGTCAATAGACTGTGACGATTGAGGTTTCTTGGCCCAGTCCGAGGATTCGCTCTTGCTGTCATTTGATGGCGTCGATGATTTCCTTCTTGTGCTTGATGGTGTCGATGGTCTCGACTTAGGTGTTTGTTGTGCGTCATGAGAATGGTGCTTGTACATGACGTGAGACCGAATGTTTCTCATTGTAGAATCCGCCTTGAAGTCGTCCGGATGGGTTGCTGTAACGAACTGGAGAGGAGGCCCTGGCGCGACTGGCGGCAGTCGTTTTCTGCCCGACCTCTTCCTGCGCTGATCGGGATCACTACCGGAAGCCATGGTGTTGAAAATATTCAAGTGTTGTTACACTCGAGGAAAGATCCGATAGTGGTGTAATAAAGTGGGCAACCTCTGGGCAGGGTTGAAGGGTGATCAACAGTCTCGTCGCTAACGGTCGGTGGTCTTGTGCGGCTATATACTGTTAGCCGCTTCAGCCTTTCGAGGGGCACAACAGATCAGATTCGACGAGAGCTTACCTAAAAGTATGAATGCAGTCCTTCTAGGTGCGGATTTGAGATGGAAAAAAATTCCTACTCCGAGCAATGACTTGAAAACTAGTAGGAAGACCAGAGCACAGAGAAGAGGAAACGGTCTGGCTTCAATCACGCAAGGTCGACTGGTTATTTATACCCGGAGACAGTAGACACGGAGACAAACGTCAAAGAGGTGCTTCAGGGCCATTACGGAGTGCGCATCTCTACAAATATGTATACTCGCCACATCAGCCACGGAGTGGCGCCACAGTGCTGACAGGTGACTGGGCCGAGTGGAACTAGGTTGCGATGTGCATTTTTGATACAGCTGCTGTGGGGTGAGAGGGGGCAGACTCATGGGGGAGATACCAAAGCCAATGGGTATGCAGCGTGCAATGGAGTAGTTTCGCAACATGGTCGAATTTGCCGGCCAACCACCAAAACAGTGGAGCATCTAAGAATAAAAGTCGCCAACAGACAGCTGGAAACACCCGTGTCCATGGGGAGGGGAGCCTGCGAGCCAAGATCGGCACCTCCCACGCGGTGTTGGTGTGGTCCCAGCGAGGTTGAGGGTGAACGTGCTCGAGGCTGAAGTCAGTTAGCAACACCCTCTCCAAACTCAACATCATGACTCCGAGTCGCAAGCATTCAACAGACGGGATCCATTGGACGGCGGCATGAGCGAGCAATTACTCAAGTTCGGGGCGCGGTCGGACGACGTGAACAAACCCAGCTCGAATGGTGCAAATGCAAAGGCAGCAGCTTCAGTTCCCGTTCGCAAGTGCTCGTTGAGTTTCGCTCAAACGCTCCAGACGACGACGGGAACAGGCACAGGGCATGGGGCCCTTCGCACAGACGGCGTTTGCTGGAGATGGGACTGCATGCCGTGGGGCACTGGTGGCCTTCATTGCCGCGGCCATCCAACCAGCGGCGGCGCTGGCGGGTTTCCGCAAATAGGGCTCCATATGCCAGCTGAGCAGCAGGGCTGCAAGGCTGCTCTGGAGTCCGCGGGCAGGTGGAGGGGAGTGCAAGGGGATTGCACTATGGCTTCAGGATGCCCGGGTGGTGTTGTTGTACCATTGTCCTGATTTCGTTTAGCTGTATCCTCATACGAAGTAAAGCCACCCCTGTCGCACCCACTGGCAAAGCGAAGAGACGGGACAGGAGCAGTCCGGAACCGTCAGCCACAGACTCGACTGGGAGCGAGAGAGCAACGCTGATGCCGAGTGCGCGTGTGCGTCATGTCCCGAGTGTTTTTTAAGCTTCTTCTCTGGCCGACCGAGCGATCAGTCATCCCGCAGGAGACTCACCCGCCATATCGGATTCGGCGCCCACCATATCGAGCTCCCACCATATCGAGCTCCCACTATATCTGGCGCCCACCATATGTGCACGTTTGGGACGTCGGGGGACGCGACGGTGAGTGCGCCTGAATGGCCTCTCTTCTCCGCTCGCTCTGGACCCCAACAGGAGCTTATAGTCCAGTGCAGCACCTGCTGCTGCTCTGGGGCCAGAGACCCGCTATCTGAACCGGCACCAAAGACTGTTTTCAGGATTGTGGGATGCTTGCTGTCTGGCGAGGCTGCGACAGGGTACTGAGGGTGACGTCCAAAGATGCAGGTGGAGAGAACTGCAGGCCCCTGGTGGGACGTCAGGGGATGAAATGTGGCTGGTGAGATTGCACAGCCACGCACGACTCCACCGGGCACCTCCACTGGGCACGCTGATATGCGAGAATTACCCTCACAAACCCGCAAAGTCGACAACTTTTGCCGGTGTACGCACCGTGGGCACAGTCAGCCAGCCACATTGCGTTTCGACCTGCCGGTGTGGCGTCCTCAAGCCCCCATCACGGCCGGGTTCAGCCACATGTGTATCTGACTCAAGGTAGGGGTTCAATTGCCATAACTGTGCGCCCTGTGGCACGAGTCTCACACATCTGACTTGTGGCTACACATCAAGCCACCCCGCTGGGCCGTCTCGATGGCAAGCCGTTGACGATGGCCAGCTCAGACAGCTTCTCGAGCATGAGGCAACGTCATTGCTAGCGACTCGTCTCATCGCTGGACATGACAAGCTGCACCGCCCGTGGGGTCCGTCCGTCTGGTCAGATTACGGGGCCTGAGGGACAATTTCTAATCCATCATACAGCACATTGTCCCGATTGGGAGGACTATCTATGGCGCTCCTATCGCGCTCATGATGTAGTCCGGCATAAAGCTGTCTTTCAAACATCCCTCTCTTGACCTCTCTTCATTGTCTCACGGGCATGTTCTCAAGATCGACGGTAGCACGGCCTTCAGCAATACTTCGCTCAACCTGAACGAGAGCACACTATTACTAATTGGGAAGACTATCATTGACCAATCGTAGCACGTCGCCGCTTCGCAACAGCGCCCAATAGCAACACGTTCACGCGGGGCATGGAAAAGGTGCCACTATAATTCTAGAACAACTGTGCACCTGCATGCCACTGCTTGGGTAGCTTCAGTTCATTTCTAAGACTCTGAACAAGATAGGAGCTCTTCACCCTGGGCTATGTGGAAATTTGTTGAAGCACTTCAAGCAGTGGCAGACAGGTGTATACACAGGCAGAGACTTGCTGAGAGCACCGCTTTTTCAATGTCCAGCGTCACGTTCTAGGTTGTAAAGAACCATTCCCGTCGGTTGACTTCTTCAGTTCATAAGGCTTTGAGCATTCGAAGTAGCGACAGCACACCTGCATGACCGTCGAAAAGGTATATTGAAACCAGTTTGATTCATGACGAATTCTATCGCGAATGCTAGAACGACTTGTTCGTTCGACGAGTATGGGTGTCAAGCTCTACTGCTAATAATCCCGTATCATTCTCAACAATTGTATGTCCTGCGTAGCCTTGTCTTCCTATCTAGGTAAGCTACGCACCATACCCTATACTCTCTAGCCAAGAACCCAGCGCTGCAAAAAGGTGTATCTCACGCTTTTCGTTGCAGTACCGGATGAGTGCATTTGAACGCTCAACAGCATCCGCACCGGTCGCTTTCTGCAGCTTCGCCCAATCGACAGGACACAGGTATGGTGCCTGCCGAGCGTCCTCCCTAATGGATGCGGACCCTTGCATATTGCACGCGTAATAAGTACAATGACCAATCCCGAAGCAATGAGCAACTTCATGGCTGGCCGTGCGACAAATGCGACCCAGCCAAAGTCCAGTAAGAGTGACCGGATCCACCGAGCTGGATAAAGGGGGAAGGGCTGTATGGGCCGCGATTGCGGCTCGGAGCGGAGAGCCCGCATGTTGCTCTACATCGATGGCATCGGAAGCTTGCTGCGACTTTTTTCTCCTAGCCTCATTCTTGCCGCGTTTGGAAATCTGATTGCTGTCGTCCATTGCTTCATCGCAACAGTCCGCTACGTAGGCAGCACAGTGCGAAGCTGGCCACGCATGGTCGCGCTCTACCTCTTGCCTGGTATCCAGGCCAGGGTGATAGCGCGCCATAGAGACGACAGAAACGCGACTGGAACCATAAGCAAGACCGCACACGAATTCGTCCTCGGGACTTTGGTAGAGGTCTTGTTGGACGAGGAAAAGTAACGCGAATGCATCCGATGGTAGCATGGCAATCGCAGCGTCCAATAGATCATCAAGATTCAATTGAGCTTCGTAGGCTTTGTCTAGGGAGGGCCGGGTGCGAATTCCTATAATCTCTTTTGATGTCTTGAGGCCGATGAGGGGCGTTTTTGACGACTTTGCAGACACTCTCGCCACTCTCGACTTTTTATCCTCCCAGGCGGTAAACGTAGCTGTGGAGGGCGGGAGTATCTTGACAGTCATGCCGTGGTAGTATGCGCTGAGATAATCCACGACGTCTCGGATATCTGGCGGAGGAACATAAACTTCTTTCTTCGCGCTTCCTGATTGGACTTGGCTCCATGTTTGCGCGAAATTAACGTTGTGGGTCATCGTCGGCGGCCCAATCACATAAATGGTCTTTTGTTTTTTCGTAACTCTGTTCCGCTCATCGAGTCTCATGCGATTCCATTCCGAGAAGCTCTGTGGAGGATGGGTTGGGTCGAGAGCCAAGTCCTCCCCTGGTAATACCAACGGGGCGGGAAGCGATGTAGCACCCAAAGTTGGGGTATTAGTGTCCCTTTTCCTCTTTACTGAAGCTTTAGCGTTTTCTTCCCCTATTGACCTATTTACGGCAGCCCGCTGTCGTAGGGTGGGACCTCGAAAGCCAACTTCTGCAGCATAGGTGCACGAGTTGAAGGTGAGGGTGGGATGGGCGCACCGAGATGAGACGGCACGCTTTGGCATTTTGTGCGCGCTTAGAAGGAAGAGCCTCCGCGTAGAACGGGACTCGCGGTGTTCATAAATCATTTCAACGTGTTGTTGCCTAACCATGCCCAGGTGGTCAGCACAGCCGATTTGAGTGGCTGCGCCACACTTTGGTCTATTAGGGGGTGGCTTGGTCGGAGTTTACCTGCTTTGAAGCACAGACCTCCCAGCAACAATTTGACACGCATTTAGACAGACGCGAGTTTAAGAGGTGTATCTAAGCATGTACTCAATTAATGATATGGAAGCGCGAATCTTGTCTAATCCAAGACTGCCCAAACCTCTGACAAAAGAGACATAAGAGAAAAGTAGCGTAGAGGCTCGACGCACCTCGCTGTGGTATCCATAGAATTTCAACAAACCTTCCCTGACCCCAAATGCAGCGCTTGTGCGCGTCCAAAATATCGACGTGCGTGTGCCGGACAAATTGATCCCAAAAGGGCACGTAAATGTCTTCGAACTTCAAGGACAAGTCAGACTTCTGACCCTCCGCTCTCCTCTCCGAAGAGTCTGCTTCCGGAGATCGGCAGGCACAGCAACAGCACCCCAACACTGCAGCGCCGCGCGTTGGAGCAACTCCATCTCCTCGCCCTTCATTCTCAGTTGCCGCTTTGCTAATTTGGATTTTCTCAACTTAGTACCAGTGCCTTCACCATCTCCATGCAGCCCCCCATCTCGAAGAAGAGCAGCACGTTGCTTGGGAGCCGTGCTTCTGGGCGATGGAGACGACACTAGAGCTTCAAGCTCACCACACTCGTGTATGAGGCCATGAACACCCGCGGAGAGAAGATTGGCGCGTGAGAGAAGATAAGGCCAGTAGTCTGGACCCCAAAATGGATCTTGGACAAGGGCCTCACGTAGCGCTGGGAGTATGTGTGGTAGTGGGGGTAGAGACAGTCCTGAAGGAGTGGTGGGGCTAACGGGCTCTGAGCTCGGAAGAGCATCACTAGGAGGCGACGAAGCCGGCGAAGTTGAGAGGAGGGATGAAGTAACCGTGAGACGGATGTGTGATTCGGTGCTAATGGTTGCAGCGGTGACGCAGGCTGGATTGAAGGCTGTATTAGCAATTGTTCGTGCAGAACGCTGGATTATAGTCTTACCTGGACAGCCGCGAGTACAACACCAGTCCACCTCATCCGTCACAAAGCACTGCAGCCAGAGGAACGCGCTGCGTGCATCCCCATGGAAGGCTAGCTCAAGGTCCTCGGGCTTCTGAGTGCAGAGTGCCGCGTGGGCAAGGGCCGACGCACGCCTAAACAGCTGCAATACGGGCATATTCAGTGCGTGCAGAATGTCGCGATGCAATATCCAGGTTGGATGAGTGTCCGGGAAGGCAGAATGGTGTTCACAGAAGCTAGGGGTGGTCAGGGAGGGCGTACAAGACAAGTTCGAGTCAAACGTACCTGTTGTCCGTCTTGTCGGCTAGGTAGTGCCGCAGCACCTGGAAACCGGGCGACGCCGCGAGCGCGGCCATATCATCATGGGGGATGTCGAATGGAGACTCGGATGGGGTCGACTGCGTGGCTGTGGCCATGGCCATGATTCAGCGAAGGTAGCGGTACGGCGAACGCATGCAGACGTGGATTGGGAGGCGTGGGCATTGAAGGGCAGGCAACGAGCGACAATATGTGTGAGGACGACGGGCGACGTGAAGCATAAGACGACGAAGAAGAAGGGGAACTGGATAAGGGAGAGATGTGGAGGTCGATCAGTGGATGCGTTGGGCGTCCTCTTTCGGCTTGAAGCAAGCCACTGACCCACGCTCGCAGCCACAGCGCCAGATTTGGGGGCGTCGTGGCCATCTAGCGGCCCGAAAGCAGCATTTCGCGGAGCCACGGCCGTGTTCTCGCCCTCTAGCCCGCCGTGCTGGCACGCTACCGCGGTGGAGGCCGGTGGGTGATTCATGGCGTAATATTGGGGTCCTTTCGCGACTCTGCTGAGATGGGCTAGCAGTGTAACCGACTGCTCATAACGATATGCTTTTACGGGATACAGAATTATAGAGCTTTGTTGAAGCATTTCAGGCAGTGACAGACAAGCGCAGACACTCAATCAAAGCAAGCTGCCTGGGCACTGTTCTCGTGGCTAACAGACAGCTATCGCTCTCGAGCTGTGGCCTCAAAAACACCGACACAGGATCCTGAACACAAACATGTGTTGTTGTAACTAATAGTATTTCCTCGACAGCGTTTCGCCATAGTTCTTCCAGCACATCCCTAAACCGGATTCTACCCAAGCGTGAGTCTATGCAAAAAATGACATCGACCCTAAAGTAGCATGATAAGAAATTCCCGGCTCCTGCACCAACCCCGCTGAACGCTAAGAATAAGCCGCCGCCGTTTTGGGAAAGCAGAGAAGAAGAGATAGCAGTTCATATCGTGCACGGTGTCCTGGACCCACAACCTTCATTCAAGTCGCAAGTCCCACCAAGTCTATTGCAGAGCGACCTTCTCTACGCGAGCCACGACGGGCAGCGTGTGTCTGTGACAACCTTCATACCTCGTAAAGGTCATGCGCATCGTTGGGCTCAGTACTCGCAGCCATCTAAGCAACTTCAATATGGTCGAAAAGAAAAGGTGTTCAGAGCAGGATACCGAAGCTCGATACCCAACCGTTCCATCTACACCGAATACGGCGATCGAGGGTATCGTGTCCGTGGCCTAATTGTCTGCAACCTACGACAGCGATATCGATGGTCGGTAGTCGTCAATGCTCATTTCTTCTCGCTCAAAGCACCCATCCCTTCATACCAACCCTTCGATAGTCAGCTGTCCTTGTCTCCCTCCTTCTCGCCCTTGTCTTTCTTCCCTTTCTTCTTGAAGCCGGGAAGAACGTTTCTAATCCCTCTGCCCTCTCTTCTTTCTCTCTCTCGCGCGCGTTCGCGCTCCCGTTCTCCGAACCGCGGAAGAGCGGTCGTGTACTCCTCCCCACTTGCACTGAGCGCGCCCTCGCTACCTTCTAGACTACGAGTTCCTGAGCTGTGGGTACCAGAAGCGAACCGAGACGGTGCAATAGCTGAGAGATTGATATGCGTGTTGGGGTTAGCAGTAAACGACTGGCTTGCTGACATCCCCAATCCATCTCTGGATCCAGGTGGTGTTTCCTCGGTTGCAGATGCAGAGGCCGACGCTGACGCCGATGCAGTTCCTAGGCTTCGCGTATATCTGCTTCCTCCGGGGGTTGCGGTCGCCGAAGCTACAGAGGCTATTGAAACAGCAGAACCCATTGGCATACTGGTCGATGAGCTGGCATGGTGTCTGGAACCCCGGACAGGAAGCGATTTCATTGTCACTGGCGTGCTGGCGCTAGACGAGCTTGGGCGATCGTCATCGGGGCTGTTCGGAGCTGACATGCTGCCCTTTCTCACTGAATGGCCTACAGGCTCGAAACTTGCCGAGCTTTCAAGTTGCTCTACCAGTTCTTCCCATTTGACACTTAGACTAGAGGATGGGCGCTCTGCACGCTCAGCCCGGTTTAGGCAATCCGCAGTGCGTTGGTGTAGCGAGGTACAGATATCGTGGAAGCGCAGGAGATCGCCATCCGACTGCTGAATGTTATGGGCTGACGAGACGGTGTTATTTAGCCACAAGTCGACGAGTGCAGCGAAGTTGCGCGCGTGGTCGATCAGATAAGGAAGGGAGGGAAACCCTTCACGAGAGGTGGGTGGAAGGCGCTGCAGGATCGCGAGGGGTGTGCTGTAGGAGGGCGGAATTGGTGAAAGGGTTAAGGTTGCCGAGGAGATCGAGCAAATGTTATCAATGTACGATTTAAATTCCTGTCGGTGGGACGATAAGAAGGTGTTCATTGGCTCCATCCATTGTTCTTTGGCTCCGAAAGTTGACATGTTAGCCAACCCTTGCAGCGACTTTGCAATCAATGTAAGTGTTCGCCTCGCCTTTGGTTTAGGATGATCTTCGACTCTGTTAGAACGCATTGACTTAAACTGGAGGGTATAGAGCTCACCTTTTAGCAGCCCGAAGAGTTTTGGATTGAGGACCGCAGGGCAGAAGAAACGAAGAAATAGGAAACCAGAGACACTACTATACGTCACAGTCCTGAGGAAGTCGCCGTACCGGTCTTCTGCACAAGCTCGGATGTGCCGGAAGATCATTCGTAATTCTTGAGGACATCGCGATACCGAGTTGTATATTGCTTTCCATAGATCCTCGGTGAGATTAATGAGCCTTCTCCAATTTCGATCTAGCTCATGCTGAGAGTGGATCCTGTTAGGGTCGACCTCACAATCGGGGTCTTTTTCGCTTATTTCCTTCAGCTTCTCACAAAGTGTCTCCTCGAGATACTCCTTGCCTAATCGCTTCATGTGGAAATCTAGTGCTTTGGTTAATAGAGTGTTGCCGCGGAACAACAGGTTGGCTTCCAATTTTGCAGAGTTACCAAGATCTCGAACAAACAGTTCGCGATCACTCGATGAGCCGAAGGATTCGCTCGAGTCGCTGGAGCCTAATCGCCTGCTGAATCTTAGTCTGCTTGCTGGTGTTTCCTTGAGAGTCCCGTCAATTTCTTCCTCCACCAAAGCCATTATCCACTCCCCAGCTTGGCCAGAGACTTGAAAGATGTTGAGGAGACACTCGGAGAGTCTCTTTAGCTCGTTGGGGACCATCTGGGATAGTTGAAGTGTGAGGCCGTTAGAAAATCGATGGAGAAGCTCGGACATGGGTTGATAATCGCGAGCCATCAATATCACCACTTCTTCGGCGCTGACTTTGACGAGGACTTCTCCAACACTATTGCCGTACATGTTAACGAGTGGCCACCACTTTTCCAGCTCTTGGGTTGGGCCAAGATCATCGAGGTACACATCTACCTTGCCACAAGTCTGATCGAACGAGATGCCCGTATATCCGCCCGTGCCATCAGACGAACTAAATGCTTCGGATGTCGGCTGAGGGTCGTGGTGGGCTCGCTCCTTTTGGCCTTGGCTGGGCGGGCGCTTCTTCAACAAAAGTGAAGCTGTAGAAAGCACAGCTGGAAGATCGAGAAACTCAAACTCCTCTCGCCAGAAGGGTGTGTTTCCCTCATTCTTGACCATGGTTCGGGCTCTTGTTTCGCCGTCCAGAAGAACCTCAACGTAGTAGCCTCCAGACTTGTTCGTATTGGACGATGGCGGCCTATTCGGGACGTTGTAGTCGGCAACTTTAGGGCTCAAAGGAGGCATTAACCGAGCCTCGACTACTTTAATCATTAGAGAACGTTCCATGCGGAACATGTCCTGCATTGTCGAAGTAAAATTTGGGGATACCGTAGGTTCCTCCGCAAGATCTGGCTGCTTCGGACCATACAGCTGCGGGATGGTGAAAGCTCGGAGGAGAACAATCCAGACTTCATATAGAACACGAGATTCTAGAGAGAGAAATATGGGTCGTAGCAATGATATGGATGTGGCCATTGAGGTGTACTGTGGATATATAGCAATGCAGAATTCGTTGTCGAGCACAGAGGGGTCTAGTCGCTGCACGGCGCAGCGAGATAGCTGGGATAGCTGAACAACAGAAACTAAAGTTACGTCGGTGTCTGCAAACAGCTTCAGCTCTCCGTTCTCACGCAATGTGCAAGACACTCTTCTCCACCGCCGAGATCCGTGGCTTTGGAGCCTGTAGGCCTGCGGCCTGGCAGCGGATTTCGAAGCCCCAACGTTGCTGTAGGACACGTTCGTATCCCAGTAGATCATCTTCCCAACTTTGATAATTGGCGCCTCCTTGAGTAGTGATACCTCGGAGTGCCTGCGGCTTTCGACAAGGCGCCGCTCCGGGACCAATGGAGTCTGCGGTTTGGCCATTTTGTTCTGGATGCCTTTGGGGCGGATTGGCTGCCAGCACAGAAGCGCCGCGAACCACGAGTCAAACTCCTCCTGAGTCGGCGGCCGCAGATGGACTTCTAGACTCGAGTTGTGCAGAGAAACATCTATAAAGGCGGTATATGACTCAGCGTCGTATGCGCTCTTGACGCGGCAGCCTCTCAGGTCTGGGACGAGTGTTCTGTGGTATGAATTGTCGCTCTTGGGCTCGTAGACCAAGCTGCCCGACTCCTCGTTGATATAGCAGTATGACAGCGACCACGGATTGCTTTCTCCCCGGCGAAACGCAAGCATGCCCTGCATCCTCCCACACGTCGCCCTCATGAGCTTCAGGACCTTGCGGGCATCGGACGCGGGCACGGGCGAGACCCAGGAATCGGGCTGCGCAGTGGTTGCGGTCACAGTGTGGGGTACGGGCGAGGTTGTGCGAGGAGGCTGCTTGACCATGCGGCTGCGGCTGGAATTGGAGGCGCGGGAGGCCGAGTGCGAGGGCGCAGAGATGGTCGACGGATGGCCGATGGACGTGACGGCTTCCTCGAGGCCCTGGAAGTTTGCAGAGCCGGTGGAATGCACAGAGCCAATGCGATGGCGGCTGGTCATGAACAGGTTGGGCGGCGACTTGTCGCGGGTGGTGCGCTCCTCCAGCGTGCGGGTGCGTGGACGGGTGTGCGAGTCCCTCAGACCTCTGAGCGAGTACTCTCCATCATTCGAGTTGGAGCGGGCCACAAAGCTCCGGGGACTGTCGCGCTGCAGGGCGCGCGGCGAGACCTGGGGCGACGAGACGGCGACTCTGGGGTCGCGCTGCTTCGCGATGCCGTCCTCGGGGATGGAGTCGTCGTCGGGCGTGACGGCGCGGATCGTGTAGTTGGCGCGTGGGTCGTCGGACGGGTCTGGCAAGCCGTTCCTCTTCCTGCTTTGTCGCTGCCGTGGGTCCATTGGGTTTGGCGATGCTCCGCAGGCTCGGCTGCTGGATGCTCGATGAGAAGGGGAGACCTGGCGATCTTTCCAGGGCGGGGGCACCGGCGAGCGTCCGACGATGCGCTCAGCAGGGACGGGTCCGCAATGGCAACGACGCGGGAGGAGGACGACCGCGGCGCATGTCTGGGCGTCTGATTCTAGCACAGGTGGAGGCGCGAGCGGAGCGGGTGAGGGATGCGTGAGGGTGAAGGGCTGGGGCGGAGACGACTTGGCGAGAAAGCATCCACGGCATCACGGGTGCCACCGCAGCACGCTGTAACATTCCGCCCAGCAGCCCACCAGAGCCAGCCAGCCGGTCTAGCAGCAGCCCAGCGGCATCAATGGGCGAGCAGTTGTTCATCACAGCAGCTCACGGCTCACCGCCAGGCACGCAGCACTCGCAGCGAACCAGCAACTCTAGGCGGCCTCGAGACAGCTCCGACGGCTCGACCCAATGCACTCTCGACGAGCGTCGGAGCGCCGGCCGTCTGGACGCCTCAGCCCATGCAGGCGTGTCAATGTGGAGCGGTCAACTGCTTCTTTCTTCCCTACAGTCGTGCACAGCACTGTACCTACAATGCCCGTCCAAAGGACTCCCGAACCGACAAGGAAACCCGCAGTCAGCCCAGCCTCCGCGTGCGCCGTCCCTCTGAATTCACCCTTCGCCCACTCCTGGTTGCCCTCCGAGAGCCGCTTGACACATTGGAATGACAGTGAACAGACCTCCTGCATCCGCCCTACAAGCCCTGCCGCGTCAACCCAAGGCGTGGCCGGCCTCCTCGCTACCAGAACCCAACTCCTCGCCCGTATGCACTCAAAAACACAAACTGCATACCTGTCCAGATACCAGTCGTAGCTCCCCGCAGCATCAGAGTGTGAATTATTTGAACGGCGGCAGGTCTGACGTGCTGTCGTCGAGGCTCACGGCGCTCATCGGCTGACTCCGAGCGCCACTGAGATCGCCGCTGCCCGTCTTCCTCAGTGCCTGGCGCATCGTCTCGATGGTCAATTCTCCGCCGAGGGGCGGGCTTTGAGCACCCTGTGCAGTGGTCGGGCTTCCAGGGACTCGGGCACCCTTGGACGTCAGATCTAACCCCTTCACCGACGCGGCGCCACTTGTTGGCGGAGATACGCTGAACCCGTGGGACGACGTGGGCGATCGCACAGGGGAAGGCGAGCGGTTAGTAGCTGTCGAGGACAGACTCATCAGATGCGTTGCATCCCGGTTGTTCTCCGCGTGCTCGGCTTGGACGACGTCTGCAAAGGAGATGAAGCTCAGACGGCGAACGTCGGTCGTGTCCAGGGATCCGTAGTTCGAGGCCGTGTCGTCGGCATCTTGGTGGTTGAAAAAGTCGTCTTGGAGTGGTGAGTGGAGGGACTCGCTCATGCCTCCAACGACGGATGCCGACGCTGGCTGGTGGGCCGAATGCATAACAATCTCCACTTCATCCGGATTCAGGTGGTCGTCAGTAATGGCCAGCGACGAAGCCTCTAGCACCGGCGGTATGTGGTCCTCGGTTTGTATGTGAGCCGGAATTGCTGGAGACAGCTCGCCGGCTAATGTGTTCTCTTGCACGTTACGTTCGAATATCTGCGACGAGGCAGGGGAATGCAGTCCGGGCGACGAGGAGCGATACCGCCGGCTCGGTGATGCTGCATTCGCAGGGTAGATGCGGGGGCTGCTCCGGGGGGATGGCCTCTGGTCGTGAGGAGAGTGGAGCGGCGACACTGGCCTCATGGCGGAGGCCGACGACAGGTGATCCGCGTGGAGGGCTGGGACGGCAGGAGGAGGCATGTCTGAGGCATTGCCGGGGGCAGACTTTTCGGGCTCCTTCTTCTTCCCCAATGCGAGTATCTTGCGCTTGCCCTTGGCCAGCAGCCCCGACTGCTCGCTGCTGTCGTCGGCTGGCTTGGTTTCGCTCAGCAGCGGGACCGAGGAGTTGCGTGGGCTGGGGGCGCGCGGAGGCGTGGATTGCGGATTCTGAAGGGCACTCATTTGAGCGCCTGGCAGCAATGGCGGGCGTAGTCGCAGCGGCAGTGGTGGTGATGCGTGTGCTGCCACAGATTGCTGAAACCTGGGCTCGGTGGTGATGCAGGTGGCTTTGAGGGGTGCGGCGGGGAGATTGGTGAATGCAAGCCGGATGATTGCGGCCGGAACAGCGGGCGAGCACGAGAATGGAGGCAAGTAGCAGGGCGGTGGTACGGTGTTGCGATGCGGTGGGTGGTGGAGGAAGGGTGCTGTCGACGCTTCTAGAGGGGGTCGCTCTGTTTTCGGCCCTCAGCGAAGATGACGTCCCCCGCTTCGACGCCAGGGTCCATCACAGCCTTCACTATCCCCATTTTCCATCAGTGCTGCTGCGAGACCGTCGCATAGATGGGACACTGAACACTAAATCACAGTCAATTGTTCGAATCACAGCGCTTTGTCGGTAGAGCCGCCGCTCGACGCACTCTCGCTCACACAGTAGGACTCCCGTCCGGGTAGACAACACCACACTACGGAGTACTGCGTATTTCAACGACAACTCCACCTACAAACCCCCCTTCGTACAGCTTATCGTAATTATAGAACAGCACGCCTCCCATTATGTCCATCGTGTCAAGCACACTGACATTCTTTGCATTTACCCCAACACTCATTTGGAAGTCGAGGGCAACGTTTCCTCCCAGTGTATTGCAGAATTGTTATAATCCATCAGGTTGATGTGCCCCGAAATGTCCCGAAGTCGCCTGGACAGATCCCGTACTTGCCAACTCCACCACACATGGTCAAAGTTCGCGTGATGCGTCCTAAAAGGTGCCAGAGCATTAGTAGGGACTCACAGAAGGGGGTAGAAACAGCAACAAGAGCTTTACCAGAATATAGGATCAGATAGCCTGGCATATAGGTCTTCCATCTGGCTGCAGGTACCACCGACACCGTAACTGCAATAGCGCCACCGTTAGCTCAAGTCTCCGTAGGAGACGCGTTTCTTGAGAGCTACTGCCCAGGTGCCCACCACCGTGCAAACCAGAATCATCAAAGCTAGGACCGCCCTCTACAACCTTATCGAACCATCCCAAATCTGGTTGCGACAAAGTTAGCCTGGTTTATTCATTCCCAGATAACAGCCCACAAAGTACGGCGATAAGTCTCGCGACAGGCATCGCGGGTTTCCGGACACTGAATCTTCATGCCCCATCCGGACCGTCATGTGTTGAAACATGCCATCAGCAACGCAACCACCGCCGGTGCGCCCTGGACTTCGAAGGGGTTCGACTGATTGACGGGTATCAAGGGCCCATTACCCCCGAAGCCGTCCACAGGGTTGAATACCGGCGATTTTGTCCAGTCTGGTGCAGGCTTCGCGTCAACTGTCCAATCCCAATAGGGGTGTGCACCGCTGTAGCCGCATTCATCTCGCAGACTCCTCTCGTAAATCACCGATGCCACGGCAAGAAGTGGCCCTATATTTCGGATTAGTCAAAAGTTTTGCTAAACATTAAAATATGATGCGCCAGGAGTGGTTTCTCGATATGATGATATTGTCGCCACCCACGTCTTCTAGACATTCTCAATTCGCTACGTGGTAAGTAAAGGTTTTGTATAGAGTGATGGCTGGCTTGACCAAGGAGTATTGCACCGCCTTCAAATACTGAGACTTTCCAACGTTGCTAAAAATACGCCTGCTAAGGCGCGTGAGCAACAGCTCCTCCTCTGAAGGAACGCTTGGGGGGAGAATCAGCATCGGATGGTACTCCCCACTCCTTCCGGACGATATGCTTTCTGCAAGCCATTCCACGCTCATATTTCCATGGATCCCGATGATTTGGAGATGCCGCAGCATGATGTAGCACCACGCAGCATGCCAGGGCTAGAAAGATGATCGAAATGGCTAGACCGCCACAACTTCGAAGACATCGTAAAGCCATGGTATAGGACGGCAAAGACGCAGAGCGCCTTTATCACTTCAGTCTTCCTGCAGCTTACTCGGCGCCTTCCTGGTCTTGGGGAATTGCCAAGAGCGTAAATGGAGGTGTTCGTGTTCGTTCCCGACGCAATGGCAAGCAAAGCGGATGCTGAAGGGCCAGCAAGCTAAGACTCCAGGGCATAAGGGTCGGCGTGAGTGCCTGAACTAGCTTTCATTAAAGTCTACATTTGAGAAAGACACGCGAGATATACATCAGTGTCGGCGTTCTGTTTCGAACTCAGCTGCTCCCTTGTCGAGCATGGCATACGCCACCTGCATTTCCCCGGAGCTGAGGTACCCCGTCTTACGATCCTTTGTGCCTTGTTACCTTCCAAGGTGGACCGTCAGACCCGCTCCTTCATCTCTCTAGCAAATGTACTTTGCAGTCTTTTACTCCAATTGCCAACAGCACAAGGCCGGGCCGCTAGCAATCAATTGCTCAACAAAAGTCGGCTACCGATGGCCTAAATTGAACTGTTCAGTGTCACTTCCACGTTTGACGCCGTCTGATGTGGTCTGGTGAGTGTACAAAACCTGGTCCTGCTGAAGTTTGACTCCGGTGGTGATTGTGTGTTCGAAAGCGCATGTTATCAGGCTCCTGGTCCGGATTGCGCAGTTTCCGATCACATTGCTATGATTGGCTCCTCCCCATCTATGCGACCTGACTCGCCCTCTAGAGCTATGCTGCTTAGGGAACGGCCATGTTGAAAAGACAGCGCCATGGTTTGGGACCTGCATAACGAGAACAGCAGCCTCCCTGTCCACTTCTCGTATCTCTAGACTCCTCTACCCGTTATTTTAATTACGCCACCACCACATTCAAATCAGTTTACGTTAAATCAGTTTTCTGAGCGCAAAGCTCAGGTTTCCTCATATGCTCTTGCTTGTTTACTAGATCTCAGACAATTCACTATTCTACCATCCTGACTATCTTCCACTGAGTTTCCATCACCTAGGAGTCAAGCGAACGTTACAATAAGCATCCGAGACAGATAGTTATTTATCATGGCGCCGTAAACTCTCAGCCCAATCGTTGAGACAATGGCATTTACATAAACTTCAATTTCAACCAGATTTACACCTGGGGGAATCTGCATCATCAATTTTTATCAGGTTCAATTTGGTACTGGGAGGTACATGCAAGACCAGCGGAGTACTCAAGGAAAAGATATGAACACATGAGGATGAGGGACAGCCGTTGTTTTAAGTACTGCGTCTAGAGCTTAAGTTGCTGGATTTGTTCTTTCGCAGTAACTTATTATATATTCAACGTCATTGATCCTCACATACAAAGGTAGCGAATCTATGAACGAGGATGCCTGCAAACACCGACTGCCGACATTGGTACCTGCATGAACGACACCATCAATCGGGATTAGTGCCCCTCATCACCTCGTCACCTCGTCACAGCAGTCGCAGTGTTTGGTGCGTCTGCATCTCCACCACAAGCCATCAAAGCGAATACTGCCATGCGCCGACGCACCCTCCGCAGGCTCTTTACGTCAGTACCAATTGACATTCTCATCATTGCTGCGATCTACGCTCCTTCATCAGGTTTCTCGCAATATTCTGGCCATGTGGTGACATGGCTGCTTCTTAAGAATGTGCGGGCGCTTCGCAATGACCCGACCGCGTTGACCGACTCCTGGATCTTCTTTGGACAAGTCGCATGGACTTGGAGGAGTATTTTGAAGAGATCCATTGTAGGTCTCTGGCCGACTAGACCGATAGGTGGCTCGTGGTCGGTATGGTCTGCTTCCGTGATCTTCCTATTGAGCATCGTAATCCGTATGAGGATTTCCCAACGACCCGTTTTAGGGCTTCAGCGTCTCAGTGGTTCAACTCGTCTAGATGGTCAAATAAAGAACGGACTTCCTAACAACGGAGATCGTAAATCACGGCTAAAGCCGCTGATATTCCCATGCCGCACAACACATACACGAACCTTCCCTAAACGTCACTCATTCGAGTATTCATATCTCCTTGTTGGTGTTCCTGTTCCTTGGAATGGGGCTAAGAGTGGAATTCTCTCAGCGGATCAGAAAGATACCACGAAAAGCAACGGAAAAGGATGGCTGCAAATCAGGGCTGAAGACTATTTAGAAAGAGGAAGTGCGGAGCTAGGACTTGTCGAGAAGCTCAGAGAGACTCTGAAAGCTCAGGTACGTCCGCATCCGACTTCTAGGGGCTGGAAGAGCTCACAGTACACAGGGAGTCGATGACGACGAATGGCATGAAGCTTACTTGGTCACTGCCTCTCGAGTTCTAGGCTATTCCTTCAACCCTGTTTCATTTTGGTATATCTACGGACATGATCAAACGCTGAAAATGATGATTTTGGAGGTCAACAACACATTTGATGAGAGACGAATATACCTATTGCGTGCCCAGCCTTCGTCCGCTACGGAGCCCAACGAGTTGAGTAAGACAAACAGATTCCGAAATGTCTGGCAAAAAGATTTCCACGTATCCCCTTTCAATTCTCTCAAGGGCTCGTACACCTTGAAAGCAGCAGATCCATTCAATTCGGGAAGCTCGACCGTGAACATTGACAATACCATAACCCTGATGTCTTCCAAGAATCATGCGAAATTAGTAGCAAGAGTTTTCTCGATAGGGCCACCGCTTGACCCAGCCACTTTTAGTGCTTGGGACACATTCTGCTTCATGCTGCAGTATTGGTGGATTGGGCTAGTGACTTTTCCGAGGATTATTCGCGAGGCAACGAAACTATTCTTCGTGCGAAGTCTGCATGTCTGGTTTAGACCAGGGGTAGCATTGACGAGCATTGCCAGAACTGCGTCAAGAGAGGAAATGTGAGTTAGAAGCCTCGCGTAAAGGACTAAGAACTGATGAAAGAAGAATCCTTGAACGATATTTCGAACAGTATATCTCCTCGCTGGCCGAACGTGTTAAAGGACCACTACAAATTACATACAAGTCAGCTCTTTCAAAGAATACCAAGGAGTTTAAGTCAGCCAACACGTGTTTGACGCCGAACGTTCCACCAAAGCATATGGAGATTCGAGTTCTCTCCCCAGCATTCTACTCACGCTTCATTCACTACGCACACACATCTGAGGCATTCGACCGTGAGTGTCTATGCACCGATCAGAGGAATCGCACAATCTCGCTCTCGAATCCAGAGAATCTGCCGCTACTGTTGCCGAAACGCGCAGAATCTGAAGATGTCAGACTTGGTGGATGGGACAGCATACGATGGTCTACACTTCGTAGACTACGCTGCGCGCCTGGAGTGCCTGTCTATCCCATCATACCAAGTCAGCCAACTGCAGCCTCGACGGAGGACATCAGAAAGCTACCATTCTCAGACATGGATATTTTTGTGCAGCTCTCTTGCGAGAATGTGGGGCTGTATCGGAGGACGGCTATAAGGGTATTTCTAGCTCAGAGAATTGCTTTTGGCTTCACTGAACTTCTCAGTGCAGCTGATATCCTTCTTCGAACAGTTCTGGTAGTTGGTTGTATGCCGGCTATCTCAAGTCGGGGAGATGAAAGCCAGGCTGACGGCAGGGAATGGCAGTTGATGGTGCTGACGGGTGCTGCAATAAGGGTTGGAGCGGTGCATGCGTGGTCATGTTTGAAAGGGGCGGTGTGAGGAATTTACAGCGTGAGAAACGTGTCATCGTAGCGTACCTTATATTGCGTCTAGAAGGGCAGTTGTTCGATCATGTTAGAAGATAGCTATCACCATCTCCAACGTTCTCCTGATGCCAAGTACTGAATGCCGGTAATATGTAAATGCCAGACGGGCATACCACATCCCATCTCGGACCGGCGAACCAGACGCTATTTCAGACAGAGCAGGAAGCAGTGTCGTGATGTTCTTGGGCCTTGACACCTCGACCTGGAGGATCGATAGCCGAGGTCCAGACTCCAGGACTTACAGAATACGGGACACTGCAGTCGAGGGTTGCTCACTGCAATCACATCACCGCATGTCATGACAGTGGAATGGCTCTCGCTACACTTTCAGTGGCTGAGTCGAATCCTCGGCTTCGATGTGAAGCTCTCCGCGACGCCAGCATCGTCAGGCCACTCGTCGCAGCGGAGTTGGGTCCGCAGACATGCCTTTCTCAAAATCGTGAATCTGCACTACCGCCTGTGCAGTCTGCCGTACGAGGGGTGCATTCTTCACCAGCCTCGTTCTCCGGCCTCAGCTTCACATGCCAGACAAGGCTCTGACCGCCATGCGTCGTCGAAGGGCAGGAGGGCACGAGACCTGGCCTCACATGCAAACAGCACCCTACGCTGCGCAACTGCACCGCACCAACGACTGCGTGCGGCTCGCCAATTCACCCAAATCCCCCGCCGCGCAGCCAACCGTATTGCAGGCACTCGCACACCCGAGACGTCATGGCCGCGTGCACGTGAAGCTCGTCCGGTGGCGGGCACTAGTCCGTCGGCCAGTGCTGGACATGCCTCCCTTTGGGCCGAGGGCCATCAATCGAATCGCCGCCAGAAGCCTCCGCCTCGCCCAGCTGCTCCTCTCATCCTCGATGCGCCGGGCGTGCCCCTCGGCCCAATGGTCCAGTGCTCCAGATGTGCTGCCTCTGGCCCGATGTTTCCCGACAATATGACTGGGTGGAATGTATGTTTCCCTTCTAATAGACCGCCCTCCTCCCGCCGAGCGTGCTCTGCCCATTACGTCTTCCTGTCCATTCTTTGACTGCAGTGACTGTGAAACTGTTCGCGCTCCTCTTTCTTTGATATAATTGCTGCTCTGATACTCGACTCACTTCAGCCACTACCTCCGCCCTACAGAACTATCCTTCCCAAGCTCTGTACAAGCACAGACACCAAGACACACCATGGCGTCGTACCTGGATGCCGAGGAGCAGAAGTACCAGGACGAGGTTCAAGCTGTCAAGCAGTGGTGGTCCGACTCGCGATGGCGCTTCACCAAGCGGCCCTTCACGGCTGAGCAGATCGTGTCCAAGAGGGGCACCATAAAACTCACATACCCAAGCAACGATCTATCGAAAAAGCTGTGGCAGACGGTCGAGCAAAGATTCAAGGTAGAAGTCTCAACAGATCCACTCTAAAGCATCCGCTGACATCTGTGTAGAATAAAGAAGCTAGCTTCACCTATGGCTGTTTGGACCCCGTCATGGTTACTCAGATGGCCAAATACCTGGATACTGTCTACGTTTCCGGCTGGCAGTGCTCTTCAACCGCCTCGTCCACAGATGAGCCCGGTCCAGATCTCGCAGATTACCCCATGGCAAGTTCCTTGAACCTATGGGCCCTCTCAAAAACTAATAATGCCTAGACTACCGTCCCAAACAAAGTTCAACATCTCTTCATGGCACAGCTCTTCCATGACCGAAAGCAGCGCGAGGAACGGCTTACCACACCCAAGGCGAACCGGTCAAAAGTAGCCAATACCGACTTTCTGAGGCCCATTGTTGCTGATGCAGACACCGGGCATGGCGGCCTAACAGCCATCATGAAGCTTACGAAGCTGTTCATCGAAAAGGGCGCTGCAGGCATTCACATTGAGGACCAGGCTCCAGGCACGAAGAAGTGTGGACACATGGCGGGCAAAGTGCTGGTACCCATCAGCGAGCACATCAACCGCCTTGTGGCAATAAGGGCACAAGCCGACATAATGGGTAAGTGTGATCCGCTTTAGATGTCCCTCAGCTCTTTTCTTCCATCTCCACGATTCCTGCTTGACAACATCTTCTTTCTAATTCCCGAATTTTTGAGGTCCCTTTATCCCTTTTCCCCTCCTCTTTCTTCGTCGTATTGAGCTACCCTAGAGTAAGAATTAGTCTGACATGTGATAGGCACCGATCTCCTAGCCATTGCACGTACCGACTCGGAAGCCGCAACGCTAATTACGTCGACCATCGACCCCCGCGACCACTACTACATCCTGGGGAGCACAAACCCCGCACTTCAGCCGCTATCGGAGCTAATGTACACCGCCGAACAGGCCGGCAAGTCTGGCGATGAACTGCAGGCCATCGAGGATGCGTGGACTCGCGAGGCCAATATCAAGCTTTTCCACGAGGCCGTGACCGACACCATCAACGCCGGTGTGCATGTGAACAAGCAGGGCCTAATCCAGGAGTTCCTGTCTGCCTCCAAGGGCAAGAGTAACGCAGAAGCACGCGCCATTGCAAAGGGCCTGACGGGCGTCGACGTCTACTTCAATTGGGAGGCTGCACGAACTCGCGAGGGCTACTATCGCTACAAGGGCGGCTGTGGGTGCGCCATAAACCGCGCCATTGCATATGCGCCGTTTGCCGATCTGATCTGGATGGAGAGCAAGCTGCCCGATTATGAGCAGGCCAAGGAGTTCGCTGAAGGTGTCCATGCCATTTGGCCAGAGCAAAAGTGAGTTTTGCTTTTCAACCATTTAGATTTCAGAAGGAAAACAAAAACGCTAATAAAACCTCCAGGCTCTCTTACAACCTCTCACCTTCATTCAACTGGAAAGCTGCTATGCCCCGCGACGAGCAGGAGACATACATCCAGCGGCTCGCCAAGCTGGGCTACTGCTGGCAGTTCATCACCCTCGCTGGCCTGCATCAAACGGCCCTCATAGCCGACACCTTCTCCAAGGCATATGCCAAGAACGGCATGCGCGCTTATGGCGAGATCATCCAAGAGCCTGAAGCGGAGAATAAGGTCGACGTCCTTACCCACCAGAAGTGGTCTGGTGCGAATTATGTTGATAACATGCTGAAGATGGTCAGCGGCGGTGTCAGCAGCACCGCCGCCATGGGCGCGGGTGTTACTGAGGATCAATTCAAGTAAGCATGTAATTGGAGAGATATACGTTTATCTGTAGACTATTCTTTAAAAGAAATTGTTGCATCGCGGTATGCTATCCCATTAGCCCTTAAAGTTCCCATTGGTGGTTTCCTGTCTTCCTGACTCATCTATACGTTCTTTTGGCCCTTGTCCGCCTCTGTTGGTACTCCCATACTAGTCTGGGCGGTGGTAAGAGGTTTTGGAAACAGTGTTGTTTCTCCGTGCTAGTCACATGCAAAATTTCCATCCAAGACCCTTCGTCGATTCACGAGCGGAAAATAAAGTTTCAGAGACTGCGCCGCTATCGGCGGAGATCTCCGTGCCAATATCAGACCCGCAAAGTCGGAGAAGTTCGGGTGGTTTGCCACGGCATGTTAGGTATCCAAAGTTGTTCCGAAGCCACGATTTTCCCGGTGATGATGCAATATTCCTCAATATCGACACTCTATTGACAATCAAAGCTGGGGTAATTTAAACGTATTGAATCGACCGTAAGGAATGCCAGCACATGCACCAAAGGACGTAGTATCGAGAGGAGGATCTGTTTGTCCGGAAGAGTTCATGATGCTGAAACTCGACGGTAAGTCGTGAAGGTGTGGCGCTGAAGGTTTCGATCGCGACGTGGTATGGATCCCTATTGGTGGTGCTGCAGAGTTATCTCCAGGGACTTTCTCGCTTCCAATGTTTTGGTCTCTGGCGGTAGCTGGTCCTTGAAGATCCAATAGTAGTCCATAATTCATTCGATGGGCATCAGGGCCAAACGGCCTCGAGAGATCGAAAGTGCTTTGTTCATCTGGAATGGTGTCTGATGCGAAGGCGCCCGTAATCTCGGCCCATTTTTGGGATACAGCAAGTCTCTCAAGAGTCTGTAGTCGCCTCTTCTTCTTCTCCCCTACCAACACTGTCAGTGGCCTGTCCGTGTTGCCATGATAGAGTCGGTAGAACTGCACGCACGATAAGCACGTTGAGATTGCCGATTCTGCTCCTTCCTCCTTTCCGACACGCGGTAGCTGCCTCTCTTGGCAGGCTGTGCATCCATCGCATGCAATTATGCGCCCCGTCTGTTATCCGGAGCGTGAATACGGACCTGTGGACGTATGCTCATGCTGGTATCAGCAAGCCTAGCCTACTTATATGATTCCATGGTCTGAATGGGGTAACATTAGGCCGGATATCAATAGAAAGCGTAGAGTTTGATGCCTCAACAACACAGCTCAAGTATTGATCTCCGTGGCTCTCCTCAGCGGCCTGACATTGGGCCGATTTCGAGGCTACAGGGAGCAGGATGCGCTTACTTCACAACGGTATCCCGTGATTGGGCAGTATCTTTTCCTTCAATGGATCATCCATAAACTAAGATTGCTGCCCATAAAAGAATGGGCGTAAATTCTACTCTCCTCTCAAGAGATTTACTGTATGGCAAGACCTCGGGAGCTACTGAGGTAATGATCGAATTATTGAGTTTCCGTAATAGGGTCATTCGGCAAAAATGAAGACCAGATCGCGGGCCGACTCTCATGCAGGTGAGGTGAGCAACAGCCCGCTAAATATCAAAAGCTTGATATACGTGCTAAGAATAATCGGAGTACGGAATGTCAATTCTGTAGGAGAGGTGAGCATGTATCGTGAGCAGCATACAGAATCTGCAGACTTAGCCTGCTATTTAAGGTGTAGCATGAGAGACTTGTGGGTAGGAACGCGTATAAAGCGTTTGGTCATGTTTGATTCTTCGTCAGCTATACCAACAACGCAGGCTTCGCAAAGCCCATTGTAGTCTTCCTTTTCCGGACCACAAAGAAAAGTCAAACCTGAAGCGATGCCGCGAACCATTTTCATTACAGGAGCAAGCTCAGGAATCGGTGCAGCAGTCTCCAGGCTTTTCTTTGAGAAAGGGTGGAATGTTGCCGCGACAATGAGAAAGCCAGGGGAAGCATCCGAGCTCAAACAGTTGGACGCTAGCCGATTGCTACTAGAAAGACTGGACGTTGTCGACGCTAGCAGCATACAACCAGCCATCGACGCAGCCATTGCGAAGTTCGGGAAGATCGACGTCCTCTTCAACAATGCTGGTTACGCGCAGTACGGCATTTTTGAGATGACATCGCCAACCAAATGCCGAGATCAATTCGACGTAAACCTATTTGGTGGGAGGTCCAGTTATGATTTGTTTTCTACTATACTGATATTTTACTAGGAGTAATGGATGTAACTCGAGCTATCCTACCACACTTTCGAGCTAGCGGCCATGGAGGAATCGTCAATATGGGTAGTGGTGCCGGCCTGTGGGGCTCGCCATTAGGCACGATGTACACAGCCAGCAAATTCGCGCTGGAAGGCTTCACCGAAGCGCTCTCTTACGAACTCGCGCCATTGAACATCTTTGTCAAGAGCATTGTTCCTACTGTTGGTGTTGGGGGAACCAAACTTGTGGAGTCGTCTGTTGCACATATCGCCATGGACGAAGCCCTAGTTCCTACGTATGGTGCGTATATGCAAGAGATGGTCCCGAAACTCCAGGCTATGGGTTCTTCTGGCGCGCTAGAAGTAACGGAACTTGCGCACATTGTGTACATTGCGGCAACAGACGGTACGAATAAGGTTCGATACGTTTGTGGAGCTGATGATTTTGGGTTTCTCAAGGCAAGAGTTGAGTCAAAGAGTGACGAGGAGTACATGGCCCGTATGCGTGCCTGGTTCAACTGATTCCAGGATCATGCGGTAAAAGTAGAGATAGAGCAGAACAATGAATAGACAAACGATGGGAAGCTACAAAACATTCGCAGCCTCGAACCGTGCCAATAATGTGCCACTGTTTCTAAACGTTTTTCAATTCATAATGCTCGGTCTTCGAAGTTGATAGTTGAAGCGGCCCGCAAACTCTGGGATTAATAGCCTGTTGACACCAGACTGATCCGAGCGCGATCCATCGATTTGACATCTCGATGTGATGAATGGAAGATGTAATGTAAGAGCAGAGCAGAGTCAGGAGAATCGAATCGGAAAACGATCAAGCCCTGTCTTGGCAACCCGGCAAAGCTAAACCGATCCACACCACAAGCGCCTCTCCAGGGACCAAGGGACCTCGGGACCTTGGAGAGTTTCCCCAGATTCCTGGCCTTCTCCGCAACAGCTAGCGAACGTGCATAGGCTCACTATGAGGCTTATAAACATCCGCCATGTATCTTCCTAACAATAAAGTCTTTCTCTCCCCGTATTTACGCATCAATTCCCACATCGAATCCATTGACCTCCACCCAGACCCCCGCCCTCACTGTGAAGACCCCTCAACGCTACAATGCCAGAACCTCACACACCGATTGCGCTCCCCTCTTCCTACAGCTCTCTCCCCTGGAAAGAGATTCGCACCACGCACTACCCCAAGTCGTCTCCCACAGCAACGTCCATCATCGTCCTGACTCTGTACCGCCCGGGCAAGCACAATGCCTTCACAAGCACACTTATGCGCGAGATGGAGCAGGCGTTTGGCATGTTCGATGTTGACGACCGCGTGAAGTGCATTGTAGTGACGGGACATGGGAGGATATTCTGTGCGGGTGCGGATCTTGAGCAGGGGTTTGTGGGTGGCCAGGAGCCTATCAATGAGCATAGAGATGGGTATGTACTTCTCCCAAATTAGCACCAAGTTCAATCAGGCATTCAGCATCTCAGTGGCTTGGTTTGAGGGGATTAGGATGCTCATGGCTGACATACATCGCCCTATAGAGGCGGTCGCGTTACTCTAGCTATCAACTCCTGCCGCAAACCCACAATCGGTGCTCTTCAAGGCTCCGCTGTCGGCGTTGGAATTACCATGTGCCTTCCTATGTCCATTCGTGTGGCCTACAAAGCTGCCAAGATTGGGTTTGTCTTCGCCAGGCGTGGTCTCGTCATGGAAGCCTGCTCATCCTTCTTCCTACCGCGCCTCATCGGACACTCCCGAGCGATACACCTCGTCACCACAGGCTCGACATACAAGGCGGATGACAAGCTCTTTGGAACACTCTTCTCCGAGCTTTGTGATATACCTGAGGATGTCCTTCCCAAGGCACTCGAGATTGCGGAGGACGTGGTAAAGAACACAAGTGTGGTTAGCACGTATCTCATGAGGGAGATGATGTATCGCGATACGGGATCTGCCGAGGGGACACATCTCCTAGATTCAAGGATACTTTACGAGTTGTTTGTGAGCCAGTAAGTTGGGTCCTGTCTAAATTGCGAACTCGTAATATTGATCATGACTTCAGGGATAACAAGGAAGGCGTGAAGTCATTCTTAGAGAAGAGGCCGGCACAATTCTCGGGGACTATGGAAAACAGTTCCCCATCAGCGTATCCATGGTGGATGCCAGTTGATATCGTTGGGAGGGCAAAAGCTGACAAAACGGGCGCGAAGCCGAGGCTCTAAGAGATTTATGGGATAGTCTTTAGTGTTGTCAAAATACGGATACCAATGAATGAATGGGAGCAGTGATATAGGCACGTTCAATGAGACCTGGTCGAATGATATTTCAAGGGCTTTTGATTCATTCCTTAGTTACTTCCACTCGTAATCGAAGCAATGCCGACCTTGCCCTTTATGCCGATGAGTCCACTCCGATCCACCCCACCAACAATAGAAAACGCTTAGTAGAAAGTCGAGGGTCGGTGAGCAGTGAAGATCTTCTTGCTGGCGCTACGGCCAACGCGATGTGGGAGAGGGAATTTCAGATCCTTGGTCAGGAGCTGCTTGATGTATGGACGGCGGATGTCTGCGGCCTTCTCAACCTCAACAACCTTGAGGATCTAGAAAGAAATTAGATTAGAAGCGTTCCACAATGACAATCCTAGAAACACTTACGTGAATTGACCTGAAACGAGATCGGTGACGTGCGGCCATGTCCTGGTAGAGAGCATCCACGGCTTCAGTTCGCGACATCTCACGGTACTCCTTGTACATGTTGTGGGTGCCAGAGCGTGAGTCGTAGCGGATCCAGATGCCGAAGTTCTTGACCTTCTGGGGACGCTTCTCGTGGATCTGAAGACGAGTATTAGTATCCGCTATTGGCAAAAATGCCGGTGTCCTTCGAAAGCTCGACTGGTGTAAGCATACCTGGTTCAGGGAGACAATTTCGCCGTTCGCCTTCTTGATCTTACGCAGTCTTCCGAGGAAGTACCAGAATCGCGATTTGGCAACAACAGTGTTAGGAGCAAAGATGCGCATCCGGTACAGCTTGGGGGCGGGGTTGGCCTCGCTGGGCAGATGGCGCCCAATGACCTGGTATTCCTGGAGACGACCTGTGGGAGTAGACGTTAGCATCCTTGAACTTCCTCCCAATACGATGTGATAGACGGTTTCTGTCGGTGAAATTGCAACAGAGGATCCAGGATTGGCGAAGAGAGCCGGAGAAGCGCCTGAAGTGTCGCGGTTTGGATCGCGGAAGGATTGCAGATATTCGGAGTTGACAGTCGTCTCTTATCCAGACAATCCAGCGCCACAAAGACCGTCATTCCTCCACCCTATTTTCTTGCAACCATACCCATTCTTCGACTATTATAGAGCCGGTCTAGATAGCGTCGTTTCGAGAGCCGTAGGAAGGAAAAGTGCTCAGACCCGCCGGTGCAAGTGTCGTCCAGTTTAAACGCAAAGGTATGGAATTCTGCTTACCCATCTGCACATTGTCAGCACTCGCCTGTGAGACAGAAAGGATGGGTTGATGCTTACCTTGAATGCTGTCGTGATGTCGTAGGGTTAGACGTCGTCTGGAGAAGAGTCGCAGTAACGAAAATGATGGAGGTGCGCTCGCCAAGGAATGCTAATTATTAGCGAGCCGCTAAGCCCCAAATGGCTAGCGTACTCTGCGAACGTCCTTCCTCAACCTTAGGCCAAGCATCCCAGCGGACAGCAATGCCCTAAGCTGCTCCAGCACCGCCTGATGGCTCCTTCGATCCACCAAATTTTACACACCTGCTGATCCGCGTAGAAATGGATCGGATCATCGGCCGCTTTCACCAATGCGTCGCAGAGGAGAATGGAACTGAGCTCGCCAAGATATTCAGTACCAAGGCTCCCGCTTCCAGCCCTAATTTCTTCTACGATCTCCGCCGAGCGTCAAACGCACAGCACATTGACGGAGAGATTCACTACAGTCTCACGCCCCGGAACGGCTTTTCGTTCGACAGTGCAGAAGTGAATGCCTGGGCAGAGGTCTTTGTCAACTATTGGAAAGCAGTGGGCGAGTTCATAGGCTTGGAAGAAAGCACAGATCGAGGGGAACTAAAAGATGGACAGTATGGCGAGGTCTACGATGTGTGGAAGGCGTTTACCAACAGTCTCATCAAATACCACAGCTCGAGCGTCTTGCCATTCTGGACGATTCCTTGCCTTTACACGGCTCTAACGGATTTGCGGACCTATGCAATTAAGGCAGATGAGCAGAGCGTTAACGCAAAAGGAAGCATCAATTTCAGCACGGGCCTTCAAGACGACATTGTCAGCTCCGTTGGCAAAAATGAGAAACTAGAGGATTATGCTAGGGTGTTGAATAGGGTGTTCAACATGTGCCTTCAGGACAGGGCTCCCGTTGAGTACTCCCGAAAATGGGGTACATACTTCACTGCGAACTTGATGTTCAAGACTTACTTCAAGGTAGGCCTCTAAATCTACTCAATTGTGTAAAGACTAACGACGATCACCATACAGCTAAACGCCGTCAGCCTATCTAAGAATATGGTGCAAGCGATCAATGCTCAGTTTGACATGCCATCACTCTATAGATTCCCCAGATCAGAAATAGTCACGTTTAAGTACTACATTGGAGTCATGACATTCCTTCGAGAGGACTATGTACAGGCAGAGCAGAACCTGACAGAAGCCTGGCAGTTGTGTCACAAGAGCGCATACAAGAATCATCAGTAAGTTGAAACAATCATTTACTACGGCTAGCAATCATTTATAACCTCGAACAGGCAGATTCTCACGTATTTGATTCCTTGTCGACTTATCACCACTCACAAACTTCCGACTTCCGAACTGTTGTCGCCGTACCCACGCCTCCAAGCTCTGTTTGGTCCTATTGCAGCCTGCATTAGGAAAGGTGATCTGGCTGGCTTTGACGCTGCACTGTTCGCAGGAGAAGTCGAATTTGTCAAGCGCCGCATCTACCTGACTCTGGAACGTGGCCGAGACATTGCACTCCGGAATCTCCTCCGCAAAGTATTCCTAGCAGGCGGCTACGAACCACTGAAGGAAGGCCAGACAGAGGCAGACCTAATTCGGAGAACGCGGATACCCATAGCCGAGTTTGCGGCTGCGATTCGAATGGGGCTGGGGGCTGACGGGAAGCTGCTGGAGGACGACGAGGTTGAGTGCATGCTTGCGAACATGATATACAAGGTGTGTACTTATTCCGCCTTTTCTTCTCCCCTGTCATCATTCTTGACATGATGTTGCCCTCTTCGCCTCTTGCGCGCCCCTTTTCATTGCCGGTGCTGCCTACACAGCAGGCAGAAAAGTTTCGCCGCTCGCGCAGTTATTCCCCCCCAACTGTCGTACACCAGCTGACACATCTGCTTGCGTAGAACCTCATGAAGGGTTACATCTCTCGCGAACGAGCCATGGTCGTGCTGAGCAAGACCGCTGGCATGGCGTTCCCAGGAACAGGGGTCTGATGCGTAGCCCACAACGCATCGCTGAACATCTCCCAATGGAGCCGCTCTCCAGCAGCTCCTCGCATTGCTACTGGCCGCCGGCAGCAAGCATACTCGGTATACAGAAATCAAAAAGAATCCGGCTATGTACCACCAACATGCAATACATCTGATTCATCCAATCCCCCCATCGCCCCGATCCAGCCTCGACTGATTGCACACATACACACACACATAGTTGCTACGGTGCCTTCTGACACACTTCTTTTGCAGCGCGGCGACTCATCACAGCCACCGGAACCCCCACCTCGGCACCCACCCACATTCCCCACGAGCCTGTTTGCGAACTGCCCACCCACGCCTTCCACACAACTCAACAAGCCGACATCTCGCCCTTTGCCCTCTTCGTCTCATTCGCCCTCATTGCTCACAGGTCATGCGCCCAAGCGGGCCTAGTCTCCCGCACCTGCGTTTGCCGTCCCCCCTGCCTTGCATCCAGAGCACCCCATGAGTCACACTCTTAGCGTTGAAAGCGAGACCCGGCGGCGCAGGAAACCTTGCACAGATATCGAATCGTGCGCGCGAGGCTTGATCGCAGCATATCTGGTTTCAGGCTTCGGATGTGCTCGTTTGGGACAATGGTAGTAATGCGAGACCTTGGGCTTTTGAGTCACGTAGGTCCTTTGTTAGTAGCTAAGAATTCACAAAGTTATGCAGAGTTTGGACTAGAGAAAATGATCATGCTGATGATACTCGTTTCTGTGATTTCTGTTGCTGCATCGTGAAGCAAGACTAAGCAGCAGATAAATCTAGCCAACTCGAAAAATAACAGAGCACAACATTTCTCTCGTAGCCTCTCTCCATTCCCACCATACACGCGTTCCAATGATAGAGAGCCTCAGATCAAGATGGTTGTAACTCTCGAACACCCGGCTCTGTCCCGCAGAAGTGATAAATCCAGACCCGCAAAAGACAAACTGACTGCCGTGATTACCATATCCGCAAACAAGCACAACCTTGACAATTTCAAAACACCCCCCGCAGAACCCAGAAATGAATTTTTTTTTCCGGAGTTTTGCTGGGTGCGCTCCGCGAATACAAGAAACCGTTGCAAAACGCTCCAACAAAGACGAGAAAACAAGGCCAAGCCGGGCGGGCTGGGACAGGCTGCAATTTCTAGGCCTTTCGCAGAGACAATGAGAAAAAGATAAGGTAGAAACACAAGCAGTCATCAGACAGCAGCGGCTAGTGTAGCACGCGTGCTGCCGCTGGATTGAAAGATAAGAACGGGATGGAGGATATGGTACAAGGATGGGTCAGAGAGTGCCAGAAGGTGTAAAGCGCTGGAATCAGAAAGCAAGAACGCCGGGTATCAATCCGTGGCCGCATGCTAGATGCGGTAATAAATTTACAAGAAAAGGAAGGTCGGATGGGTCGAATCGAGGTAGAGGTGGAACGCCAGATGGTATAGGTCGGACGAAGCAACGCGGCGAGCGAGTGTCGAGAAGCAGATGGAGGCGATTAGGGGCATAGTGCTGTTGGGATGTGAAGGGAGATGGCGGGACCTGATGAGGAGAGATAGCGTCGACGTCGACGTTGAAGCGGGGGGCGACGGCGATATGGTGATGACTATTTTGGCGACTTTGCAGCGAGGTCATCCTGAAGGAGCCGCGTTAGCTGAATGCGTCGTGCATGATTGCGTACTTGCTGTGGACAGAGTTGTGGATCGTAACGAAGTGATGAAGTAATGAAATGAAGAACGTACCATGTGATTGACCATTGCAACGAACAAGTCGAAAAACAGTTTCCCGCCATTCTCCATTTCGTTCTGCATAGTGCCGCTACGCTTGAAAGTGGAGCGACTACGAATGATCAGAGCGAGGTAGTGTGATCGTAGCTTCGCATCGTTTTCGGGCGTGTTGGCATATGCATAGCGAGCAGATGTTAAGATCGTGCTGCACTGTATCCCGGATTGAAGACCTTGCTTACGAAGAGCAAGGCGCTTGAGCTCTTCAAGGCCATATTTCTCAGCAGCACACTGAAGATCGTATAAGAAACTAATGATCTTACGGTGAACGTGATGGGTTGACTTACATAGATAACAGTATCCTTCAGAATCGGACCGTTCACAGAAGCGTGATACACAGTCGACTCAGCCGTCCCACGACCGTTCGCCGCATCTTCCAAGTTCCAGCTATTTCTCCGCTTGTCAAACTCCAAGCGAGGGTAGTAGTCGCCTTTGTATAGATATTCCAGGAGTGATGAGAAAATCTCGGGCTCTTCGTCAGGCAGATCGATCCGCTTGGACGTAGACTGGAAGAACTGATCGCGGCAGAGCGACTGGAAGAAGGGCGAGTGGCAGAGGACGTCCTCGTGGGCAGCGAAGAGTCGCTGTTCGCGACCGATGCAAAGAGTGATGATGGCGCTGGTCAAACTAGATGTGTTAGTTTCGGACACTTCTCGATGTGATGCGCATACTGCACTCACCCTCCCACGGTCGGACTTGTTTGCGCTGATGCTGGCGAGGCCTGCTGCGCCATTTTCTCGACCTTCTTGGTCGACATGGAGTCCCTGAAGGAGCGGTTCTTCTTGCTCGTCGACTTGCCGGCGCGGTGCTTGGAGAAGCTCTCGGCCTGGGTTCGGTTCCTGCCTGAGCTGAACATGCTCGCGGATGAACGGATGGCGATAAGGTCGTGGGGGCTCCGGGAGTCGAAGGTTGGGCGAGTGGTGGGCGATGGGGAGTATTTATAGCGAGGCGGGCATAGGCAACGACGGGTGACGACGACGACGCAACGACGATCCTGAGGCAGCAGTTTGAAAGTGAGGAGGGAGGCAGACAATGCAGCGAAAGGCGGCATGTCAGGGGAATATATACGCTGCAGGCGAGGCCAGCTATCTCGCCCAGGCCTCCGAGCAGAGGGCCACACGGCACGGTGCGGACGTGATTGGACGCGTAAAGTGGAAATCCCCCCGACGCGTGAAGGGACGCGATATCACATGTGCCGCCTTGCCGGTTTGAGCGATGCTCCCTGACTCTTCTGCGGCCGCCGCACCCCGGATCCTGGGCGCTGTGAGATGGGCTGAGCGACGGAAAAGGGCTAGACGGGAGGGCGAGGTTTCACAGCGCCCTGAGCCGGTGCGCCAGCCCATGAGTCGTCGGCCGTGGTGCCTGGTGGCGTTCCATCATCGTCCGGCGGGGAGCATGGCTCTGCGCGCGAAAGGAAGGAAAGAGAGACCAAGCGACGATAGAGAAGGATGAATTACGACACTTAGCTTGCCCTGGCGCTCTATCACCATGCCTCGAAAGCGTCGCAGCGGGCAGCGGGCGTGGTTGACGAGAAGTCGGCCCTTGCGTCCGAGCTCGAACTTAGCGTGCACAGGCCGCGCGAGATCAGGAACGCTGCATCAAAAGCAAGAAGCTGTCCATCGTCTCACCAAGCAAATGGGGCACCGGTGTGCGACGATCCCAGCCGGCTTGACCGAGGCTGGGCTTCCCCCTGGGCCAACTAGGTTTGCATCCTCTTCTTCCGCCATCCGCACCCGATCCCACGACAGCGCTGCGAGTCCGGAATGCCAAGGGTGACATCGCACCACGTCCTTGCGCGTCTGTAGCATCATCTTACCTAAACTCGAGGCTTGATGGAGGTGGAGTAGGTATTGGCCAGGATGAAAGGCCTCAGGCAGCATTCAGGCAGCACTCAGGCAGCCAACTTCGCCAGAGCATGCTTGGGCCTGTGGAAAATATAGGCATGCTTGCCCAAGTGTGCTGTGATAAGGTCGGTACTGCCATCGAAGGCGGTCTATGGAAATGCTTCCGCCCTCGGAATGTCGACGCTTCCTCGCCCAGCAAGAGATCCCAGTTAATGAGGGTGGTTTATCATACCATAATACCTACGAAACTCGCCGGCTGATGACTGAGATAGCAGCGCGAACGGAAACCTAAGAATGAAGAGATAATGGTATAGTATGGATGAACCGAAGTGGAGACGAACGGAGGTGGAGAGTGGGAAGAAACTTTTATATTGACTAGATAGGAAAGCATTCTGATGCTCAGTAGTTTTAGAGGTACGGAAGTCGCAACCAGCACCGGCTGTAGCAGGAAGCCCATCTGCAAGGCCATCCCATAGTTCCTTTCGAGAAAGAATATGCCCTCCATGTTGAGATGAAGAATGATATGAAGTTCAACCAACGCCAATATCGCTCATGATCTCAGCACCTTCCTGCTCTGCGCAAGGCTTCAGCAAGAGCGACTTGCAAGTCCCCCTTGAAGTCCAAGTCATCCTCAACAGAGACGTCGCGGAACATGTTATACATGCGACTCGCCACGTATTCCTTGAAGTTTGTAGGAGTGAAGGCTTGCTTTTGCACACGCTGAGCCAGAGCAACTTGCAAGTCTTCTTCTCCGCCTCTGAGGATGTCCTCGACTTTCTTGAGCAACAGCGTGTACATCTCAGTGATACCGGTCTGATACACAGCGTGGTAAACCTCAAATTCTCGGTCGAGTAGCTTCAATCTGAATCGCTCAGATCTGACGTCAATGTTGTTGTCATCAGAAATGTCCAAGGTAGTGCTGAAGGTCCGGAGCTTAGGGGTTGAGTATTCTTCAACTTTCATCGCTTGAATTCTACAAAGGTTAGCGCCCGGGGATGAAGGTGACTGACTGAAAATCTTACCGCTCGTCACAGACTGGGCATCGAGTTGACTTTAGCAAAGCAAGAAGTTGCAGGAGGAAGTCCAACAGATCATCTTGCGTCCAGAATGTGATTTGGACCTCCGAGACCCCGGGGGTGATGGTCACGCTCAACTGATTGAAGTTCAAGGTCAAATATGGAGCCTTGAGTGGTCCGAGGACCAGAAGAGAGAACGCATCCCCAGAGATATCAGATTCGGTTCCGTAGAGCCGTAGACTGAAAGTCTCTTTGTCGGCATTCCAATCTAGCCAAAGGTTGCGAGCTGGGTTACGGATGTTTGCTTGTTGCGTTCTGGCCGCCTTCAGAGGGTACGACTTCCAGTTCGAGAGTGGAACCGCGATGTCGAAAGTACCGGTAGAAACGTGTTGCACAACGCGATGGAATGCGTCTGGTGAAATGGCTGGCATATCAATCGTGTTGGGCCTCTTGATTGTATATCGGTCTTTGATATAGTTGATTTTTTCTGTAAGTGCTCGCGGTACAATGAAGGTGCCTTGACCTCCTGCGCCATCGTCTACCTTCAGAACAATGAAATCTTCTCGAATAGATCTGAAGCGTTGTGAGTAGATGAGCACGTGAACGAGCCGTCTAGGATGGCCAAGTGACTTACCCAGGGATGCCCGTGTAGGCTCGAATGGCTCCCGCGGAGTCAATCGTCGGAGTCTCCATGCTTCGATCGGTCATGCTGTTGAGCTGTGACAAGGTCAGCCAATAAAGATGCACTATTTGAAGAAGGTCATACCAGACGAGCGCGCTGAAGAGGTTGGGTCCAGGGCGAGAGGGCTCTGGGGTGGAAGAGGTTTATATATGAATTTACAGTAGATGGTTCGGCTAACGCAGTCAAGTGAAGTCTGAAGTGAGTGAGGTAGCTTACCAAAAACACTGCAGTGCACCTCACCTGGGCCGTGTTGTTACATTTCGCAATACTCAACATCGGTCTGCGTACAAGTACCTACTACTGCTTCAGTTGCTCCGCAGTATTTCTAGGACCATGTGGGTATGCACAATAGTCTCGTTCTACGTGGTAGATAACGTCGGCTGGGCGAAGTGGCTAGGAGAGATATCAGCCTGTTCTAAAGTACATCAATACACTTCCTCCATGTTGTCGGGGATATGATGAAGCATTTTTGACAATGGCAAAAACGTGTATCAAGTACCCGAATGAAAGAAGAGTTAGACACAGGAGGGTCTCGCCTATATATTTCCATTGCTCTCGGAAAAAACCCATCTCTCTGTAGTAGGACCACACGATTTGAACTGTCCTACGATGTAAGAGGCCGTTCAAATTAATCACGATATAGTTCGTTAGGTCTTCGAAGTCGTGCTGATGTAAAACAGGGATTTCCATCGCAGTGTTAAATTGAAATGGCACTGCAGCTCTTGTGATAAGCTCGTACTGCTTTGCATTGCATACCTATCGCAGCCCATAACCCCTCATCCACCTCAGCTCGGCTGCTTGCCTCTCAAGCGCCCGTCTAAGCTCCTGCCCATACTCCCTCTCCTTCTTCGCCTGTTCCATCTCCTGTGCTGCTTGAGCCTGCTCATCTACATCCTCGATGTTGAACGCTGGCGAGCGGCCAAATTCGACCATGCCCAGCTTTCCATCGCCCGTCCAGATGATCAGATTATCCTCGCCTAATGGTACTTCGCTATGGCTGGCATACGAGGACGCGACCGTTGGTGAGATTTTCTGGACAATATCTCCACTTGCTTCAGCGCTCAAAGCACTCAAAGGCTGAGCTGCAGGGCCGTCGCTGTTGATGTTGAGTTGACGAACAGGAGTGAATCCATCTCGCTCAACCCACTTCATGTTTCCATCGCCATCGGAAAACACAAGGCGAGTACCATGAGGCGCTACAGAGAGCAACTTAGAGCTTGATGCCGTCTGCCTGTTGTGGTAGTAAGAGTTCTGGTTCCGGGTTGCACGGCTATCAGACGAATTGATGGAGCGGACAGGATCCGACGAAAGACTGTAGAGCTCCAAAGACCCTTTGCCTTTGTATTCGCCAGCTGCAATCAGAGTGTGACCAGGAATTGATTTGGCTTCACGGATTGCGGTCGAAGAAGGGTTGTGACGGCGGAGGCGCAAATCGGCGGGAATGAAGGGATGTGGGATGGCTGTTATGCAGGACAGCCGCGCCCCTGAATGGACCGTACCCCGAAGACGAGGGAAAAATCGCCGGTCGTAATTCAGAAAACTGGTAAACCGTCCGCCCACCCAAATATCGCCATTGCCGTCCCATTCGCGCGCCGTTGGCAAATGCAAGATGGACAATGCGCCTGGTTGGGACAGTGATACATGTCCACCAAAATCGCCAGTCTGTAGACGTAGGAAGTCATTTTTGGATGGAGTTCCCGCAATCAATTCGCACTTAGTCGATGAGCCTGAGTCGGGCTCTGGTGGAGCTTTCCTGGTGTCATGGAGATGTAGTGTCCAATTGGTCCCTACAGTGAGAGGCGTCGGATGTCTTGCCTCAGACAATGCCGTGATAGGAAACGGGAATGGAGTCCTAGAAATCACCTGAAGGGTATACAAGTCGACCTCGTTAAGAATGTTCTGAACAGCAAAAAAGCCTTTCCTCCGTCGACTGTCAATACTGACACACTCGACAGCTCCGGTTTCGGTCATTATCGTCTTGCTCTGATTAATTCGAGTGTCCAGATCCAGGTCGGATCCTTTGTCGGAAAGTAATCCAATTGAGCTCCGGCCAATTATTGCACCCTGCCTTTCGCTGCTTTTCGACGCATCCCATATACAAACACTCCCGTCTTCCAATGGCGCGACGAGCTTATCGGCTAGATGACCTGCATCATCGAATAGTATGCCCATCCCAGTCGCTTCGTGATGAAGTTTCTGCTCCCTATGACCATATTGTGCATTCTGAAACCAGCTCATAGTATGAGGCGCATGCCTTTGAATAAAGTCCTGGTAAAAGTTGACCTTCTCTTCTGGGTATGAGGGGTCCCAATTCGCGAGAAGAGTAGCTTTCTGGCGCGCAGCAGTGCGATGCACCTCCATATCAGCACTTGGAGCATTCCGGCCGTGCACGTTAATAGGCGAGTCTTCCAATGCTCGTGCGAGTTCTGCTAATCGGGGCTCCATATTGGAGCACAGGAGCTGCCTTCGCCGGCGCACCTCGGCAACGGAATGCTCGAAGCATAGTGTCTTCCAGAGAGTATTTTCACGAGATATGGAGAGAAAGCGACGCGAGACATATTGCAGGTGGACAAGATCTGAGGGCTCGAGGACTGTTGTAGGTCAGCGGGGTTCGGGTAGCATTCCCGAGAGCGTGGGAACTGACACGCAACAATCTGGAGGAGGAGTTCAGTAGGAAGATCTTCCATGTTGGAGGCTGTCCGATAAGGTCGAAGCAACTATAGTGAGAAGAGGAATTGGAACTTATGTATATGTAATCGCATGAAAGGAGCTATCTGACGAGCGACGATACCGGATACAAGGGCGTCGTCGACTTCCGCCCTCATACCGCCCGGGCGCCAAGCTGCAGAGGGCGGGATGACGCCATGGGTACACTTCACTAACGAGCTGTTCAGGGTGTGGGGGGATTAGTGTCGATTTCTGGGGAAACTCGCGTTCTGTAATGCAAAAGACAGATTGAGACTCAATTTCCTTGCGCCTGAGAATTCGACACTGGAGACTGGGAGTGAAGGTTGGACCCTCATTTTTTGAGCCTTGGCATTGCACCGCCACACGGCGCGACGACGCCACGACGGCCGGCAAGTCTTAGGGAGTTTCCACGACAGCAGGCAGGCTTCACCACCCCACTCATCGTCAACCACCCATCCATATTCTCACTCAAGCGCGCTAGAGCCGCTCCATACTCCGCCATGGCAAGTCTCGAAGACGAGCTTCTGAACGACTTCGCGTCCTCTGCGTCCGAAGACGAAGACGACGCGCAAACCGACACCAAGGGCGACTTGGACGAACTGGCGAAAGATTTCGGTGGCGACGACGACAACAGCGGAGACGACGGCAGGGACGAGGAAGCCGATGCCCAGAAGAAAGACAAGGGGCCACCAGACATCCAGGGCGCGACAAGCCTGCTCTCCAAGCTGGAACCCGTTGTGAAGCAGATCGAGCACCACCAAACTCTACCGCAGACGACCAACGAAGGCTCCGTAGAGGACCACCCCGAATACCAGCTCCTGACCGAAGCCAACACCCTCTCCACTTCCATCGACGGCGAGATGGCGAACGTCCACAAGTTCATTCGCGACGTCTACTCGATTCGCTTCCCGTACCTCGAAGAGCTCATCCAGAACCCGCTGAACTACGCGCGCACCGTCGCAATTATAGGAAATGGGCCGATGGAAGATATCAAGACCATCTCGCTGTCGGCGGACAACATTGTGGGCGCCCCTTTGAAGTCAATACTTGACGGTCCCTCGCTGATGGTAGTCACCGTGGAAGCTACACGCTCTGGAGGTCGAGACCTGACCGAGCACGAGCTGTCTCTTGTGCGCAAAGCTTGCATGATGACTCTACAGCTCGACAAGGCCAAGAAGGTCCTCACCGACTACGTGCAATCTCGCATGAACATATTCGCGCCCAATCTGACGAACCTTATTGGCTCTCTGACGGCGGCGCAACTGCTCAACTACGCTGGCGGTCTTACTGGCCTTGCAAAGACGCCCGCTTGCAACATCCCCCCACTCGGCTCTAATAAGGCATCTGGTACCGGATTTGCGACCAACGTCGGTGTCCGCCACCAGGGCTTTCTCTACAACTCACCTATCATCCAGGCCATCCGTACCGATCTCAAGAAACAGGCCATGCGCATCGTATCTGCCAAAGTTATTCTCGCCGCAAGAGTCGACCGGGTGCACGAATCACCAGATGGAGCTATGGGCGAGCAGCTGAAAGAAGACTGCATGACGCGCCTGGACAAGCTCACCGAACCACCACCAAACAAGGGCGTCCGCGCACTGCCCGCACCCGACGACAAGCCCTCCCGCAAACGAGGCGGCCGCCGAGCCCGCTTGGCCAAAGAAGCCACCGCTATGACCGAGATCCGCAAAGCGCAGAACCGCATGGTCTTTGGCAAGGAGGAGCAGGAAGTCGGCTATGGCACCGGCACCGGCACCAAGGGCCTCGGCATGATTGGCGCCCAGGACACCGGCCGCGTGCGCGCGCAGCAGATCGACCACAAGACGAAGGCCAAGCTCAGCAAGAAGAACCCGGGCTGGGGTACCAACGGCACTGCAACTGCGGTCGGCGGAGCGGCATCCAGTCTGAAGAGTTTTGGCCAAGGCGGCACCGCGAGTATGCTCCGCGGGCATGGCTTGCGCACGGCGGGCGTCGGCGGTGTGGCGACGGCGGGTACGAGCTCCATTGCCTTCACGCCCGTGCAAGGCCTTGAGCTCGTCGACCCCAAGGTCCGCGATGCGATGAACCGGAAGCGGAAGGCGGAGGAGGATCGGTGGTTCAAGGGTGGAACGTTCACGCAGGTCGGCGGCGGTGCTGCGGGAGGCAGCAATGGTGCTCCTGCGAATGTAGACTCGGCAGGCTTCAAGGTGCCTTCGCTGCCGCCGAATAAGAAGGTTAATACGGGCTCATGAACGAACCGTTCGTGGTTTGATGAAGCCGCGGTCATTTAGGAACCACTGAGGAGAACTGCAAGGCGTTGGTGGTCTAACAAATGCATTTGAGGGAGTTCTGGGCAGGATCATAGGCAGGATATCGTCCATTATCGAAGCCTGAGAGGCTTTGTGGTTCTGATAGTTATAGCTACAGAGACTCAAATACTTTTGCCATATATCAAACCGAATAGCTAACTTATCGTGAGACCCTCCTGTTTGCTAGCAGACGAGTCCAATTCCATTGAAACCACCCCTGTCAGGCCTGTCACATCCGACCAAAAAGCAAAAGAACAGTGCCACTTTTTCCTCGCACCCGCCATCCTCAATCCGCAGTCGTCCGAAATCAAAGGATGAGAATTTCGGAAAGGGAGCGAGGTCGTGCTGCAGGGCTGTCGCACAATGCGTCTCACGTTTAGCGACCCCTGTCACCAAACTCCCACTCCAACCGCGAGTTGAGCCCGGCACACGAGGGGCAGGTGGAAGCGATTACGTTTTCTACCCCTGCGCCTGTGCGGACCCTGAGGCTTTTTTTTTGGGGGGGGGGGGGGGGCCGACCCAAAGCCGGCGGGCTGGGGAGGATTCGATGCCTGTAGGTTAGATCCCTCGGGAATGAGAGTAGGTTAGCCTTGAGCACATGTTATATCAGAAATCGCGCATCATATCACAATAAGCGCATAGAAGGTAAGTGGAAGGTAGAAACGCTTTTCCGCGGCGTCTCAAATTTCGCATTCGGGGATATCTCTGCCGATCATATGGCTACAACAAGGCCTGTTCCCTCTCTAGCAACATCGGTTAGACATTCTAGAGCGTGCAAGAATCAGGAATGTAAAGACCTTTTCAGATCCAAAAGAAAAGAGAAGTGAAGTGAAGTGAAAAGAAATGAAAAGACCCAGCCCGAGATCCCAAGTTGTACAGATGCTAGATGTACCATACATATCCAATGTGTAGTAGTGTGTGTGCCTTGGAGTCCGGAGCTCCAATCCAACAATGGTATATGCAAGAAGAAGTGTTCAATGTGACCGCTATCCATCCCTCCATGCTAGCGAAGAAATGCAGTTCAAAACGCCAGTGCAATGCTGTGTATGCCGCCGAAGATCAATCGAGGGCTAGAGAGCCAAGGGGAATGCACTTAGATCAGGTTCGAGCCGTGACGACGGAAGTGCACTGGTAGGCGGCGGCGGACAACGCGCTTCTTGGTGCCGATCTGGCCGTTGGAGCAGGTGGTGCCGGCGGCGAGGTCTTGTGGAGCCGCGAAGCCCCAGTTGCAGACGCCAAACTGCGTGCTGCCGATGCAGACGATCGCGCCGTTGGTAGAGCAGGGCACGCCACTGCCTGAGGCAGCGGGAGCGGCGGCGACGCTGGTAGCTGCGGCTGGGACGGATGTAGCTGCAGCAGCGGAGGATGGAGCGACGACAGTGGCGAAGGAGGTTGGCACAGGAACAGCGGCTGATGAGACGCCGGCAGCTGAGGATGCGCCTGGAGCGAAGACGCCGCCTGGGTTGGATGCTACTGGCGTAGCGACCGCACTGGTAGCTGCTGGCTGACTAACACCCGCAGATGACTGGGCGCCTGTTGGTTCCGCATTGCCCTTACCGCCTGCAACAGTTCCAAGTTTTCCTGCACCGGCGCCCATCTTGGTCATCGAGGCGCAGTTCCCAATGAGAGAACTTCCAAAGGCAGGAGTACCAACGGTAACAGATTGGACTGAATCGCCCGGGTTCGGGTAGACGAAGTCGGAGCCTTCTGGGATCGAGCAAGTCTCGCTAGGAATGTTGGCGACAAACATATCGGGAAGCTTTTCCATGACCGAGGTGTCGTCGCCTCCACCAGTGACGGTGATAGGTGCACAGTTCATGTACATCTCACGGTTACCGATTTTGTTGTTCCAGGTCCAGGCCAGGGAATATTGCCCATTTGGCATACCTTTAGGCATCGTGAATTGGAAGACAGCCGCCCCATCGCCCGTTGGATCATCGGGGAGATTTCCGGTCACGTTGGATGGGCATCCGCCGATGATGCTGTGAATGACCTTCCATTGGCTGTTCTTGTCGGGCTTCTGGTCCAGAGTGACGCTGACTTGGCAGGATCCTCCGCCATGGACAGCACTGCCAGTGAAGCTAAGTGTTTGAGGCACGCCAACCTCAATGGTGTTCATTTTCACGATGTCGTAGGGAACGCTCTTGCAGGGGAAATCGGAGCCGGAGTCGTCGAGCGGGGAGCTGTTGGGGTTGCCGTAGGGAACTGGAGACTTCATGATCATGTGTGCGTTGGCGGTGCCGAAGAGCGCGAGGGCTGCAGCGGCCATGGTTGAAGTAGTGAACATCATGTTGGTTCGTGGAAGGAATGTGATGTGGAAATCGAGGGTGCTTTTGCTGAGAGATCGCTAGACCAGCTGAGCGATGCGTGGATTGTGGTGAAAGGGCTGTTTGACAGAGGCAGTCGAGTTCGAAGGTGCTGAAGCGCCGAGTTAGAAGGTCTTGGGGGAGGTACTGGTCTAGTTGGTAGGGCAGACGTGAGGGTTTTATGCAAGAGGGTCTCATTGACAATGGAGCTGAACAGAACAATAGACACAATAGTACACAATAGCGGAGCAAAGCAAAGACAAGAAGGTTGGGGCGCTCGGGGCACTAGCGAAAAGGCCCCACATGGAAGAGGTGAGGTGAGGTGAAATGGGGAAGATTCTGGCACCTACCGAAGCTATAGTGAATCGACGCAATTGGAGGCCCGGCACAAACAGTAAATCGGCGCTCTTTGAGTGGATCAAAGTTCAGCAAAAAAAGTCAAGTCGATATTTCACAGAAATGTCAAAGGATTGTGGTCTCTGCCGCAGGCGAGAGGAAGAAAAGACAAGAACAAGAGAGAGAGGGCTAGCCTGAGTCGTGAGGGTCGACTGTGCGATGAGAGGAATGAAACGGCGAGCGAATGCGAAGGGCTTTATATCAGGTCAGGGCGAAGCGGCTGGCGTCCGTCCCCTGAGCAAACAAGCTTCCCCCAGGGCGACGGACGCAAGGCACCGGATGCATGTCGACGTCGCCACGGCGGATCAGCGAGGGCAAGCACAGGCAGCGGAGCCGCAGACGGGACGGACGCTGGTCAGGGAGCGTTTGACAGAGGGCAAAGGGCGGAATGTGGGCCCGGATTGGCTCGAGAGGGCAGGAGACGCGTTTCGAAACCGCGTTCCTTCTGCTCGTCCAGCGATGTTGCCCCAGAGCAGGCGTCAGGGCGCTGTGGCGTCGTCGAGCGTTGCGACCCCTGGCGTGGGGATGCTGCAGGCCGGCGTTATCGATAGGACTGCAACCCAGCCGAAAGCGCTGATCGGGCCGTGCAACAGCCAATGGGCCGCCACCACTGGGCCTTGCTCGCGGCCAGTCCTGACCTCGTCCCCAGACGGTGAGGGGCCGTTGTCGGCCTCACAATGCTTTCGAACACGGCCTCGCTCAACATCCTCGTTCGCTGCGCCCATCACCGGCTGAAACACGCCGGCTGCCGGCACCACGCACCCCCCCAAGCTCTTAGCAGCTCTGAGCCAGAGATAGCCTTCGCACCACGCCGAAGTGCTGCGTGCCGCTCGCGTGACTGTTGCGACCGTTTCGTTCAACGACGTCGTCCTTAGGTAGCGTTGAGGCTGAAATCTGACTCCATCCTGCAGGTCGCTGCCGCAGCTTGTCGCGTCGCACATCCATCTGCTGGGTCGTAACGGTTACTATTATACAGTAGGATAGGCCGTAGGACTTACATGAAAAACTTTGACCGCCAAGGATCGTCACTTCGAAGCCCAGGCGGCCCAAGGCGTTCCTTGCAGGCGCAATTCCCGCGACCCTAAATCTCTGACTCGCTCTGCGTTCTTTTTAGATGTTGCTCGTAATATACCATTTACTCCTGTTACACTGTAGACGGAGTACTAACCTGTTCCTCGACTCTGGGGCCTTTGCTCACGCTGGTTGAGTGCCATCCCACTCGCCCGAAATAGAATTCAATCAACCACGTCGCCCGCGGATTTCCATTAACTGTGGAGTCGTGGTGCACACGCGCCCGCCGTTGCCTTTCCTCCGTTTCGTTCTTTTTCGCCTTGAGACGCAATCTGGACCGAAGCATGCCGTTGTGGATGCTGCGTCGGCCACCTGCCTGCAGCCCAGCGGCAAAGCCACCAAGCTTATCCACTTGATCCCCAGCACCAGGAAGCTGGGAAGCCGTTAACCTCGAAGCGGTGAGGCCGTTACTGGTCTGGATTGCTTGCGTCGTGGTGCAGAGCGCTTTCGTTTCTGGCATCACTCTGTTTCGATCGTTGATTGGTTCCGGGTAGCCGCTTTGCCCAGCGGCCTCTGTTTCGTGCACCTTCGCCCAAGACATCGCGAGACAAGCCGTCGCGCATGGCAAGCCACAAGGATGATTAAGTTGTGTAGTGGTATAGGATTCAATGCCTTTTGTTTTGGCTCGAAGTAGTTCAGTCTCCCGCGTCAGTGCTTCCACTCCCTACTTCGATCCATGCAATGCATAAACCTTCATTTGCCTACGTAGCGCTGGCTTCCAGGGCAGGCATCGGCCTTGTAGACACGTCGCAATGTTTCATTTTGTGCAGGATCCGTTGTTCCAAGTAGCTGAGGCTCTCAGCTTACACCTGCCTGGAATGTCTTCAAGGAATCGTGGTTACTTGCTCGAGAATCTTTGACCAATGAATACGACGCCGCTGATTTTATTTCGGATGTAATGGTAGCCCTAGATTCTGCAGATGCCCCTCGTATCCTCTAGTTCTTTTGCTGCATTCCATAACGTCCTCCAGGAACGTTGTCTCGCACCTGTGATCTGGCTGCCGAATCGTTGGCTGGTCGGGCTACAGTACGATGAGCGCCTACTGAAGCATCGCAGATGTTGGTAGTGCTGCAGGTGTCTTAGATGACTACGTGGCCTCGGCGGTAAGAACGACCATTCCACGTAGTCGCGGTTCCACTGCTTTCGCCCTCAAGCCTCCCACATATCTTCGACAACTCCAAGATTGCTCGGAGGTGTGTCGAGTTCTCCGACCTGACAGCTGGCCACTTGCGAGCTTTCGAAACCAACTCTAACTTTCGTTCTCAAGCATTTTACGTCCCACACAGATTTTGATAATGCTCCGAAGTCCTTCAAAAAGTAGCGAAAGTGAGAGTCTTCCGCATAGACTTTGCTGATTACCGCCGCCGTTCACTACTACCAGAATCGTCGAATCCAAGATGGCTTTCTATGCGAATCTTCCAACAGGGCCTCTTTTGAGTTACTTTTCTTTGACGCCTGGGGCCGCCCTGTTCTCCTTTGGATGAGCCCTGGTACATTAGATGTACGAACAAAAGGCTGCTTTTCGATCCCGATATGGACTCTCCCGTCAGTGCCCACGAAGGTACCGTATCCGTACCTTTGATCTAGTTGATAAAGGTACCGTTCACGCTTTCGTTTAGACATGTGCGCTGTGCCTCTGAAGTCTCGTACCGCCAAACTGGCGGCAAAGAGGGCAACAATAGATGCAATAGACGTTGGCATCCGGGCTAGATATTTTCCTGGACGGCGAAGATAGACAAGGATGGAAACGATGATGTACGTCCCGAGAATGGCTTCCGAGATAATGAACATGGGCTTGGATACAAATATGCGAGTTTCCAATTCAATCCGAAATCCCGGAATAGATGGACTTCCCAAGTCGTCTCGAGCAGGAAGCAACAGATTTTCTTTGTTAGCGCCAAGCCATATGGCAAAGAGCCTGGAATAAACTTTGCCGAATGGAGCCGCAACGTCACTGAATGACGGTGGTGATAGGTTTGGATCCAGTAGGCGGCTACTGTTTATAATGTGACTGATCTCGTAATTGAAGAAGTCTGTCGGAAAAGAGTCGCTGTGCCAAACTAATCCGCTGGTGAGAGTAGTACTTTGAAATAGGTACCAATTCGCTTGCTGTAAAAGGTTCTTCAGGTCATTCGTAAAAAACTGCTGTTGAATCTCCCCCCGAGAAATGTTAAATGTGGTATTTGATAAGTCCGCTTCTTCTATGTGGCCCACGGAGTCGACTCGTACATTTGCGATCCCGGACAAAACTCTCGGACGGCATGCCATAAATAGCGAATTGCTGCGGTCAAACTTCTTGGTAGAATTATCAGAGCAAATATCTTGACCTGAGTCTCGGGCCCATCCAAGGAACACAGACTCTGCACAATAGTCCTGGTCTTGTTGAGTTGCGTTCGGAAGTGCGTGCAGGCGCAGGACAAATTCCATTGCTGACCGACCCTTTTGACAGGTCATTGGGGGAGTGTCGCCCGTATTTCCAGTCTCCGCTCCCTTTTGGGGATCCCTCCCGGGATCAACGCAAGTAACGGATTTCCCAGTATTATCTACGACAGTCATCGAAAAATTGGCAGAAGAAACACGGGAGAGTGGGCGGGGATCGGTCCAAACGCTTGCAGTGAAGCTGTTCTCGGTACCAGGGACCAGCTCAGTGCAGTCCACTTCAGCGCCAAACGCCCTTGTTGTAGCCCGGAAGCCTTGTGTTGACGGTTTGGTACTGTTCGCGGAAAAAGGGACATATAGGAACCTTTGATCCGTCCATGGTGGGAGGGGAGTACCAGTAGTGAGGTTCGACTCCGAGATGTAGAACTGGTCCATACCGAGCCCACCTTGATATGCACCAGAATACTCCCCATCATCAGCGCTCGAGTCACTACTAGCACCAGGTCCGTCAGACCCATTGATACTGACAAACTTGCTCGATAAGGATGGATTCAAAGTGGTAGGATATAGCACCTGAACTGAATTCTCGTTGAAGAGCCCACTGAAGGCGACGGCAAGAACATTGGCGAGCAACGCCATTCCACAAACAGCAGCCAGCGTAAAGTGAGTAGAGCGTAACGCCTTCCAGATGACCAGTTGGGGTGGCAAGGAGCTATAATCTAGCGCAATTGACTTTCTGGCCACTGCCTTCCTAGTACGCAGGTCCTCGAGAGGCTGGAGCATGCACAGCAAGCGGTTTACGACGATCCAGATAGGCTCTATCAAGGTAGCGATTGCTGTCGGTATATAGTTCTCTAAGATTTGCCGAGCTATCCTATTGTTGGAAGGCAGTGCAAGCCCTGGTCAATATAATTAGTAGAGTGGCCAATGAAATATTATGGTGGGTCAAGTACCATAGGGTTTACTCCTTTGATAAAGCAGAGCCAGAAGAACGACCAAAGCTATTTGGAACAGAACGAATGGCGCAACTGTGACTAGGCTGAACTCCACAGGGCGTATAGGCTGAGAAATGCCTCTTGTCGATGCTGAGCTCTCGGCTTCGGAATTCCCACTTTCAACGAATTAGCGATGAAACACGATCGGATAAGAATTGAGAATACACTTGTAACTCTGCCAGTGATTCAGGAGCGGAGCTTTCACCATGCTGTATCACACTTCGTTGACCATCATATTCCAAATGAAACTGTCTTTTTCCGATCGAATTGCTCATATCTTCCAAGGTGGAACAATCGAGTTGACCGAATGTGGAAAGTAGTGAAGCGTTGTCTGCTACCAGGGACATTACAGCAGCTATCGTGCCTGGGTCGGATCTTAGTTGCCTTGGCCTCGTGAATGAAAGGTACAGCAACGCGATCGCAAAGACTGACACCACGCCAAGGAGTGCTTCAACAACAAAAGTGAAGGCTGGCACAAGAATGACCGCTTGTGTGCGGTACTTGCGTGTCCCAATTGTAGAAACGGCTGTTGCAAAGGAGGTGGTGTTCAACACATCGACCATCGAGCGCGTGATTATCAACTGATATGACGCCTCAAAGGCACCGCCGAGAGTTTTCGGATCTAGAAGTTCTTCTAGGGTGTTGTTGGAGGCTCCAATTGCGAATGCAGCCATGTATGGAAGACCAAGAAGTCCATTGTCGATCGTTTGTGAAACGTTTTTGCTTAATAGACGCTCGAGTTGAGAAGGCCACTGCCACGCGGGATTCTCTCCTCTAGTTTGCGCTTTCTGGACTCCGTTGTTCATTCGCCATTCAAGCAAAGTGGTGTTGTAGGCAGTTGTTGAAACCGGAATTTTCGGTCCTATCGGGACGGCATTTACTGGGTGCATTGATGGAACAGCCACCGTGGCATTGACCAACTGCGAATAGTAGCTTGGTTGGCAAAAAATTGAAGTCATGTTCTCCGGTGGGTCCGTTGCTAGTTTTTTGTTGCGCGTGAAGGCAGCATAAAATGTATGGTTGGTCTCGATTGGACAGAAATCGGACAGAAAATAGTCGGCGAATCCATCATCATCCCAGAAACCAACATACATGACGGAGAATTCCTTGTTTTCCATACCCTTCTTTCCTCCAATAGTGTTGTTTCCGCTAATTCCACCAACGGTTGGAAATCGGCATCCGTTACTGCTGGTGAAGTATTCGATGCCCGTTTCATTTTGACGTTTCGCTTGCTCACAGGATACGTCAACACTGTATAGGGTAGTCATACTGGTCCAAGTCTCAGAGAATCCCTGAATCGGCTGTGATTGCGTCTTAAAGGGAGCAAGGGTGTAGTTCCGAGCCATGTATGGCGGAAGTGTTTCGTTGAGCCAGGTAATGCCGAAGACAGACTGCATGTAATGGCCGGTTACGTTCTCGGTCTGTTGGTCCAAGGAAAGAAGACTCGTGGACACAAGCATGGAATCATTCAAGGACTTCGTGATAGTATTCGTCGCAAATACACCAGCTTGTATGGGGACAAGTCCCCATGTTACAATGACCATTACAGTCGACGCCCAGAATACCGGCCAATGGCTATAGGAAGTTAATTAAGAAGTTTGAGAAAAACTGGAAGAATCTCACCAATTTTTTATCGCTGTTATCGGTACAAAGGGAATGAAATCGGACGGGTACTGCAGCATTAGGGAATTTTTTCCAAGAGCACCATCCGGTTTGGATAGTTGGTAGTAGGGTTCGAGACGTTTGGTCTCTAGGTCGATCCAGCTCCAAAAAATACTGAAAATGACGGCGACAATAGTCGGGAAATACAGATATAAAAACGAGTGGCTAAGCGATAGGTCGTTGGTCTTGGGAGCAAAGATGATTCCGCCATCGCGTTGGGATTTGACTAGGAGCAGTTGCAAGACGATAATTAGACCCCATGAAACCAGCACAGCGCACGCTAGAACGGGTGCTCTGAGTGCTAGCGGTTTCCACGGAGAACAGTTGATATCTGCAAGGGTAATTAGCTTGGTCAGCCCTGGTTGAGCTTGTTAAGTACCTCCGCTAGCAGTACGTTTCAGGGTTGCATAACGAGATAGGTCTGTCAATGTCCTCCACTGCGGACGCTTCGAAGACGAGGGCGACTGGTCTGACGGCGATTCAGTTGCTTGGTGAATTCCTTGCCATGTTCCCGATTCATTGAGATCGTACATGTCCACAGTGTTTTCAGCAGAGCGAGCGAGTGTCCGATCCATCGGTAGTATAAATTGTGGTAGATAAAGACGCGTGCAAATAGAAAAAATAATCAAGCAAAGACGGTTTGGAATGAAATACACGAACAGAATAAAGGGGCAGAATTGGTGGTTTCGAGACAAGGAACTCGCCTAGAGGTACTTGTCCTATGTATGAGACCTGAGAATGCGGCACAGCCATGCAGCCGCTGCCAACACATGTAGCCGCCGTAAGTCCGCATGGCTCCGTTTCATTCGCCAGCATCACCAAAAATAACCTTAATCGTTACGCTACAAGGGTGTGATCTGCTAAGAAACACTGTTCCGGAAGACTTTGAGGTTTGTCTCTCCACATGCTTCAAAGGCTCTCTGGTCGTAGAAACAGTACCAAGTGGTGGAAAGCGAGCGACTAATCAATTGACACTAGACGTGAAGTCTACCTCGCCGACACGCGTGTCATTGTCAATGAATAGCAATGGCGTATGTCTGGGACGATAATGTACTCAGACACGGTATGAGGTTGCTGTGCCGCCTGCAAACTGCGTTTCAAATTGAGAAGCCGCTAGAAAACATGTACTGACTCAAGATGTCTCGGACGTGGGCAAGGCAGACTGGAGTTTTGCAGGTAGTCTGGCAAAGACGGAATATAGATAGATGCAAGCATGGTGGCAATGGCTGATAGTATTGAAGATGGAGGCACTGCCACTGGCCTTTGTTACCTAGATGCGGCGCAGGTCTTCGTTCCCTGATGATTCAGTAGATAAGTCTGGCATTGTAGGCCTAAGGAGAGGCTTTGGTTATAGACGACGGAGTTCTTGGATCTTCCGTCAAGAAGTGTGACAAATGGTGGTGAAAGATGAGTGGTGAATGGTGTGCCCTGCAGCGGAGTTCACGCATCTTGGTAGGGCTGAACACTCAGCGCTAGTGGTTGGACAATCCTAACGGCGGACCGGAGTCATGCTCCAAGGATGAGATTTTATGTGCTATAGCTAGACATGCTCTGCACCCAACACCACTCTGCCATGCCATGAATCTTTCAGGCTCATTAGCACAGGCACACCTGCCAGCATTCGTATCCTTAGCTCCCCAGCCCGCCGCTCATTGACCTCCGCCTCTGCTCAAACTTCAACGCTACTGCCCCTCTACAAGAAACCCCGACACCCCACCTCCGAAATGGGCTCTCCGCCTCTCAAACCCAAATCGGCCCTGCCTACCCACCTCACCAACGGCTCCTCTCCCCTCAACGGTGCTGCGACTGAAACTCGCGACCGTCGCGAACGCGAATCCCTCTTCGCTGCCATCCAATCCTCCAGCAGCACCGGCCGCCAAGCGATTGACTTCGACGATGGCCCTCAAAGACCGGACCTGCGAGCGCCAGCATTGAATAGAGCAACGGCGACAAGGTCGAGGGATCAGCCTGCCAACGGTGCGAATAGTGCGGTTGGAGACGAGCTCGAGGAGGAGCCGGCGCGGGATCCGAGGGAGACAATCGTCAGTCCGAGCCCGCTGGCCATGAGCCGCGCACAAAGCCCGTACACTCAGCATCCGACGATTGACTTCGATGGCTTGAGTTGGCCGAGTGAGTCACCTTTTTCTTGTCTCGAACGGTTATTACCGAGTAGCTCAAGCCAATAATTTGCTACCTCACAGGTCGCGGCACCCGTGAACGTAAAGAAGCCACCGAGGAGCAGAAGGAAGAGCGTCTTGGAAAGCTCGCCGGTGCAGTACGCACAATACTGGAATGTCTCGGCGAGGACCCGGAGCGTGAGGGGCTGCTGGGCACGCCTGAGCGCTATGCGAAAGCTATGATGTTCTTCACGAAAGGCTACGAAGAGCACCTGAAGGACATTGTGAACGGAGCGGTTTTCCACGAGGACCACGATGAGCTCGTGATTGTGAAGGATATTGAGATATTCTCACTTTGCGAGCATCACCTGGTCCCGTTCACTGGGAAGGTATGTACACCTTCATGGGACCATTCCATTTAGATGGCAAAAGCTAACGACACGTTCTAGATGCACATAGGGTACATTCCCAATAGGCGGGTGATAGGCCTTTCCAAGCTTGCCCGTATAGCCGAGATGTTCTCAAGGCGGCTCCAAGTTCAGGAACGCCTGACGAAGCAGGTCGCTCTGGCTCTCTCTGAGGTCCTACAGCCGCAAGGCGTTGCTGTAGTCGTAGAATCTAGCCATCTCTGCATGGTCATGCGAGGTGTACAGAAGACTGGCTCAAGCACAATTACTAGCTGCATGCTAGGACGCATGCGCTCAACCGCGAAGACGCGCGAGGAGTTCCTCAACCTCTTAAACCGGAGGTAATTTTGCATGGGCTTGCACAAAAGAAGCCCCACCGTCGTTTCACAATTGCATGTGGTGGAAAAGGTTTTGAGTGTAAAAGATTTACATATGGCGTTATGGGGGCGTTCCAAACGGCGGCTATCTTATCATAGACCTCCCTAGTCGGGACGTTCGACTCTGGTCTACTCTGCGTCTTCAACATTCGCAGAGCCATTTTGTATTACCCCTTTCCGGGGTACCTCGAATATCACAGCTCCGTTCCTACCGTTCTTGAAAGTAGTCCACCGTGCGAGCCTGTGCTCCTTTCCTACCGCCGCAACAACGCAGAGTCCGTCTTTGCCCCTATCGCCCCGTTCGAAGACTGATAGATCGTTGACTATACCCCTGACCTGCAATCTCTCCTCTGAATTGTCGTCTGAATCTTCAGCACCACCTCCTTTAACTTCGATAGGTGGTATCCTTCCAATAACGCCTACTTCTTCGATAGTCCTTTTCTCCGGTCCGACCCTCCAGCACCTAATCCAACCATCCCAACTGGCACTCAAAATCAAATCTGCAAACGGTACCGTTGCTAGGGCTGTGATCCACCTCGGTAATTTGGGTCCTTCTCTATGATCTGCGGGATCTAGATCGGCCGACATCTCCTCCGCTGGTATAGGTGGGTCTCGGCCGTGGGCAAGAGGTAACGTAAATAGTGGCTTCTTCTTATGGGTTGACCACAGTGAAAGAGCGCCATTGTCCGATCCAGTGACGAAGATCGTGCTGTCGAGGAGAGCCACACAATCGATAGAGCCTTCAGCGTATGCCACGAAATCATCGTCATGCTCGGCTGGTCCCGTGCCATTAACTCCCCTCTTTTTCGCCACACTTTTCTCATCCTCGTAGTGATGTATTCGAATCTTGTCCAGACCCTTTTGTCTTGCTGTCCCACCGCCCCTGAACACAAGTTGACTCTCTTCCAACACCTTCCATAACCTCGCTGTACGATCCCTCGCACCCACACTGACGCACACCTCTTGTCCTCCATTTCCCTCGACACCTCCAGCAACGCCGACGACAACGTCCTGGTGCCCGAATAGAGTCTCCACGTAAGCAAGCGTGTCGGCACTCCATATCTTGATTGTGCGGTCTGAGGAAGCAGAAAAGAGCTGATGGGTGCCACGACGGAAGGAGAGCGAGTTAATAGCTGCACGATGCTGGGTGAAAACTTTTAGCGGGGTGAGAGTCTCGGCTTTCCAAATGATGAGGCGGGCATTGGCGTCTCCAGTGGCTAGGTAGGTCCCTGAGGATGAGACAGCAATGGAGAGAATCGGCGCCGTGTGTCCTAGATAACTAGGATCCTTCGCTTTGCTCTTCTTTCCTTTTGCAAATGCGACCCGTTTCGGTCTCTTCCTGAGTGTGATATTCGTCGGCCTGATCTCGCCGTCACCCTGCCCCTCCAAGACATGTGCCGGTGTAGCAACCTCCCACTTGACAAGACTCAGATCCTTCCCAACTGTGTACACGTATGGCGCCGCTGCCGCAATGCCAGTCACTACATTCTGATCTGCCCGAAAAAATGTATGCGTTGCTGCCTCCCAATCCAGCTCTTTTGCCAAGTACCGGTATATTTTCCCTTTATTTTCCGCCACATCTTCAATGAGTCTTTCCGCGATAATGTCGCGATCTATGTCTCGGGCGTCAAATCCTACACTGTCGTCCTCGACTTCGCTTCGAATATTCGCTAGATAGCGCTCTGCGAGCCTCAGGCGCTTTTCTGCCGCCGTCTCGTCCTCGCCTGCTGAGTCTTCAGACTCGGATGGCAGTAAGTCGTCTGCATCATTGTGAATCCCCTCGAAGTCGTCCGATTCGCTTCCAGAAATTGACTCAGAGCGGTCTTTGCGAGCGCGGGGTGCGCTTTTTGCTTGTGAGGGTGCGGATGTGGTATTTCGCTTTTTTAACGCAGGCGACGGACCGTCAGATCGTTTCCGTTTCCGCTGCGAGGCCGGAGTCGTGAAGAAGGAGGACATCGTGGGTGAAGAGGAGGTGTGGAAAGCCTGGAGCTTTGCTGGTGATTTCTTCGAACTTTTTTTCGATGCGAGATTTGGTTCGACGACAGGGGTGTGCCACGCTAGCACGCATTAGGTATGGCGCGATCCATGGTTTCGAGCAACCGTGGAACATCCATCAACATCTCCTTTTCTTCCTCTTATACACAATCAGACATCTCTATCTATACTCTCGCGATGCGCTCTAAGAACCCAGATCCAGCATAGTATCTTAGCAAAAGAATCTATTAACTAGGAGGAGCGGATTTAGATCATGGAGACACTGCAGTCATCGAGCTGGAGTAGGAAGAGTAAGGGAAATCGATGAGTAGTTCTGTTATGTCTTTCGATATAGTTTCAAACTCTCTATTTTGCCTCTCCGTCTTCTCAGACGAGTCCACACTTGTTGAAGCTTCAAACAAGGTTGTTCGATACGTATCTTCATCTAATATCAACCAGATTCACGGCGGTACCGAAAGGATGTAAATAGTGTTAAACATGCCTTATGATTACCGTCACATCCTGATGATATGAATGCTCTTGTGCATTAGCTGCCATGAGGGCAAATTTGGTCTCTATAGCTCGCTCTCCGGCGACTAGTCATTTGTTTTTGCGGAATCCTTGACACTACCCCGCGAACTCCAATCAAGTTTCATGCCGCTCATGTAATATGTAAGCCGGTGTCCACCGTACTCATGGCAGTGTCCAAGACGGGATCACGTCACCCCGCACCGAACGGTCTCGTCAATCATTTAATCTAAACATACTTTTCATAGCAAATCTGTTCGGTCACTCCGAGATATCATGGCTCTCGCTAGCCTCAAGGACCATACGTCCTCCATACTGCCGTCATTGTCATATACGGAGTTGCTTGCATTCGCTGGAACTACTTATGCGATATACGTGAGTGACTTCATCTTCGGTTCGATAACGAAGCTACAAGACGCTTCACGGCTCAGAAAGAAAGTTGTATTGGGGCTGTCGAGGACCTTACTAACCGCATGGTTAATCAGAGCGTCTTAAGAATCATCTATCGTCTTACGCTCCATCCACTCGCAAAGTATCCTGGCAATTTCATTGAGAAGATATCTGATTGGCCTTTGATCTATTACTGCTATAATGGCGATAGACATCTACGTATTCAAGAAGCACACAGGAAATATGGTAAGATCGATTACTCAATATCCATCACAAATCATATCCTTCCCTTCCTTTTCGTTCCGTTTGGGATTCAAGAAGCCCTATCCTACGCAATGGAGTCACACTTATCTAAACTTACTCAAAGGCACCGTCGTCCGTATCGGACCCAACACGCTCGACTTCAACACCGCAACTGCTCTCAGCGCCATCCACCGTGATCGAAACGCCAATGTCAAGAAGGCTGATTGGTACGACACCGTAGACGCTGGTTCCGGAGCTAGAAGTGTTCAATCAGTAGTGGACAAACCTTATCATGCTTTCAGGAGAAAGATGCTTCTCCCTGCGTTCTCTGAAACAGCGTTGAGGGAGCATGAGAAGTTTATTGATAACAACGTAACGACCATGATTGACGAGATGTGTAAGGAGTGCAATCAGGAGGATAGCAAGGATGTCTGGACGAGCCCAGTAGATTTCATGCTCTTTGCTGCATGGTATGGATTCGATTACACAGCGGACCTGGCCTTCGGATCACCGATGAAGTTGCTGGAAAATGAGCACAGATATGTGCCGGATGTAGTGAAGTGGACGAGCCAGTTCTTATACTATGTGAGCCTCTCCTTGCTGTCTCTCTTTCTTTCCCGACTTTGATCTTCTGACTAAGCATTGAAACTTACAAATTCCAGGTTGGCTATCTCCCATTTGCACCACTCATACGCCCCATATTGATACACACCTCAGTAATAAAACACTTACCTTCCAAAAACACCCGCGACACCGCCAAATTCTTCCAAATCGGCGAGGAGAGACTCGTAGCACGCCAAGCTGCCGAAGAAAGATCAGTCGAAAATGACAAGGACGTCCGCCGCGATATCTTCCACTACATCTTCCACGCTCGGGACGAAACCGGCGTCGCACTCTCCCAGGAGGAGATGATCGCAGACGCCTCTTTCTTCCTCGCGGCGGGCAGCGATGGCGTTGGTATTGCACTAAGCGCAGCGCTGTTTTACCTTCTCCAGAATCCAGAATCGCTGACAACGCTTACGACCGAGCTGCGAAGCTCATTTGCGTCAGTTGATGAGATCCGCTTGCCGAAGCTGAACCAGCTTCCCTACCTTTATGGCGTCGTCGAGGAAGCTCTGCGGCTAGTCCCCTGCGTTTCGTCCCAATTTCCCCGTGAAGTCCTTCCCGGCGGCATGACTGTCGATGATCAATACATTCCCGCCGGAACCGTAGTTGGCACGTCCCCGTACGCGTTGCATCATAACGAGGAGAATTACCCAGACAGCTTTGCGTTCAAGCCAGAGCGCTGGCTGGGGGATGAGGAGAGCGTAGCACGGGCGAAGAGCGCATTCAACACATTCAGTGTCGGCCAGTATAACTGTATTGGGAAGAATGTGGCATATCTTGCCATCAAGCTCGTCATAGCGAAACTACTGTGGGGTTATGAAGTCAGAGTGCCTGAGGAGGTGGGCTTGATTGGAGGAGGGGGGAGAGGTGCGTGGAAAGGAGATTTGAGAAGGGAGAATGAGTATCAGTTGTTGGACTATCTAGTGGGATATAGGGAGGGGCCCATTGTACAATTCCGGAAGAGGAAGGTATAAAGTTGGAGGTAACGATTTGAGCGTGTAGGAAGAACTCTGATTTCTAGATGAAGCGCCTTCTAGAGACTTGCACACAATCGTTTTCCTGGGCGCTCGGTCTTTGTCAAAGAGTAGAAATTCCTGGCACTAAAGACATGAAAGTTTTCGAGGTTGATGCCGTCCCGGCAACTATACGCGGCAATCTGTATTCCGACTACTGGCACTACAATGGCGCTCTCAGCTTTGAACCTATTTCACAGATGTTTATAATAGATACGACATCCCTCATCGCCATCGCTAAGCGCCGTGTTTTTTCAGTTCTGCGAGACAATGACTCCATTCGGTTGAGCAAGAACGACATTGATGTGTCATTTGAACTAGTTGTATTCTTCCATAGATACTCTCTGACCTACATATTCATCGCTTTCTAAAAAAGATGCTTGGAAGTTTGAACGATGCTTGAGAGAAGAGATAAGCTGAAAGCGACGTGACATGTACTGATTCTTCAGTAGCAACCGATTGGAGGCATCTTTTAACTTATAGTGCAGCATTATATAATCCTTATGTATGTGACTTCAGCGCAAATCTAGATTCTTGGTGATCGTAAGACCGTTCGTTGAAGATATCACCGGCATGGGTTTTTCCATCACCGGTCTTGGCTGTGAAGTCTCGCGACCAATGATGCCCGCTGTGCATCTCTTGCTCACGTCGACGACGACGTCCCTCCAACGACATTATGCCGCCCTCACATACTTGCCAGCGATGCCTGCTGTCTCTCAGCAATGGTTTGCGTCCTCAACTAAGGACGTCGCGGATCTCTCTCCGGGCAATTGCCTCTGCCAGCGGTCAGCCCACCAGGCCTTCGACAGCACCACAACCGCTCCCAGCAAAGCGACGAGTTTCTACAACTTCCAAGAAAGACCAGAGCACGGCTAGTGAAACTGCTCTACCTAGAACACCTCCCGGGCTGGAGTTTAGGAAGCCGGAACCCAAACAGAGAGTTCTCCTCGAGCCCAACAATCTGTTTCATCCTTTTTCCAATTCGCCCGTCCCCGAGATTCGGCAGCGTGCCGCATTTCAAAAGCAGCATGCCTATTGTCCTCATCCAGACCACAGGCAGACGCGCCAACCAATGAACCCCGATGACGCCGAAGCAAAGAAATCACCAACTGCCGGCTCAGCACCCGCCCACGTCCGATTCGAGTGCCCGGACTGCGGAGTCCCTGTATACTGCTCAGAAGAACATTGGGCCGATGACTACGAGTCACATTTGGAGGTGTGCGACACACTTCGCCAGATCAACGAGGACGATCACGACCTTTACTCCGGCCGCCGCTTCAACGAGTTTGAATACCCCGGACCACAAATGGAGGAGGCTTTGGTTAATATGACGAATTGGGATACCTTTTTGTACTCAAGAGAATTTGCGGCTATCAACAACGACCGCCCTCTGCGTCAAGCCACAAGACTATTGACCTACCCAGTGACAGTCGCAAGTGTCCTCCACGAACTTAGCCCTTACAACATCCGAAAAGGTGGCCGATTAACGACGGAGGGGCTCAAGAGTTTGAGTGGTACGTCTAAGTCCCATTTAGAGGCTCTCAGATCCATCTAACTTGCGTCCAGCACTGCGCTACACCCTTCACCCACCGCGAACAGGCGGTGGAGCTGATGTCAAAGGCCTCCGCCTCAACCCTCCAGCGGTTCGAATCTTCATCGTTGGAGCGCGTGCCGAATCCTCCCTGCCTCGACTAGTATGGGCACAACTCAACTATCTGTTCCCCCGTGTCAAGTTCCATATAATATTCATTGGCCCCGAGTCCATGGCCAATCGCGATGACGAATTTCCGTTGCCTCCACGAACGCCTTCGAATCCGTTTGGCGCGATTGTTGAGGATAGGATAAGCCCCGAGCTCAAGATTAGCACTTTCGTGGAATACTATCACACAATGCATAAAGCTGGTCATTTCTACCCATACGATCCCTATTTTGACTGTTTCATGCTGTTCCATCCCGGACTCGGCCACCCAGCCAGCTCACACGAGTGGGAAGAAACATTGCCGCTTCTGTTGGAGACGAAAGTTCCGATTTTAGCCACAGGCTACACGGAATGGGACATGCAGCGAGATTTGAAATGGGTAGAAGAAAAAATGGGCGGGGAGGTTGATTTACTGCTTGAACCCGGCGAGAATAAGTTCCGGAGCTTGAGGTGGGACTTGAATGATCTCGATCCTCAAGATGTTAGCTGTGGAAATTGGGGGCTATGGGCCTTCCGAGGAAAGAGATACGAAACGACTCGGAAGGAGGAGTAAACATGTACTATATCTGCGGTCAAGAGTCATGTACTCAGTCCTCTGTACATTATGCTCAGTGTATATCATCATGTTGACACTATTAATACATGCTCTGCTTGGACCTGTACAATTGTAAGAACATTCGAGCTAACCAACTTGCCTCCTTTCGCTAGACTTGATTGCGGATACTCCGTTGTTTTGATGTAGTATTCGAATCATTGCAGCGCATTTCGTCTGCAGTAGTTTCGCGAAAGAATACACTACGCTTTACGCTGGGGAATCGGCCGCCTGATACTGCATTTATTCATAGTTGTAGTTAGTCGGTCTTGAATTGACTACCTAATTCACGTGCTACCAATGTTATACTTGTAGCCCACACCTAATCCCTGCACCACTAGCGCGCCCCGCCTAACTTTTTCTCATCCCAAAAAACTCAAAGCCCGCTCCGACAGAGTGCAGCAGCTCCAAATTGCCCCCCTACAACCGCCGGCGCAATTCCTCGCCCAGGAATCCGCCGCTCGCAATGGCACCCCTCCTCGACGACGACTTCATCTTCACAATTTCCGACACCGAGGACGTCCCCGTCGAGGACGACACCACTCCCCCACCGCCCTCTGCAAAAGACAAGAAACGCAAGCGCGACGCTGATGATGGCGGCTCTAAGAAGACTAAGAAGGCGAAGAAGGGCAAGAACAAGGTTGATAAGGTTATGGTGAGGGGCGTGCAGGCCGTGCCTGGTGCTGCAGAAAACGACGAAGAGGATGGGGATGGGGATGAGGTCAAAGATGACGGCGCTATGGCGTCCGATTTTGAGTTCGTGGTCGGCGATGTTGAGACGGGGGTCATGGATGACTTCGATGGGTGGGGTTTGGGACAGCAGGGGCAGGGGCAGGGGCAGGGGCTGAAAAGGGAGGAGGGGAGGGGGACGGCGGTGGATTTGGATGAGATTGTTGAGAGGAGAAGGGGGGAGGGGGAGTCGGTAGTGAAAATTAGTGAAGGAAACGAGGAGAAAGAGGAAGGCTTCACAGGGTTCGAGGATGAGGATGAGCTACTAGCCGAAGACGGCTTTGGGATGGGTGTCGCTAGCGACGAAGAAGAGGAATCGGACGAGGAAAGGGATGATGATGAGGGTAACGAGGATGAAAGCATAGAAGAAGGGCAGGACGAAGGAGACTCGGACGATGATTCTGTCGCCGCTCCCGTTCCGCATCCGCTCGACCAGCAGTCGGACGATTCCTCAGATGATGAGCGAGAAGACCCCGAAGAAGCTAGGAAACGAGAAGCATTCTTCGCACCGGAAGAGAAACTCGAAGGCCTCAAGCCATCTACAAAGACAAAGGGCACGTTCCAAAGCATGGCTCTATCCCGTCCTATCATGAAAGGACTCGCGTCCGTGGGGTTCACCGAACCAACCCCTATCCAACTGAAGACTATCCCCGTCGCTCTACTCGGTAAAGACGTCGTTGGAGGAGCTGAGACTGGTTCTGGAAAGACAGCCGCTTTCGTTATACCCATCCTCGAACGACTTCTCTACAGACCGAAGAAGGTCCCGACTACTCGCGTTGCCATTCTCATGCCAACACGTGAATTGGCGGTCCAGTGCTTCAATGTCGCTCGAAAGCTCGCAAGCTTCACCGACATTTCATTCGCGCAGCTCGTTGGTGGTTTCTCGCTCCGCGAGCAAGAAGCAGTCCTCAAAACTCGACCGGATGTAGTGATTGCTACTCCTGGTCGTTTCATCGATCACATGCGCAACTCAGCCAGCTTCGCAGTGGACACGCTCGAGATCTTAGTCCTTGATGAAGCAGATCGCATGCTCGAGGACGGGTTCGCAGATGAGCTTAACGAGATCTTCACTACAATTCCGAAGTCCAGACAAACGATGCTGTTTTCTGCTACAATGACGGATACCGTCGACAAGCTTATTCGAGTTGGACTTAATAGGCCTGTCAGGTTGATGGTTGATGCGAAGAAGCAAACTGTGCAGGGCTTGGTTCAAGAGTTTGTGCGTCTGAGGACTGGAAAGGAGGATCGAAGACTTGCATACTTGATGTATCTCTGCGAAAAGCTGTACACTGACCGGGTCATTATCTTCTTCAGGCAAAAGAAGGAGGCGCATAGAGTCAGGGTGGTGTTTGCTCTGTGTGGGATGAAGGCTGCTGAGCTGCATGGTAATCTAAGTCAAGAACAGGTATGTTGCTATCTTTCATCTTATCTAAAATGGGTTGCTAACTATTTGACAGCGTATTCAAAGCGTCGAGTCTTTCCGATCCGGAAAAGCCTCCTACCTTTTGGCCACCGACATTGCGTCTCGTGGTCTCGACATCAAGAACGTTACCACAGTTCTTAACTATGAGGCGCCGCAATCTCATGAAATTTACCTCCATCGAGTTGGTCGTACTGCCCGTGCCGGACGTACTGGCCGTGCTTGTACCATTGCTGCGGAGCCAGACAGGAAAGTCGTAAAGGCTGCCGTCAAATCGGCACGAACCCAAGGAGCAAAGGTCGTCAGCCGGCAGATTCCAAACGATGACGCAGAGGCTTGGGTAGAAAAGCTCAAGAACATGGAGACAGAGATTGAAGAGGTGTTGAAAGAAGAAAAGGAAGAGCGCGTGCTGAGCATCACAGAACGCGAACTCAAGCGCGGAGAGAATCTCGTGCACCACGAGAGCGAAATTCTGGCGAGGCCTCGCCGCACGTGGTTTGAGACCGAGAAGGACAAGAAGGCGTCGAGGGAGAAGGGCGCGGTGGAGCTTAATGGCGACTCACGGATCAAAGCCAAGAAGAAGCTGAGCGGCAAGGACAGGAAGAAGTTGGAGCTCAACGATGTCCGAAAGGAGGGAGGGACGTGGAAGAAGGGGAGTGCAGAGAGGGCAGGGAAGGGAGCGTTGGAAAAACCGGTGGTGAAGGGGAAGAAGGGCAAGGCTGGGGGGCCGCCTGATGGCAAAACTAAAGGGAAGCCAAGGACCGGGAAGCCAAGGAGGTAGTGAAAGCTTTGCCATTGGGGAGCCTGTCGAAATAGCCATTAGTCTGATGAACTCTCTTGTCTAATCATACTCTAGTTCAGATAGATGCTCGAATGCCACTGGTGATGCTCCTTCGTGTTCAAATAAGCTTGGCATACGTTGGTCGCGTGGGACAGTGAAGACTGAGGTTTCCTTTCACGCGACCTCGAGATTCTCGATTCGCCAAGCCAAGCCAAGGCGTGAAAACAGTGAATGTCGGAGTGCAACTTAGCACACAGGAAGCCTCGCCAAGAACTGCCCCTTGTTCCGCTGGGCAGGGTGATCGGGAGTCCATTGGGCATAGCGGCGGATTCGGCGGACCATAAATTCCAACACCACGATGGTTGCGCGAGCTCACCTCACCACGACATCGCCTGTTCGTCTGCCCGCCTTTTCGTCTGAAGAGTTTCGCTCCTTAACCAGCCTCAACACCCTCAGTCTCCGCCGCACGTCGATATCCTGCGCCCTCGCCGTGCCTAGCAACTTAAAGCAGATCCCGTCCAGGCTCCTGGATTCGAGAGCTCTCGTTATCGCCTTATCAGCAAATTCCTTTGATTCTCACCACCTCCGCAAGCCCCAAGCCCCAAGCCCCAACCCCCAGAGGCCCCCGCGATACGAGCCTAGGGCGATTCCGACACCCTCAGTCCCGTTGGTGCAAAGCCGACATCGCCGGGAGCTCCCTTGGACCGCATCCACGCCTCCGCGCGGCTGTGCCTGAACCTGCACACTTCCACTGCTCTTGCGACCTTTCCGACGCGCATCTGACAGCTGCCGACGACTTCACCCCGCCTCGACTCTCCCGAGTATCCCTCTCAACCCTGCCCACACGCTACCTCCGCACATACACGGCCATGGCTCCACACGCAAACGGCAACGGGAAGGCCAAATCCCCCGCCAGGGTCCGCGCAGCACCAGAACCCAAAGAGAACATCTTCCTCTTCTATCCCAACATAATAGGTACGTCCCGCCTCTCCAAACTCACTCCACGCTCTCCGCTAACCGTCTCGCAGGCTACAGCCGCATCGTGCTCGCCGTCGCATCCCTTTACTACATGCCCCTCCATCCGCGCACCTGCTCCATCCTATACAGCGTATCCTGCCTACTGGACGCCCTCGATGGCTACGCCGCGCGCTACTTCCACCAGAGCACAAAGTTCGGTGCCGTGCTGGACATGGTGACGGATCGCTGCACGACGGCGTGTCTGCTAGTCTTCCTAGGCAGCGCGTTCCCAAGGTGGAGCATCGTATTCCAAATGCTGATCAGCTTGGATCTGGCATCGCACTACATGCACATGTATGCGACGTTGTCCATGGGCGGGAGCGATCAAAGTCATAAGAAAATTGCCGAGGGGAGGCCGTGGATTATGAAGGTGTATTATTCGAATAATGTAAGTCTCCAGACATCAAACATTAGGGAAAAGAAGAGAGCAGAAACATCGAAGTTGCGAGAGAATGAAAGCAATCTTGGAAACCTGCTAATCACTCCGCTTTACAGAAAGTCCTCTTCACCTTCTGCCTCTTCAACGAACTCTTCTTCATCGCTCTATACCTCCTCTCTTTCTCCTCGCCAATTCTCTCCCCTTCGCTGCTCCAGACATCGCCCTCCACGCTCCAACCAGGGAGCCCAGCAGCTCCGAAACCATCAGTCCTATTCACAAGCCCTTGGTCTGCAGGCGCTATGGAAATGGCACGGTAGGCTCACGCACCTATATACCCATTCTTTATCACTCAATACTAACAATCCCGCGCAGAGCCAACAAAATGGACTCCCAGATCCCGTGGACCCTTGCCGGCATCTCCGTTCTCTTTATGGTCATCAAGCAATACATCAACGTAATCCAGCTCATCGAAGCAAGCAAGTGGCTAGCGGAGGGCGACGTCGAGGAACGGCGGAAACTAGGGCTGCCAAAGAGAAAGAAGGCGGCGTAACTTCTCACGCCAAAGTCGCGGTTACCCTTGCACTTAATCAAGTTTAATAACGTATATACGGCAACCGCAGAGGCATCAGAGCTGGCTTCTTCTCATTTTATTTGCCAGATCATTGGTTCTGAGAAAGCAGCATTTTGTGGATTAGGTTGGACGGGGACTACGGGGGGAACGTTTATTCTCTTGTACCATGTCTTTCTTGTGTTCAGAGCTTCGATTCTGCTTTCGTTGATATACCTTTTCTTTACTCAGTTCTTCATATTCGCTTCTTTACTTCCGTTCAATATTCAATCTGTTTCTCTAGGGCTGGGCTTCTTGCTTAAAGTTTAAGACCGGGGCGGCGTTTTGTTTCTGCTCGCATTTCTCCCCGAAAGGGTGTTCGTTTACACTCGCTCGCTCCACTTGTCGAGTGGGTTTCATTTTTGCATCAAGGAGGGGGATCATATCTAGTGATGATAGGGTAGGTAGGGAAGGGTGCAGTTAATCACAAGTACCTAATAATCAATCACACGTCACACATCACACATCACTCAATACCACCAAGCCCATTCAGAAGCAAAGCTCCCATTTTTTAAAATTACAAGAGAGAAACGGCTCCTCGCACCATTAAGAGCCAGCGACAGCGCGCCGAAGCCTCGGGAGCATAATCCCTCAACTCGAGCACCTGTCGCAGACGTACAAAAGAAATCCTTAGGCCCCCATCGACCTCCTCTAACCAATGTACCCCTTTTTATTAAGTCTCATCTTCTTAATTTTCGTCTCAACCCCCCTTCCGCCTTTTATTATCTCTCCTTTCCACTCCATCACACTCACATCTCCTTTCCAACTCATCCACTCAATCACCTCACCTCACCTCTCCTCTCTCCCCCATCACACATCACCCATCTAGGCGGAGGTGGCCTTGGCGGTGGTCTTTGCGGTGGTCTTTGCGGTGGTCTTTGCGGTGGCCTTGGCGGTGGTCTTTGCGGTGGCCTTTGCGGTTGCGGTGGCCTTTGCGGTGGTCTTTGCGGTGGCCTTGGCGGTGGTCTTTGCGGTGGCCTTGGCGGTGGCCTTGGCGGTGGCCTTTGCGGTGGTCTTTGCGGTGGCCTTCGCGGTGGTCTTTGCGGTGGTCTTGGCGGATGTCGTCGTAGGCAAGCTAGTCGTCGTCGTCGGCTGCGCCGTGTAGCTGGTGCCCCAGATCTCGGTCGGCTCCCAGTACTGCGGCCACCAGTCCGACTGCGTCTCGGCCACAACCACCGTCTTGCGGTCGCCCGCCGGCCCGACGACCTTGAACACGTATTTCTGCGACGTGTACGGCTTCTCGGTCGTCGCGGTGGTGCCTCCCGTAGCCTGGCGGCGCCCGAGGAGGACTGCTGTAGTGGTGGCCGTGGTGGTAGCCGTGGTGGCGGCGGTTTCGGGTTCGGTAGCAGTGACAGTCTCGGTCCTGGTAGCTGTGACGGTCTTGGTGTCGGTCTCGGCCTCGGTCACGGTAGTCTCAGGATCGGTGGAGCTGGCCGTGGTGGACTGCGTGGTGGACTGTGTGGCGGACTCGGTGGCGTACTCAGGGGTGGTTTTCCAGTCGCCATAGTTGCCGTCATCGTAGCCACGAGGCTGGAGGACGAAGGCTGCTGTGGTGGTGGCCGTGGTGGCGGCCGCTTCGGTCTCGGTTTCGGTCGCCGTGACAGTCTTGGTCCTGGTCGCTGTGACGGTCTCGGTGTCGGTCACGGTAGTCTCAAGCTCGGTGGAGCTGGCGGTGGTGGATTGCGTGGTGGAGGTTGTAGACCCGGTGGATGTGGACGTAGCGGGATCGGTCGAGGTTGCGGACTCAGTGGTGGTGGCCCACTCGCCATAATTGCCCCAACCGTAGCCACGAGGAAAGAGGGCAACGGTTGTAGTGGTGGCCGCGGCGGTCTCGGTGTCGGTCTCGGTAGCCGTGACGGATACGGTGGCGTCCGTGACGGTGGCGGTGTCAGTCACGGCTGTCGTAGTCTCGGTCACGGTGGAGGTGGCGGACTCGGTGGAGGTCGCTGTGGTAGACTGGGTCGAGGTGGCTGTCGAGGTCGAGGACTCAAGAGTGGGCCAGCTCTTGTAGTAGCTGGCGTAGTTTCTGCCACGGCGCCAGAAGGCTCCAGCTGGAGCGGCCTCGGTCTCAGTCACAGTAGCGGTGGCCACGGTGGAGGTGGCAGTGACGTCCTCGGTCGTGGTGGCAGTGGCGGTCTCGGTGTCGGTAACATCAGCGGGATCAGTGGAGGTACTAGTAGCGGGATCGGTGGAGGTTACGCTCTCTGAGGAGGTGCTGGAGGTGGTGGACTCAGAGGAGGTAGTAGACCAGTCGTCGCCGTAGTTGCCGTAGCCGCGGGGATCGAGGGTGATGGTCACGTAGGTGGCAGACGCGGTCGAGGTTGCGCTCTCCGAGGCGGTGTTGGAGGTGCCGGACTCAGAGGAGGTGCCGGACTCAGAGGAGGTGCCGGACTCAGAGGAGGTGCCAGACTCAGAGGAGGTGCCGGACGCAGTGGTGGTGAACGGGTCGCCGTACTGGCCAGGTGGTGGCGTTACTTCTGGGTAGCCGTAGCTTCGGGTCGAGGGGGTGGGAGTCTCGAAGCCCTCGTTTTGCTGGCAGTGATGGCAGGGGTTGAAGGCCTCAGCTTCGTAGGGGGTTGGCTTGCCGTACTGCTTCTGTTCGTAGGCGGGAGTCGAGGTCTCGACTTCATAAGGGGTTGGCTTGCCGTACTGCTTCTCTTCCTCGAAGGCGGGAGTTGGGGTCTCGGCTTGGTAGCCACCGTTCACGAACTCGCTCTTGGTGCAGGGAGTCTCCTGAGCCTCGTAGGCGGGGGTCTCCTCCGCCTCGTACGGGGTCGGCTTGCCGTGCTCCTCGTAGGTAGGAGTGGGAGTCGGGGTTGTGGCCGCTTCAAAGTTGTGGCCAGAGACAAGGCACTCAGGGCAAGGGGTTTCCTCGTTCTCGTAGCCCGGAGTAGGCTCGATGGGAACCTCGCCGCGCTTCTGTTGCGTCTTGCACTCAGGGCCTGGGCATATACCGGGAGTCTCCTCGGCCTCGGGCTTGACGGGCTCTACATAGGCGGGAGCAGGGGGAGGAGTCGGAGTGTGGGTTTCAGGGGTCACAGGCTCTACGTCGGCGGGAGTAGCGATAGGAGTCGGCGTCTCGGTCTCAGGCGTCACAGGCTCTACGTGGACGGGAGTAGGGGTAGGAGTCGGTGTCTCGGCCTCAGGCGTCACGGGCTTTACGTAGGCGGGAGTAGGGGTTGGGGTCTCGGCCTCGTAAGGGGTAGACTTGGCATCCTCATAGGTGAGGGTAGGAGTCGGGGTAGACGACTCGAATGGGGTAGACTTGCCATAGCCCTTCCATCCTCCGTGAACGGGAATCCTAGAGGTCAGGGCCACGTTTGGGGTATTGGTGTTCCATCCGTAGAGGGAGGTAGGCTTTGACCACTCAGTAGAAGAGGAGGTCTCAACGTCGTAAGGAGTCGGCTCGCCATGCTCCTCGTAGGCGGGAGTTGGGGTGATCTTGCGGTGGTCGTGGAAGAACCATTTCAGCCATGTGAACTCACCCACAACTTTTACATGGGGGGTAGGCTTTCCGTGCTGCTCGTAGGCAGAAGTAGGAGTCGAGGCCTGATATGGGGTAGGCTTGCCGTAATGCTCGTAGCTAGAGGTGGAGGTCTCGGCCTCGTACTCGCCGTGCTCATGCTGGTGGTAAGGGTGGGGAGTCCCTTTGGCCCCATGGTATCCGGAGGTGGTGGACCAGACGGTATTGGTTTTGTATGGGGTGGGCTCGGGATAACCGTATGGAGAGGAGCAGGAGGAGGAGGAGAAGGTCGCCTCGTAGGCACCTTTCTCAGATTTGCAGTGATGGCAAGGAGTCTCTTGGGCCTCGTAGGAAGAGCTCTCGTACGAGGTAGGTTTGCCCTGCTTCCCATAGGGGCTAGGCTGGCCCTGCTTTTCGTAGCTGGACGTCTCATACGGGGTAGGCTTGCCGTGCTGCTCGTACTTGGGAGTCTCGTAGATAGGAGTCTCGTAGATAGGAGTCTCGTAGATAGGAGTCTCGTAGATAGGAGTCTCGTAGATAGGAGTATCGTAGACAGGAGTCTCGTAGATAGGAGTCTCGTACGGAGTGGGCTTGCCCTGCTGCTTGTAGCTAAGAGTCTTGTAGCTAGGAGTCGTGTAGCTGGGAGTCTCG